ATTTTTAAGTATTATATTGCTTTTATTGCTATTATTAGTATTGTACGTAATTATATAGATAGATTTTATTATTCTTTTAGTTTTACAATTTCAAATAATTTTGAAATTGTAAAATTGATATTTTATCTTTGAAAATATATATTTATTTACGTAGTGGGTACGTAGTTAAATCAATTATTGTCAAATCATTGCAGAGAACATTCAGATTTCTCGTTAAGTTGAATCTAGTAACATCAAATCTTTACATACATTAACGATATGTGCATAAATAAAGTGTACTTAAATTCTTTTAGTCATCGGCATTAACGTGGAGAAAATCCACCGTTGAAACCGATACTGCAGGACATCTTCTGCTAAAGACTTCACCATATTCCTCCTGACTGCATAGCAACTAGGTAACGGGTCCGCGGAGCAATCTATTGTTATTGCCCGCGTAAGCAGGCCCTTCTTTTTTCGAGTTCGCTCGCGACCAGGGGTCACGCAGTACCAACGTGGCAATGGGGTCAACCAGTATGTCAAATTGCACTTCACGCGATTCTTCTTGGAAACCAACGCATTAATTACTACTCAATTTGCCACAATAGGCTATTTGGTCTGACGCGTAAACCATTTCATTGTTATTCTTTTAAAAAGCGTAGACGACAGGTGCGAGCCTCCAGTGCGGCTTAGCGGCCAGGACGGTTAACTCTTTATAGTCCTGGCGTACGCCGGCCCACTTAGCCGGACTATTTGCTAACAGGTAATAATTGTTCATACAAGAACATTACCACTAGGGGCTAACTGACCTGACTTTATTTTAATCTTCATCCATTTTAAAAAATAAGTTTATTATTATTTACCACTAGATCACAACTTTATTATTACTATTAGGATTAATATGGAATCTATCACTTCTAGGTAGGTTATCCACCTCACCGGTGTCAGCAGACATGGATTTTTATGAAGGTGACATGTTTAGGTAACAAAATTATTCACATTTGCGTAGTGTTTTACCAATTCTGAACTTTGAAAACTTTTGTGTCATGCTCTTTTAACTGTTGGTATAGTAAGTTTTTGAAAATAGTAACCATATGCAACTTCGTGCTTGGCTCTCACTACTCGCTTGGCCCGTGGGAGACCGGACACTCTTCAAAGCATTCGTGGGTTGTGGATAGTGTAGCTGGAAAACTAAGGCTGACGATATTCAGCAGGTCAATCATTAGGTTGGTGGAATGCGCCTAACATTCCTATAAACTCCGATGTGCTCCGTTAATCGCATTCTGACAGCCTAACGACTGATCGACAGTATGTCAACGGCCCAAGAACAAGCATTTTGTTAATCCATTGCGGCCCCACGTACTATGTACGTAGTTAACGAATGTAACGATTTCTTATTTTATGTTACTAAATGTGTTGATACATTTCTTATTCTCAGAAAAGTTAATTTAACAGCAGTGCTTAATTAGATTTATAATAATACCAAATTGTGTTACGTATTATAATTTATCAATCTATCTAATAGCACTGTTCTTGAAACCTCTATTACTGATCAAATTCATTGCTATGTTTTTATATTATTATATTATAGTACTAGTACTTTTATTATAGTACAGATATTGTTAAACTTTAATTAAATTTGACATTTTATAGAAAGTTACACATATAATATAGTAATGTATGTGATCCAAGTCTAGAGTTGACATTACATGAAATAAAATAATCTTTTATATGTAACATCGAAAAGAATATTATGCAGGCATATCATACAATAGCAGATCATATTGTGACTTACATGTAATATTATTTAGAGTAGAACATCGGTGACACTTGAAATATCTAGTTCATTTATTACTGTATTTTTAACAGTTTTTTTGCTAAAACATCATAAGTATATATTTAATTTATGATATGTTGAAAAAAAATTAGAAATGTCAATTAATATTTGTAAAATAGACTTTTTTTTGTATCCAGTACATACTGTTACAAATTCAAAGAAAGTTTTCTTGCCTTTTAATCCTACTCCGTAAGCTGATTGAAATATATAAAGTTAGTAATTACTTCGTAATTACTTATGTAGTTATGGTTCTGTTTTGTTGCGTGTGTTGTAGTAAAATATATAATACAAATTTGCAGTAATGGTACTTAAAATAATTATCATTGTATAATTTACTCTCTTTCTGTCTACAAACTACTGCTATAAGTAGAAACAACCACAGATATAAGTAATATTGCAATCACATGTGCTTAATTTGTCATACTTTGACTTTTATTAGGCTCTATATTATCTGAATATCCATTCTGTGTATTTATATCGTTAATTTTGGAAAAACTTTGAAGGTTAATAAACAGAACAGCGCATGCTATTTTAGCGCAAGTTAACGTTTGATACGTATAAATAAATAGCTTTTGTAACAATTAAGCTCATGCAACATTAATTGCGTCATGGTATTAAAAAATTCAGGTAAGAAAATGTAATTTACTGTAATGTTTGCATATAAATTATGGTACTTGCGTCATCTGTCACTGTGTATGTTCGTATTATTAAAATAATTTCTTCTTTTTATACACATTTTTTTTTAAATAAATCTTCGTCTGGTTTCTTTCTCGAAAATAATCTATGGCAAACCCCACAAAAGAAACATCAAGCGATTAGATTTTTTTCTTAATGAAAAAATATTACTATATAATACGGAGTTAACTCTGAATGCATTTCTATAATTTACTGTTTAATTTCTTTACGATACAGCTATGCCCAGTATTAATGAATTTTACTTTCAATACTTAAGCATAGAAAACTATTCTACATAAATGAAATTTGTATCGCCATCTCAGAACTTGGTATGATTGACACTTTTCGGTAAAATAACACTCGATGTTGTTAACATCTATAATGCATTAGAGCATATATGAGCGAAGTCTGTGTAAGAAGTTGTTAAATTTGCATTTTGTCAAGTTCTATGCACTCTTTCAATGTGTCATAGACGATGTTTTTTATCTATATGAGAGTTTTACCGGTGACCTATATAACTACTTGTAGAGTACACTCTATAATAATCAGGATGGTGGATATTATTGTTTTATTTTATTATTTATTAGACTTGTAACAGCTCTCACTACAAATAATTTTTAGCGAGGCCAATTTAGTTCAAATCACCTCTAAATATATATACAGTGTAATTTTATGAGAATAGGATTGGAATAGATTGCGGAGAACTTGACTAGCAAATATGATTTTATAAAAACATGGAAATGTAAAAGTTTTCTTGATATTGTCTTATATTTTGTTGTCTTGTGTGTGACCCAAGTGAATTGTGTCACTTGTACAGTTTGTAATTATAACAACTTTTATTATTACTTACGACTTAGCATTCATTTACTTCTAAATGAACAATAACAATAAACAGATTACATTTCTATGTCTAAATACATATACAGTTTAAGGGAAATTACAGAAAAATTATATTCTGACTATTAAGTCATTAAAATTAAAACGTTCATTAGAACGTTTTTATAATTTTTTGTCTCCATACCTATGGTATGCGTGGAAAAATATTAAATCAGTACAATTTTGCATTTAAACCATAGGAATAAATTAAGTTATTTTTATTATTCTCTTATAAGCACTGGCAATGTAAGTTTGAAAAAAACTCTAAACAAATATTTCTACTGTATATTGTTTTAAAAGATTTTTGTTATTTTCCTGAAACTGTATTCTGATTATAAATACAATGTTTGGACGGTAAATTATTTTGATCAATAAGAACAATTATTTATTCTATTATATATTCAGGTTGAATATTTTTTACTATCGAAATTAATAATGAATATGAGTTACTGTTATTATATTTACCTGTACGTTGCTTTATCGAAAAGGATTATTCATGTAAATATTCTGTTGGTATTTTATTGTCTCAAATAAGTTCTACTCCTTAGAATTCATATGATTGACATGAATTCTAACGCGCAAACGGAGTTTGAGATAATAGTATGAAAAATCGATATTTCAAGTTGAGTTAAAATGTTTTCAATCAATTTTCGCTATCGGATTTATCTGTAAATAATTTTACTGTCATATTTTATTTTACTCACAGCTTTTTAAGCCATAATATGCCTTTAGACTTGTTTTAGTTTATAAGGTATGTTATTAACTCTTCATCTTTTGCACAAATAATCAACTTGTTTAATTGGTAATTTAGACTTTTGGTGAAATTGTTATTTTTTAATCAAAATATATTCTTCAGAGAAACTTATTTTTTTAAAATTAATACACGGCGACATGTAAGCCTTATGACCATTGTCATTATATACTAGGACAAATTGAACTACAGAAGTTTTGGTTGCATTCATCACATACGAAGTCAAGTATTTCGTAAATGTGTGTAATTTATATGTACTTGTATCTTTACATTTAAAACAAAAATGTTTTAAAGTGAATTTACTGTTTCCACCGTAAAAATATTGAAATTATGAGATACTGATTTACTGATGTTTGTATTTGTGTACCAAATGTACAACAATACAAAATAATATATTGTTTCACCTTTTTGAAGTATACATAGTTTCACCAAAGGTCAATAATGTGCTATTATTATTCTTTCAGTATGAATAGTCCTTTTTGAGAATACCTGTGTCTTAAGTTTACTGAGACATATTATAACTAATTTGTATTACAGTAAATGTTGTACAAGTTGATACCGATTTTTGTAATATATTTTATTATTATATATATATTTATATGTCCATTTTTACAATGAGTCGTAGTCATATTATAGTGACGTACAGGAAGATAAAACGTAAACAATTAAGCGTTCGTACCACAACCTAATTTGTGGTCAATGGTGTACAATGTGGTATTTTCTATCAATGAAACTTTGCATATTTTAATAAAGTCGTGTTTTTTTAGGAATTATAATGATATAGTGGTATTCTGTAGAATTTTTAAAGGGATTCAAGAATGTAGTGTATTGACTTCACCATATTGTCCATACTAACAAGAAGCACAATCTATTTTCTTGTTGTAGGGCCAGCACCCGAATATAGTGACCGTGAGAGAGATAGTAGTCGGCTCTAACATGGACAAGATATTTATTGTAATGGACTATGTAGAGCATGACCTCAAGAGTTTGATGGAGACTATGAGAGGGAAAAAGCAGGTGTTTCTACCAGGTTTGTTTTTAGATATTTTAAATTACAACAATGAAACTGTTTTTACGGTTAAATGCTTGCTTGTATTGTAATATTTTCAATTTTCGAACATTATTCCGCATTACTTTCCTTCAGAACATTGATAATATGATCATTGTCCCTGTTGTACAATGAAATTAGGTTGTTAAAACGATTATAAAATAATTTTGTTAATAACCAACATTTTTTGTGTATTTTATTGCAATTACAAAAGTCTGTGAAGTCATTACTCAGTATGTATGTAATCTCTGGATATCCGGCTCTAGATATAAGTTTCAATATTTGTGTAATAAACGTCTTATTTTTTTTATTACAGGAGAAGTTAAATGTTTAATGACGCAGTTGCTCAAAGCGGTTCATCATCTTCACGACAATTGGATATTACACAGGGATCTCAAAACTAGCAATTTACTACTATCGCACAAAGGAGTATTGAAGGTAATTTATTCTGCTGAAGACGTAAACTCTGTTAATGTGTAAATTTATCTAATAAAATAAATACAACTAACTATATCATGAATAAGATAAACTAAACGAAAATACCCGTATATACCATAAACTTTTCAAATATGGCTCCCAAAGCCGCGGATGTTTTTAGACAATATATATTTATAATAAATGTCATTAATATATTTTGCAAGTTATTTAATCTGAATTGTAGTAAATTTCTTTTGTCTTTTGTGTGACAGGTGGGTGACTTCGGTTTGGCCCGTGAATATGGCTCTCCGCTAAGACAATACACACCAATAGTAGTGACGCTGTGGTACCGTGCACCGGAGTTATTACTCTGTTGCAAGGAGTACTCGACACACATTGACATGTGGAGTGTCGGTTGTATTTTTGGTGAATTTATCTCGATGAATCCTCTGTTTCCAGGGAAATCGGAAATAGATCAATTGAATCGTATTTTTAAGGTAAATTTTATTGTTGACAATTTATTTAATTTCCATATAGCATAAATATTTTCATCAGTCATTGTATTTTCTTTCGGCTCGCTATTAAAGTCGTCTACGACTGAAACAAACAAATATACAGGGAGCTAGTTGTTTAGGAGACGTAAATATTGTGTATCACAGCCCATAGAAAATAGTCAGTCAGTTAAAGATTTCGGTATAGTGACGGTAATGTTGAAATTATAATTGAATAATAATTTTATGTTGTTGCAGGACTTGGGAACTCCATCAGAGAGTTTATGGCCCGGTTATAATGAATTACCTGCTGTCCAAAAGATGACGTTTGCTGAACATCCTCCCGGTGGAGTACGTAACCGTATTGGACAAGATCTCTTGTCTGAAGCCGGAATGTCGTTACTACAAAGTTTTCTCACTTATAATCCTACCAAGCGGATAACAGCGGACTCGGCGCTGGAGCATGCATACTTCAAGGTGAATATTTTTTAAACCAAGCAATTTGTAATCCTTACTAAAGTGAAGTTGAATACATATGTAACTAAGAATGAGATACATATGAACTGTTTTGAGTCTATTCCAATTTGATCAGATTATGATCAGATATGGTTGTAGAATTACTAGATACAGAGGCGTTATATTAGTATTACAGTCTTTATTTGTTGACTTATGAGTCATTGCTGGTCATATTTATGGAAGATATTGCGATTGTATGTAGGTTGTTTTTTAAGTTCTACTCCTCGATATTGTACATGTAGATTATTCATTTCATTCATGCTGAAGGCCTCGGTGGTCTAGCGCTTTAGCACATCGCATTACTTCCAATAGCACGGGTTCGATTCCTCGCACTGTGAACTGTTAGTTATTTTATTTTTGGTTATGAGAATTATAACTGTAATTGGTATGACATTGAATTATTTAGATACTGATCTCCGATCGAGTCCAGTCACCTACTTATATTATATCATATATTTTATTTTAAATTTGTTGAAGAATAATTGAATATCTATTCATTTTCAGGAGCATCCGGTAGCAATAGAGCCGGCCATGTTCCCCACATGGCCCGCCAAGTCAGAGGGTAATCGCCGCACCACACACAGCCCGAAGCCGCCGGCGGGTGGAGCTGCCTATGCGCAGTATTCGCGCGCAGACTCCGACGAAGCTCTTGGTTTCCACGTACAACAACGTTCCGTAAACGTTGCTCCGGGATTCTCTCTTAAATTTTAGTAGTGAAGCCACTTTTACATTACGACGGTAGAATGAAACTAGTTTCAGAATTTTTTTTGTGTCATGAATCGGCTATTTTTAAATCTATGTAGTTAAATTAAAGGACCAAAATAAGCAGAAGCATTTACCTTGAAATTTATCACGTATACACGATGAGGTTACACTTTATTAAAATATCATAATATCATCGTGAAAACGGGAGGGGACAACTGTGATGCTAACAATTCAGCTATATTCATGAGTCTCGTTCGCACATTCTAATAAACTAGCTTCGTAAAAATAGTTGAAATAATGTGAATTAGGTTTTACTGTAACCAGCTCAGTGACTCGAAACCAATCTAATCGGAATCAAATCAATTATATATAATTGTAATCTTTAATGCTGTCGTAACTAAAAAAATAAAAAACATTCGATAATACTCTGACGATGCAAATAGCATCAAATTTCTACTGTATGCGATTTCGATTTGTTCTTAATTTGATTCTGTCAAAGAATGCCTAGAGTTATATTTGTCATAAATGTATTTGAGCCTCTATCATAAAAGATATTTTTTCATAAATTCATTTTGGACTGTACCATGAAATCGATAATGTGGAGGTATTTGTATGTCTTGTAGACAATTCTAGTTGTAATTCTCAAATTGTACTGATGTGTTTCACTATAATGAATATTATGTATACCATAGACATGAAACTCGTGATTTTAAAATTCTTTTCTTATAATAAAAAAATGTAGTAAAATGTAATTCTTACATGTACTTATGACTGTTATAATTATTCCTTTAATTTCACTAAACTTATTCATTTTCATGATAAATTCATTATCACCAATTGATTATGTAAATACGAAGGTATATTTTTTTATTACGTCTATATGTACAAATAATTCCATAATTTTTCTATTAGAAACATATTAATTAATGACTGTATATTAAAATTGTCACTAACTGTAATTCATATGTAAGTACTTATTATATTATTGTGAATATCAAATTGTATGTAGTTAAATGATACATTTTGCCGATATCGATGGTCAGTTCAATTTACTTAAAAAATAGTTGTATAGAACATATTCATGTTATAATTCATTACTGAATAGCTACTGTAAATATAATTACGTTGTTTAAACTATTAGCATAAAACTTCACAAGAAGTGTAATTAATTAGTCATAGACTAGCATTAGATAGGTTTAAAGTAAGTCCGGTACAATAATAAAATTATATTATGTTTTGACAAATATGACCTTTATTATTATTAGAAATCAGTAATTTCTATACATACGAAATTAATATGAAAAAGGTGTGATTATTAACTTTGAAACATAAATATGAATAGTTTTCTTCGGTACATTGAAGTGGTTGTTCATATTAGCGACCTGCGTCGTTCATGTCTCTGGGTAGAGCTAGTATGGAATTAATGAGGTCTGCATTGCGTTTCCATGTGCGATACTTCGTATTTATGGACGGGTTTGTTTCTGCAAATAGCCTCGCTCCGATATCTTCCCGGTATGCATCGATCATAGAGCGGATGTGATGAATATACTGAAAAAATAAAGGAATACTTTATTACATGGTCGAAGAAGACCCAGCGTGCCGTTGCAACGCTTATCAACTAGTAACAGAACAGTCGTTTTTAAACGAACTCGAAACTCGCCTTTACGTACGTAGACGAAATGTGTTTATAAATAAAACTATAATAATATGTACTAACACTGTCTTAATAATTAAATAATTCGATTCTCACGATGTATTATGAGAATCGTATGAAATTATTTATAACGTCTTATTCTTGTTTATGGATTATAGGAATATAGTCGAAAATCTAAAATTCGGAGCATTATCATGATACAATGAATAAGTAAAATTATGATTGTTCATGACTGTTATTTAAATTTGATTTAGCTAAGTTTTCTAATTAGTGAAACTAGTATCTAAGTACTAGACTACATACATATTAGTTATAGTTGTTTAAAATGTTAGTCGAATACCTAGATGTACTTATGGACGCAGATTGCGGTGCATGGGTCAAGCAATTCTGGTTACGTTTAACCTACATAGGTATATCGCAAAAAATATTAACTTATCTGTGGCAAAAGGGACTAGTCGCGCAATTTCTGATATTTTACTATGTTACGCCAATCTCCATGAGTAGTATAGTATATTATCTATGATGATCGTTGCCAAAGTATAACGTGTGGTCTTGAGTAGTATATTCTTTGAACGAGTGGAAATCGACGTCATTGGTACATTTTACGAGTGAATTCGTTTCATGTGTTAACTGTATTCTCACTATCATCACCTACTTACTTTTACCACAAGTATCATAGAGTGATGCGTGACGGCGGCATTGCTTAAATTTATCTATTACTATAGGTATAAGGGATTAGTCGTAATGCGTACAAATTCAACTGAATTGAAATAACTAATGAAACCGAACAAGTTTAGCCAAGAACTTTAACGAAAATATCTGTTTTGATCTTTTAAACTGTATAGGTTTGAACTCTGCTTCGCTTTGAAATCTTTATTCAAATAAATTTAATATAAGCAGTATTAAACTTATTTGAATAAAGATTATTTCTATTTCTATGCGAATTGTGGTCCACATTGATTGTATTGTAATTTGTTGTTTTTTTTTTTATTTTATTGTATATTGTTGTATGTGTTAAGTGAGTCAATAAATTCTATTCTATAATGAAGAACGAGTATAAAGAGTATTGAAGAGTGATAAATAATACATACATATTCCGTAGATACATATATATATATCCATAGTTTGCTAGTGGGTCATTAATATAAGACATAATGATATCGGTTAATAATTTACCAAGTATATAATCACAGACATATTTACCTCATTCTCAAGATAATCTTCTACATATTGTCCAAAATTGATGGCTTTGAACTCGTGGACTGATACTTGGCACACGAACACTATCAAGACCAGGACCGTGGTAGCATACCGCACCATCGTTCTGTAAAAAATATGATATACGAGATTAATAATGTTGTCGCCGCTTCTACATTTTGCAACCGAAGTATTTAGTAAGTGCCTCATCACGCCTCATTTATGATTTTATAGTAACTCGTACAAAAAATTAGGCGAAATATACTACTCACCACAGGAAAACGAACAGTTAGCCCAACATAATACAAAATAATGTATAGTCTCTATTCGGTTAACGTTCTTTTATACTTGATAGGTATCATTATTAAAAGATACCATAGGCAGTGAGCTTTCCTTATCACGCTACTTTCATGTTCATGGTTCATAGGTATGGTTATATTACATAATTATTTATCGTTTACCAATTAATATGTAGGCAAACACTGCACCTATCTTTAGCTAGCTTTATATTTACGGTATATTGACACTACTTATAGGTAGGTATATATATAAATATGGTCAAAAAGGCTCTTTAAAGGCCAGCAAGAAAGTATTTGACAAGTAAATCTATGAATATCAAGAAAAATAAATATATGGAATGAGACAAAAATTAAAAAGACTAGGTCACAAGAATAAAGCTTTTTCCCAAGAAACCTAGATTATTTTAATTTTGTATTTTTAGAAAAATACTATAAATGATAAATTTTATTATAAAAATGTTACAGGTGATTAGAATAGGTAAATATTTAGCTATTTATTAACTGTACCTTGGAGTTAAACTTTTAAAAAGCAAAGGCAAACCCTTTTCTTATAAAAACAACTGAATAAACAAAATCGGTTCAGTTCAAGAAAATGTCAGATATACAACAAACACAACTGTACTAAAAACCTGTTCTTTTTGAATGGATAGCTAGCAATAGAAATAATTAAACAATAATATCAACTTTAACACATTCCAATAATTAAATAGGGACCTACCTTTTTTCAATATGGTTTTTTTTATAATCACAAAATATTTAGCATCGGTAGTAATTGTTCATGTCAACACAGATTAATTCTTAAGAAATTTAATTTATATTTTTAATGTACGTATATCTGCTTTGAAGTGTGATACCTGAAACAATGTCTATACGGAAATGTAGAGCGGAACTTGTCCACCATGGTAAAATATAGGGAGGTGGGGGAAGTTAAGTAGGACTTTCCAGGGTTGGGGGTGATATCATACCTACTACGGCTGTTTTCCTCGATAAGAGTGCATTCGCGCGGAAAACGCTCAGCGGCCCACAGAGACAGCTGCCGATGGCGGGCTACAGGGCTGGCCTACACGACGATGTCGTACTTGACATCTTGTGACTTACGTCATGTTTTTATATTGTATTTAATTTTCTAGGTATGCTTTTATGTGTTTACTTTATTTTATTGGTTTTACCGACTTCGTAACGAAGGTTGGAAGGCCTTATATATAAAAAAACCCTATGCAATTACGATTTTCATATTCAAACAATATTTCTATACATAAAGTACTGATAGAGTCTAAAATTGTTACTTTTCGTTTTTACTATGTAACAGGTCCTTGTCTTAAACTAGGATGCAAAGTATTACTACGAGGCAGAACTTAGAAAATAACCTTCATTTAATTTCAGCTTCCATTTAGTCAATACACAAATTTCGGAAAGTTATCGGCGTGGGGGGCGCTGCAACGCGTTTCCTTGAACCACACGGCGTGAATAACTTTGTATATACTGAAAAATAGTCATATAAGGTATATTATTGGAATATATATCTTCCACGGGATATACCCGGCGGGCTCTTCATTTAGGTATTTATTTATTTATACCGTATACGTGACTCGATTAGAAGGAGATTATGATACAGATCATGGATATTGGAAGATACGACAATATCATAGAATATGGCACTTGTTGTATTTATGATACAGTATTAATTAGTAAATATTACTTAATTACAATATCTATACCTACTTAGATTTGAATAATAAGACAAACAAGGACGAAGTAATACACTTTACGTATTTTTGTTACATGTATTTACTTTTATTTAAATATAAGATATCGTTACATGAACGTAAAATAAGAGATTCTTCTATATAATATGTTGGCAATTCCAATATTAAATATAGATGGGTACTATAGGTAACTGAAATCATTGAAAAATGTTGCAATTTCCAATTTAAGTACGACGTGGCCAAGAATGGTTCTGTATCCAAGACTTAAACAATGTCAGTTGTTGTTCCACCGCCGACTTCGCAGTACCACCTGTGCTGGTGTATTGCTCCACGCTGGTCTCCCAAGAGAACACTGTTTGGAGATCGTCTTCCGTTCCGAAATCTGGACTGAATAAACATAAAATTATATTAGAGAAAGATTTTAAACGAAGTAGTATGAAAGTTAACGGATTTATAGTTTCCACTTTAATGAGTATACCTACGTAGATCTATCGGCACTGTATATCTATTCGTGTTATCTATATACAAATGAATAAATTGAAGTGTCTATTACCAGCTTTTCATGAAATGCATATCAAAGTACAAGATATAGTAATTTGATATAACTTATCAATCAATATAAAGATATATGTTTTTTTTTATTTATTTATAATAATTAAAATAATCTGTTTTCTATCTGTCTGTCTGTACCTATGTTTATTTTTGCTAATCTCTGAAGTAAGTAGCTTAGGCTAGTTTTATTTTAGAAAAAAAAATAAAAAATATAACTTATCAATCAATATAAAGATATATGTTTTTTTTTATTTATTTATAATAATTAAAAAAATCTGTTTTCTATCTGTCTGTCTGTACCTATGTTTATTTTTGCTAATCTCTGAAGTAAGTAGCTTAGGCTAGTTTTATTTTAGAAAAAAAAATAATTTTAATAAAAAGTCCACTTAAATTCCCCGTGAACGATGCCATAGCTAATAATAGATAACATAGTTTTTGATAGTTTTAAATTTTTTTTATATTGAAGAATTTGAATTTTATTAATTCAGTTGGATTCATTACTATAAATATAAATTATAAACAATGGGTTTAATACCAGATAGCTGCATATTCGTGATGAGGCAATTGTTGTAAGTTAACACCTAGGGTGGTGGCGCGACGCAAGGCCACTCCGACGTAGTTGTGAGCACGCCGAAATGGCACCCCGCGGCGAACTAGCAAATGAGCGAGGTCTGTAGCCAGCATTCCTGGTTCCAATGACAGCAACGCTCTTTCAGAATTCACCTGTATATTTTTAATAATATAACTCCTTCGTAACATAAAACTGTAATTGTCACCCCAAGTTTTAACATGAAAGTCATTATTTTTGTAAAATTAGGGCATTCGTTAAATGAAGTAGAAGCACTATACGCAGTCAAACTAGAATTACAGTATATACCTACTATGCGTTTTGAATAATTCTCTGAAAATACAATCAAAAGTTCCACTTTACACTTTACTGAACTGTGCTGATCACACGGAGTTGGACTATAGGGGTAAGGACGAATAGATACATTCTGCGGTTTTAAATCATTGCATATTGAAAATACTTACTTCCATTGTAGCTATTGTTCCAGCCGTCACTTTAAGACAATCAAGTAATTTATCGTAAGATCTAAATAGTATTTCCTTATCCGCTTGCAAATCTTTATTGTAGGTACTTGGTAATCCTTTCAGCACACAATTAATTGCGACACTGTCCCCTAATAATAACCCAGCGGTACCTCGGACTAGTTCTAAGCCGTCGGGATTGCGTTTTTGAGGCATCAAACTGGAGCCGGTGGAAAATTGATCCGAGAAAGAAACAATTCCAAATTCTCGGGAACCGTAGATAATTAAGTCTTCTGCTAGTCTACTGAGGTGTGATCCGCATAGTGATGACCAATTTAGAAATTCCACTGTGAAAAAGTATTTTTACTGTTATTTATACCAATCTTGAAACTTCAACTATGAGATATTAGGTAAGTATCAAATATTATATTAAATATATTTCATTTAGAAAAAGAATATGTAAGCATTTTAAAATGTTAAACACACAAAATATTATAAAAAATATTACACAGCAAAATTTCAATCAATAGGTACTAATTTTTATTTCATCTATATTAATATTATTATATTACTAGTTGTGCCCGCAATAAATACAGACAAAAGTTTGTAAATAAAATCATCGGTTCTATGTTTAATATATAATTTGTTTTTAATAAAAGTTAAGTAAACACACTAATAAACTACACAGAAGTTATAACATAAAGGAACTTTAGTTCCTTTATGTTATAACTTTTAAAGAGACTTTTAAAGATGTACAAACCTATATAATCCCTAGATCCGACAGCAAACATTGAATTTGCAGTTACATCATCAAACCCCAGTTGTTTAGCCAGTTCATTCCTATCAATTGAAAGAGCACATCCCGCAATAGCCCCACTTCCCAATGGACACCGAGACAAACGTGTTCTTTGTTCCTCCAGTCGCATCACATCATCTCGGAACAGCCACAAATAACTAATAACATTAAAAAGTATTATTAAAAGGATTTAATTTTATTGACACAACTGTTTATCTAGGTATTATTACATACTAGCTGTCCCCCAGCCTTCGTTTACATATATCGCAAGTATCTAAGAGACTATTCCAGTTCATCATAAATGGTATCATTATTGTTTTTAGAGGATCCTCATTTAAATAGACAGACAATTATAAAAAATCGTTTTGGGCTATATGTAATAAACTAACGTTACCTCATAAAGTATTTTAAGTACCTAGGTACAATGTGTTTCTGAAGTTTGTTCTGTCGATAGAAACGACAAACAAATGTTAGAGTTTTCTGTAAAGTTATGGTAAGCCGTCCACATTCACTAAGATGCTGGTGGGAATGTGATAATATGTTTTAGCAATGTATAGTAAATTGGTTACCTGGTCGTGAAATTCTTATGAGATATAAAAAAAACGTGCATTAGTTTCATAAACACCATCACTGGTTTACAATACAGTACATGATATGGAAAAAGCAGTTATGTTGTACATGATCATACTATAAGAAATATTTAGATACTTGTGTCCAATATCTGACCTTAATAAAAAGTGACTCCAACGCACTGGTTGCGCTCGCTGAAGGTGAGTATACCCAGGGATGATAATGTTTATTTCATTTTCTGCTCTATTTACCAACACCTAAAGTAATAATTCATCGTAAAATTGTAGATCTAGGCTAATCTAGATATTTAGTTATATAATATTTGATTGGATTTTATAAAATGATTTTTGTTAGGTGCCAGATAAGTCGATATACTCAAGATAGGTAAATAACGACTACAGAAGACTTTTGAGTGAATAAAAACATCGATAAAATAGTTTTTATCTTAAGTTGGAAAGTACGTAAAGAAAAGTATAAAATTTGGATCTAATACTACCATTAACACACACCACTATTAAAACTGATAAAAAAAAATCAATAAAAATTGATATATTTATTGTTGATTATTTGCTACGGTCGAGTAGTATGTATAGCGTTTTACCGCGCCAGCGTGCGATAACGCTATAGATACATAGATTATGTGATGATCTTCACTATTATATATATATATATATACACATACGATACCTTAATTAACTCTTTTAAGGTAATATATAGCTTTTCCAAGGAATTCAACATCCACAACCGAACGTCTGTTGCCGATTGGTCGTTGCGGCTGCGGGCGGTGTGTAAACGCAGTGCAGAGTCACCAGCGTGATTATACAGTCGCCTTTCCACCACAGAGTGTATATCTTCTTCACTATCATTTAACTTACCATTTTTAATTAATTCTTCTTCTATTTCTTTTTCAACCTAAACATGTCAAGAAAATTACGTTATTTTATGTTTCTAGAATAGCACACAAGCTGATGTCAATTTGATGGTAAATGGCAACAGTTGCCTTAAATGTGATCAGCTCCAGGAACATATATATGCGTTATCGTTCTGGAAGATTAAGATGTCATATCTTCGTAGTCTGTAATTTTGTTAACAGCACACTGTATGCGGTTATTACCGAAACTCATACCGTGTTTACTATAAAATATTATTTAAAATGTAAGGTTATTAAGGAAGGCCTTAGTTACTAAGCACTAAGTTCTAGCTGCCTACCCTTTCAGTGATTTCGTGTGAAGATATAGGCAAATTTACGCTATATTCAATCTTCCTTGTTTATTTACCATATTATTAGAATTAAAGAACTTATTTAAACCCATAAAAACATCACAATAGTATGGATCGTAAACAAGTACATTTGTTTATAGAAAAACTGTGTTGCAATTAGTTGCATTTTATGACAGAGAATCGGTCTCTCTCCGTATTAGCCATCTATGTTCACAACTAAATCTATAATAATATACATAGATTTTATATAAGCAAAGTTCAGATTTTTATTTACCAGCAACGTATTTAGAAATTATAGGTATTTAATAAAAATAAAGTTCCATTTTATGATAATTGAGCCAAGACGTTGTGACTAACAAATTGAGTAGTTAGTATGTAATCATAACAATTACTTTACGCAAACCATATTCTATGGCATTGTAGTCGTCGTCAGAAAGATGCCCACTGCGATGAAGCTCGTGAGCCCACCCTTGACTACCACGTATATCCTCTCGAAACAGGCGGCAGTCGATAGGTAAAGAATCATTCAACCGACGCAGCACTGACGACGGCTCCTCTTCGAAACACCCACCCCATAGTTGATATCTTTCCTAGAATAGGATTAATCTGTAATCCCTCTAATATAATATACCAGTAATCTTGGCAACTTATCAATATTGGCAACTACATAGGTAGATACTACTACTCAAACTATATAGGTACATACTAAACCAAACATTCAAATGTTATAAATACGAAAGTATATTTTATATCACCAATTGTATCAAATTATATCACGAAGACTGACATAGGGCTATATGTATCATCATCAGCTATTATAAAAAAAAACACGAAGTCGCCAATTTACGTTAACACTCTCCTCCTAACAATATTTAAAGGACTTACTGAGGTTTTCTATTTGGGTTTCCATTATGACTATCTATAGATAACATAAAATAATAATACTGATACATAGAGTATGTTTTTGGTACAATCACGGTTATGTACTTAAAGTATAGTACATGTTTAAATAATAACTAACTATAATTTATTAACTACATATACTTACTGAAGACATGAATGATGTTTTATCTGTGTAATGGTAAATAAGACACTGAAACTAACACAATATACGACTTATGATAACGAAATATTAATGCGTATTATGAATTGAGAGCATAGTTTCTGCTTATTTGACTAACATATCTGGAGACAGGTCATCAAAGGTTACAACAATACACTGGGATTATGAAAGGTGGATAAGAGTTTATTAAATAATTTAGACACCCAACTTGACATAATTATATTTACAGAATGCTGGCTTCGACACAACCCTTCTATTCCTAATCTACCTGGCTTCTCCTATTATTCAACTACTAACCCCTCAAACCAAAATGATGGTGTAATTATTTACATTAATGATTCTCTCGGTGTAATCATTTCAGAACCTGATATGATTATTGACGCATCATGCTTGATGATCAAAATTAATACAGAAACTGCTATACTGGCTATATATAGATCTTATGCTTTTCGTGACGGTCAAAACTTTATTCAATCCTTACACAATATTCTAGATACGCTCAGCAGTTTCAAAAATGTCATTATAATGGGTGATATAAACATCGACATCACTCCACTAACCTTAAACCAAGAGGCAGAACAATATCTAAATACGTTGGCACATCATGGACTGCTACCTGCACACTATTCCCACTCGTAATTATTCCTGCCTGGACCACGTGATCATGAAAACCTCGTACAATGCTCAAGCTCTTGTCATTAACTCTTCAGTTACTGACCACGATGCTGTATTACTTGTCATTAATTAGTAGGTATATCAGAGACAATAAAAAATACTCTACTAAACTCTACTGACCCCAACACTGCAACCAATCGCTTTATTAAAATACTGCAAGCAGCCATTTCATCTCACACTATAATTATCACCCTGACCCGACGTAAAAAAACTCTTAAGCCATGGATATCGCAAGGACTTCTAAGATTCATCAAAAATAGAGACAAAATGAACAAGAAACTAAAAAAAGATCCTAACAATGATACTCTTCGAATTACATAGGTATAAGAGATATCGTAACTTCTGTAACTCTATAATAAAAAAGGCTAAAATAAATTATGAGCGGGAATTGATCTGTAAAGCTGGTAACAACTAAAAAACATTATGGAACGCCATTAAAGAAGTAACGGATTCAAAAAATACATCTTCCTCTTGTCGACCTCTCTTACATTGCAAGTCCACCCCTAAGGAATCTGTTAATCACGTGAACTCATATTTTGCAAGTATGGGAAAGACACTGGCTGAAAATATTGTGGCTCAAAACTCGTACTCCTCCTCTTCAAACCCACTAACACCATCTGAGACCTACACTCGACTCCCATGTCATTCTTTTGCCCTTTTCCACACTAATGATAAGGAGATAGATAATATCATAAGTTCTCTGCGAGGTGAGTGTGCGGTAGGCTGGGATAACATCTCAATTTCTTTCCTGAAACAGAACAAACAGTCTCTTATCCCGTCAATTACCCACATTTCTAATATAAGTATGTCCACTGGCATATTTCCCTCAGCATTTAAGAGAGCTATAATTCGCCCTATCTACAAAGCTGGAGAGCGGGACCAACCTAGCAATTATTGACAAATTGCAATATTACCTGCCCTATCTAAGATCCTTGAAAAGATGGTCAATAAGCGACTAACGGACTTCATTAAAAAGAACAATGTCCTATCACCTGGACAGTACGGTTTTAATGCTGGTAGGTTGACGGTAGACGCAGTTCATGAGCTTACCGATCACGTGGTGCGGCTCCTGGATAGGGGTAGGAAATGTTTATGCATCTTCCTCGACCTCGCACGTGCATTTGACACAATTTCAATACCAATCTTATTAAAAAAGCTGGAAATAATGGGAGTACGTGGTACCCCATTATCTCTGTTCACCATGACAAAGACATGATCCATATGAAAAAGTGAACACAAAAACAGTATAATGTAATTACTAATGACTGCGTGCTCTGGCTTTCCTGCGCTAAATTACTACGTGTAAAGGCCAATGAGAAAGGTATAATTTATATATGTAAACGACAAACACTTATTTAATACAATCCTACCTGTAAAGTTTAGCAATGATAATTGTCCTGAAAGAGAGTTAAATGCAAGAACAGGTATATCAACAATTATTTATATATATATATTTATATATTTAGCTCGAGATGTGTAACTCGAGTCCAATTCGATTACTCGAGTTTTATCCGAGTAGTCAACATCTCTAAGTAGTGACAGTTTCTGATAGCATGATTGACAGTTGGGAGATACTGATACATGACATGACAGCATTGATATGACATTAGGCAACTCCGATTTGCGAATAGAAATATTTTGAGTAAAAACTTTAATGTATGTAAATAATAACTATTTACTTACACATTAAATAGAAAATAAAATAAAAAGTGCCGCTACTTATCTTAATACTGTTATAAGTGTACTTATAATTTATAAATTAATGGCTTGATTTTATACTACCTTAGAGGTTATTATTTAAATAAAATACATGATTTATAATAATGATCCAGGAAGACATTGAAACAATCCATACAGAAGAACCTAAAGAGTTGACCTTCCAACAGTACTCACTCTTTGATATTGGCATTGATCCTGGCCTGAAGGATGATGAAGGCAATGAGGTCCCAAGACCCTACACTAAAAATCAAATGAGAAAGTGGTTAAAAAAAGTTAAGTGGGAAAATCGGAAAGCTGATAAACGAGCCAGAGAAAAGGCCAGGGCTAAGGAAAGAAGAAAAGAAGCAAGGGATGCAAATTTAGATTCTGGCCCAAGTCGGAAAGCTTTAAAAAAAATGAAACTAGAGAGATCTAAGAAAAATATTGGTATTGTCATAGACCTGAGTTTCGATCATTTAATGATCGAGAAAGATAGGTATAAAGTTATAAAACAAATATTGAGATGTTATTCTATAAATAGAAGGTCAAATACACCACTTCAATTTCACATCACTAGCTTTGGAGATAAATCAAAAAATGATATAGCAAGACACAATGGTTATGAAAATTGGGATGTAAGTAAAAACTTTCATGTTTTATGTTTATTATTATGGATGTGTAAATGTTACTCTTTACCAAATTGTAAGTTTTTTAATTGTGGATATCCTATTAAGCTATAGCAAGTTGTTTGCTTTTGATAAAATATGTGATAAATTCTTAATGAATTATTTAAAAAAAATTGCAGTTTGAGTATTATGTGTGATCTATGAAGGCTAAACTGTTTCAGTTGAACACAAACATAAACTTCTATAATTCTAGTCTAAACTAAAATATTAATTAATTTACATGGACAGATGTGGAATATTCTATATTATATTGGTGAACATTAATTTTCATGATGAAGGTAAAAGCTGATAAATAAATGTGTCATGACATATCCCTGTTGAAAGATCTAGTATATTCTAATGCTAATAGGAAATAATTGAGTCTCAATATCAGTATCATGGGTGATTATGTCCTCCAGATCAAATAAAATATATAATTGGAAATATAAGTATATACTTAATATAATAAATGTTTATCAAATTAGAATTTATAAGTTTATAAATATATATACATATAATTGTTTGCATTCTGCTAGGCCCTCTGGCCAATGAATGAGTATTTAAATAGTAATTATTATGTACATAGGAAATTCCTATAATTAAAAAAATATTTTATTGTATTTTACATTATGAATATCTCTATAAATTCCTGTACCTTTGTGTTGCATATTATTTTTTGCTGAAAGTAGTGTTGCTGCTGTAAATGTAAATTAAACACAAAATATATTTACTTATAACATTTTTAATAAATACCTATTTTTTGTTGTGCATTGTTTCTTTGTATTTTTACAGGTAGAGTTTCATGAAGAATCATATCTTAATATATTTCCTAAGAGGAACATACTTTACTTAACTAGTGAATCAGAAAACATAATTGAAAGTTTTGAAGAAGATACATTTTATGTTATTGGAGGTTTGGTGGATCATAATAAGCACAAGGTTAGTTAAAACATAATAAGATTCAAATTTCTCACTGTCACAACCAAATAACTTAAATATAGTACAGTATAATTGTACTAAAATATCATTAAGTAATCTTAGAAATATCATTGTCAAATAAGTATTGCAGAGCAAATAATGGAAATACATTTTATCTCATTGTTTGAATATGAGTAAACAGTGAAATCCACATGGATTACAATGTCTGTACTAAACTAAAATGTGTATGTTACAGAAACATACATTTGATTATAATTAATAAGTATTTAAATTAATCATCTGACTGCCAGTATGCCAACTTGTTTGCTTGTATTTTACTTTTTTGCTTATATATAAACTTCCTATATAATAGCAGATAGATGATGCCAATCATATACAGTTTATAATGTATTAAATTTTTCCGTAGTATTAATAAATAAATAAATACTTAGCTTAGTGATTAACAAAGAGTAAAATAATTTTATAATACATGCTTTGGCATGTATTGTTTATAAAACACATACAATACTGTGTTGCAGGGTCTTTGTCATAGGATAGCTGTTGAACAAGGTATCAGACATGCACAACTTCCGCTAGACAAATATGTTAATATGAAGACTAGAAAAGTTTTGACTATAGATCACGGTAAGTATTGTATATTTAGTAGTTTAACTGTTACAATGCATAAATATTATGTACACATATATTTTACTTAAATAATAAAAATAGAGGTAGTATGTTTTTGGGATTTTCTCTGTCTCAATATATATATATAAAGATTTATTTGCCAATAGTATAATTAATGTAATAACTTCTGTTCTAAATAGATTGAATTTTTTCTTATAATAAATTAACATTGGGTTTGTTTCAAATCCATAAATAAAATTAATTTTATTTACAGTATTCGAGATCATACTTAAAGTATGTGAAGGTATTTCTTGGCAAGAAACTCTAATGACTGTTCTACCAGAAAGAAAAGGTGCCCATGTTTGTGACAAAAATAGAAATTCTGTACCAGAAACATAATTGTGATATGAATGAATTCTGTAACATATATAGTATTATTATTAAATTAGTTTGTTATTAAAACATGTTTCAAATTGTCATAGCTTTCGTTAGAGCACTCTGATATTTTTAAAAAGTAAACCAGATGAACTATAGGGAATTTTATTTCAAAAATATGTTTTTTAAAATGCCCCTATGCGATCGCAATCTCCTGGCAAATAAAAACTGATGGTTCTAAATACATAGTTCAAATTTCAAAAATCTTGCTCTAGTTATACTACAACTAACTAAAGACTATGGATAGAACCCACATTTTGCTAGTGGTCAATTAATACAATAATTTAGGAAAGAAACAAACTTTTAAAGTGTAATTACGAATAAAATGAAAGAAATATATCAATAAGTATTTGATACTCAAAGATGCTGTAAAATAAGTGAGCATTAATACATAATATATATGGTAACTAGTTTCAAAACTGTAAGGTTAGTGGACAGTACTCGTGTTAAAATATCACGCACCGAAATATAAAAAGAATAAAAACGTTATTTTTTATAAACATTCTTCCTATTATGAGGAGAATGATTGAATTAATAATTTTATCTAATATTGAGTAATCTATTATCTACCTAATATCATTCAGAAATAAAATTGTACTTTTGTAAGAAATTTAAAACAAGGGGAAATACTAACTCTGGGTTATTTAAATGTATATGATGAGTACCAGGTAAGAAGTGACATTCATATTTTTCATTATTTTTGGCAATAATTTCTCTCATTTCTACAGAAAACTCGTCACAAGAAAATGGAGAATCTATTGCTTTAATATATAACGTTGGACAAATCAGCTTCCTTACAAGAGTTTCAACAAACATTTTTTTTTCAGGGGTAAATAAGGTGTATTTTAGTCTAGCATCGCGCGAGAAGAAATATTTATTGGGATCTTTAGCGGATTGTTTTGCACCACGTTTCAACAATATACGGGCACTGTCCATAGACACCGATTTTCTGGTCCCAGTGTGCCACACTTTCACGATATCTTCAAAACTATAAGATGGAGGTTCGTCATTTAAACGAGTTTGTAGATAATTAATCTTGCGCACTAAGCTAGGATATCTGTCTATAAATACATTTAAATCATAGTCATCCGCCACGAGGCTGTCCAAGGCAATATAAAAATCTACATCATCAGGAAACAAACAGGAAAAACGTAGTCCAGCTATTGATCCCATTGAGTGACACAATAGTGAAAGTTTGTCCCATTTAAAATAGTCTTTTAAGAATAAAATAATACGAGGTAGCTCCCATGCGTAGTAATGTACACCTGAAATAAATAAAAAAAAAGCTTAAATTCGGGTGCAATATATACCTAAATTTACTATAGTTTATTTAAAAAAAATATATTTCAAAGTGATTGAAATATAAAATTTTCAAGTGGGGTAATAAAAAATCTTTAATCAGTATCGTATAGACTATCTATTAACTTGATTATAATTTATAAGTAGTAATGATCTCTAAAATTGGGCATATAAATATCGATATCGCGGTAAAAAGTGCAGTAAAGTAGTGCAATTAAGGCATTTTCGAAATGACATTTCAGAATGATCTGCTATATTTTATTTTGTGTTATAAACACTTATCGCTTTCTTCAAAAAACTGATAAAATTTATGAATTAAAGCCGAGACGGTTACCATGAACTGTAGTAGGTACACTAATATTTATTGCTCTATTCTGATAATGAACATGCAATCTTATATTAATGGCTATAAAGTTATAATTTTTCGCAAATGTATTATTTATACAGTAGTGCAAGCAGTTGTCGACACAAGTGATGTCAATTTATCGCGGAAGTCGGCAATGTTACGGCGATGTAACGTAGCGAAGTAACATTTCTAATTAAAACTAACTGACCCATGTAAATTCGCCTGCCTGCATCACACTTACATGACATTTTTCATTATATTTCGCCCAAATTACATAATATCTTTTTAAATTATAGCCTATGTGTTATTATCAGAATAACATATGGGCTATATTATTGTGAAGTTTCATCTAAATCCATTCTGTAGTTTTTGTATGAAAGAGTAATAAACATTCATCCATACACATAATTTCTCAGGCAGATAAGATATATATACAAAACTTCCTTATATTTCATACAAACTTACATCATGGGAAAGTTTGCTCCCTACCACGGTGCGTTCTAATATGCTAAGCAAAATGTGGCCACGGCAAGTCGTCAATTGAGAATTTCTATGACAACACGACATGAAGATATATGTATATATTTAAATTACCTGGTGGCACCCAAGACGACAGTCCGTGTCCAGGGAAATCGATGGCTAAAATAGATCTGTGTTTACTTAGTAGCGGAGCTAGAGTGTCCCAAGTGCCTGCGTTGTCTTGCCATCCATGGAGAGCAAGAATGGGTCGCTCGTTTTCATTTCCCCATAACTTTGCCGATATATGTCCCCACTGCACTGGTATCTGTATTTCCTTAGTTTGAATCTATAATAAATTCACGTAATAATAAATGAAAATGGCTATTATACCTTTTATGAAAGTAATAAAAAACCAAAGAATATTTGCAAACTTTAACTATTATTTATTTATTACACACTATATATTTTGTATACTATTCTCATTAATCAACTTATTAAATCTTTAAGTCAAAAGCCAAGTACGTACCGTTTACTTCTAAAAATCAATTTAAATCTAATCACTTCTCTGTCTGTGACCCAGTTAATTTCTTTAATTTTTTTCTATATATTGCGCAGAGTTTGAACTAATACTTAGATAATTCATAGAAAATATTATATGTAGGTATATATAATATTATAATTTCTATCCAAACCTAAGTAAGTAAATCGAAGTATATTCCTAAACGCATTCTAAATGGCTTTCTTCCGTACATCTCATGTCGTAACTAAAACTATTTTGTAAACTTTACAAAAATCTGTTAATTCAAAATTTTCAAAAATCTAGGGCTTACAATTTTATCCTACATAAATATATCTAACGTTATTTGATAAATTAGTTGAGCAATAAATAATAATAACTGTTAAACTAATGGAAAAAGTTATGCTATTTATTAATCAATGAATTACGAAAATGTACTAAAATTTTAATTAATATCTTTTTTTATTATTTATATACGTGGATATATATATATATATATATATATATACGTAGCTTAATAAATTGATATCTTCATGAAGTTTTTTTTTTATTTGACAAGAATATCAAAGGTAATTAATTAGATCTTAAGTAGTCATGAGTAGCGCGATTATTATTAAAGCCATTAACGTCTGTATGATCTACATAAAAGAATTAAAACACTATCATATAAAATTCCTACCGACCTACCTAGTTTATAAGTGAGGAGAAAAGTATATTAAGGTAGAAGAAATAAGGTAAGAAAGTTTATCTGTATTGTAATAAAGTATAGACAATTATTCGTATATTTCATATAGTCCAAAAATGCTGTCAATTTCAGGACTAAAATAGGTACTAATTATAATAATATTAAAAAAACCAGAATTCAAATAGCAGAAAAAAGTTGTTATGAATCCAATTTATTATGTACCTACATGCAATTACTATTCTAATTAATATAAATACATTAAGTAATTATAATTCTATTTTACTTTGAGTATAGAGTCATAGTTAGTTTTAGCGTCTTAATTATTTGACGTCTGGTTTAATTATTTTCCTACATATTAATTCTTAAAAATTTCATTGATAGTTCTTAATTGAAATCACTCACCTGGTTTGTATTGTGAATACATCGAGTCCATACCGGGAAGTTAACCTTGTTATAAAATAATACATTTCTATTTAATATACGCTTCGCCATATTCAATGATTATTTAGTTGCCAAACGTACTACATCTACTAATTTATAAAACGCTTGCAAACAATCAATATGACATAACGAGGTCAGTAGGTCCCTCTGATTTTTGGCTAGGTCGATAGGAACACGCATTGAATTTAAACTGCTTGGGTCACTTCCATAGTGTTATCACATATTACTCACTATTATCACTAAAAATTACGTCCGTCTACCACAGACTGACTTTTAGAAGTGAGGTTAAGTTAAAATATTCAGAATTGAATAGATTACATAAAATATAATAATATATTTTATCTATTAAATAAACTGAAAATATTACATAATTATCATTGTACAAGTACACTATTTAGATATATAAATGCAAAAGATATAGCAATCGGCTTATATTGTATATGATGAAACAGCTACGTAATACTGTACGTAATTCAAGGGCACAATGCCTATAAATACGCGTGATCCACGAATACGCGAAGAAGAAAAATGTACTTTAGACTTTTAAGTACATTATGTACTTATTCAAAAGTCTAAAGTACACATTTCAAACCAGACGTAGTGTAACTCACTGATTACATATTTGATTTGACACTGATAAACGTAGTCGCGAGTTTGTTCAACTTTTTTGACAATGGATAGGTAGGTACATAAGAATGAATACCCTACCTATTGTAGGTATATTTTTTCCTCTAAGAATTATTTATATCTAATATTCTGATATACACTATTCATGGAATTAAATGAGTACATCTACGTATTTTAAATATTAGGTATACTGTTAAATCACACGATACAAATACTATGGAAATTGGTCTTTAACTAGCAGGTATTCTCTACTATGTAGATATATAAATTGAAAGAAAACGGGGCTCTAGAGAGCTGACTCCAGTATTACTCTAAAACTGGAACTCAAAGTATTTTGTATGATCAAAATAAAAAATATAGATATTTCAAAATTTTACTTCAATTAGGTAGGTATTCGTAGGAATCGATGCAAAAAACGCAAAATTTATTTATTGTACAATGTGATCGTAAACATAACGACCTACATGTAAACCGTGATATAACCGATTTTTGTTTTATTACCTATATGAAAAAATATTTTTAATGGATTATTATTAGTAATTAATATTAATTTTTAAATTAAACGTCATTACTAGTCATTACGTCTAAAATGTAAAAATGAGAATTTATTGCATATTGATTTTTTTATGTATATTTTTTTTTATTTCTTTTTAAATTTAGGGACTATATATGTGTATATAAATATAATATTTATATATACATATAAAGGTACATATTATGCTGAAGTCATCAATAAAAAAAAGCATAATAAATCCTCTCTTACACTTAGTTATGTGGGTAGGTGCCAGTTATTAATATAATTATTGTAGTGATACCTAATAACATTTTTACCATATTATTACTAACAATCGTAAGTGTTCCTACAGAACATATGTGAATGAAGTTTTGTTATGTAGATATCTACTCTTATAAAAATTAATAGATTTCCCTTGTCGTTATGTGTTGTCCTTTTGTTGTAGCTGTTAATTTAAAGTAGGTGTAAACCATAGTTAAGGTTCGATTTATATTTTTATTAAGTAGTAGTACTGTTTCGATATAATTAATACGTGGTAAAGTAAATACAGCTATCGACTCGTTAACGTATATCTAACTACCAGCAAATATTATTAACTTTGTGACTTTGCAGTGGTATTAATTCTTATGGAGATATCATGTAATAGGTTCATTATTTCAAATGAAAAAATAAGAGTCAAACAAAATAGTTTTATTGAAATACTTTTATACAATTTAGACAAAATTGTACAGTTGGTATATTCATAGCTCAGAATATGGTATTAATTTCTTTCAAAGGATTCTACTCTTTATTCAGAAATCGCTTGTACCTACAACACTAATATGCAGAACTATTAACAAGTAGTTTTGTAGAAATATGGAGGTACATTTTTATGTATTTAAGTATTATCTTAACTAGCTACACACATACATACTAAATATATTTTATCAAGTATAAAAGTACAATTAATATTACGCATTGTACAAATGTATAAAATATAGTAATATAAAAATATCACATTGAGTATGTATTTAATATTTCACTTAACGAGTTAGAAGCTTTTCAAAGCAAATTAAATTTCAATTTGGTTTCAAATTGGTTCCATTTATTGCAGGTTTATATATAAATTTATTTATTATATATAAACAGTTATCTTACTTCCGATTTTACAATCGGTTTTCTAATGGGCAGATTAGTAGACATTATCTAAGATTCGTATTATTTATTATATGATGCATTTCTAATCATAAATACAGAAGTTAACATTTTTTTTTATATATTTATTAGGAACAGACTGTTAGAGTCACATTAACATAATTGGAAAAGACACATTATTTGTTACTAATATTAGATGTTAAACGCTCTTCATTTTGATTCCCTTAAACGAAGGATTAATGTATAAGTGTCTTTAGGTTAATGCCCCATGCACTGATTAATTATTTCATCACACTTTTCCATTGACTCCACTTTTTTATTTTTATAGAAAACAAATAACAACGAGTCATCACGATTCGGGGTCTCGTATACCTATAGTGTACAGAGTGTACACAGTACACAGTGATTGGAGATATTTGTAATTTTTGTTCACAATTAACATTATTATTATGTGTCTGTATTCAATCACAAGATAACATATTACAATCTTGTTTATATCAAGTACACCTAATCGATTCTGTAAACCTATCTTGATCATCAATACTGATATTATGTTCAGAATAATTGTTACTCTAAGAATTTTATACCAAAAAGCAATTTTTAGTTAATTTAAAGGTATATAACAAATTTTAAATTTGTATACTCAATTGAGTATAGAAAATGGTGCTTCCGAAGTGGATGTCTACTTGTTTCTATCCAAAAAATCATTGACGTTTCGTTAAATCTTCTATAAGAATGGCATACAATAAACACGATTGTATTGAGTCCGAGATAATTCAAAGACAACCCGTGTAGGGCATGTCAGGCTCGTAGAGTCCATGGCGGAGCGCGTGCAGCAGGGGCTGCGGCCCGCAGCCGCACCGGGCGGCCCAGTCGTCCAGGTCTAGCGCCCACAGCGCGGCACCGCGCAGGCCCGCACCGACAGCGGCTGCACCTGCGCTGTGAACCTCGCCCGCCCGAAGGTACGACGCCCATTGTGCACCCAGTGATGCATACGTTCCATTCTCTGTTCTCGTCTCATGCCAATTGCGATAACGAACTCCTTCACATACCTATACAAATGTTAGACAAAATGAATGAAATAATGCGGTTACTTAGTTATTATAAGATTAGTTCATTGAGTAGAATAATAAACAATGTAATCTATAGCGCTGAATATACATAACTATGTAATATTCTTATTTGTGGCACAACATACTATAATTTTGACTCTAAGTACGAAGTTTTACGGCCTCGATATTTTAGCGGTTTAGCTTTATTTTGTACAAAAACTTGTTTTCATGACTATGATTGTTTGTCCGATAATCAGTTGTCTATGTCCCCTAACACAAGCTCTGCTTAGCTTGGGACTAAGAAGCGTTGTGTGAATTGTCCTGGATTATTTTATTTTTATTAATGATTTGTAGAGCATGAGCTTTCACCCCTATTATCAGTCCACAATACAGTTTGTGATGTTGTTTCCATGTCGCTTATTATTTACGACATCTACTACTACTTACTATCAGTAAAAATATGTAAAAATGGAAAACTAACTTCGTAGTATGCCAGGAATCCTGAGATAGCGGTGTAGTCGCCAGGCTGACCGGGTCCAACGGAGGGCGCGCCCACGTCCCTTTCAGCCCCACGCAGCGTGTAGGAGCGCGAATAAGCCGGCACGCCCAGTACCAACAGACGGGCGGGTACTACACTCGACCAGTACGATAATGTGTAGTTCTGTAAACACGTACTACCATTTAAATGGGTATTTTTATTTAATACTACAACACAAGAAAAATGTATTTAGATACAATTTTTGAACCTATTTACCTACTCATACTATGACCCTTATGGTATCATTTGAAACAAAGGTTACTGTGAAGGATGGAGATCAAGATGACGAGCAAAAAGTAAAACGGCACCGTTGTAGTTGTAGAATATTTTTTGTGTAATGAATTGACTTATGTCATATAAAAACAATATAATATTATAAAAAATCAAACAATAAAAAAGGTATAAAAATAGTTTGCAACATCGTCCCACCCGTGTAGCACTTTGCTACACAATTGTGTCTTCGTGCAATAGGGCCAGTTTGCGCACGGGTCTCCTCAGCGTGCCCCCTTTGGTGGCCACATCTGCTACTCGCACGACTCCATCTTTGCCTGGGAAGACCCTAGTTACTCTTCCCATAGGCCATACTCCTCGTGGTAAATCAGGATCGACCAGTAAGACGATGTCGTCAACTTTAAAATTCTTGAACACGCCTCCTTGCTGTTTTTTAGGTTTTAGAGTCGGTAAATACTCTCTAAGCCAACGGTTCCAGAAGTGTTCGGATAGGCAAAGTGATTTTTGCCACTCCTTCCTTAATGAAAATACTCCATCATCTAGTCTCAAGGGTAATTGTTGATTGGATGAAGTACCGATTAAAAAATGAAACGGCGTAAGGCTCTGACATTCTTCGTTTTGTGTGACGTATGTTAAAGGCCTGGAATTGACTAGAGCCTCCGCTTCTAACAAGAAAGTGTGAAGAACTTCCTCTTTTGGTGCTCTCTCCTTTAAAGTTGTCAGGAGAGCGGTTTTGACAGTCCGTACTAAACGCTCCCAGCAGCCTCCCATAAACGGCGATGCAGGTGGTATGAATTTCCATTCACAATGGTTAGCGGCAGCGAAGTCTTGTACGGACTGGTTATGGAACTCGGCTAATTGGCGATTCGCTCCCACAAAAGACGTTCCATTATCAGATGTCATTATTTTCGGTACTCCTCTGCGTGCTATAAAGCGACGTAAACTGGCAATGGCAGAATCAGATGACAGATTAGCGACGATTTCCAGATGAACAGCACGAGTTGTCATACATGTAAATAAGGCAATCCAGCGTTTTTCTCTGCGGCGACCAATTGTGACTTCCACCGGACCGAAATAGTCTAAACCGACGTTTGTAAAAGGACGTGAATGGTGGTCAAGACGCATTTCTGGTAGGTCACCTGTTGGAGGAATCTGTGGGTTAGCCTTGCGTTTCACACAAAACATGCATCTTTTGGCGATCGAACGGACTTCACTGCGGCAACGAAAAATCCAGAACCGTTGTTTTAACTCGTTGCAAACCAACTCGTTGAAAGTGTGGGCGGCTTTGACATGGTAGTGACGAATAAGAAGACGTACAGCTGGATGACGACCATCGAGTATAATAGGGGATACAACGTCACAATCAACGTTTTTTAGGCGCTTGATACGGCTATCCAACCTGAGAAGACCCTCTTCGTCAAGTACAGGAGACAAAGAAAGTAGTTTGCTCGATTTTGGCAGAGGTTTGGAGTCGTGTAGTAGAGCCATTTCTTGGCTAAAACTGTCTATTTGCGACTTTCTGAGAATAGCAATTTCAGCTTTCTGAATATCTGAAGCGGTCGGAGATTGTAGGTTTGAGTCCCTATTAAATTTAGAATTTGGATCTTTAAAACGTGCCAAAAGAGATCTAAATTTGTTCGCGCATTGGTGAACGCGCGCGGTTGCACGCACCAAACGAAACCACTCACTAAAGCGCGAGGGATCTGGTGTAACCGATGAAGGTTCATCCAGAATTGTTAGTCCCACTACCACTTTCGTGGGTTTCAACTCCTCGAAAGTGGATAGGGTCTCCGAAGTCAATGGTTCTTTAGGCCAATCAGAGACCGGTAATAATAAAAATTCGGGTCCAGAGAACCATCGCTTCAAATCAGTATCGCGATCTTTAAATCTTGTTGCATCGTCTGCAACATTCAAACTACCTGGTACGAATTTCCAGTTACTAACGTTAGTTATCTCTGTGATTTCACCGACACGATTAGCGACAAATGGTTTGAATGTTCTGGCGTCGCTTCGAATCCAACTTAATACTGTGGTGGAATCGGACCAGATATAAGTTGCATTCACATTAACACTGTGACTGGAGCGTATGGTAAGAGAAAAACGAGCTGCAATCAAAAATGCTTGAAGTTCTAAGCGAGGTATAGATGTGGGTTTAAGCGGAGCTAGACGTGCTTTTCCACCAATGAGTGATAACTTCACGGAGTCGTCTGAAAAAGTAAATCTCCAGTAAGCGACACAAGAATATGCTTGCTCACTTGCATCGGCAAAAACGTGAATCTGTCTGTCAACGATTTGTTTGTTCTGGAACCCACATCTGTACCAACGAGGAATTTTAAAATCAGAAATTTTGCGTAATTGTTGAGACCAGAATAACCATTTTTGAACCATATCTGATTGCAACTCGGTGTCCCAATCAACACTGGTTCTCCACGTTTGTTGAAATAATATACGTCCTTGAATTATCAGTGGAGTAAGAAGACCCAGTGGATCGTACACACACATTAAATGAGACAACACCTTCCGTTTTGTTAATTTTGCATTATCAGGTATACCGGGCCCAAGACGAAAACTAAAGGTGTCGCTCTGTGGGTGCCATATGAGACCTAATGTTCTGACAAATGCTTCAGGTCCTACGTGAACATTCTCAAGTGGCTCAGCGCGTAAATTTTCAGGAATAGCAGTAAGCGCGGTGGGTACATTTGATATCCATCCACGCATTTCCATTCCTGCTGCCTTGTAAATAGTAACGATATCAGCCGCGAGCTGCGAAGCCTCGTTTTCATCGTCCATACTCCCTAAGTAATCATCCATATAGTGATCATTAATTATAGCTTTTGCTGCCGCGGGGTATGACTTCTGTAATTCCTCGGCGTTCCGATTTTTAATGTATAAGGCGGTACATGGGCTACAGACTGCGCCAAAAATTACAGAGGTCATTCTGTACTCTTTTATCGGACTGCTACTATTCTCTCTCCAAATGAAACGTAAAGCATCGCGATCATGGTTCCTAATTCTAATTTGTGGGAACATTTCCCTTATGTCAGCTGTTAAGGCGATACGACCTTCACGGAAACGAAAAAGAATATGGAGTAATGATTGCAACAGATCTGGCCCGGGGATCAATAATGAATTTAGACTTATACCAGCAGTCTTCGCACCTGCGTCGTGAACTACCCTAAGTTTTTTCTTCTGAGGATGAATTACTGGAAAATGAGGTAAGTACCAACGGACCGATTTTAATTCAGTTTGGCCGACAGCATCATGGTATGTATCTTTAGGACATTCTTCAGCGTAACCCTTTTCAAACATATTATTAATGAAATTGCAGTAAGCCTTTTTGAACTCTATATCTCGAGCCATACGTTTCTCTAAACCAACAAATCTAGATAACGCATGAGGATAGCTATCAGGTAAATCGGGAATATTTTCGCACCATAGTAAGCCTACTTCAAACCGACCAGACGGCAGACGTTTAGCTGTGGTATTCAACGTATTTAAAGCAAGTTTGTCTTGTTTGGAACACAAATTGTCTAACTTCGAAATACCTATAGCATCTAAACGAAAATAATCTTTAATGAGATCCTCAATAACTAAATCACTACGACTGCTATCGTTGAAAACGGTGTGATTTATAAAATTAAGTGGTTTAGTCCACCTAGTTGACTTACCATACAAAACCCAACCTAAAGCAGTACGCGTAGCTAATGGTTGGTTCTTAGAACCTTCCTAACTTCACGACTTACTGTCAAATACCAGTGTTCAGCACCAATAAGAATTTTAGGAGTTGCATCTACAAGTGTAAGTTTACTGCTCAAATCTCGAAGATGACCGTGTTGTAATATATCGTTTCGATTGACAGTTTGGGTGAACAATGAAAGTGAGTCGATAGCTTTGGCGTTAGTGACAGAAAACATCTCAGAACAGTTTTTACCTTTTATTGAAAAACTTACATGCTGGACAGGCTTATATGTAGACATGCCGGCGACGCCGTCAACCTTAATTGAATCCTTTGGCCCTGTGACTCCTATACGATCTGCCACCTCAGAATCGATTAAAGTCGCCGTTGAACCGTCATCAAGTAAGGCGTATGTAGCATATTTTCCGTTAGGCCCACTTACTTCTACCGGAACGATTTTTAAAAATATTTGATTATGTTGTAATGTGCTGCTGTTGTGTGAATAAGTGTTAGTAACCATGACGTTACTTTTCTGATCAGTTTCATTAGAAGGCAAGAGAGAAACCTCATTAACAGCATGATGTATGGAAGGTGTGGATGTCGAGTGCAATAATGGGTTATGAAAACGTTCACAACCATCAACACCACAACGATCAATTCTACAGGTTTTCCAACGATGTGACTTTGATTTAAGACATTTATAACATATTTTTACCTCACGTAACCAACGCCATTTGTCATCTAAAGTAAGTGACTTAAAATTGTCACAATCAGTCAATTTGTGTTTATTTTTACAGTAACGACAAAGATCAGTATTTGTTTTGCGTGTGGATATGGCATTAATATTATGGTAACGCATAGGATTATTGCTAACTACATTTATTGCAGGTCGCTTTGAGTAATCAAGAACTAGACCGAACCTATTTTGTTTATCAGCCTCAATATCAAGAAATTTAGATAAAAGTTGTAATTTTGGGATTGTCCTGTCACTATAGTAAGCAAAGTCTTTCCAATGACTATATAATATAGGTGTCAATTTGCTTAGTACACTATGAAATATTTCTAATGAGTATAAATGTTCCTTTTGGTTCAAGCTATTAATGACTGATATACAATTACGTAACCTACATGCGAAAGAATTGAGTTCTTTTTGATCATAGCTTATCTTAGGCAAACTTCGAACAAGGGTAATCTCGTGCCAGACGATGACTTCTGGCAATGCAAAAGTCTGCTCCAACATCTCTAAAACTTCTTCAGGTTGTTCAGCCGTGTACAGCAACGCAGACACGCTTTCAAGAGCGCGCCCACGGAGTGCACATCGCAAGCGAGCGAGATTTTCTGTTGGTGAAAATAAGTGTTGAGAATCTTGGTAGGTACGTTTAAACATAAGCCACTCGGTCACTCGGCCGCTGAATGGCAATAAATCGATGAATTTATGTGAAATTTTGTGTGAGCATACTCCGGTTGGAACATCCATTTTATTTTCTAAGTTCTTAGGCAATGTGTTTGAAAACTGTTTGTTATCGTTCAATGTAGGTTGCCTAGAGAAACGAACATTATTTGACGTTGACCGAAATAAATTATTATTAGTCGATTTTGATGTAATTTGACATGTCAAAGGTTGTTCATTGTTAACATATTGCAAATATTCATGTTTTTTAGCATTATCAGAAGAAAATATAGTCTGAATATTACGGTTGATGGGTTCCGAAATATGATGAGATGAATTACTTACATCATTTCGATCGACATAGTTTGGTTCCGGAATTGAACCTGCTAAAAAATGAGCATTATCTTTTTGTTTCGGATTCATTACGGGCTCAATAATGTCTATATTTGGACAGGTAAAAGTATTATGTGCGTCGTTTACCCAGGACGCAGTACGAGAATGTGATGGACTAACCAAACGAGTGGAGCGGCGCTCTGATTCCTGAGCCGCTAGGTTTGCTTCCATCTCCAGTTCTTCTACTTGTTTAGCCTGTTGAATGAGCTTACGTTCATGTTCAAACCTTTTCTGGGCCAGCTGCATGGCGAACTCTTGTTCACGTTCGAACTGCTCACGCTCCCGTTCCATACTTTGTCGGACTAATTGTGCCTCTGCAGTCAACCTACGTGCCCTAACCGTGGATGATGACTGCAGAGACCCCGATATACGCGATCTGGAGCCGGCACTAATATTCGTACGTTCGGTGCTAACTGTGGGATACTGACTAGATGTAACAGGTTCAGGGTGGCCAGACGCAGATGCCAACGTGGCTTCGTCTACGATGTGGTCAATTACAGGTGACCGACTGAGCCCATCTGCGACAGGCATATCCGACCCTGAATATACATCGCTAGTATCCTTTGCTCGAGTACATTGCTGCGTCTTGGATCTCGTTTGCATGGTTATAGCAAATACTAAAACGGCAACGAAGGACCAAATGTGAAGGATGGAGATCAAGATGACGAGCAAAAAGTAAAACGGCACCGTTGTAGTTGTAGAATATTTTTGTATTAAATTGACTTATGTCATATAAAAACAATATAATATTATAAAAAATCAAACAATAAAAAAGGTATAAAAATAGTTTGCAACAGTTACATTTGAAAACAAACAGACCGATTGTAGATTTACAATCAGCTATCAACAATAGATTTATCGAACTATGATATTTATGAAACGTTAGTCTTTAACCTGAACATATTTTTAGTTCACAGCCAATGTTTTATTTAGACTGCGGTATCTCTTAAAATGTCTTATATTGATGATGAAATTTTAATAATTAATAAAAAACGTTAAGGGCTGCAATTCATAGAGTTCATATACTCGTATATGCAACTAATCACCAACAGTGCAGGGACCCTATAAAGCACCTGAATTTTAGTGTCATGATGATACTAAAATTCAATAAGTTTCGATATGAAGATTAGTTATATTTTTCTAGTTATGTCTGAAATATATTCAATTTAATTACTGTAAAACAGCGACTGTTGTTGAATGTCTTGAGACACTTGTACCAGTTGTATCTACTTACTTATTGATGATTACAACAACACTATAATTACAATTATAATATGTTGGTTATATATACATAAATAATTTCAAAAGTTGTGTTGACTTTTTATCTCGTTTACATATATTAAAAGAAAAAAAATTACTTACAAAACTGCTGATTCCCGTTAGGTCACTAGTTTCTAAAGAAACTAGATAAGCTGTTCTCCCAGTGTTAGAGGCATAATAATCATTGGCCGCTATGGAAATCCAGTCAAGCGTAGCTCCTAACACCTCTGGGTCATAGGCTAAGGAAGCTAACTCTGGGCTCGGCGATACCATAGCTGATATCTCTAAATTATGAGGCCGCAATGCTTTCGACAACTCTGTGAGCAGTGCGTTGTAATTATCTTTCTCCGTGATGTCGAAGTCAATACATGGAATCTAAAATTAAATTAAAGTTAGTTAATGAAATGTTAAAAGGAAAGGGAAGTTGTAATAGATATAATCACCCTAATGACAACTGAACATCAACGTTACACGTCAGGTCGACCTTCATGCGGTTAACATTACATGGTATCTGTCATGGTTAATTCCTGCTGAATTTGTCACGGTGAGTTAAACTAAGGTGGGTGACCTAACTAACATGGTTATGCTATCATATTCCACTAGTAGCCCCGCCAGCGTAGATATATCGTTTAGTTAGCGCAGGCGGGTGAACCATGCACATCCCTAAAATATACCCTACATCTAGTAGAAACTTAGACTATGTATCATTGGTCAAAATGATTGGTGGGTGATAAAATATTGTATCACAATAAAAATAGAGGGGCGTTTTTATGTATACAAACGAACAATGTTTCCACAAAAACAAAAAGTACAACAAGTCCTTATTTTGTTGGTTATCTTAAAAAAATATTATTAACTCCTTACCTGTTTACAAATAGGGTACTGCCAGGCTATCTGAAGGCCGTCAAAGTTCCACTTCTGCAGGAATTTCCGAACTGATTTCACAAATGTTTTTCTGTTCTGTGGGCTCGCTACCAAACGACTCCATTTTTCGAATTCCGAGTCTTTCAATCCGCCCACACCGAGAATAACTTTCAATCCTTTTGATCGTAGTTCAGTTAGTTTTCCATAGAAGTCTGTAATAATGTAAATATGGTTATTACACTGGTTTAATTTTTTTTAATATTAACTGTTATGAGTGTTAATTTAATTGCTGTGTTTACCATATTGCACATCTAATTCTGGATTTCCAGAAACTATTTGGTACGTTGAGCCATCGACTTGTGCCCACGCGTAAATAATATGTGTGCATAGGGATGGGTCCACTTCTTCTGGTCCAAAACTGCCTTCTCCTTTCCTGCAATTTCAAATTAAGTAAACAATTATACTGTAAAATGAAGTCTTGTTGCAGTTTAATTGGATTTTTAAGAAAACTTATTTTTTAATAACTTTTAGTACCTGTAATATGCCCAGTTAGTAAAATAGCACGCAAGTATGGGTTTCTCTGTTGACTTTTCCTCTGTCAGTCGTAGGTATGTTTTGGTGCTGCATGGGGTGTTTTCTGGCACGTCACAGTGATTCTGTAATAACAGTATGTAATTGTATCTAATATCATATGTATCTATTTTCGTCATAATAATGACTGGTTAGTTTTAGAATAAAATAACAGACACATACACACTTCAAACTTATAATATTCCTCTTTTTGCGCCTAGAGTTAAAATCAATTATGTGCATAGTAAAAAAAAAGTTTTAACAGAAGAGACTCCTGTGCATTTTCTCATTGGGCTTGGAAAGTGCATATATATGGGCGGTTCATGGAGTCGTTTGGCACTTACCTGGTTCCAGAGTAACGGTGCAGGACAGGCTAGTTCCATCCAGTGTCCATTCAAGCATAAATAATATTTACTACAGTCTATTTTATCAGCTTTGAACGTAGTGTCTGAACATGATTTCCCTTCCAAAATTGAAACTTCAGAATTTCCCTGAAAATGTTAATACATCTAAGCATATTTAGATAAAGCAGCTGACGGTTGAATAAAAATATTTTTTAATAATAAATAATAATAATAATATTTATTGCAGTTATAGGTTGTGTTACATAATTAAGTTGTACATAAGAGACAATACAATTTTAACATACAAGTGTAATTGTTCCATCTGAACTAGTATAAAATTATACTGTATCTCAGATGTTACATACCTTCCCAGGGTGCATATTATTTCATTTATTAATAATATTATACCTTATTGTTTCGATATTACTTCTTACCTTATTCTATTATATACTGTTTTCATATACTAATTTTGCAGTTAGCATATTTGTTATGCATGTTATTAAGTATTTAATAACAATACTTACTATATTGTCATCATAAGGACTTGTTTCAGGTTGGTTGATAATCTCCGGTAAATTTCCCACATCTGGTGTCAAAGCATTTTCGTTTGTTACAACTGGACGTGGACCTTGTACTGTAGAGAAGGAAAGTAATATATAAACTGAATATATTATAATCTGGGAGAAGATAATAGGTTCGTTCTCTATAACATGGATTGATTCATTTTTAGTTAAATGCGGCATGTCATACGAATTTAACAAACACATTTAAGCTATATACATATTAATGTGCATGTTGAACATACATATATTATTTTTATAATACACTATATTATACACATACTCTCTTCTAGGAAACAAGGTGGCGGCATTTGATAGTTCCTCAGCACAAAGTTTATAGTGCTCAAGAGCGGTGACTTCCCGCAACCACAGTGCTTGCCGGTGAAGTCATCCAGATCGAGCGACCACGCCATAGCGCCGCCGAGGTCCATTGCTCGCACGTACTCGGCTTTGTGTCTTATCATGAACTCGTCGTCGAACGACACCCACTGGTCGTCGTACGACGCGTAGGGCCCAATGCGACCGCCTGGGTCACGGTACACCTGCCAGCCTTGCACTTTGATACGTTCGCATATCTATAACAACAAGACGACGACAAATTATAGAAAGATAAATATTACACAATATAACACAATAAAATTAACAGGTTTACCTTTTACCGAGGTCAACTTTCTACAGTCTTTGGGTGTACTTCTGGCTCACCTATTTTTCTTGCAAAGCAGCTAACTTTGTAAGCAAGGGTGAAATATGGTCGTGAAATGATAGTGTACGTAAGACGATATCTTAGTTCTCCGGAATGGCAATGCGCGAGGGGTATTACGTGATGTCCTGAGGTTCGTAATGCTATTCATGTATATAAGCGACAGTAAATACTTACCTTCATGTGAGCTGTTAGCTTGTTTGCTATTTATAAATAGTATTTTGAGAAAAGTAAAATATTAAGAAAAGTACCTCGTAAAAAGACAAAAAGCCACGAGCTCTAGTCTCGTCTCCAGGTTCGCCACCTCCGTCGCTAAAAGCACCAAGACCGTTTACATTGTTCTCCATTAAAGAGAATGATTGTCCATAGAAAGGCACGCCTAGAATGAGTTTGTTACGAACTGCTCCTTGCTCTATCCAGTAATGTACGGTATAATTCTGTAACACAATGAAGATATTGTAGGATATAATAATATTAAATGAAAAATTTCAAGTAACAAGAACAATATGAAGAGTAAATAACAGTCTCTACTTTTTCTGATTCGTAAATAGAAGATGACTTACAACATTCAATGTGAGATCATCATCATATTCATGAAGGTACATGGGTGCCAAATGACCAGTCTTCTTTTCCCATTGTCCGTGGTAATCGTAAGTCATTAATGAAATCCAATCCAAATTTTGTGATAATGTTGGTACATCATACGCTGAAATAAGATGTCACTTTAAATGTTAACAACCAGTTATTGTTTTGGTGAATACAGCTGCCAATTTGAATATTTACCAACGTCAATAACTCGTTTGCTGGCTGAAACGGCAGCAGAGAGGAGCAGACCCCGAGGAGTAAATGCGGCGCGAAGTTCTTTAACTAAGCTTGCGAAGCCGTCTTTGTCTGAGTGCGGACCCTTCTCGCAAGCCGCCTATAATGTTTCAATAAATAAATTAAATAACTAAATTATTAGACATACGTGAATTTCGTCGGTTAACAAAATGACGACATCAATATACTCTACGTTCAGACGTGACTAAACTTTGAAACAAGAAAAACTGTTTGTTACAATCTCTGGTATTAGTAAAATAAAATAAACTGAGACATAGACAAATACTTAAACGTATCTGTAAAAAATTTCTTATGCGTTGTTAAATATTAAAGTTCTAGTAAGATGTATTGAAGTACTAATTATGCATTTAACATGTATTCATATCATAGATTGGTCAACTTGAGTTAACTCAAGTTGGGCTGTATTCGTGTTAACTCGAGTTGATTTCTCTCAACTCGAATTTTCTGAAGAAGGTATGATATGATCGGAAAACTTCATGTCATTGTCGGTTTCTTTTGGTCGATTTAATGGCGGGAGTACCTACTAAGGCACGAACTTAATGACTGAATCAAACTCTCGCTCTATCATTTCATTCGTTTATTTACCAGTTGAATTGGCTGAATTCGAGTTAACTCGAGTTGATTTCTCCCAACTCGAGTTACTCCAGTACTCTTTTAATAGTTTGAGCGAAGGCATAAGAATAATCACTATCTATTTTATTTCTCCTTATTAAAAGAGTATATACAACGGTAGTGTTTTAAATCATCACCTGCCAGCACTTAGGATATTCCCAGTCCAGATCGAGGCCGTCGAACTCGTGTTGCTCGAGGAAGTCAAGTGTGTGAACGACAAACTTTCTGCGGGCTGACAAACTGTTCACTAATCGTGAGTATTTGTTACCAGCGGAATCATCCCATCCGCCAAGACCAAGCAAAACTTTCACCCCTCGCTTCTTCAAAGCTACCACCTTCTCGTAGAATTCTGTAAGTTTTAATTTTTAATGAGAAAAAGTATGTAAAACTACGTATAATCAAAACATTGGCTGATCTGAAGCGACCTTTTTATATATAATTTTACATAATTCCTTTTAAACATTAAAGGGAATGATATAAAAGATCGCTTTGGGCCAGCCACGTGTTTTAGATTAACTACAAATCTAGTTTACCTCGGTCAGCCACGTGTTTACCATTAATACAATTACAATCTTTCAGATACGATGATGCTACAAACTTCATTATTTCTGGTTTAAACAGCAACAACAAGCAGCCAACTCCCGAAAATCAAAATGAAATGTTTTATAATGAATTACATTGTTTACTTTATAGAGAACTTACTGTTTTCGATATCAAGCCACATGTCGTGCGGTTTTATAACCAGCTTGGCACTATCAAGAGCAGCGAATGCATACACGATATGGGTGCATAGGGTAGAATCGATGTCATTTGGAGTATATTTTCCGGAACCTTGTCTATAACACACCAAATAAAACATTTTACAGAACATATCCTATTTAAAACTTACCATCGCACTCAGATTCGTCTAATAATTATTTTAACAACTTCTAGTAACTATTTTCAACTACCAATGAAATGGAATATGTATAATTAATTCATTAGTATTGTATTTCTTTTTATGAACTAGAAGATATATGGTTAATTCGCGTTTTGTTTAAGCATTTCAGAATTGAAAGTTGATATTTTTATAAAATGGCTTTGTGTACTTCTTTAGTTATATAAAATCCTAATTATGAGGTGATGATATAGATTGAAGAGTCTTAGATCAATAATTAGTCTTTTCAGATTAGATAATTATTATTATACCTGTACCAAGCCCAGTTAGTATAGTAGCAAACAACTTTGTATCGTTCCTCCGGGAACACAATAGTGCTGACTGTTGTTGGTTTCTTAGTAGTATGTACTACAGGGTAAGTCTGTGTCGTAGGTTTAACAGGTGCAGTTGTAGGCTTAGGTTTGTATCCAGGTCTTACTACAATATCCTCTAAATCTTCTTCTAGTGAATTAGAGGGTTCTTCTAATGGTTCCATTGGAACGGTCTCTGGCTCAACATTAGGGTCTAAAAGACCGTTTCTGATAGCATTCATTAGGGGATGTTTTCCTTGACCACATCTGAAAAGTTTTAAATACTGTATATTATAACATCAGTTGTGATCCTAAATATTAAAAAAAAATTCATATTTATATTCGTGCAAATACTTAAACACATAGATAAAAGGGTACAGATAAAAAGACGATACCTATTTCTAAAGTCGTCAAGATCAAGTGCCCAGACCATTCCACCGGCGAGATTAAGAGATTTGATAAAGTTAACTTTTTTCTTAATGATATCAATGTCGTCGAACGATACCCATTGATCGTCTTTATACGCGTACGGTCCCATGCGTTGATAAGGATCTTTTACAAGCTGCCATCCACTGTGTCTGATTCTGTCACAAATCTGTAGAAAATATAATAGATGTAGAGAACAAAATTAATAGATGAAATTAAAACATATTAGAGCTAAATGAAGAGAAAACACGAAACCATAAAACTTCATTAAAATCATACAATATTATTTCATAGAACAATTATAACATATGTACGCATTTTCAGACAAGACAGAACACTTAGATATTAATATTAATATAAAACAATACTTCAAGCTTTCAGCAACAAAGTAGGACGCTAAATTGAGTTGTATTCGTTGATACATAACGAAGCCGATTAAATAAGTACCTCATAGTATGCTAAGAAACCCTTAGCTTGCGTATATTCTCCAGGTTCGCCCCCAGTTATCGCGGGGATGTTCAATCCTGTAGCGTTCTTTTTTTCAAGAAGTTGTGGCGGTGTATCCCATTGAGAACCAAGTGTGAATGATTGACCATACAGCGGCATACCCATCACCAACTTTGATGGAGGAGCTCCTTTATGAATCCAGTAATGCATGGTGTAATTCTAAAAATTTTTTTATTAAACATTGAAACTAAAATATTTGGTATGTTTGTCATAATTATCAAAATTCCCTTTAGACTAAAAACTGTTAAACTGTTTATTTATAAATTGAATCAAATTCGCTTCACTTTTAGATGAATGAATATAAGAACTACTTTGGAGTTTCAGTATTTAAACGGATAATTCTTGTTGACAATGCATGCGGATACATCATAGCAATCACAGTGTTACACATTTGTGTAAATTTAAAAAGAAATATAATATTTAAGCATAAACTTACTGCGTTAAAGTAAGTGGTATCATCTTCGGGATGATAATATAAAGGTGCGACATGTCCAGTTTTCTTATCCCATTGTCCATGATAGTCATATGTCATTACGGCAATCCAGTCTAGATATCTTGCAAGCACAGGAACATCATATCCAGCATCAATAACTATTTTATTCGGCGAAACTGCAGATGATAGAAGCATTCCTCTGGGTTTTAATACTGCTGATAATTCTTGCACGAAGTCAGCGAAAGCCTCTTTGTCAGTATCAGGGCCTTTTGAGCAGTCCACCTAAAATAAAATGTTATAATAATGAAACCTTTGTGAGTGACAAGTATATTCACTAAAATGAAAATTCTACGTACTTGCCAACACTTTGGGTATTCCCAATCCAAATCCAAACCATCGAAGCCATATTCTTCAAGGAATTGTACTGCGTGGTTTACGAACCTCTCGCGAGCCGAGCGATCGTTGACTAATATTGAATATTTCTCACCAGCTGAATCATTCCACCCTCCGAGTGCAAGGGATACTTTAATGCCGTATCTTTTATATGCTATTACGCGTTTGTAGAATTCTGCAGAAAATATTTTCTAGATACATGATGCCATATTTGTAATGGTTTATTACAGTAAGCAATATGGTAAATTGTTTAAAGACAAATACTAATAGATCTTTACTATATTGTTTCTACTAAATACTATATACGTTGTAATATTTATAGTAAAATGTGCATGCTAGTACCATTCTTATTTACTTAGTGCAATTATAGTGTGCTTTGTGAACATTCAATGATGTTGAATTTTCTTACCATTATCATAGTCTGCCCAAGAGTCATGTGCTGACATCAGAAAGTCCGGCGCTAATACAGCGAAACCGTATACAATGTGAGTGCACAGTGTAGGGTCTATGTCTTCGGGTACGTAGCTACCGATGCCTGGTCGGTACCACGACCAATTTGTATAGTAGCATACTAGTTTGTAACGAGCTACGGATAAAATGATCATGGTTGTGAAAATTATTTATAGGTATATCAATAAAAAGATAGTAAATTATAAATTAAATAATATTTCCTTTATTTGACACTAACTATTAAGAAGATTCGGTTTGGTTGGCGTATCTTGTAATGGGGTTTGTTGCATGTGATGTTCTGGTATTACATCAATGTCCTCAATATCTGGCTCCGGTAGTGGAGGTGGCGGTTCCGGCTTTGATGTCGTTTGCATTACATGTGTACATTTAGCATTTACTGGCCAGTCGCAAATACTTCTTTCCTGAAAAAGTTATATATATATATATTATACAATATAACTGAATATTTTCTTTGTTGTAATTATTGAGAGACAGTTCTAAGTGAGAAATGGATTGCTAAAAAGCTAGGTGCTACTAAAAAAGGACGAGAAAGAGATTGCACTATATTTAACGAATTGTTTAAATGAAGTGATTCGTCCGAATATGTCTATATATTTTTTTTTTCATAAGCAATTGGAATCAACTAGTATTTAAATAAATAGAACACCTACTTGGTTCCAGTGAAGGCCACTGTTACAGGAGAATTCTTCAAATCTTCCAAAGAGACAGTGTCGATACCTGGTACAGTCGGATGGGTACCCGGTATACTCGCCATTTGTGCAAAATTCTATAAATAATTTTAATATGTTAAATCATTTCTTACATATTGTTGACCTGTTTTCTTTAAAAAATAATATATTTGTAATTAATATAGTTAATCGGGACTTAACACGAATTACTTTATGGTAAATAGGCTAAGTAAAGGCCGTAGTCATGAGCTTAGTCCCCTATTCTTGTTAATACCCGAATTATATTAATGACTAGCTGCACCCGCGTCTTCGTCCGCGTGGAATTAAACTTTATTTTTCTAAAATAAAAGTAGCCTAAGTTACACCTTATTACATCAACTACCTGCCAAAAAAAGTCCCGTCAAAATCGGTCCAGCCATTTCAGAGATTAGCCGGCACAAACAGACAGATAGACCGACAGACAAAAATTGTAATAAAATATATTTTGGTGTAAGTACCATATTTATATTCATGCAGATGCATGTAATAAAAAACGGTTATTTTAATATTACAAACAGATACTACAATTTTATTTATATGTATGGATGTATAGATGTGTCTACACGAATGTTTAAAAATATGTAATGTACCTGGTTGTTCTACAATCATTTGTGACGTGGCTGGTTTTTTGGTGGCCATCGTATATGGTGGGATGCTCTCCCGCCGATCGCTACACGATGCAGCGTTGGGGAAATCGCATTGCGATCGGTCAGGTCTCCAGGCGAGTCCGGGGGCGCAGCTCTGGGCTACCAGCACCCCGTTTACGCATACGTAAAACTTTTCGCACTTCGGATGAGAGTGGTACGTTCCTGTTGTGCAACCCTGGAGATGTTCATATAAGGTTACTATAATAAATTGGTGATAATTTTGAATTTCTTAATATTTATACTCCCCGGCAAAGTAATTTTATCTCATTGCCAACGGTCAAATATCCAAGTACATTGAATTAAATTTAAAAATTTAAAATATTAATACTATCGATGTAATATACGGTATTCAAATTATGTTAATTTGGTACATCAGGAGTTTTCTGCTAGTGATATTGTTAATAGGTTTCTATGAGAAGACTAAGATTAAACACAAATGTTTATGACATGCAATGTATATTTGTAGTAGTTTATTATCAACACTAAATTTAGGCAATTTAAGTAACTTTCTGAGTTTATAAATATATTATACTTTTCGTAAATTATATTATGAATCGGATCAACTTGTAGTCATTTTCTTTAATTCCTTCATAACTAGTAACTAGAGCCGTTTGTTAAGTAGTTATACTTATGACCTAATAAAGAAAACAATAATATAGGATTACCGTAGCTGGTCTATAGTTCTCGTCCATCGCTATAGCAGGTCTATAAGTTGTAGTTGGTCTCTTGGTCGTCGTCGTATATGTGGTTGGGCGATATGTTGACTTGGTAGAAATTGGTTTGGCTAATAAAAACAAGTTAATATTACATTAGTACTTAGACATGAGTAAGTTAGTAGACAGATTTCTAAACTTTTGCATTTCCACGTTTACCTTCGCACATGGCAAATTCGGCCCAGTCGCAACGGTTGGTACGTTTGTCCCAGTGCAGGCCAGATGGACAACGCTGCTGTCGCCAGCGGCCACCAGCACACAGCAAGTACGAGTCGCACGAACTTGCTGGTGCGTGATGCTCGCCTGGACCGCATTCAGCATCCTCTACCGGTTGCCCACTAGGTGCCACTGTTTAAATAAATAATAGCAGTATATAAAAATATTTATTTATCTACTTATATCATAAATATTTTCTAATAACGAAAAATTGTCACAAGTAAATTATAAAAGTGCGATACAAAATCTGAACAACAATCTGAAACATAAAGAAAAGGAATATGATCTTCGTTAACGGGATCATTATACCCAGTAAAACCAATATATATATAGTTTGATAGAATCTTACCTGTAGGTGGTCTCGTGGCTGGACGTGAAGGTTTTGGCTTTTCTGTCGCGGGTTTTGAAGTTGATCCTGAAAGATATTATTCCATTAAGTATCTTGGTAAGTTACTATGGGAGCAATATGGACCTTTGGACAACCGAGTAATTGTACTCATTTTTGCCACATTTGCTTGCGATGTATGACTGTCCAAGGAAATATTACAATGCTCGTATCGAACAGTCTTCTAAATAGTAGTTTTATTAGAAATTACCTTTACATTTGGCGTACTTGGGCCAATCGCACTGCTTCTCCGTGGGGCTCCAGTGCAGGCCTGGCGCGCAGTGTTGCGGTCGCCACGTGCTGCCGTCGCATTGTAAGTACGAGTTACAGTCACCCGCCACTGGTTTGTAATCATGACCATTACATGCACCACCTTCTATTTCAGCATCTATAATAAATATATATTCACAACTATTAACTCAGATCCTATAGTCAGAGGTAGGTATTGGCAACTATCAACGCGAACGCAATAGTTAAATATTTTGCTGGATATGTTTAAATTCAAAGTAGCACGAATCTATTGCTAGTTATGTAACTATACCTATACCATCTAAGGCATATGGCAAATTGATTAGTTTATCAGAAAACGATTCACGTTGTAGTGTCTTAAATTGATTAAACACATTAATTGTAAGTTATGTAACAAATGTCACATTATTCTTGTACCCAATGTCGACCCCCCATGTTAACGGCCCGTAAGAATTTTGCCCGCTTGGCCACTTACCTCTGCCTCTTGGATTAATTTGGTCTAATAATGATTATGTCATTAATGTTTTTTATACCGGAAATGGACACACTATATATCTGCTGTGTTAAATCACTAGACCATGTTGCTCTCAGTTATACATAAAACATTGTAAAGGCAAAGACACATCTTTGTTATCATTGTAATTATGACCTCGTACATTACTATTCTCAAGCACTAGATTATTCTCATGGTAGCGATCGATATAGTACAGTAATGGTGATGGCTATATATAACACACCACCATTCTTCCGATTGTTGCGGGTTCAATATCCCACATAATACATATATTTCTATTCGTGAGTATGATTGCTTGTATTGGTCTATGTTTTGTATATATGTATATATATTTATCTATTAATTGTGTAGGTTATTTTTAAGATACAGAGCAAGCCACCACATAAGTAAGGGTATCAGGGTTTGAGTAAAATATAGTTATTTACATACCAGCTTCAGGTCGTGATGACGTAGTAGTCGGTCTACGTGTAGTAGTAGTACTGGTAGTAGTAGTCGTTCTGATCGTGGTTGGCTTTGGTGGACGCGCCGTTACGGGCGCAAGCGTAGTAGTCGCTGTACTAGCTTCGTTATTTGGTTTTTCTGGAAATTTAAATTAAATGTAAATGAAATCCATGAATCGAATAAAAATAAAATATGCATTATATTTTTTAAATACAAGTAAGACGACGGTCTATGGTATTATCAAAATTAATATTAAGCATAAAAGTAAATTAGGCATCCTTAAATTATTTTACACCCATTTTAGTAACTATATCTTCCCGCTCTTTCATAGCTGGTCAATAGTTACAATTTGGTGTTCCTAATACAATATAATTCCTCTTTAGGGATACAATTTGGAATACCAAATTGTGTGTATAGTGAGACAATATATAGGTATTGTTGAGACAATACCTATATATTGTCTATATTAAAAAAATCATGAAAAATCGTAATCCGTCTATATAGTGAGCTATATAGACGGATTACATTTTTCATGACTTTTTTTATACTAAGTGTGAGTTTCCTTCAACCTTTTATTATACAATCTCCCCTCTATACCTTATATACCTGCACGGGTCCATAATTTATTTATTTTATGTTAAACAAATCACGCCCAAGTCAATAATTAAGAAAAAACTACAATACAAATATTAAGGTTAATGTATCGAATTATTATGTCAACTTTAGTGGGTTCAAATTTTCTAATTCTTTGTATCATAGTATCATGTATAATGAAAATTATACTTTTCAGTATCAAAGGAATGTTAAAAGATACGAATATATAAATTATTTTACCATTACAGTTGGCGAAACTAGGCCAATCACATCTATTGACTGAGGACGCCCAATGCAGGCCTGGTGCACAACGATGCTTCTGCCAGTGCCCACTCTCGCACTGTAAGTATCCTTCGCAGTCATTGGGCGCCGCACTGTACTCGCCAGCTTTGCAGGAATCTCCTTCACCAGTATCTATGTTGTACCACAGACGCATAAAGCAATATTTAATTTTTTTTATTGCAACTATACTGGGATTTAAAAGATTTTGAACAATAACTTTATACGCTCTTAACGTGTGACGTTATAACGTATCCGTTATAACATCACACGTTAAGAGCGAGGTAAGGAGTCGACGAAGTGCGGCAGTTTTTTTTTATTAGCGTATTGGAAAATATGTGACTTAACACTAGGGAGGGAGTACATACATTTGACAATACATATAGATACAATTATAGAAATTAAAAAAAATATCATCAATAAAATCTAATAAAATTCGTACAACACCGCATACATGCCGTCACGTGAAGTTGGCCTCCATACCCAGTATGCGATACCAGTCTGGAGGGTTGAGGATTCATGTCTCTAGATCCTGTAACTTTATTCCCAATCTCACCCTGCAAACGGAAACCCAGTTATTAAAAGACGCTGCTTGGCGACTGAGGTAAACAGAGGTACCCAGGCAGGCGACTTCTTATAACGTCTACAACAAATAGATATAGTTATGACAAATATACTTACTTCCACTGTCTGGAGCAGGTGGTCTAGTAATTGCAACTGGTCGTTTTGTGGTGGTAGTTGAAGTGGTGGTGGTGGTGGTACGTCTGGTTGTAGTGGTGGTCGTGGTGGATGTTACAGGCCACCACGTTTGAGTAGAGCTAGGAGTCGTTGTTGACTGAGTCCAAGTGGGCCACGTGGTCGAAGTGTGATGATCATGGTTGCCATGGCTGCCACCTCCACTGCCGCCCAATGACCCTACAAGTTTTTTATATGAAAAGTGTTTTTATCTACAAACAGTTTCAAGTTTTGATGTAGGGATCAATCCCCGAAACTATTCATTTAATTGTATAAAACCTTTAGATACACCTATCTAATAACTTTAGGATGGATTTTGTTACCATATATTTTAAGTAATAAAAAAAATATAGATTTATTTCTTATTGTGTATTAGAATGTTCTTTCTTTATATTTGCATACAGCTTTGTACACATATTTAAACTACGATATTAAATTAGATGATGGATTTGATGTTTCCTTTGTAATAGAAAATACAACAACTTACCGATATTAAAAATTTATAGAGAGTTTCATTATCATTGAGTAACATGGACTATATTTTATTTTAGGACACAATAGTGTGATATGTTTAAAAATAAACAAAAAAACCTCTATTGATGTGGTGTGAAGCCGGTTTCTAGCTAATAAATTCTTAATTTATAATACCTACCATCAGCTTCTGCGGTGGTGGTGGTAGGCGGAGCAGGAGTGACCGGTTGCGGCGGGCGCTCGCAGGCAGCAGAGGGCGGCGCCGGCACCGAGCGGCCGAGCGCGCGGCCCGCGGCGCGCAGTAGCGGCGACGGCTCGCTACAGCATCGGTTGTTGAAGTCGTCGAGATCGATCGCCCATGCCGTCACGCCGCCTAGCCCTTGTCGCATTGCCCATTCCACCTGACAGTTCAAAACGATAAGTAATTTTAATAAATTAGTACCTAACCGACTGGGTGTATTGTTGTCTATTTTTTTAATCGCGTTTTTTTAGGGTACAAAGAGATACATGTACCACTTAACATCAAAATCGTCAGAGTTGTATCCGAGATTGTAACTAAACTTTAAATGCAATGCTTTACACGTTTTTCTCTAGGTAATAAGTATTCATACTGGCTTAGAGGAAAATCTTACAAATTTTTAATTGATTCCCATACTTCGAGATTATGCATTCTAATTGACATGTAACCCGTTGCATTCAAATAAAGCTTTATTTATCCTATAGCCGCAGTAGAATTGGATTTATTTATTTCTTAGTTACAATACTGTTCATTAAAATAAACTATGTGTATTGCTACTTCAATACATAAATATCAATGTAAAAAATATACAAACCTTTTCAGTTATGGACTTGGGATCGTCGTATCCTACCCATTGACTGTCTGAGTAAGCATAGGGACCAGCGTTGTCTTGTCTACCAGTTTTCCAGCGTAAGCTTTTCACTGTAGTAAAGATATATATTTATTAATGATTTTTCACAGTACACTTAAAACATTTAAATAATTTTAACTAACAAATATACATTATATTAAATACGGTACTGACCTCTATAACAGATTTCGTAGTAAGCCAACATTCCAGGTTGTTTTGTGAACTCTCCCGGTTCTCCGGGGCCCGCGGCCGGAGCCCCTGGTACTTTCGCCGACTCGACGTCGGTGAGTCTGAACGATTGTCCGTAGAAAGACAATCCGAGTAACAGTTTTTTGGGATCAGCACCACCGCTTATCATAGCTTTTATGGCATATTCCTTAAATAAAAAAAAACATTAAAATTAGAATTAATACAAAATAATTTAATCATATATAATTTTATTACTATATCCATTCATATGAAAATGGATAAAAAAAATGAACTCGGCTATACTTACGATGGAGTAATAGGAGACGGGATCATTGGCTCTTGGAACCAATGGTGTGTGGTGTCCAGTCGTCTGTTCCCAACCACCATGGTAGTCGTATGTCATTGAGCTTAAGAAATCGGCTGCTTTTGATATTGCTGGCAAATCGTAAGCAACATCGATTACTTCCTTATAACCAGATATTGCAACACCAAGTTCCATTCCAGCGTCGTGTAATGCTGTTGATAGTTCCTGTATTTCGATTAATATTGTATTTATTTTATGTTTAGGTACTAATGATGTATTATAGGTATAGTACAAAATTTGCAATTGCTACGACTCGATAGTCATATTACTTAATTAACACATTAAGATTCGCTATATATGTACCTGATTCGAAAATTTTGAAGGACTAATCTTGCTTATTAACTAATATTACAAACTTAAAAAAGTGCAAATATAATTATAATTTCCAAAGATATTTAAAAATTTACATAAAAATATCTTTTTGTCAATATGGCTAAAAGATATGTACCTCAACAAATTTAGCAAAATTCCTTTTGTCTGATGCAGCACCCTTTTTGCAATTACTTTGCCAGCACACTGGATAATTCCAGTCCAAATGCAGGCCGTTGAAATTGTGCATGCGGAGAAAACTCAGTAATTTCTCTGTAAACTTAGCACGGGCTGAAGCTGATGATACCAATCGGGAATATTTATCACCATCTGAATCGGTCCATCCACCAAGGCCTAGGAGAACTTTTACGTCTTTCAAAGACGTTACTCGCTCGTATAAATCTAGAAAGAAAATTTTATATTATGCTATAAATATAAAAAATAAAAATCTACACAGTTGAATATAAACTACAAGTAAAGAATTTATTTTTGTACTAAATTATTTTACTTAGACCAGGCGGAAATGCCTCCGAACTGCTTGCTTGCATATTGTATTACGGTTTAAATTGTAACATGGTACTAAAATTACTGGACAATATGATTAAAGTTCTTCATATTATAGTAATTGGTAGTGTTCTGTATATTGTCATTGCCACCGCCTGTTTACAATCAGGTCGTATCGCAAATTTGGTTATATAAAACGCGTATATGATATAGGTATGTATGTATAAAATACTCACTGTTTGTAAGATCAGCCCAAGGGTCAAACTCCTTCGCGACAAGATCGGTTGGCGAGAGTGACGCGTAAGCGTAAACGACATGAGTGCACAGTCTATTGTCGATATACTCCGGTACAAATTTACCATCACCACGGCGGTAGAATGCCCAGCTCGTCATGTAGCACACCACTCGTTTGTCATTGTCTTTGTCTGATTCAACAAAATATATATATTAATTTTGTAACTTTAAAAATAATATCGAGTGAAAGAAAGTTAGATTACTACTTACTATAGTTTTAACTTACTATAATTTTAACAGATCTTTAGTCTTTATAAACAAGTGTAAAATTGATAAATGTTTAAAAATTATATGGCACTTACTTTTTTTAATGTCCCATATAGATGAATATGTTTCAGGGCTTTTCAATGGTTCCTTTTTGTGACTATTGCTCCACTACAAAAATAAATGTGATCATTATTATTTTTTAATTTAGTAGAATTAAAGAAATTAATACTAGTATATATTTGCTGCATTATATGGGTAACTTGACTTACTTTAAAGTCGATTTCATATTCCCGTGATAAGAAACGCTCAGCGTCGTTCACATTGATCCTCAATGTTTGCCCCGGAATACATCTTCTAACATCTTGGTGTCTAAACGAAATATTAGTATAAAATTAAAAACAATACATCATACTAATTAAATCGATGTACGGAAATAATCATTGTATATAAAGATGGTAGTTGAATAGCTAAATTTATTAATGTAATGTTTTTTATGTTAGTTATAATGTACATATGGATATGAATAGATAAATTCGTACCCGCAGAACCCTGTAGAGGGATCATAAAGCCGATCTTCTTCGCAAACCATTCTATAATTTATTTTACCACTGCAGAAGTGAAAATGTGCGCAGGAATCTTCATCAGAAGCTAAATATGGTACATCCGAATCACAAGATCCTATTTTTAATGAAGATTGATCAGATGAAACTGCTTCACCTGTGAATAATAACAATTATAATTTATTAGTATGGTATATATAATTTACGATGCTTATATTTTTGAAAGAAGACTGTCTCATTACCATTCAGACTTGTGGCTATGGCTGTCAACATTGGAAAAGCGGATCCGCATAAACCACGGAAATCATCCATGTCAAGAGCCCACGCTGCAGCACCAGCCAAACTAGATGTTTTAACAAATCGCATCTGTAACAAAATAATACATATACTTAGAGAATCTAATAAGTATTTATTATGTAATTATTCGTTTCTTATATTGAAAGTACCTTTTCTAAAATGGTATTAGGAGTATCATATGTTATCCATTGGTTGTCAAACACAGCATAAGCATTTCCAGCTTCATCTATATTAGTCATGCCTTTGCCTTCACGTTCAGCCATACATATCTGAAAAACATTTTCAATATAACTATCAAGTTGTATTTTGGATATAAGGTTCTTGAAAATTGATCACGATTACCTCAAAATATGCTAATTTTCCTTTAATCTGGGTATATTGTCCTTCTTCCCCCCACCCATTTACATAAGCTCCTGGTGAGGGCTGTGTTGACCCCACTAATGTATAGCTGCGTCCAAATAAAGGTATACCAAGAACTAGTTTCTCTGCTGCCATAGAGTGTCGTATGAGGTATTTTACAACGAATTCCTAAAAATACATTTTAAATAATTAATGTCACTAATATGCAATAATAAACTGACCATTTACTAATCAGTTACACACAATGTTATCATATCTTTGATCCCTGGAGGATGCGCCTGGGTCTCGGTGTAGTGCGCTATGCTGAAGAGCCCTAGAAGGCGCTTCATCTTTTTTTCCATGAATCATATCCCATGCCTGAAGAACAGCATAATCTGTGGCACCGCTGACTGCACTTAAATCATAGCCATCTTCTATTTGATATCTAGATGGCGGCAAAACGGTAGTTAAAAGGAATCCGTAACTCGAAAATTTCTCTCTCATTTCATAAAGTAGAGATGTAAGTAAATCTTTTTCTTTATCATCTTTTTCACCTGGAAGCAAGAAATAATTAACTTTTAACAAATAGACATTGCTTAAATAATTCTATGTATAAATGAATCAACATACCAGGATATACCCAGTGAAGATCGAGTCCATCGAAATCGTGTTCTTGTAAAAAGTTTAGGGCGCTATCTATAAACTTGCTACGACTTCTTGGACTTTGAACCATTTCACTGAACAATCTATCTGTGCCATCGCCACCCACGCTTATAATTACTCGGATACCAGGTAAACTTTGTTTCAGACCAGTTGCAATGCGATAACCACCTAAAAATATACCATATTAAAGTCAATCAAGCGATCCTTTTACCTATGAGTTTATGTATTATAGTATATTAGCGAAAAGTACCTTTTATAATATCATAGTCCTCATTTGCTGGTATAATAGCATATGTGTGAGGGTGTATAACCGCAAACGCATAATGCAGGTGTGTGCAGGACTTTGGCACAAGACTCGCTGTGAATGCCAAAGGCGGTGCACGATACGCTGCCCAGGACTCCAGGTAGCATACTACCAATCGACGAGAATCGGTACCAGTCGCCGTTTGTTGCATTTCTAAGTATAAAGTAATCTTGATAAATAATTAAAAAAAAAACGTCTACAGAACTGATATATGTATAACTGTTAATATTTACCTTGAAGGTTAGCGTTACCATGGTGCAGGCGTTCGTCATTTATAGTACCACTGTGGATAAATAAATAATTATCTTGTAAATGTTATTAATAATAATATTCTTCACTAATTTGCTAAAAAACTGCTTTATGTTAAATAATATTTACCTATCCCTAGACTTAGTAAATAAATCTTTGACTTTGCAATATTTCTTTAATCTTGTTAGAGGAAAAATGGAGCCACTAATAAAAAAGTAACAGACGGGTATTGTCAGCTGTTTATGTCATGGTGAACGCAACACTTCACATGCCTACATTGCGCAGGGTTCGATATACAGTATGTACTCGTATATAATGCAAGTAACCCAAGTAAGTAAAAACTTTTTAAGGCCAAGTTCAGAGCAGCAGTGTCTGAACTAGTCCAAACCTGTATCTCAGTCACCAGTGCCCCCTTAAAGATAACATGTATCTTAAAGTTAGGTATACAATTTTTAAAGGATTAAATAATAAGACAAAAGTATACCCTACTTTTATCTTATTATTTAATCCTTTAAAATATAACTTACTTATTTAAATAACTAGCCGCGCCATAGAATCTGTTTAATCCTTCTAAATTTGGTTCCGTTGGTATATTCTCTACATCCTGAAACATGTTACATTTATTAACCATTAATAACAATAGTGAAAAGAAACTGATATAAATAAAAAAAATAAGATACTATACCTGAGTAAATTTGAGTCTGTTGTTAGGATTTATGACGGAAATCAGTCTTTTCTCTACCGCATCCCGCAAAGGCAATCTCCCTTCTCTTTCCTCACGAAGACTCCTGTCATGGATATAAAAATATAAAAGATATGGTTATACATACAGGAGACTTTAATATAAATAATTTTGGACACGTAAAAATATACATATTTTCGATATATGCTTTCTAACCTGTTTTTTTACAAATACTATCGTCTAATGGAAATTATAAACGAATTGACAATGTTATATCACTAACAATTCAAATTAAATATCTAGCTGAATATGAGTTATTATATATGATATATAAAAGAAGCTTTACCCAAGTGGTACGCTTTCAACAGAAGCACGGATAGGGGTTGCTATCGGTTCATGTTCAGGTATAGTTTCCACTGCACTTCTTAAAAATGAATAGCCATCATGGTGTGGTGAAGCTGATGAAACGACGCACAAACTTGACACTATCAAAGAGACGTGCTGAAACAATGTTCCATTATTGATTGTGTATATTTTTTTAGCATCGTGCCATATTTAATCGCGAAATTAGTAGTTTACATATTCAGATGTGATCTGGTTTAAGTAATTTATAAAGCAACTTTAAGTTACTTTATAACAATGTCCATTGTTTTTTTATTTAGGTATTAAGTAGGTATTATTAAGCATTAGTAACGACAAATTTATTCACCAATTGATAGCTAACAAATTTCAGATTTAAATGGACAAAGGTTTGAAGGATGTTGACCTATCTTAGAGCTTTGTATACGTTATTCAACAATGCGATTGGATCGATTACCTTGTGAACATTTCACGCATTTATAGGTCCGTTAGACAGCGATCATAAAGAATCTGTGTAAAAAATCTTCTATCATCGACCACTTTATATACTAGGACTATTCTATAGAGTCCAAAGAAAAGCTATAATGAAGATACTTTGCTGTCTATTGTTCCCATTCGCGGCGCCTGAATTAGTAGAATGGGATGCGTAGGCAGTGACGGTTCAATAACCTATTGATCAAGTATCGCACTTCTTTGCGTAATTTGCATAACTTGACAGAGTCAAACTTAACATCAACACTTGAGACTGGTTCAACAAAGTTTATATTTATTCTCATTTTACATCTGATATTTTTGTAGTGTCAATGGCCACATTCTAAACGCTTGAATCCCTAATTTGAAGACAGAAAGACTTCAAAATGATATGATATCATATCTGTCTGACAAGTAGAAACTTATACCGTAATTATATATAAGACTATAAAACAAAGTCTCCACCCTGTCGATACTAGATTATAAATCAATAAGCAAGCAAGTGACACACCAACTATCAAGTATTTTATTTTTAAGTTTAAGTATTTTTCTATTTTATTTTTCTAAGTATTATCGTCGGTGTGGGATTGTCAAAATATTATGAGGATAAGACATATACAATCATGAAAAAACAGAAAATGTTATATACAGAGGCCGTGATATTTTCAGGTGAAAATGACCTAAAAGATCAGATTATTAAACACTATTGATTACTTAATTACCTATGTGGTTTTGCATGGGTCAGATCAAGTTAAAGTCTTCGTTGAATCATATAAAATTGTCTTTTGGCTTTATTTAATAAACAGAAAAATTTTATATGCATCTCAAAACTACTCCACTCATTACATATCGGCGTTACATTTATAAATTCTTATTATAGAATTAAACTAAGTTTAAAGATCATCGACATGTATTTAATATTGTTTAAGAATTTGTTGCAAAGTAAAAACAAAAGTCTAAGTCTATTTTAAAGCATTTTTGGTGCGGGTATACTGATCTAATAAATTAGAGTGTTAAACAGACACTAGTACATTGACACGGCGTGCTCAGAAAACAATAATTTGCATACAGGCTTCGAAGGCAGGTAGTCGTGCGCCGGGGTCATCGTAATCACCTCATCCCAACCAGTCCAAGGTATTTTGGTGCGACATTTCGCCAATCGATTAGGACCGAATCTTTGTTTTTTTACAACTGGACTGGGAAGGTTGTTAATCTGCTTTATATTCAAATTAAATGTTATTAGTTTCTATCCAAGTTGCAGGGTAAGATTGCTTTGATCAATGATGCCAATTAGCATTAATGAGTTTTAAAGTACAGGCATAAAATTCAAATGGTCAATTAAACAAATTACATGCACCTTACCAAACCATAAATATGTTAAAATTTTAATATATAAAAAACTTAAAATTTATTTGGTTGTATTTAATTCGAACTACCTAATACCACAAATAAAAAATAAATAGGAATTATTATTAACTATGGGGTGGATGTTAACAATAATAGTTAACGAATATGACGTTCATGTCCTAATATAAATTTTTGTGTCTATATAAATTTATGATTTAAACTGTCTAGGTTGAATATTTTTAAAGGTCTCTACTTTATTTATAACTATCCTTAATAGGTAGTCTTTGTTTTACAATTTACCTTGTTTACCTGTGTGCGGTAGAAATAATTAAGTTAATCAGTAACCAGCGGAGTTCTCAAGTTCAACACATAGGAAGGCCGTCTGATAGATATATAAAAGGTCCCTATTAGTATTATTTTGAGCGCAACTTGCGTCTGCCTGTTTGCACGTGCATGCCATATATTGTAGAGACTGTGTATTTTATCTTATACTTTGTTTTAATTATAATCTATTTAAAAGCTGTATTTACTACTTAATATAAGCACTGTATTAAATACTTAATATATTCTATAATATGATACTTCTCTTATTAAGAGGAAAGTATCTACTTTAAATATAGATAGGTTTGAAGTAGAATATGTTAAAGCATTTTGTCATAATGTATGTACTCGTATGTAGAGGTAACTAATGGAATGCTAACTATACGGAATGAATACTGGATACTTTTATAATTTATTGTTTGATATTGTCGTAAATCTATTCTATATCTCTATAATCTGTACATCTATACCACTGTAAGTCTCTATATACAATCGCATACATTATCCTTCCTTCTGTTCCGCGCCTCTCTAGATAGTAAAACCATAAAACATAATGCTCTTCGACAGTAAATAATGCAAGCAACCATTGGGTAGATAATAATAACATTTTGATAGCGATAATCTAACATAACTATCTACTATAAGTGACATAAGTACTTCAATCAAAGCAATTTCTGCATTCGGCATGATCTAGTCTTTAACACTGTTCTAAAAGTACCTACTCGTCATTCTGGCATTTTTAAAGCTTTAAATGCCGCTTGCAACGACAAAGTAACTAAATATCAGCAGTCTGAATATTCATAATATTTCTGTACTCTTTTTTGTATTACGATAAAATTATTCGTGACATTATTATAGAAATGTTTTCAAGTTTGTCGCATATATGTGCTCGTATCGTACCTGTTACTGACTTGCGGCCTACGAAACAACACATTTCAACATAGATTAAGGAATAACTTATATTACTATTCGTGGAAATTAAATATATATATATATATAGGTAATATCCATCTACGTCCACGCTTCCCAGAGTATTTAATGAAATATTTTAAGTTGAGAGAGTGTCACCGTAGTCTGATACTGTTTCGTCGGTATCACATCCATTATATGTACATACATGGACACCTACTATCCTATAATAATCGCGGCTTACTTGCTTGTATTGCTTAAAAAAAAAACAATGTTATGCATTGACAATGAGCCAAGTACCTACTTAGTACAATCGGTAAAACGAATGGTGTATACCTACTATAAATGTTTGTACTGCTCACATTTAAAATAGGTATGCTTCATCGAGTTCTAAATATCGTAGGAAAATGCCGATGTATCAATAAAAACAAATAAATCAATGAGTTCAGTGAACCTATAATTAATAGGTAAATTAATTGCTTAGGTTATTAGTGTATGTTAATTTAGTTTTAAATGAATTTAAAAGTTTATTGTATGTAAGTAATGAATTTTATTATACATATACGACATATGTAATTATTTCTACTTATATAGTGATATCAAAAATTGTGGTTAGCATAATCTACACCTAGGCTTAATGTGCGCGTAGAATAAATTTTATAATGTGACATAGTTCCAATTTATACAGTGCAATAGGTGTTCTGAAACTGACCACAATGTTCAGTTTGAACATAACTAAACGTTCACTTGGATCTGAAGCAAATGGTAGTAAAACAAATCTTTTATTGTCATCTAAAGTTTAAATGTTGTGGGGTGTAAAATGTTATGTAAAGGTTTAAATGGTGATTGTAAAAGTAATAAAACCCCGGCCGTTTTTGTTTACATTTCCCTCATACCTAAGTGAATATACAATTATAATCATGAAGCATTATATTAGTAAGTATTCATTTACTTCTGTTCTAGAATTATCGTTAACAATAAATAAAATTACTTACCCAAATATTATTTCGCCCCATAATGGGGAGCTTTTAAACCACAAATGCTTGATAAAATATATATCTGTAATAACAAAACAAAAAAATATAATTGAAATATTTTATATTTACTGCTATTTTAATTTATTTTATTAGAGGTCACTAATTGCATGACTTAAATAAAAGCTACTGTTCTATTTTATTTACCTATTGACTATTAGGTATATTATCACAATAATTAATCTAAGGAGTGATTTTGGGCTCCCTTTGGTAGAGGTGACTGTATTTTGATCGTGTGTGCCGGGGACTGAGTGGCCGGCGCGTTCGCATCCTAGTGTTAAATATATTCGGTGTCATCGTGCTTCTCATCTTGGATACATACACGTTCATTATGTGTATATGACACTGGATTTAGGGGAAATACTTTGTCCTCTAATCACGACTTGTTCAAGCAATTCTAATGTCATTCTTTAAGGTGTTTTAAATCTATTACTAAATAGTGAAAACAACCCTTATACAGTTTTCAGCATGATTATTTGTGTATATAGCACAACATTTGATACAGTACCTTAAACAGCATCCAAATGTAAAACTTACCACCATAGTATTTTTAATAGTTACCATACCTCTGTAAGCGCTTCTGTAAATGTAGGTACTTGTAGGTAACTTGAATACCATAGAACGAGGGATAAAAAATAAAATAAATAATTGTTTATAGATAGAGGTCACAAGTTAAGTAGTTTTTAAATTACAATGTTAAGTTAATATACACGTAGTTTGTATGTGTCTTTTTCTCTTTCGTCACATTTTTTATACTATATTTACGATATATAATAGGTATCTATTTAGATTATAACAAAACAAATGTTTGATTTGGTTTCAATGTTATGTGAGATAGAAATCGATATATTTATCAATCCTATATACATAAACTGTAGACATAAATATGGTTATTCTCATGGTTACACTGACTAGCCATTTATTATTTCCGAATAGTATACCGGTTTTCACTGATTTAGTATAAGTTTAACGATAAACATTTTTATGTTTTGTATATGAACTGAGAAATAAAAATAAATTCAAATTTTATTGCTATTCAAATTACATGTGCTAACTAGCTGTTACCTGCGACTTCGTCAGCGGTAGAATTTTTATTGTTAAAATAAATTAATTTTCTAAAATAAAAGTAGCCTAAGTTACTTTTTATATCATAAGCTAGCTCCAAATAAAACAAACAGCCAGATAGACCAAAACATTTATAATAAATTTTAAGATGTAAGTGTGTAGACATTTAGTGAAAAGCTGTTAATTTGATATTACAAAAAGACGCTTCAATTCTATTTTTTATATAGGTTGTATACTTTTGAAACATATTTTATATATATGCCTATATATAAATTTTAAAAAGGAGCGACAAGTCGAAATCCCGTTTTAGTTTTCATGAAACACACTTACCTTCTCCGAAGAAAAATGAAATAAAAAATATTTATTGATCGTTGTACCCTTTCCGTTACAGCCTGAATAAGAACATGTTACAATTTCTTAGTTTTAGAGTGATAACGTTTTTAAATAGATCCTATTATAATATATTTAAGTAGATATAAATTATTTTTCAAGTATCCACTGCAATAAATCTAACAACACTCACTATGTAAAGTTGTACACTAACCATAAGTTTATTATCATGATGTCACTTATACACACAATACAGAATCAATTATAACATTGTCCTTACACTTGCTGTCAGTTTTCACTAGTTCCGTACCATCTTCAATCAACGAATACAATGATATGAAGTAGGTATAAGTATCTACTTTACTAACATGCGTTTGTGCGAAGTAAGTTGTAAGGAGTGCTCAACCAGTGTTATATCAAGAATAAAAACTTTGTTAGTGGTCATTGACTGTTAAATAGGAATGGAATATCTACTCTTATCTATCTCTGCAACTACCAAAATTGCATTTATAACTGGGAGTAAAATATTACTTATTTATTATAACTTGGATGTTTATAACCTAATACTTCCTATAACTATTCATTATTATTAGTGCATATATATGTACTTTATTATCATTGATTATTTTATTATCACCTCCATCTTTGTATTTCACTCCCAGAGTTATGAATTACTCTTACCCAAGCCGCTCAGCAAAATAATCAATATCTCTTGACTATGTAGTGCGTCTGGAATTACTGACGTGAGGATTTGTTTTTTATTTATTTGATAATAATAGATAAAAACGAAATCCTTCCACTGACTCCAATGGCCGTAAGAGGCTTAGTGTATTCTTTTTATTCAAGTTACTCTAGTATAAAAAGATGAGATGAGTTGAGATCACGTAAACTATGTTAGTTTTATTATCAAAGAATATTCTGTAAATAGAAAATTCACGCAGGTTTATTTTTATAACAATGTGACTTTAAATAAATTAATACGTATTATTATAAATCATGAATGTTAATAAGAATAAAACGAAATCATATGTTTAGTAATTAATTGATTAATTTAAGTAATAAATGATGATGTTAATATGAAAATAAACTATAGTTGATTTTTGTGCGATATATGTAAAATATTTTATATAAGAATACTATTACAACTAAACGGTTGGCCACTTCTGACAGCATTTTATCATCTGGTGATTGTATAGAAGCGTGCGTATGACCCTGTTCCTTGGAGTGCTGATGCGCTGGCGCACTGGGCGCTACCGTAATTATTATGCACGTTGCGTTCCTTCCTTTCTTCCCGCCAATGTCGCCCGCATTGTTTGTCACCACATCGATGCCTATTCTACCTAACTGTACACCCACTAAGTGGACCCTGAAATTGGCATTGCCCTTGTTTAATTCTCAAACTTGACCTGGACGCGTGACCTAGCTGACATTTCTAATGAAGTCACCATCCCAAAGTATCTGTGTATGCACTTTTGTAAATAGTTGGTGGATTTTCGTTATATTTTATATTTTAGGTTTGGTGGATTTTCTATGCATGATCTACACAGATATGTATTTTGTTTCAATATGTCATATTCAATCAATTATTATTTCTAGAAAGCACTGTGAAGATCATAATGATCGAATTTAAAATTCGATCATTATTATTATTTTTAAAAATAAATACAGGATTTTTTAAGTCAAGATAAAGAAGAATGAAACAAAATGGTAAAGATATCGCGTAACGTACAAAAATACCTGCACAAAGGATCGTATTCAGAACATCTTTCTTGAAATAATAAAATATCAAATATAAGTCTTCACATTATCAAAGATCTGTCGCAAAAGAGTAGTAGGCGGCCTCGATGGTTTAGCGGCACAGCACACCGCTTTACTTCCGATAGTCGCGGGTTGCAAACTTTTGGATTCATGAGTATGAATGTTTGTATTGGTCTGGATGTATATTATGTATGCATTTACAAAAAAAAATGTATTTAAGTATTTGTGGGTATTAGTTGCTAGTACCCATAACACAAGCTATAATTAGATGGCGCTGTGTGATTTGGCCTGGACTATTATATTAATATTAGGTATAAATGTTGTTGAACTTAGTTTATTGTTGTATGAATATGAGAATTATTACAGTTTATTAGGTTCTTAATAACAGTACTTGACGTCGTGAACAAAGCTAGAAATAATATTGTTCAGTTTCTAAACGCGTCATGTAAATTAGTTTCTGACCAGTCACCGCTATATACAATATTTGTTCAAAGTCTAGATGTAAACAATGCATAAGTCATAACAGACTTGAATAGTGACATTTTTTAAAAAGATGTACATCCCGTTATTTTTATACAAATGAAGCGTTTATCAATTGTTTTGCTTGCGTTAACTTGGTTTCGCGACGTGTGATACCTACTGCTCCGGATCTTATTGCCCTTTTCAAAGTTGCTTTAAAGGGAACCTGTTTATGTTAACATTAAAAAAGTGCTATGTATATTTACAAGGGTAGAGGCCTGCGGGTGCATCACGAAGATTCACGATCAAGTTCAAGGTGGGCCGTTGGCATTTTGGGTGATTCGTCAATGAGTATATGAGTGACGAGGACGAGGACCGTCGCCCACATCCATGTAACATTATAATTATTTATGTATTGATATGTAATTAAACACAAAGATTCTATTGTTGTAATTTTATTAAACAGAGATGTAGGTACCTGTGTTATATCCAGCAAAGGTTAATGACTATTTTTTTTTTTTTTTTTTTATTGGGTTGTTTGGGCTATTGTCAGATGTGTAGCACCTGTAGCACTGCGACCTACAAAGATCTATTGTGCTCGCCCTTTTCAGAGTTCGCTACCTAGACCCGTCAGGGACAAGAATTGAAGGATATTCTTAGGAGCGATCGTTTTTATCTCCTCGGGAAAGAGTGTAAACTTTCCAAAGGAGATATTTCGTTTATGCATGAGTGGGCTACAACCACATAGGATGTGAAGCGGCGTTTCCTCTTCAGTTTGGCAGAATCTGCAGATACTAGTCGTGCATAGGCCTAGCTTAGCCATATGCTTGTTCAATTTGCAGTGTCCTGTGAGGGCCCTAGTCATCATGCATATGTTGTTTTTACTCAATAGCAGTAATCGATTGGAGTATTTGGTCGACCCGATATAAGGTCTTTTGAATGTATTAATCCTGGCATTTCTTGCCAGTGATTCAGTGCTTCTCGTTTGGTTATTAATTTGAGATGTCCCAGTTTTAGGCAACGAGGCACACCACAGAAGGGTTCGGTTTTGGACGGTTTTTGCCCCTAACTTTGCCAGATGGTCGGCATTCTCATTGCCTTCAATATTTGAATGCCCGGGGACCCATCTCAGAATAATATTATTTCTGCTTCCTACTTCATTTAGTAGCAGGATACAGTTTCTAATAAGTTTAGAACGGATTTCGTACGAGTTAAGTGCTAGTAGAGCAGCTTGACTGTCCGAATAAATGTATATGTTCTGATTGATGTAGTTGAGGCTTAGGATTACTTCCAGACATCTAATTAAGGCGTAAGTCTCTGCCTGAAAGATTGAGGCGTATTTTCCTAAGCCTATATAGTTGCAGATTTTGGGTTTTACACCACATATTCCACATCCTACATCATCTCCTATTTTGGACCCGTCTGTAATGACTAGGTCATGCTCTGAGTGAGACGGTGTATGGTTATTTTGCCATTCGTCTCTTCCAGATATTTCGATTTTGTAATATTGTACAAAGTTACACTCTGGTGCCATGTTGTCTTCAGGCATTCCCAGAATAGGATCACTCATAATCGAGTCTTGTATAGTTTTTATGGCCACCTTTGGGAACTTATTCTGAGCATATTGGCTTTCGCCTTTTCCTGTATGAATAAAGAAGATGCGTCAAGTCCAATAATGCGTCTAGAGCTTATGGTGCTCATGGCTCCTGTGTTAATGACTATATGATAGCTTATTTTATTGATTAAATTCATTTCAAACGAAACATGGGTCCGGTTTCATTTTAGATCCATAAGAATCATCATTGTTTGAGATTTAATAATATTACATGTGTATTGTACACACACATTATGTTATACCTAAAGGCAATACTTCTATTAAATAGATATTTATGTAATAATTAATACGTAACAAGATCTTTTTTTTCAACTAGTAAAATTCTCTTTCTATAGATATTTTCCGTCTAGAACATGCAGCCATCTATTAATTCGGCTTCACCGTGCTGTAATATACCTACCTACCTATAACCTGAAAACTAAGTCCTCCGAAATGGCTAAGAATAAACACATGACTCATATGATGGCAATAAATTATAGTTAAATTCTGTAAGTCAGGTTTACTAGAATTATTAAATTTTGATTTCTTTTACAATTTAATTTCGTAATGACACTGGATTTAGGGGAAATATTTTGTCGTCTAATCACGACTTGTTCAAGCAATTCTAATGTCATTCTTTAAGGTGTTTTAAATCTATTACTAAATAGCAGTGGCACTTCGTGAAAAAATAGCCATTATTATTGGTAAAAATTGCATATAGATGGCGTGATTGGTATCGATGGAATTGTTCATAGTTTTGCCAACGTTTTAAAAAACAAAATTGTGTTTTCAAAAAAGTTTAATCTATTTTTAAAAAGTTATTACACCGTTAGCGCAGGTGGGTGCACAATAGCTACTCATCCATAAAAACTATATTTCTGGACACACACATACATATATTTTGTAACTTCATAGTAATTTTCATGTTGATTAGAAACATAGCTAATTAGCCACAGGGAAGTAAGGAGTTTATTTACTTAAAAAAACATTAAGAGAGGTTACTTTAGAGTAGGAGCAATTTCAAGAACACAACAGCACTTATAACATTCAGATATGTATTTCAATAGCATTACGCAAATTTTTCATAACTATTGAGTTTTCTACTTTAGAACCCAAATATACATAATTATATTGTTGTAAATCTAGCGCCATCTATTATCCAGCTGTAGTACTTTTAAGTTTGTTATGCTATTGAAAATGCTTTGAGTGAAAGATGGTTATCATTTGTCCGCATAGATGTAGACATAGTAGTCTCGAAATAAAATAAAATTAAATATACAGGAATGATTGTTGTCTCGGGTTAGTCAGAGATTATATAATGATAATTACCGATGCTATAGTGAACACTTGGACTAGTTGTCCACATTTCGCTGGGTATATTTAAATCCAAAGTGGTAGGGAAACCTACCACCGTCTCTCGAAAAATTTTTTGGTTTTATTATTAGCGTTGTTTGCTTCGGTGAAGTCTGAATTATAAATTGACTAGCAGTTTTCTAGTAATTATATTTTTGAGCATTATCACGGAATTTATCCGTTTTACATATTTCATTTCTACTATTTTAATCCGACTTCTAAACAGAAAGCACTTTTAAACCATATTATTAATTTTTTTAATTATGCAGGCTCCAAATGGTTCATTCTCCCGGTCGTATATTGGTAAAAAAAAAACAATATTTTATAACGGTCGTCTAACGCCACTTGCCCGTGGTGATGTCGACCACCCTCAACACACACCGGATTACCAAAACATTCTATCTATCTAAATCTAATCTATCTCAAGAATCTCTACCACTATACGTTGTTAACGGTAGGTTGCTAACTTATCTGACTTCATATTAGTTAACTTAGTATTTATTTCTTAAACATTTCACTAGTTACGGACCCCTAGAAATTCCAAGGATCCCCTTAATAAAAAAATAAGGAATAAATTTGGGAGGATTTATTTTTTAGACTTCTATATATGTATAGACTCACGAGAGCGAGTCTTAAGACCAGAGATTAAGGAATACCGTGATAAGTGATTGTAATGACTTCACCAGTACTTCATATATGCTATAGTAATCTAACCTGTAGATACATTGGTCAACAAAATTCTTATCATTGGAATATATAAATAACCCTGGACAAATAACACAGCGCCATCTAGTCTAGGTAAGCAGAACTTGTATTGTACTAGACAACTGATATAAATACTTACTATATTACTTACTTTTTTTTCTGTAAATACATAAGATACATTGAAAACACCCAGACCGACAAACACTCATGAATATAAATGACTGCACCGTGCGAGGAATTGAACCCGCGACCATCGGAAGTAAATCGGTGTGCTAAATAGCTAGACCACCGAGGCTGTCAAAATAAATAAATGAATAATGTTAGAAAAGTTTTACCAATAAATTCACATGACGATACTTATTTGGTACATATAATTTATATAATTTATTTAACAGTGGAGACAAATCTTAGTATGTTATCATCGGCGTCGATTCAGCGCTGAGAGAGATGAACTTAAAGTGCTCTCAAAACAATAGATAACAAGAAATACTTAGGATACTGACAAGTCAGATCGATAACTACAGCAGTTACGGTTTAAAATAAGATTAAATAAGACGTTTACTTGCTTGCCTTATTAATTATATTATTAATTATGACATCGGAGAGTTATCAAGTATTTTTAAGTAGACGTATAGTAACTGAGAGTAAAATTTTTGATGGTGGTGTTTTGGTTAAAGATGGTGTGATAGAACAACTGCTGACAAGGGAAGAAGTGAACAATCTCGTTATAGAAAATGACGGCAAGATTGAGGTAAATGGATCTCTTGATTATGATAATAAGTAAGTAGATATGGAACCTCCGTAATTAATAAAGAGTGCACAGTTCCAGTAGCGTGCTTAAATGACCTCCTAATCACAATAAAGTTACCTTCAGTCATGATACTAACTAATGAAATCCACAATTGTTATTTAATCTTCAATCAGTTACAGATTGTTGGTATTTATATTAAACTAAATTAAATTAATTTATTAAATTTTCTGTCAATGATACAGTAAAAATCTTGTTATGGTAACAAGATTTCTATTTACTATCTAAAACAGACAGCGTTTTGACATAATCATTGTACTTATATTAAAATATGAGCACTAAAATTTTATATGTTTAAATACATATTAATGGAGCCCGTAATAGAGGAATTTACTTTGAAACCGCTTTTTCAAGTAAATTCCTAAGCACGGACGTGCGTTTTTACGAGGTCTAAGATTTCATGGAAGTTTTACGAGTATGCAGGTCTCGTAGAACCCATGCTCTAATAAATTAGTGTAGAATTCCTTATATAGTTCATAATACAAGCATCACTGAATCAACAAAACTATAGTTAGACCATTTTTATTTAAAAAACTGTGTATTGTTTCAGGTGATAGATGGTGGTAATTCTGCGTTAATAGCTGGCGTGGTCGATTCACATGTCCATGTGAATGAACCTGGTCGCACGGCCTGGGAAGGGTTCCGTACTGCAACTAGCGCGGCGGCTGCTGGCGGTATTACCACCATTGTTGACATGCCACTGTAAAGTTCTTTTATAATGTATTCTTTTCATTAATAACCACATATATAATAGAGAACGTGTGAAAACGTTTATATATGTATACCCGTCCGAAGCAGGGGCGGTTAGCTAGTTTGATTATATACTCGTATCAAATTCCAGAAATTCAATACCACCGACTACAACACTAATGAACCTGAAAATTAAAGCCTCCGCAGCTGTTGGGAATGTTTTTGTTGATATCGGTTTTTGGGGAGGAGTCATTGTAGGAAATCAGGTAAATACTATATAGTATTTTTTATAGGTAGGTATTTTTAATTTGTTATTTGTATTTAAGAATTTTAATTAAGATATTTTCTATGTATAATTAACTAATAAAATCTTTCAGAATTCCCTTCGAGATTTGGTGAAGGCTGGTGTTGTGGGATTCAAATGTTTCCTCTGTCCTAGTGGCGTAGAGGAATTCCCAAATGTGGAGCCTCAGGACCTTGAACATGCTTTTGCCGAGCTCGAAGGAACCGGAACAGTATTAGCAGTAATTACATCTCATATACATATATTGTTACTTAGCGTATAAATCTAACGAGACTGTACATAAATAGTTATTTAGGTACAGTTAGGTAATAAGTATATTAATTAGTGATTCTTCACAATTTTTTTAAGTAAAACTAGGTACATTATTATTAGACACACACAATTTTAATAAGTACTAGATAGACTGTATGCACTAAACAATAAGGCAAGTGTGATAAGATGCAAAAGGAGGTGTTCCTATTCATGTTAATTCTTATGATGACGATTTAACTAAACGTTTTGCGTCTTATATATAGATAGATATATTGTTACTTTTTTTGTAGTGGGATTATTTCTCTCCGCTGCTAGTAAATCCTACATATTAATTTTCTATGCAATAGATTTATTTATTTTTGTTTATTAGGTAATATTTTACAGTTCCATGCCGAAATTGAAGAAGACAATATTACGCTAAGAAATAATATCAAAAAGAAAGGTAAGTGTAGATGATAAAAAAACTAAACATTTTAGTAATGTCTACGTGGATTACGAAAATTGCCTTTATTTTTTAAATTTTCTATTGCCATATAATTTTGAATGTAAGTGTACTTACATGTACCCAAAATATATTTATTATTTAACTCTTTATCTACGAATTACACTCATAATAGTGATTATTTCAAAATACTCGTCTTACTTTCAGATCCCGAAGAATATACAACCTACCTGGAAACGCGGCCGCCGTCAATGGAATTGAATGCCATAAAGCTTATAAATAATTTTGTTCAGAAGACTGAGTAAGTCTGTAGAGTGAATTTAGACACAACTTGAATTTACAATTACACAGACAGACATTTATGCTATCATTTTTTTGAGTTAGGATTACGTTTACAAATGACTGGAATGTTGTATATAGATTGTTGTCATATATACTCGTATTGCGGAATATGGTGTATAACATTATATTGTCTTTGCGACAATTATAGGTAGGTATATAAATTAATAATTTACCTCTGTAGAATATCTTGTAAAACATTGTTTAAATTACAGTGTTCGAGTGCATATAGTGCATGTGTCATCAGCGAATGTTGTGCCAATGTTAGAAGAGGCGCGTCGGGGAAGATTGTCAGCCGGAAATAAATCCTGGCGAGGGGGCGTTACTGCGGAGACCTGCCATCATTACCTTACCCTCAGCTCCGATCAAATCCCACGGGGATGCAGTGAATATAAGTGCGCACCACCCATCAGGGATAGTGATAACAAGGTAGACTGAATTGCAATAAATAAATTATGTTTTTAAATCTATCGTTGTTTGGCAACCAAGACACAACCAATGAGCCAATACAATGAAGACTATAGACAAGCTGAAATTAGGAACGGGTTTATATCATAAAGTAGGTAAGCATTTGCTAAGAAACTAATTTGGAGTGGAGCACTTTAAAATTATGTGACAGGTAACAGTAACAGGCAATAACTAATATATTTTTAATATATTAAAGAAAAGTTAAAACTATTCAGTAAGGTCATCAGTCACGTCGTTTGATGTGAGACATTTTTTTATTTCCCTTGTTATCTTCCTATATATACCCGTCAGGTGACTTAGTTCAGTAATATGAATATGATAGGATAATTTTTTTTTCCAGGAGAGGTTGTGGAAATATTTATTAGAGGACAAACTTGATATGGTTGTTTCTGACCATTCTCCTTGCACTCCCGAGCTTAAGTGCAGTAATAATTTAGAAGCATGGGGCGGAATATCTTCTGTACAGTTTGGTAATATGTTTATGTTTATTTATTAAAGAAAACATAATATGTGGAATAATAGATTCATGCATTTATTTATCATCTGCAATTTATACAAATTCAATTACAAACATGTTATACACAGGCAGTTAATATTTTTTTAGTAATGCATTTGGAACAATAATACTTTATATTCGTTTCATATGAGGAATTATCAATATTATAAGGCTTTATGATTATAAATGATATACACATTTAAATCTCTTCTCTCTAACGAAGTCTTGCATTACCTGGACTTGTTACTAGTTACTATTTAATTATGATTAAAGCTATTTAATTTGCTCATCCATAGGTTACAACAGACAAAACTTATGTAAGAGGTATATACCAGTATATAGTCATATAAAAAAATATTACGTTGATTAATAAATAAGTAAATTTTAACTGCAGTTTGTGGATACTAAAAATGTAATAAAGAAATGTTATATGATGGTTGTTTGAGTTTGTTATCATAAATCTCTTTTGGACCTAAATTAATGAAGATATTTTGTTTTGTATCCATAAATTCTTTTGCAGGCTTATCTTTATTTTGGACAAATGCTAGTGCACGTGGTTTGGATTTGCGGAGTATCAGTAAATATTTAAGTTCTAATACTGCATTGCTTTGCGGTCTTGAAGATAAAAAGGGAGCAATAAAACCTGGGCTGGATGCTGACCTGGTGTTTTTTGACCCAGATTCTACATTCACAGTAACTTCAGAAATTATACGTCATAAAAACAAGGTAAATAGGCATAGGTACACAGATCTATTTACTCTCTTATGCATCAAAACCATTGTAAGGGCCACAGCAAGTAGGTATAACGTGACATGATAACATATGTTTCATTTGTATCTGGTGAGATTTCGTTTTGGATTTGTAGTCAATGGAGCAATAAAACCTGGGCTGGATGCTGACCTGGTGTTTTTTGACCCAGATTCTACATTCACAGTAACTTCAGAAATTATACGTCATAAAAACAAGGTAAATAGGCATAGGTACACAGATCTATTTACTCTCTTATGCATCAAAACCATTGTAAGGGCCACAGCAAGTAGGTATAACGTGACATGATAACATATGTTTCATTTGTATCTGGTGAGATTTCGTTTTGGATTTGTAGTCAATGTTGAGTTTACTTATAATTATGGAATAAATAATCATTACATAGTATAAAACAAAGTCGCTGTCGCTAACTGTCCGACCCTATGTAAGCTTAAATCTTTAAAACTACGCAACGGATTTTGAAGCGTTTTTTTTACAGATAGAGTGATTCAAGAGGAAGATTTGTATGTTTGTATTTGATATGTATAATACCTGTACACCCGGGCGACGCCGGGGTGAGTAGCTAATATAAAATAAAAGACATCTGTATTTTAAATTATAAATATGTAGGTATATTGCAAATATAGACATCCATTATTGAACTGTTTTGTCCCTTTTATTCCATTTTGATTTATTTCTTGTGTTATTCCTTCCAATTCTAAATTATGCCTTCATATCTTGTAATTTAATTGCCATATCTCATATTCTAACGAAAATACAGCTTACAAATCGCGCTGCTTGGCTGGTAAAATGGTGCTAAAATAGGTAAAATAGACTAATTTGTGCAAAATCTGACTCAATAAAGTAATATTGATAATATCCATAAAATGTTTTATTAAACATGGTTGTGTTTGTTAATATTTCAGTTGACTCCATACTTGGGGAAAGAACTACAGGGTGTGGTAAAGCAGACTTACCTACGTGGACAGCTTATATACGATGGTTCAGATGTATTAGAAGAACCCCGAGGAAATTTATTGTTGAATAAATTTGTGCCAACCTGAAAATTTTATCAACTCACAATGGACAACAAAGCCCACATTATTCAGGGAACTGTCGTAGCATTGTATAATCTACTTCAGATAATATATAAGATGAAAACAAATAACGAACAATAACACCGTGACGTTTTTTGGATTGTCTGTAATTAATTAAAACAGAACTTTATTCAAAGAAACTTAATATAAGCACTTTTGAACAGTAATTTTTTTTTATTCTAACACTCATTCGGAACGCAGACTCATCCCAAGAAGAATAAGTAAGAAACTTGTGTGTTGCTCTTTTAAATAAATATTGATTTAATTATATTTACATTAACAAGGATTAGGCATGCGACAATCAACATAGAAACCGCTACGCACTTAATCTCTGTTCAATCGGATAACATTGTCAGCGCTATGAATTTTAAATTAGATATTTTCTACAAAAACATTATTATCATTTATAATAATAATGCTAAAAAATAGATAATGAAACAATTAAGAGGATCTATTTTGTGTAGATTTTTTTCTCTACCACTTTATTTAAAATATTTTTTCATATTTCTTAGTTATCAAGTTATTTTGAAAAAAGGCGTCATTTAACCCTTTTATTAATTTTATCCCTTTCCCGTCAAGTTAAATCAAAATTTCTTTGGACTTATCTATATTAATAATTCCGTCAAAGGGTACGGTAGACTCGAACGAAACCTTATGTGAATAACAAAACATAAAAAAATATTGATTTCGAGTCCACAACATATATCCGCAAAATTCGGATTATGGAGTATTTCGTTAAATTCTAATGACACTGACAAACAAACTGCAGTCGCCATCTTTTCATGTCACTAGCTAACAACCAATCAACACTAAGCGTGCGTTCGCGCCAAAGATCCATCACAAAGACCTGCGACATGTGACATGTGGCGTTGACGTTTCGCGAAAATATAGTTTTTGACACTTTTTATGATAAAAGAGTACAGTACAGTCGTTTTTTCTTTAAATTGGCCGATTGCGAGACAAATTTGACAAATTTTTTTTTGTTAATTTGTTTCACGGCTCCGGATACAGGTCCTTTTTAGCCCAACTTAAAGTTTTACAATATAAATTACAAAAATTAAAGTCAATGTCCAATGTCAAATGTTGTTTCTCTGTTCTGATGAACTTATTAAAAAAAACTTACTAACAATCACAATTTCTTCACATTTTATTACACATACACACATTATGCCAGGTATTTGCATTTTTTAAATAAGGTCGTGGCACTATTGGAAATTAATGTTATTTACCCATTTTTATAGATTATACGGAAATAATGTGTGGGTGTTTATTTAAAAAGCATTAACACAAAATTAATAAAGTATAGGTAGGTATTAATAAATATATGGATATAATATATTTTCTTATATATATAATAAATAGATTTTCTTATTTTTCACTAAAATAAAGACTAACTGCCTTTTTTATAAAACAAATGACCTTTTCATAGTGTAATATATTATTTAACTGATTGTAAGAAAAAAAATGTTGGTTTGTAGATTAGTACTGTAAAATTTTCTATTTGTACGGAAACGACAAAAATATATTTTTATTCTGTATAATAATACGACAGTAGTGGAAACATTAGTAAATTATACAATTCTGTTATAGAAATGTCATATTAAACTTTAAAACTAATTTGTTAGAATAAAAGTTTCCGATTAAACAAATCGATATGGCTACCCCGCTACAGGTGGTAGCATTTTTTTTTGGTTCTGTTTATCCTTAATCGGAAAGGCAAAGGGAACTGCGCCCATACAGCCGAGGTGGTAACATTATTTGAAAATTTTACATTTAAACCTGTCAATTTAGTCTCCCGGATTAAAAATCAAACTATAACCAAGTATGGCACTTAAAAATTAATTACTAAGCTACTTGGTGTCCCTGTAGCCCCAAGCCCTGCATGTTTATGGGGCTCGACCCCAGAGTGGGAGCATAGCAAATGGCTAATGCGGGACGATAGGGAAGGTTGAAAGGAAGAGGAAATGGATAGGAAAAAGAGTAAGAAGGGGAAAAGGACGGTGGTGGACCACGTCGTCGTACTGAAAGAGCGACAAAACTAGGAACTCGGCAATTCCCGGAGAGTCGCGCGGACTAAATAAAACAAAAAAAGAATGAAAATGACGATCAAGAATGGGAAAAATGTTTGGATGAAGCAATTGGTTTTAAATATCTGGCAAAGTAGAGAGTGCTTAAAACATAGAAGTTAACAGAGAATAAACCTTAAAAGTTATATGTTTTGTTAATTTATTTTGAATGTTGATATAAAATAAAAATTATTTGTATAAATACTTTTGCGCTTATTATTTACTATAGTATTTATTAAACATAATGAACGAAGCTTTAGGAATCTATGCCTTGCTTACTTAATATTCTTTGAGAACCGATGACTACAGAAATATCTACCCGAGCGAAGTCGGGTTTTCATCTAGGTTTTATATATTGTTGCGCCGAAACTGGTCAGGCGCAACAACATGTACAAGCACATTTGAAAAGAATAAGAGCTGAGTTATTTGTCAGTTCTTCTTGGCTCGAATGCACTCCGAACTGATGGTAGTTTTTGACATATCATAAGAGTCTGTAATAGTCCTACATAAATAAAGAAATTGCAATTTGATTTGATTTTAATTACTGTTCTCATCAATCCTATTTTTGTTCTAACGCACAAACAATGCCAGATAATTTATTGCTTAATTGACGAGAACCATTATTATAATAATAATCCTTTTATAATGAAATACCGTATCAAATGTTGTTATACCTAATGCATGAAATATGTATGCTGGGTTATCGTAAAGGTAGAGTTATTGAGGTTCGCATAGATAATAGGCCAGTAGAATATTAGTTAGTGTGACATATTTATGTTCCTATAAGTGTTTTAAGCTGTATAAATAGACTGATATACACACATATTACTGTATATATACACTTATACCTATGTATATGCTGGAAACTAATTACTATTAATAAGAGATTATCTAATTTCGAATACTTTCTGAAAAAAATATTATGAAACAAAAGTACTGTAATACTGATATAATACAGCTACTTACTACAGATGAAAGAGGAAAATGTAAGGTGTAGCCTTTAAGATAAACATTTCAGTTTTCCACGGTGCGCGAGTTAATATTAACGCATATAATGTTTCTATTATATTTTTTTATTATTGGAATTCTACAGTGTGAGCCTTCTATATTGTTATTACCTATTTATAATACAAAAAGTTTCTTGAGATATGTCGGTAGTTTCTAACAGCAATTTATTGTATTATTTTAGGGTGTGTTTCGGGAAATTTTATAATCCGAGCAGAAAGAGAAAAAAGGTTGTTCTTGAGTCGACGTATAGTGACGGAATCTGGTGAATTTGATGGAGGTGTCATGGTTGATGAGGATGGCATAATTGAAGGAATTCTTACCAAAGAATCAATAGGACAATTTTATTCCAACAGTAATAATAAATACAAAGTAATAAACATTTATTTTCGATAAAGTACTGATTTAAGTAGGTAGGTAACTTTAATATTTAATGTATTGCATTACATACATACCTTAAATATTAAGGTTTATATGAAGTTTTTATTTGAGTATGTTATATTAGTGGATTTTTTTTTTGGTTTGATCCTAAAAACATGAGAACGGCGCGAATTCAACCCTTTGCCGTCAAACACTCAGCTATAATAATAGGATTCCAGGAACGACTGATTTGATTTGAATAATTTTAGATAACGTAAGTTGCATGTTATTATAAATAAAAATGCTTATATTTTAACTTCCAAGCAAAAAGTTGAAATTTAAAAGGTGTCCTATATTTATTCCGGGTAGGTTACGACTTATGATGGATAATACACATAAAAAGAATAGCATTATCATTTCCAAAGTTTTTGGAGAACATTAAAATAATTTCAAATAAATTGAATTGATACAAGGATTTATTTTATAGTTTTAATAATTTTAAACTATTTTTTTCGGCGCTTTCAGTTTTATATAGACGTGTATTATCTATGACAAATGTTAATTATTTATTCATTTAGATAAGTGCCTCCTTTTACAGTGCAGGAAATCTTAAAATTTTAATGTTCACATAGACGAAATTCCAAAGAAATCAACAAAATCAATCCCATATTTTTATATTAGTATCTAAGATATATAAAAGATAACTTATCTTAATTTTGTCCCATGCAATGTGACAGCATTTGACCCAGTTATAGGTATCCCTTACAGTGATTAGATATAAATGTTAAATTTTTGAAAGACATGTCGTGCATTTCTGTTTACTCTTTCGAGGGCTGTACAGTATTACAAATATGTCTAGATATCACGTTAGACATAATTTAATAATAATATTACAAACTCGAAAGGTTGTAAGTATGGATGTTTGTTACTCTTTCACGCAAAAACTACTGAACGGATTTTGATGAAACTTTACAGTAATATAGCTTATGCATCAGAATAACATATAGGCTATTATTTTATTTTTATTGAAATTTAACTAGGGTGAAACCGTGCTAAACATTGATAGTGTATGATAAATAAACACCCCAAAATTAAAAAAAAATTGTACAAGGTGAGGGTGTGGGATTAATAATAAGGTAATAAATACCTGCTGTTTTGAATTTATAATATTAGTATGTATTACCACAGATAACATAATATACGTAGTATTACCTAGTATTAGATAATATGGACATCTAAGAGGGGTGGGGATGTTTTAGTAATAGACATTACCGGCATCATTGTTAGCGATGGACTACGTGATACCTCTTGAAAACCATATTAGTACCATAAGCTAACTGAGCTGACTGAGCTGACTTCATGCTTGTCCCGTGCGGTGCCACTGGTGCCTCGACAGAGTATATCGTTAACGGAGGCAGTAGAACCATACCGTTATCATTGGTTTAAAAAATATCGATATACTAGTCCAGTCGACTACTCTGGTATACTTGCATTATTCTAGGTAATTAATTGTACGTATGACTAAAATCTTAGTAATATTTTAGAAGCGAAAGTTTGTGAGTAAGGATGGATAGATTATGGTAATGATGTTTGTTAGTCTTTCATGCAAAAACGACTGAATGGATTGTAATGAAGCTTTATAATAATATAGCTTATACATATACATACAAAATTTCAAGCGGGTGAATCCACGGTGCTAGTATTAATATAATTTCCAGGTAATAGATGGCGGTGAATGGGCATTGATGGCTGGTGTAGTGGACTCGCACGTTCACGTCAATGCACCTGGTCGGACCTCGTGGGAGGGTTACGTGACAGCCACGCAGGCGGCAGCTGCTGGTGGCATCACCACTATCGTCGATATGCCATTGTATGTACATAGATATTTATTTTTAACCTACATCAAAATAGTATGAACTTTCTATGAACTTCATCGAACTAGCAAAACCTAAAATATCGTTATTCAAATTTGCACTTACAGAAACTCTATTCCGCCCACAACGACACTTGAGAATTTGAAAGTCAAAGCAAATATAGCAAAAGAGGAGGTTTACGTAGATGTTGGCTTTTGGGGTGGTGTGGTACCTGGGAATGAGGTGAGTTATTGGTAAAAAAATCTACAGGACTAAAAGTTATCCACTTCAATTTTATCAATATTAAAACCTAATAACTGCTAGAAATGAATATTGAACTGTCGGTCGTAGACAATATATACCAATTAAATAACATTTTCATTATAAGATAAAATATTTTGTACTATAAATACCTATTATTGATTGTATAATCATGGAAATTAAGCGAAAATATCGCGTAACATATAGAAAATACAGTCCTATACAGAATTTCTCGTTTTTTTTTAAGTGCAGTTTGTAAAGTACCTATTTGATATTATATTCTATTGTATACATTTGTAGTTCGAATTACTTCCGATGATTGATGCTGGAGTAGTCGGATTCAAATGCTTTCTGATAAACAGTGGGGTATCGGAGTTCCCAGACGTTACCCCAGAAGATTTACAAAACACTTTTGCTATTCTCAATGGTACTGGAACAGTATTAGCGGTAAGTGCAATTTTTTACTTTTTCATAGTTTTCATAGTTCATTTACTAAACTTAATTTGAATATTACTTTGGATAAGAAGAATTTCTGATCATATGGTTCTACTCCTGAAATAAAATTCAATAAATATAAATACTAACGTAACAGGAGCTGGAATAAAACATAATTCAATTATTCTTTTTATATATAACCTTCGGATTATACATACTCATCATCATCATCATCTCAGCCCGGAAGACGTCCACTGCTGGACATAGGCCTCCCCCAAAAATCTCATACTTATTTAGTAAATATTCAGAGACAAATAGGGTCACTATTGTTGTAGTTTATTCAAGTAATAAGAAAAAAGACTAGATAAACGGAGAAAAATATATATTAATATAGACTACTGACAATTGAACAGAATAGAAAGAAGGAATTGAAGTATCAAAAACAAGAATGTAATATAAAAGAATTATAAATTTAAATACAAATTTAGAATATAAAATACATATCTGATTAGCTAGTTACAACTACTCTTATATCACAAAGCATTGTATTACGAGAGGATCGAACCCGCGACCTAAACTAATAAGTATATTTAGTAGTAGTAGTATAGATATTATCATATGTTTTTTTTCTATTATTTAAGATACACGCCGAAATGAATATTGAAAATTCAAGTTCTGAGTGCAATAAAGATAACTGTCCAGGTTAGTATAATAACACAATATATTGCGTCATGTGCAATTCCTCATATCTCCGAACTAGTTGTTTAGTCTATGCTGAAAAGCCGAGTTAAGTTAAGTTAAGTTAAGTTAATATAATAGCGGTTATCATACTAACTACCTAAGGAATGTTAGTAACATGGACTAATATCCTCATCGTTAGCAATGTTCCATGTTAGGTTAATTCCACGCGGTTCCCCCTAGTATGAAATTTCTGGTGAATTGGTGAATTTGGCATGATGGGCTAACTGGCCTAACCTCATGCTCATCTCATCATCCTCTACTGGTGCACCATCGCAGGCGAGCGCACCTTTCCATTATCACCCTTTAAAAAAGACATAGCTTAAATGCACCGATACAAGACATCCATATTAATACTACCTATTAATGCCTAAGTGTGTAAATCTGTCTGTTTATTACCTCTTTACGTGCGTAAGCAAAAATTAACTTACCAATTTTTTTTTATCTCACAACTGACGAAATAAAAAAAAAGCATATTCTTTTCTTCTCGCATTAGCTATAAATGATTTAATAAATTAGTATGCCGAAAAAAGGCAAGGAGAGTGTACAATTAATTGGAATTGTTTGTAAAAATATTGCAGAAAGTGACAGATAATTAGGATAAATAAATATTTCTTTTAATTATTTGCATATTTTTTTCTTTTATGTGAAATCTTTACCCTTCGTAAGGGCACCCAAACAAATCGCCAATGCACGCTACTCTTCTGGATAGATAATACTATGTAATATTATGTTATCTGTGATAATACTAACATAATTTCAGATCCGAGATTATACAGTACTTATCTCGCAACACGTCCCGACGAAATGGAAATCGAAGCAGTATCGCTAATAGCCACTTATGTACCAAAAACAGAGTAAGTTTGAAGTATTGAGTTAAATTTAGTTCGTACCTTAGTAAGTAATTTATTTTAGACAACATTTTACAGAATATCCATACTAATCCATAGATACTAATATTACAAATTCGAAAGTCTCTGTCTGATTGTTGCCGTTACACAACTAAACGACTGAAATATGACGTAAAGATACATGTACGATGAGAACGGACATGGGCTATCTTTTATAACAAAAACAGCAGACTAAGTCGCGGGAACGACTAATATTAGATAATATATTCTTTATGTTTTTCACTTCATCAGTGTTCACATACACGTAGTCCACGTGTCGTCTGAGAGTGTAGTGCCGATTCTAGAAGCTGCAAGAGAAGAACGTATCGCAGCGGGTCACAAGGGTTGGAGGGGAGGAGTTACAGCTGAGACCTGCCATCACTATCTCACACTCAGCGCTGAACAGATCCCTGATGGCCACACTGAATACAAATGTTCCCCGCCTATAAGAAACAATAGTAACAAGGTTTAAAAATACAGCTTTTACCTATGCTAAGCTTTTTTTACCATTTACCATCTAAAACGTACCTATCACCTACCATTTATCATTGTATTGCTTTGGCTTTGTAAATATAACTTTAAATTTATAATTTTGCGTACTAAAAACCACAATGAAATATATTTTGCAATTTCTGTTATATATAGGAAATATTATGGGAATATATTAAGGACAATCGGTTCGATTTGATTACTTCAGATCATTCCCCAAGTGTTGAAGATTTGAAAGGAACAAACTTTTTAACGTCATGGGGTGGAATATCGTCGATACAATTCGGTAAGACTCAGAATTTGAAAAACATTTTCTATCCTGACGCCTATCCGAGCTAACCTGGGTGCTCATTATTTAACAACAGCTAATAATAATAGTCAATTTGAAACAGATTTCATAAAGTCTTCAGTGCACTATACCGGATAAATTTGTTTATCACTCGGAAAAATATTTTAGCGTTGTGATTGATATTAAAATATTGTCATTATTTTCTGTTACCTCATTTATTTTGCGCAAGGTTATTTTTAATTAATGTATTAGCTCCTGTTTTTTTTTTTGTGGATGATAATGGAATGGTGCACCCGCCTGCGCTAACGGTTTACGCTGGCGGGGCATCAGTGGAGGATGATAAGATGAGCATAGGGTCAGGTCAGTTAGCCCATCGTGACAGATTCACCAGGAATTTAATACGATGGTTTCCAGGGGTTACCGCGTGGAGGTCGACCTGACATGGTACATTGCTAGCAATGGGGTTATCAATCCACATTACCAACAATCCCCTTCCCCCCTATTAGCTCCTGCTAAAAATTATATACTTAAATATATAAAACATTTAAGTATTATTATCATTGTATATAATTCTTAACAAATCTGTTCTGTCTGGAGCAACAAAATATATTAATAAACAATATTTAAAATGACAATTAATTAAAACATGTGATACTCTCTCGTATCTCACTAAGTCATAGTAGATATTATATGATTATACCCACAGAACATAGAAGTACTATTTATTTTATTCTATGATAATATTTAGGCAAAAGCAGATACCAGATAATGCATATGTAGGTAATAATGGGTACGCATGATCGCAAACTAAAAGAAATAAAATATGTTCTACCTATCCGACTTTGTCTGGACCAGGTCTCTCATTGTTTTGGACGGAAGCGAGGGCACGTGGCTTCGATCTCAGCACTGTAAGTCATTACCTATCTGCGGGTCCAGCTCGTCTTTGTGGCTTGGAGGAGAAGAAAGGTGCACTAAGACCAGGTCTTGATGCTGATCTCATTTTCTTTAATCCTAATGCTGCCTTTATGGTTAAACCACAAGAAATCAGATACAAAAATAAAGTAAGTATTAGTTAAGTTAGAATTATAATTACTTATTAGTTTGATTTTTTATCAATATAGATATTGCCGCTCTTTCAGTAAAGGACCCGTTTTGACATTTATTTCGCAACAATTTTGTAATGGTCATAATTTAGATTAATTTGTATAGAATTCGGGATGCAAACAATATATTTTATTAGTTATTTAAATGTAACATTAAAGGGTACATGATTTCATTAGGTTATCCTGTGGATGTGATTCCTTTTGGAGTGTGCTACTCTTCAACCCACCCTCAAAACCATAGCTGACATTCACTAAACTTCATATTGTATATCTTAACCATTTTCAAAGTCTGCTCCTGGCACTCGGGTCCGAATGTTAAACAAGCTGACAGCCCACCCGATGTCAGTTGTCGCCTGTGTGCATGAACAGTACTACTACGGATATCACGTTATCATGTTATGCTTCATCTTGTGTTTACAGGATAAATACTGTAATTTCACTTTGTACTATAACGAGTACTTGTTCAGTAGTAGCCCATTATGAACTTAAAAAATATACTTATATTATTTTTATATTATTTTCAGATATCCCCATTCATGAACAGAGTCTTAACAGGTAGAATCATGCAGACATATTTGAGAGGGCAGCTTGTTTATGCGGATGGTGAAATAATTGGTGAACCAAAGGGCGAATTATTACTTAATTATGATTATTAGTTCACTAAGATATACTTTTGTCTATTATTACTAGGTATAACTGTTTAATAAAAAAATCTTAGGTATTATATGACTACTTACTCATTTATTATATTATATTTATATAAGGCCTGCGTTTAAAAAAGTATTCAATTTCTTTACGAAATACATTAATCAAGGCCATATACATCATGTATATGAGCTTGATGATATGATATATGTTTGGCCTTCCACAAACTTGTATGATCTGTGACTGTACGGCAACAAATACCTATAAAATAACGGTACCCATTGACCTGCAAAGCGATCCAGAGTACTCTTAAATGATCAATGCGCACCGGGTCCAGATAAAAGAATACATCCGGGTGGTAGGAAAACGAAGACAGTCTCTTCTTTACACAATATAAAAGGAACTCGCTTCCGCTATCTGTTAGTTTAGATCTTTTAATCTATACAATGGATTTTAATGCAGTTTTTAGCAATAGATAGAGCCATTCAAGAGAAAGGTTTACATGTGTAGTACCCACGTGCGAAGCCGGAGCGTGTAGCTGGTGTGGAATATAACGAAGTGCCACATGTAAACTATAAGTATGTGCGAGATAAAATAAAATATAATCTCCAATTACTTTTATTTATTTGCAATCTGTACTTTAAAGTAGAATAGTAGTATAAATTAAGCGTCATCGACCAGTTTTATGGTGTACGCTGAAAGATAAAAGAGTGCCAGTGTAGTATGTGGAGTTAAATATGTATTAAGTATGTACAGTCATACGTTCAGTCGGTCGCTGTAAAACAAAATCGAGTTCAATGTGGCTGTAGGCTTGCATCAAGTAGCGGCTTTAAGCCCGTACCTCTTTATTTTAATAGATGCCTTGACGTCGGAGATACAAGAAGAGGCACCCTGATGCATGCTATTTGCAGATGACATTTTGCTCATTGGTGCGGAGGGAGCCGAGATACAGAGTAGATTGGTTAGCGCCAGTGTCGAAGAGTAATAACCTAATCGTCTGTCATGGTATGGACTTGCAATACGTAGAAAAGAAGGAATATTTTAAGGAAGGCGTTACTTATGCCACGTTCATAAGTAACACCTTCCTTAAAAATGGCTATAAGGACAGAGGAAAGACTAACAAGAGACGAAGGCAAGAATGGGAGAAAATAACGAGATGACTGCAAACAGAGATGAATGGAAGAGAAAACATATTCCGCCGAAAATGAATTATTTTAAACGTAGATTATGATGATGATTTGAAAAATTTGTCAAAATGATATATTTTTAGACAATGCTTTTCTCTTATGTCAAGTACTTATTAGGTATGTGCTTACATTATAATAATGTATTAATATGATTAGAATTTATTGACCACTATGTAAGTATGTATAGTATTTTACAGCATTTAAGGCGAGATAAGTTCAATTGCACACCTAGTACAAAAATAGATTAACTTAACAATTGTAAACTTTAAAAAATCCATTTTAAAATTTTATATTTAAAGTATAATTTCAATAGGGGAAGAAGGGTGAATGGCGTTCACTTAAGGAAAACATGGTGTATTTTTTAAATTATTTATTGCAAATCAAAATTAAGAAACCATTTTGATAGAGTTACGGAGGTGAGCGCCATTACCCGGGGAGCGTTATTGCCCCTGCTTACCTTACATGGTATTTTTTAAGTTATTTCAATATTGTAGTAGGTGTGCGAAATAAGAAAAATAATATTTGTTGTTATTTTATTACATATATATGTATACATATGTAGTGGTACCATATAATACTACTTAGTACTTTAATGATAATGACATTCTCAAAATGCCAGTCCCGCTGTCATCTGTCAAGTTGATTGTTTATCTGTCTCTATCTCAGTTTGTCTTTTGTCTGTGTTTATTTAGAATAATAACCGTCACTAGTTCAAATTATTTTACTAACCTAATTTAATTTTCTATTAGAATGTAAATTGTAAATACACAATCTGAGAAAAAATAATATTATAATCTTTCTCTTTAATTTTGATGTGATTTGAACTTAAAAAGTATACGGTAGTTATTATTTTCGTGAAGTTGTCATTTGATTTTGACATCTAGGAGTTATAATTTATATTATAACCTCAAACCGAAAGTTTATTTAATGATTTTGTTTTGTATTTTCACACATTAAATTTGAGATGTTTTTAGATGCCGAGTGTAATAAGCAATACTGTTGATACTCACCCATTACATAGTGATAAAATGCAGCTGGAGTGTTTAGAATTGGCCGGCCGTACGCTAGACCGGTATATAACCGCTGATAATTCTCGTCCTTCATTCTTAGAGGTCTGTAAATACTTTCTACTTATTCCCTAGAATTCTAGATAAAAACTTCCACTAAAAATTGTATACTTCAGTGATGTAATTGTAATATATATTTTTTCCTCTGGAATCGAATTTATAAGTATATGCAATTCTTTTAGATAACTGGAATCGCTGCATCAAGAACTCCAACATGCAGTGGCTTGAGTGCTGGAGACTATCGAAACCTTGCAGCCATGTTAAAACATCCAAATCTGTCCCAGTTGAAGATATTAAACAAAGTGCCTTTACCACCTGAAATTATGGAACATTTTGCTCGTATCCTTTGCATATTTTTCGAAATATTATATATTAAATATCTATTTTTAATTTCTAACCTTTATTGAATTCTTTAATTATTTAAGATAGATGGTATCATACAAATTGATTTTATCTCAAAAACTTTAAAAAACCAAATGAAGTCACAGTTATTACCTAGTATTATATAAACATGATTTTTATTTATGGTTAAATTTAATTTACTCTTATATTATGAATCTGCAAACAGATGACATTTTGCTTGTCAACATATATAACCAAATAAATATATTTTCTTAACATTGTTTCGCCAGATATGCAATGCCATTGTCTGATGGGTGTGTTCCCAGAAATTAGTCGAGTTTGGCTTGCAATAGACAGCAATATTTATGTGTGGGCTTTTGAACACGGCAGTGATGTGGCATATTTTGATGGGCTTGGAGAAACTATAGTCAGTGTTGGCTTGGTGAAACCAAAGACTGGAGTGTTTCAGACTTTTGTAAAATATTTACTTGTGTTAACTACAACAGTTGAAATAGTTGTCTTAGGTAAAGGTTCTGTCTTGAAACTGATGCTTTTATACTTAATATTTATAAATAGCCCAATCTGAGGGTAGAAATTAGAAAATTTTCACAATTTTTCATTTACACAATAAATTGTTTTGCTTCCATACTACCTCAAATTTGTTTAAATTTACTTTGAACTATTTTTACATATTGACTTATAGATTATTTTGTTCGAGCAATATGTGTTCAATTTTAACATAAGCAATTATTTGCATTTCCTAATTATGTATACTAAACATAGTATACATATATATCTTTTAATAAATATACTTTATTTAGCTTTTCTGAGAAGTACAATTTTGATTTAAATAGTGAAAGATATTAGAGACACAGAATTTATTTTATATATATTTGAGATGAATCAAGTCACACCTAATCTTTTTTATTGTCCTGTTTTAGGTGTTACATTTTCCTCAAGTAAAAATGATTCCACAGGCGAATTCCAAGAGATACACTTAGTTCCTGAGCCAGTGTTTGTGTTACCAACAGATGGTGTATCTATGATGTGTGTGAAATCAACTTCTAAAGGTCGAATATTCATGGGGGGAAAGGATGGATGTCTTTATGAAATAACATATCAAGTAAGAAATATGACTATTATAATTATTTACACAGGATACATAATTGTGTTAACATTAGGGCAAATAGGTGTATGGTGGCAATATTATGCATCAGTATGAATCATATTTTATTTCCAGTTATATTTAATAGTTTTTTTAGATAATTGGAATAGCAAAGAAACTGATATATAAATAGCATCACATTCTGAGGTGATGCTTATGATACCCTCATGCATTGCCATTTTGAAGGACTAAGATTTTATGCCTCTTATCCTGTAATTTCATTGTATCATCTCACCTTTCTTCTGAACAACAGCATATAAAGCATGCTGCTTGCCAGCTGTAATAGATGAGACAGGTAGAATACAATTTTTAAATGGCCTACCTCAGTTCTTGAATGTGTTAACTCCAAATTTCAGATTTCTCAAAATGAATTTATACATGTAGTTTATCACTATTATGTAAAGATATATAAAACTTTTTTTTAGGCTCAGTTAGGTTGGTTTGGGAAACATTGCAAGAAGGTTAATCATTCAACAAGTGCTTTATCATTCCTGGTGCCATCATTCCTCAATGCCGCTTTGTATGATGAAGATGCTATAGTGAAAATTGAAGTTGACAATTCCCGCCACATATTGTACACACTAAGTGAAAAAGGTTGCATTGAAGTCTTCGATCTGGGAGAGGATGGTGAAAGTTTGAGCAAAGTAGTGAGGTTATCACAAGGGAAGATTGTCACGTCAGCTATGGATATTGTCAAGTAAGTTTTTAAGATAATAAATATAAATAAATTTGCATTGTCCTGTAGTTTATACATTTATACAAAAATAAAAAGTAAAAATTTAGACTTATCTTGCAGTTTAGTACACCGCCTTACTTCTGATCGTAATGAGTTTGATTTTTACGATGATTTGTCAGTCTGCAAATCTTCTGTGTGTATTTTATTTATTGAATTTCAATGCACACAATACAAAATATTGCACAGTGCATTTGGTGGACTTAACACTATTTACAAAAAAATTGTGTATAACTATTACTATCACTTATCTAGTGTCTATAATACAAGCTCTGCTTAGCTTGGATTAGATGGCGCTTTGTGAATTGTTCAAGAAAGATTATTTTTATTACTTTGTTAAGATGATCATGTCACTTCATCTTATTTTTTACTTTTAGGACATTAGAACCCAATAATTTTAAACCAGTGGTAGCAATATCTGCAGTTGACGAATTGGAATCTGAACATCTTAATCTAGTCGCAGTTACACAAACTGGTGCAAGACTGTATTTTAGTACTGGAAGTGGGGAGTAAGTATTTGTTATTAGGATATTTTTTTATAACACTGTTAGTAAAATATCTACCCACCATAAAATGGTAATACATACTTCAATAAAGTTAACAAGCAAATATATCTTTCTATTCTTAATATTAAAGTTGTTTAAAAGAGTGTTACTAGTACTGTAAGAAATGTATTTGGGAAAATACATAAAATAAAATATAATGGCATATAAATGATTGTCAGTGTCAACAGAATATTTGTCACATCAGTCAGAATGGTCTAGAACACAATATATTAAATATCATATATTTTGACTGTGAACTGTAATGTTTAATGAAAAATGAATTTAAAGAACATTATTTATGTATTACAGTGCGAGTCAAGGTGGATCTCAGCGACCACAGTATCTGACACTTCTACATGTAAGATTACCTCCAGGATTCACTCCCAACGCTTCAGTACTTAAACCAAAACAAGTTCATAGTGCTGTTTATGAAAATGGTAACAATTTCCTTAATGTGTTTTGTAGGTTAAATAATTTAGAATATTCAATAAGGGTGACGATTCATAGATATAACTTCTGTTTATTAAATCTCTTATTTTACATGGGAATATAATTGTTAGTATTACTTTTACATTCTACATAGATGATAGACATGAACTTTCACTTATTACAAATCATATATTATAAAGTTTTCTCTGGGCTAATCTATGGGAATTTTCTAATGGTTATCTATGAAGTAAATTAATTATATCACTGTTAATAATTGACAAATGTTATCTTAATGGTTATATGTATATTTTTTTATAATTATTTGCAACTAACACTACTTATTTCTCATCACACTTTTTAGAGCATACAATTTTCAGTTAGAATATATAGTATCTTTTAGTATTTAATATAGGTTAATAAAATAATTATTGAAGTAAACCTTAAAAGGACATAAAACCATTAAAATTAAAAAAACAAAACAGTAAGAGTAATCTCTTTAAATATTATTTTTCATATGCTTATATTGACAATTTATATTTGTTTTGTTAGGATCACTGGTTATGGTATGTTCTGCTGGTGGTGGTGGCGAAGCGGAGACTCTATGGTGTTTATCGAACGCTATACCCGGAGGCGAGGAGTTCAGCGAGGCTCACACGGTTTTGTCGTTAGATGGCCCCGCTTGGGCATTAACGGCGCTTCCGCCGAAACACGACGCTAATCTTTCGCCAGCTCTATTGTCAAAGAAAGGTAAGTTGCGTTATAAGTAGATGCACTACATTAGTTTTAATTTTCGACGAGAGACCTTTAATATAGTTTATTAAGATATATAACAGAGTTTAAGATATAAATTATCAATTACTGTAATGCTCCACAGACAGGTGTCTGTCATTTTGCAATGATAATTAATATTGGCGACGCGCGCAGTCTTTCTCGTTCTCTTTGTATACATTTACATGCACATTCTTTTGCGTGAAAGCCTATTCGCACGCAGGAACTAAATCAGTGTGGTGTGTCCCGACAGAGGCGTGGTCGGTGTCGCGGTGGGCGGTGGTGACTGGCGCGGGCGCGGCGCTGGTGGCGGCGGGCGCGGCGCCCGACCTGCTGCGGGCGCTGCTGCGAGACTGCGGCGGGCCCGACGCCGCGCCTGTACACCACTTCTTCCAGGTTAGTGGCTCTAACGCTCTTTATACTGCACTATATCATAAGTTATCTTCGTGGACTGTTTGTCTTACAATTTACTTACCGCTATCTAGTTCGCAACAATCTAAACGCAACTATAGTATTGATTCGTTTCATTTACTGAAAAATAGCAACGGATGATACTACAACAACAATTATAATAATATCTCTGGATGGTTCATATAAAGCTATCTAGTAGTCCGTTACTAAGCCGTGCTTCTGTTATGGTTACTAGACAACTGACGATACTCATGAATGGAAGCAGTCCCGCGGTCATTAAAAGTAAAGCGCTAGACTACCGAGGCCGTCGAATATAATAAAAATTTAATTAATTACTGTCCGTACACACATGAAAGATATATGACAAAAAGTCTTCTTGGAGAATCTTTATTAATGTAATTGAATCCAGACCAATAAGATTTTTTGTTGGTCATATATGGGTTCGAATGCCCTAATTTCAAATATGTGGTTCATTTAAAATGTTGTGCTTATTTTAAATCAGTCAATTTTTCACAAGTTAAATTTCTTTTTGTATACCACTAACGAGAAAGCTATGCGGATACGAAATCTCGTGCTCGCGTATATTTATTTTTCAAAACACTCAAGATTAATACAATTCACTCATGGATACGAACGCTGGTAACGTGCGAGAATAGAATCCGAGGTCGTCGGAAGCTACTTAACTCGGTAGAGCACAGTTGTACCACCGCGTGCGGTACAAGGGCGGTGACGTGCAGGTGCAGGCGGCGGAGCAGGCGTGCGCGTGCGCGCTGCGTGTGGCGTGCGAGGAGCCGGCGGCGGAGGGCGCCGTGCGCGAGTGGGCGGCGCGCGCGCTGCTTCTCTACGGCGGCCAGCCCGCCCACAACCCCGCACACCCCGCACACCCCGCACACCCCGCACACACCGCACACCCCGCACACACCGCACACACCTACTACCACCAGCCCTCCCACCTCGCGCAGCCCTCGCAGGCGCCCACGACTATAGGTAATTACACGTTCCCAATCTAGTTTGTTTATATTATGGTGTTGGATGACTTTTACTACTATCTATTATGTATATGGATATATCTTTTTTTATTTAAGTAAAACTTCTGTATTTGTATTACAGACGAGCTTAATGTAATGCATACGCATTATCTACTAGCTGACTATTTCTGTTATGCTAGAGCCAGTCAGAAATATAAATCGACACACAACCGTCTTGATTGTGTCTCTTGGGTGTAACTAAGGGTAGAGAGAAAGATGGTTAGAAAGAGCATGAAAGCGTGCCCTTTCTAGCCATCTTTCTCTTCAATGCGCACATTACGAATATTGTTTATTAAAAAATTCGACACATTTGGGATGTTTCAATTTGTCATTCACTAATGTAATATTAACCAATATTGAATTAATTTTAATGCCATATTTTTTATAAACAAACCAAATATTAATATAATTTGCTTCCCGGTTGATTTTCTTATATAACCCTTATTTTTAACGTAAATTAATGCATTTCAGGTTCTCCAAAATTTTCACCTCGACAAATGTCAACACCTATGACCATGAGGGGGCCACAGGGTCAACTACATCAAGGTCAATTGAACCAATCATATCAGGCTCAGATGAATCAGTCGTTCCCTGGTTCACCTAATCAGTCATTAATGCCACAGTCTCCACTGCATCCGAATGTGATGAGTCCACCATTCAACCAGTCATCATTTATTGGCTCACCACAACAGAGAGATCAAAGTTTCCCTATTCAAGTGGAATACAGTGCAAAACACAATGGACTGTACATATATATTGGCAGGATTCTGGCACCTATTTGGAATCTCAAATGCGTCACAAAATCGTTAACACCAGATAATAAAGAATTTGTGAGTAACATTTGTTTATGAAATTACAATATTTCGATATGACTTAAAAGTCTAAATCAGTTGTAAGTCTGCATCTATTTGTTTCTCTTACGTTTTAAAAAATACTCATCGCCATTTATATATTTTCTTATTCAACTAGTTTCTATGTACATGATAAGTTAAGTTGGAAATTGATTTAGAAGAAAACAATAAGTATTGTTTTCTACTGATGGTAACTGGTAAATTAATTTAAGAATATTATAGTTATGGGAGAAGAAGAAGAGAAGGTTCCCATATTATACATCTAAATTAATAATTTATTAAGTATAAATATAACTAACCATAGAGACAAGTAAATTTAGGAAGCATTAGTTGCTTGCGAAATATTTAATACACCATTATTGTGTCATTATTGTAGTTCATTACATATTTCTTGTGAACATCTTGACTATACTCTATCGCAGATGTGTAGTAAGGTGACAGGAGAAGATTGTGCGTACATAGCACAGAAGCTGCAGCGTGTTTGCGCTTTCATGCAGCGCACACTAGCGCCGCCGCACTCCGACGAGCATACCTCGCTACATGCATTGAAACTTTTTATAAGTGAGTTTCTTTTACTATTCCATCCCGGTTACATATGTCTAAATAAGTGGGTCATTTTACTATTGTTACTTAAAAGTGTTGTGGCCTAGTGGTTTACTACACTGATTTACACATAAAATAATGTTGTAGGATAAAAAGAGATATAATTAATAATAATTTTACAGCCATGGCGATAGAAATGTTGAGTCTATGGAAGGTGTTGTGTGAACATCAATTCCATATCATTGCTGCAAATTTGCCACGTGACCAGCAGAGTGCATTGCAGGCGGCTAGTTTTAGGTAAGTGTATTTTTATGTTAATAATAGCTTTACTAAAAGGATATAGTATTTTTATAATTTGCTTATTTTATAATATCCTCTGCATATAAAAACCTTGGCGACTTTCTCTAAAATATAGCTGAATGTGTAACTGTTACTAAACAATGCAATTTTACGTAATTCATATTTCTTCAGGGAATTATTAGTTGGAGGTCAAGAGGTTGCTTGTCTGCTACTGAGCTCATTAGTAGCGGGCTATTTGCGTGACAATGCGTCTGTTGATGGTATTTCACAGAAACTCAGACAGCTCTGTCCCACGCTATATAGACAAGAAGACGCTACCTGTTCCAAAGTAAGATAAAATATAATAGCTCTTTAAATTATTAGCGCAATGAATTTATTTATACATTAACAAAAAATATATTTCAGGCCAATGAATTACTAATGTTTGCGAAACAACAAAAGAATCCAGCTGAAAAAGAGGAAATGCTCCAACTTGCACTGAAGCTTTGTAAGGTGAATAAAGTATATATTTATTAATGGAGCATTTTGTTCCATATCAGATCATCCATAGAGAAAAGAAATAGTTATAACATTTTTTTTTATTTTAGGATGTAGCTCCAATCGTGAACTTGCCATTAGTGTGTTCAAAGTTATTATCTGTTGGATTTTATTCTGGCGTAGTAGAATTGTGTGTGGCGTGCGCCAACAAACTGGACCCGCAAGACAAGGCCTTACACTACTACAGGAGTGACCAGCCTTCTCAAGACCGTGAGGGTCATATCCTTTATTTTAAAAGGTAAATACGACGTGCATTGCTATCGATAGTAAAGTCATCCACTGTGATATAAATAACAAAAACAAAACTTCCACAATGAGTATATTCTACTTTAAATTATCGTATTTTTAAAATCATGTCGTATCAAGACGTATTCTAAAATAATAATTTAATTCTAGAATGGAGATATATCGTGAAGTGGGTAATGCGTTGGAGCGTCTCTATGAGCGTAGCTCTGAGACTTCAGCTAGTGAGTATTCACCACTTCGGTCCTCGTCTACATCAAAGTCTACCAGCGATGCTATGCTCACATTGTCCCCTGCAGATGCTAACTACCAGGTACTATGAATTTATTTATTTAAAAATGACACTAAAATCATTAAAGTAAATTTATTTGCTTTTTTCCTCCACTTTGCTGACTGACTTGACCTGATTGCTGCAGATAAACTGTTAAGCACTTTTGCGATTTGACGATCGTGTAAATAAATATATAAAAAAACTTAACCAAATTAAGTGAACAGAACAGTTGGTATGGTGACGCAAATAGAATACTTGCAATTTTTTAACACATCCATTCTGGTAATCAGGATGAAGCAAAGGGTAAAATGTTACATGTAACTTAAAAAGTTTTGTTTCAGGGCCGTAAATTAGTCTGGGAATGTTTGTCATGTAATGATGAACTCTTACACATAGCTGTTTATGAGTGGCTAGTAGCAAATAACTTAGGAGCGGGTATGTTTATATAAGATTTTTTTTATACAATTTATTACATCCTTATTTCACTTTTAAAAAATTTCAAGTCATGTAACTCTCTAATTATATATTTGTATGTCATATGTCGTCCATATTACAAAAAGGCGCTAAAGCATTCAGATTGAAGGGAAGCGGAATTGCGCGAGATATCGACGCGCGCTTTGTTTCTCCTTCTCTTTGTTCAGATTTACACGCGCATTATTTCCTGCGTGAAAGCCGATTCACGAGTGAAAGAACGTACCTGTAAAGACTAATAGAGAAACAAGCCGGTCGGTATATGTAAAATGTATTCATAAACACCGTTACCAAGTAACATTTACGTTTTCTTTTTCTGTATTGAGATTACAAACAATAATTAACAATAATCAATAATTAACTAAGGATTAACTTAGATTGAATTAATGAATAACTAAGAAGTATTGTGTCAGAGTTGGTGTCGCTGGGCTCGGCGCCGCCGGCGTCGCTGCGCGCGTACCTGGCGGGCGCGGCGCGGGCGTCGCGCGGGTACCGGGCGCTGCAGCTGCTGGACCTGCTGTGGAGGGTGCTCGAGAAGGCCGGCGACCACCTCGCCGCCGCCGACGTGCTCGAGGGACTCGCCACGCGCCCAGGGTATCGCAGACATTACTATTTGCACATTTATTGTACTTATGACTTAATTACACTACCCTGAGCTATAATCAAACGGCATGAGTAAATCTATTTCTAGTTCAGCCTTAGTGAAAATGTGGTTTATGCTAATACAATACACATATAGATGGGTATTGATATCTGGGGGGTTAAAAGCCCACAGTTCATGATCACGATTGATTCTTTCTAATGAGGGGTTTCGTGTAATAAGTTCGAGTTGAATGCTATTTGAATCCTTATTTTATTGCTACAAAATATAACAGAGAGTATTATGAGATGAAATTGCATCTATAGGCAATCGGGTAGTGCACAGTAAGCAGGCATGTGCAGTTGCCCGTACACGTATAATATCTATGTAAATTCATACTTGATTTATTATAACTTCTCTATCGGTTGCGGCACCGATTTAAACCGAAAATGATGGGAGAAGTTATCACCGAAGTGTATGTGTGATCACAGGTCTGGCGCGAGCCTGGCGCACCGAATGTCGTGGCTGTCGGCCGGCGTGGTGTGCGTGCGCGGCGCCGGCGCCGGCGGCGGCGGCGAGCTGCTGCGGCGCCTGGAGGAGGCGGCCGAGGTGGCGCGCGTGCAGGCCGCCGTGCGCGCCGCCGCCGCCGCGCTGCCCCGCCACCTGCAGCCGCCGCCGCCCCTGCTGCGGCGCCTCGACGACGAGCTGCTCGAGATCACGCAGGTACGCTGCGAGCTGCTGCGGCGCCTGGAGGAGGCGGCACGCGTCTCTACGAGTCTCTTCTTAGCAGTCTCCACTACTGCAGCACCTCGAAGACGAACCGTAGCAGCCGCCACAGCGGTCCCTGTAATGCCACGATGGCTGGCTAGCTGCTCGAAGTCTTACAAGTACATTGCGCCGCGTATATTGTTACGGTGCATGCAGCAGCCGCTGCACCGCTGTGTCAGCACACGCAGTCATTGCCATGCGTACCGCATTACCGTAAAACTTGTAGTCATTGTGTAAGTGTACAATTCCCCCTTTCCCTCACATTTACCATCAATTACCGAGTAAAGAGTAGACGGTAAATGTGAGGGAAAGTGGACCAATTCCAATCTTATAAAATAAGGTACTATTATGGAATTCAGTGAGGTTGCACAGACTCCGTTTTTATTTCTTCACTTCATTAAGTAGATATTCTTCCACCTTGACAGATCCATCCAAGTATCTTATCAGTAACGATTTTATAAGTCAACTTATTTTGTAACATTGCCTTACTTTAGCTATATACAAGTGTGTTGTCAGTGTCACTCACCTATATTATTTTCATACAGCTGTATGAAGAGTATGCCGATCGCTACAATTTGTGGGAATGCAAGCTGGCGATCGTACAGTGTTCCGGACATAACGACGCGCTGCTCGTGGAGACCATCTGGAGTAACATCCTGGAGGAGGCGGAAGCAGCCGCGCGGGTGCTGCCCTCCGGCGATGAACGGCTCTCCTCCGTACTCAGCAAGCTCACCACGCTGGGCAGGGAGTACGTCCACACCGGCCACTGCTTCCCGCTATGTATGTACAGTCACCTACAATAATATCCATACAGTTTATGTTTTAACCAATGTCATATATAAGATATAAGAAGTCCAAACATCTAAACTAATTAGTTTAATTAATAATAAAACTGTTATTGTGACTTTCTTGTTTACATATAGCTAATCATAGACTAAAAAAAACAATATATTTAATAACTACATTTAATATAAAGTAATATACAATAAGGTAGTCCAGTCCATCTATGAAAGTTACAGAATTGGAATTTATATTTAAATACAAATCAACCATTAAACATCTGATGCACGATCAGATATTCAAGGGTAAATGTATAATATGAGTTTTTAAATTAGTTTATTGGTCTTGTCTGTTTATTACATGTTCACATCTAACATCCTTTTACAGATTTCATTGTTCGCCAATTAGAAATAATGTCGTGTAAACTGGAAGCAGACAAAAGTATGGTGTATCGCACAATACTGAATATTGGCGTGTCCATAGAACAAGTTCTCGATATATATATAAAGTGAGTGAACCTTATATATTTTGTAACTGGAATGGTGAACAAGTTGATGATTGATCTGATAAGGGTCAGAACATCTGAATTCTCTAGAATGACAAGGCATAAGTCACATGATGTTCTTAGTGCTGTTCCTTTATATGAAGATGGTTACCATAAACCATCAAGTTGATTCTCAGCTTGCTATTCTAATTAAATAATCAAAATCCAGAGACATGACAGTGGTCACGTGATATACTGTCACAGGGGAATGAAATATTTACGGTGTCATAATGTGAATGAGAGAACTAAAAGATTTATTACGTATAAAGACTATCGTTGTTATTTAATCGTCGACTTTGTTCAAATGGCTATCTACTTTTGAACGCTCAAAGTTCGTAAATACGGACATCTGTGTATATGTAATGTCACACAACGATGTGCAGGTTGGTGAGCGTGAACGAGCGCGTCTGGTTGGGGTGCGGAGACGAGACCCACGTGTGCGGCGTGGCGGCGAGCCTGCTGCTGGCGGCGCGAGGCCAGCTGGCGCCGCTGGCATCCGCGCCACGCCGCCGCGGGCTAGCGCGCTGCAAGGACCTGCACGAGGCCGCGCTCTCCGCGCTACAGGTACGCCCACCTGCAGCCGCCCTCGTCCACAGACACGTGTGCGGCGTGGCGGCGAGCCTGCTGACCGTCGCTGTGCTGCCACTATGCAAGGACATACACTCCGCTACCTACATGTACAGATCGTCTACGGATACATATAGATTTATCGCTTTAATCATCGCAAAGATAAACTTACCGACCGACCAAATGGAATGATGCTATTTACTTCACTATGAAATTGAATACACACGCTCGATCCAACTATGGATGTTGACAATGAACGACAGATCGTAAGAGTAATCGAACCGTGTATATTGCTGTATTGCCTACAGTGGCCTGCTGGCCAATTAAATAAAACTTTATGAAATAATTTTCATCGAAGTGAATATAAAATAATATTAATTTATAATGCGATAATATAATACGTTATCTTTAATATATAAATAATTTCTATTTATAAAGTACTGACGTTGCAACGTAATACATTTACTCCTCAAATTGTTGAAACTTTCCACAATTTAAAGGCAACATTTTTAATTACAAGTATCTTATCTGAAACAACACAATTTTAGTATGGTCAAAAGAATGATTACAACAACTTTCAATAAAAAAAATAAATAAAACGAAACGACGAGTAGTAAAGAAGACAAATGAATTAATTGATACATTGAATATGGATAATTATAGTTAAGTATTAGTGTCAATATATCCAACTACTAACGAAATTACATAATCAGCCCACAATACTTGATAGCAAGAATGAAAGAAATGTTTTTCTTATTCCATAATATGTTCATTTTGTTCAAACATATCATTTCCCACCTGTAAAAAACGATATTCCACACTTATATTAGACCACACATTGAAATGATTTTTACAGTATAGATTATTTTTTCTTCACAGGCCCGACCAAATACCCAAGATCTCATCGATAAATTAACAGTGGCGCAGTCGCATCTAGATCGTATGGATTAATATTAGTTAATATTCAAAGCTGAATAGTTATGCATTGCAGTAAGTGAAAAGTAATATTAGTCGTCTAGTAATTTCCAGCTAATATTATATAAATTCCATTCAATATATTAGACATTTATTTTTTGGATTTGTTATTCGAAAGTAAACACAAAATGACTTCAATATTTTTTTATTTCACATTTTCATTAATAATACAAAATGTATATTTAATAAGTATTTTTTGAACATTATTAATTTACACAATAAATTATTAATACCTGTTATTTGTTATCATAATCGTGACAGTTACTGATTAATTTCAATATTCGAAACTTGGATTTATGTTCCTACATTCGTATTTAGTTTTCTAGCAATACTTTATCGATCATGTGCATGTAAAATAGTTAACAAGCAATTTGCATCTAAGGAACATAATGTTGTAATTCATGATTTTTATTTTTGTAAATAAATATAAACGATTACAGTACAAGTGATTTTTTTCAGTTATCATGCTTACAATCCAGATTCCTTAGGATTAGAATAACCTTTGAAAGTGCTTAAGATTCCAGTCGTAGTCTGCGAGTCCTTCAAAGTGAATAAGATGAGTGTTAATGAACAATGGTAAAATGCAAACTTACGATGAATCGTCGTCGAATGGATTTGTGTTTACCTGCTGATGGTGATGGTCATCTGGGTAACTATAAATACTAGTGTGTTGACCGCTTATAGTCGGCAAACCGACAGTATTCAAAGGCGATATAATCACATTATTATACTGCTGTCTAGGAGATTCTTTGGTCGAGTTCTTCCTTATAGTTGTATATGTTGGCGTCGATTTACTTGGCACGTCCTTGATCTTTGTGCCCGCACGGTACGAGCTGAATTCGTCAGGTGGCGGGGGCAGAGAGAAACCATCAGAATTTTGGGTTATTTCCGAGGTTTCATCGCTAAGTTCTTTAGCTAGTTTCTGACGCATTTTTCTTGGCATTGTATAAAATGTATTCATCTGAAATAAATTTCAGGGTTGTTACTATTTAATAATAATATAAAATACCATCATTATTATCCCAGTTATAGCAGTCTGAGCTAATGTTAAACTGTATAGTGAACGCAACCGTTAACAAATGTCCACGCATATGGAACTATATGCATGGACAAATGATGAAACGTGAACATTTTTACAATTTGTTTTCACAAGTGCAAAAACTAACGACTTAATTCTCATAAGTAAGTAAGTCATTTATTCGTATTACAGACAGATATATACATATTATACATAACAATTAAGCCACAGTGACATTAGCAGGCTGCGCTGTAATATGCTTTTTTTCAATAGGCATGCAATTTTTTTATTAATAAATCTAACAATTACATACATTAATACATTATAATAATTAGATACTTATTTGTTATTTGAAGTTAAAGTTTTAGATTTTAATAATATTTTAATTATTTTTACTTTATTTTATTTATAATTGAAATAATCGTCCAGAGAGTAAAAACAATGCGTGAGTGTAAAAGCAATTGGGTCATTTTATTTTTAAATATATGTCCTGTCAATTCTATTAAATATTGTATGTCATAAGGCTAAGAATAACAAAAATAAATTGTATCTTACGGGTCTCGGTGTACCATAATTCGCAGTTTCAGTCGGTAAATGCATCACCAAATGGTCACATAGAGAATCCATGTCTCTTCTTTTATTGATATTCTGCAGCGAGTGCACCCTACAGTTGGCACTGTGCCGAATTCCATCACTGCACTTACTGATTCCTTCATCGGCCATGTCGTTCATGTACCGTGCAGAATGAAACGAGCTAGTTCTTCTAACATCGTAGCTCTTCGATGGGTATTTAGAGACGGCTCTTCGAAATGACTCGGTACGTCTGATGTTACATTCGCTGCCATCGTCGCTGTCAGGATACGTCTCGCAATTAGATTCTATGAAACAAAAAAGAATATTTTTATAGTGCTTACAATAGAAGTAGGTATCTATCTTCACGCTAGTTCCTCTATGAGTGTTTATCATGCATTGATAGGTATATAACGACTTCCGTACCTATCCGAATTTAATTCCTTTTTTTAAATGCTATATCTATTGTCTAAACAAATATTAAGAAACTTTTGTTTGTAGAAATTTAGACCATTATGTTAATAAATAAAAATGTTTGTATTAATCGGACTCGTATTCAGTGAAGGTAAGACTGTCTTATACGAATATATCTTAAATATTCTCAAAATAATCCGGCTTGAGCAGAGGTTCGTATCCCGGTCAGCCGCTCCATAAGACCTTCCGCGGATTTGAAGTGCCATCTGCGCTCGCCCCCTACCATCCGGAAAAACTATAATGCCAGCTGCGCCCAACAGCATTAGAGTAGTCCGAAAAATAAATGTCTATCCAATGTAAGTAATGGATTATAAAAAAGGCGTTAGAAAAACTTATGTAACATGTTGTACCTTCAGTATTATATGCGCAGAGAGGCGGATCCCCAAAGACGGGTCCGTCACGTCGGTCGCGTTCCCTGGCACAGAGTACGAGTCCACAAGCTGCCAACGCTACCAATGCAACGCCGCCACACAACGCTAGCGCGAGCGTCGTTATATTTGCTACTGTGCTCACCTGAATTATTTCTGAAAAGAGGTATTTGTGTAAAAAATCGTGATCGTTTAATGCTGTTATGCAATTGACGAGCAAATTATTAAAAATATATATGTTTAATATAATATCTATTTTTAACCCGACGATATGACTGCAATATGAAATGTCATAGTAATAGATATAAACACATCCGTTATACAATAATTAATATAATATAACTGGGATATGGTTTCAGCAATATTGATCGTATTAGTTTTCGTATGATTTTTGTTTTTAAATATAGTTCGTATGAATGTATACACCCAGAATATAAATTATGTAGTGTAATTGAATTAGGCATGAACATTTTGCAAAGTTAAAATGCTTGAGTTACAATAAGTAGTAGTAGGAGTATAAATACCCTCGGGGTAAACGTAATATATTGCTACGTGGTTCCGAATATACCTACCTAATTGTAAATGTACATGATTTTACCAAAGCTCAAGTTCTAGTCTTGGCTCTCAGTTATTCTTTCTTTTTTCTCATTTCATATAATAGCTTATAGGTATGCCAGACATAAAGTTATAGTTATTATTTTTAAAATACTATTCGCTTACCGATTTTTTCTTTTATTATACTGTCTTTATCGATTTCGACTGTGGTACTCTCGCCTTTTTCATTAAAAGCCGTTATTAAAAATGTATAGTCTTCCGTTTTGGGTTTTTGAAATACAAACTTCGGCTCTAAACTTGTTATCGATAAGTACTGATCCTCTGAATTCGTGGATTTTACAATAAATTTAAACTTCTGTAAAGAGAAATTTCTATTTTCCGATAAATAGATTAATTAGTCTATATCCATACAATATTTTTACTGCAATTTTATTTTTACTTTCGCCTGATAATTTGAAGTTGAACTCATTTTATTATTCCGATATAATAAAATGAGTTCAACGTATTAAGGAAATTGCTGAAAAACGAATATTCCACATGAAATTAATACTCATTGCGTTATGAAACACTTAAAAAGGCAAGTAGTGTATCACGATAGCTTTGTATATTTTAAAACAGTTTCTTTAGGATAAAAAATAACACGGGGCAATTTTGTAAAGATTTTTAATAATCTATATCTATTGTATATTTTTTTATTATTCTAATATAAAATGTATTTTTGATAGATTAAATTAGCGATATAATTAATAATAGTAATGATACTTTCCCAATGTAATTTAAAATATTAGTTATATAATTACACTTCAGAATCGACTCTATTACCCACCTGTGGTAGTCCACCATCGTGTCCTTTGTCACATATGACAGTGATATCTTTGTTATCTGATATAGCGAAGCACTGTGTTGGTGGACGGGGCGCAGTCTCGTCGGTCACTAATGAGACACAAGGCGAATGACGTAGACCATTATTTGACACGTTGTTGAGACCCCAACAGAATATTGTAGCTATAAAAAAATATTATTTAAAGATCTCAATGGCCTACGTTAAACAAGATAAAATTTGTATAGCATCAAAATTGAGGTAAACCCTGAGGTTTATTAAAAAAAGAACAAATTGGTTCAGAGTTCAGACAAAGATACGCTACCTTTGATACATAAAAAGTAAAAGCCATTGTTTTTAACTGATTCTGATAAAAATACTTTTCGGACATTAAATAATTTACAAATTATTTAATGTCCGAAAAATCAGTATAATTATATAATGTTTTTAGCCCAATTATACACAGATCATTAATTGGTGTATCACATGTATATTATACGGTACTCACTAAAGGGCATGCCGTTAGGTCTCTCATACGAGAAATAAGGTTCCTCAGTTTCATTTGTTTTATGTGGGAGGCGGTGCAGTTGGTTCACATCCTCGACCTTGTCGTTTACAAGCACCCATCGGAACGCGGATGGTTCAGGATTCGATTTTACGCTGCAAGTTATATTTACAGTCTCGTTTTCTCGAACACCGTATTGTGCTATGGTTTCCTCTTCGCAGTATGCAGGATCTGGAAAAGTATAGGTACGTATACGTAATACCCTTAATTGAGTTAATTAACTTAAGAATTATATGTATGTCATAATTGACAATAGGAGAAAGGTGTACAACGTGATTTTTATATGGATATTATTCCGAAGATATTAGGGTTACAATTATTATTCTCTAATTTTAAGTTTGATTATAATATATATTTTTTAAAACTTTACCAATCCATCTAAAACGTTTAAAACCTTACCAATTGACAAGATGGACTCCGGGATAGTCTCCCTCTATGTTGGATATTGTTTTAATTTTCCAAGCATTTCGTTAAAACATATTTTTTGTAGGTAGAACATCTTTATATTTATTAATTAAATTTTATTATTAAGAAAATGTTACCTAAAATAGATAAAATAAAACATACATGTGATGTCAACAGTAATGGATTCGCTATAGGTGGACCCTTCATCATTGCTGCCTGCGCAAACGTATTCCCCAGCGTCCTTCTCTGATACATTGAATAACTCCAACATAGGCTTTATCTGACTTGTACCATCGTCGGGTATTAAGTCTTCCTGAAAGTCAATCATATAGTGATTAATTTTCTATAGTTAGGTATGTAGTAAATTGTACTTATATGAAAATGCAAAGATGGCTATTATTTCTTGGCCTTATTTCGACATGTAAACTGTGGTTGTTTTATTCGTATATATTAGCTTTTCGCACGGGTGTACATGTATTATATATATAACCCTCCCTCTAGAATCACTCTATCTATTAAAAAACCGCTTCAAAATCCGTTGCGTAGTTTCAAAGATTTAAGCATACATCGGTACAGACAGCGACATCGACTTTATTTTATTTGTACTATGTAATGATATTATTAATAAATTTATAAACGTTACGTGAATAAAATGATTATCTATCATATTTGTACTGATAACATAACGGTAGTTTGTTAGGAATAGAAAATTGTCATCCTGTTACCTCATGAAACCATGTTAGTTGATATATAGTGGGATTGGCCTTATAGCTACAATTCAGTGTCAAATTAGACCCTTTTACTACAGCTATTGTTTTGTTATGAATTTCTTCAGCAACAAATATTTCCAAAGCGGGCGGATCTGAAATAAATGATTATCTACATTATCACGAAGTTTCAAAAATGTTAATAACTATGCATATGTCAATCTCATTTTTATTTGATTCAGTCCTCAGTAATGTAAACTTTAAACTGTACCTAATAGTAATACAGAAATTTAACTCGAGGGACAAATAATTCAGACACACCTCAGACAATTTGATTTCTATTGACAATTGACAATTGTCTGTTAGAAAGACAATATTTCAATTGACAATTGTCTGTTGCATGTCAGAAATGACTAAATGTGCGAACAATATAATAATATTCAAAATACCACATCCAATGTACCACATTTTATGCAATAAAATTTCATTTCATTTCATTATTAAAATCAATAATTAAAGAAGCCCGGATAACTAACGTCCATATTCTGTCCCAATCTAAACAAAGCTTGTTACTAGACAAGTGTTAGAACCTATTTATATACATAGTATTGTAAATAATAAAATACCTGCATATAAAAATACTCAGACTAATGCAAACAGATATCTCTTATGAATATTTGTACTCTCATTGGGTAGGCGAACTCACTTGAATCGAATAATAATGCAATGTGGTAAAACCATTTGACCACCACCACCACCATTACGATGTGGGCAAATTGCAATAATGTCTTTAAAGACAGTAGTTGTAGTTAGTTAGTTTTTAGTATTGTAGTAGCGTTAGTTAGTAGTAGTAGTAGTATTAGATAGTAGTGTAGTAGCTACTCCATCCGAGATTACAGCGCGTGAACCCCTCAAAAGTATACAGCTATCGTGGGTGTCACATGATAACATGATGTCCATAGTCCTATTCATGTGAACCGTCAGTTTGTTTGGGGGGAAAGGGATTGATTGCCCATTTCTGGGCATTAATAACCCCATTGTTAGCAATGTACCGTGTCAGGTTGACCACCACGCGGTTCCCCTTGGAAACCATCGTAATAAATTTCTAGTGAATTTACCTCGATGGGCTAACTAACCTAACCTCATGTTCATCTTCACATCCTCCACTGGTGCCCCGCCAGCGTAAACCGATAGTGCAGGCGGGTTCACCATACCATTATCATCCCTTGAAAAAAAACCATTTCAATTACATAAAAAAAACAATAAGTTTGAATCTACTACCTACATAAAACCGTAAGCGGCAGGTCCTGTGCACAGACGAACTTCTGGTCTCTGCGTTCGTACCCTAGTGCGCAACATGTGACTGTAGACTCATCGTGCTGCCGGTCGATGGTCAACTGTATCTCGCTTACCACCAGTCGCTGAGAGGCCTCTGACTGAAAGTCCAAGTTCCTTTTTTATATATCACAAGACAGATCGCGCCATCTACTTCCAAGCTAAACAGAGATTGTGGGTATTTAACAAGTGATATAAATACATAGATACATTTTTCATATATCTACACATATATAGAAAACACCCAGACCGATACAAATAATCATACTCGTGAATACAAATGTTTGTACCGTGCGAATCTAACACACGAGCATCGTAAGTAAAGCGGTGTGATAAACCACTACATCACCTAGGCCGTCAAATTTATATACTTTAATATCAAACAATTTCGTAATTAAACCATATTTAGTTCATCATTCGACCATTTTGCTAACGCTAATACTGGTGATATTTAAAAAATTACAAAAGGCTATTTTTTATTAAAAATAAAAAACATATAAGGCGAGTATTTGTTAGTAATATCTGCTAATATAAAAGATTACCGTAACATTTTGTTCCAAGTTGGCAAGTTGTTTGTTGTCTAGTAGCCATATTACCGGCGGAGGAGGGCGCGCTCCTAGCACCCGACATTGTAGCCCGAGAGATTCTCCTGCTCGCACACGTCCACCCACGAACTCCTTCTCTAATGGATCTCGCAGTGCGACCAACTCTGGTGGTACTAAATGGAATACAATTTGTATAGGTAATTGAAGGCACTTGCTTATCCTTACTAATATTCTAAATGCGAAAGTAATTCTGTGTGTCTGTCGCGCTTTCACACTAAAACTAATGAAATAAATAAAATAAAAAAGAGTATGTTGATAGAAGACTTCCGTTCTTAAAAAGTCACTAGAATCACGATAGTCTTAGTGAAATGGCACTTCACCACCATGATATATTTCTACCATTAATTCGGAACGAATCAGCGGACAATCATATAACTTCTCCTAATGGTATATTTCTTCTACTAATCATTTATAACGAATAAGTGTAGATATCTAACTTCTAAACGGTTGGACAGATTGGAATAATATTTTGTGTATATATTTCAATGGGTTCCTGGCTTATTTAAAAATGCAATTAGACGTGGTAAATAGCGTTTTAGCCAGGACGACGACTGGTGGGTATGCTATTATTATAGTAATATAAAGCAATCTTTTGAGCTTACAATACATATTGATGATAATATCTATAACGAGTGGCGGCGTGTGGTCGTTGTTGTTGGCGGTACAAGTGAGCACAAGGCCATGATCCTCACGCACCAGCGGCCCGTACTGCACATCGCTGCGCACTCGCTGCTCCGACAGCGGCAACCACGCGTCCTTCAGTAATCGTTGCTTTGTCCACCATGATAGGGAGGCTTGTGGTTTACCTACAAAAATGATTAGGATCATCGTCATTGTCTTGCTCATTATTATTAGGGGTTATGGCGTGTGTCAGCTGTGTCATGGATATCACAGTCCATCTTTTCTTCGGTTTGCAGGTAAATATCTAGATATGTGTATTTAATTATATTCATCCGATGGTGAACGAAAAGAAGAAATATGATCAAACTTGCGGAGATTAAAAATGAAGCGGATAGAGTTATTGAGAAGACGATCCAATTTGTTTAAAAGGTCAACATTCATGTCAGAACAGCACACATCAGCATAATCTATAGAATAATCTAATAGTTTTAGATGCTAATAGGTATATATAAATATATACTTATTGGATATACCTAAATTTTATTGGAAATATTAGTATAAACCTACTGTACCACTTGTTTATCTCTGGAAAATAAATGCTACCGTATTTAAAATATAGCACTTAATTTATATTTAAACGTACTTGTTAATTAAGTGTTATTAAGGCACAGAGAACTGAATTATAAAATAATTTTTCGTTAAGTTTACTTTGTTATGACGGTGCATAACAAAGAAAACTTAACGAAAAAATATTGATAATATTAATGAGTGTATTTTCAAACGAAATAAAAAATAAACACTACTAACCTCCGTAAGCGATACAGAAAAGATTAACAGTATCACCAATATAGTATGGGCCAATGTTTCTGCTCGTATTGGCTGCATCGCTGGTCGTCTCTACTCGAGTACCATTCTCAGACACCACATATAGCCGCTGGGGAGGTTCTGTAATTGATCTTCATATTAGCACAGACGAATAGTTTTGTTTTTTGATGATTTTTTTTATTCTCTGACGGCACGTTATGGTAAACGGACATAACGTTATTAACACCTATTATTTCACTCATGCGTTGCTATTCTAAAGGACTAAGATGTTAAGCTTCTTGTACAAACTGTAAGTCAGATCTGGTATCGGGTAAATTCGAACTTGGAACATTTGGTGGTAACTACAATCTTACAACGTTCTCAAATTTTCTACAATATGTTCTTATAATAACTTAGTACCTATACCGAACTATATCTTTTCTTCAGTAACAATATCGCATATCAACCAACACTGCAATAGAATTTTTCTAAATTGAGAAGGAAGAGAACAGTGAGTTGTGTTGCCTATCTTCTTTCAAGATAACAAATTTCTATCAAAATCTATATATAATGCTTTAACTATCATTTTATTACTCTTTAAAATGGTAATTCAAGAAACATTACAATGTACAATTGTTTAATAAACAAATATAGGAATTGTTCCGGTCGCGCCTTCCTCATTAATACGCAGACCAATTAAGTGAAGCTGCGCTGTACAGCGCTCTGTTAGGTCAGCAATTAGTTGGCAAATACAATAGATACCTACAGAATCCTTTGTCTATTTAATAAAGTATGCTTTAAAAATACTTTATTTATTTTAAGTAATAATAAATACCTACTTATTTGTTAGGGTATACTGAACAGGAGCAAGATATAAATTTAATCTTATTTTAGACTCATTTAGTTTAATTACTAGTAAATATGTATATCTAAAATCAGTAGCAGTTCCTAACTATTTGCTGTTAAAAAAATAGTCAATTACGATTTCTTCATTGGACCGGCAATGTATCACAGACCACAATATAGACACTTACTTAAAAATCTGTATACAGTAGGTATTAGAAAATTTGTTTAACAGTGCGTTTACGATAACCCGGTGGTAGCTACCATTGGGTTATAAGTCCAAGCCCTAGAGGTGAAGTCGGAATGGAGGGACGAAGACTCAGCTCCACCTCCATAGGGGTGCCAAAGAGCCCGTAGTTGTCACGTAAACACCTGCTACCCCGTTTTAGAATATATTTCAACGGGTTTACAATATATACCCACATATCATTGTATTAGTTTTTAAATATTATATTATATGTATGTTAGTCTATAAGGTATTTATAATATGGGCCTAGTTGCCTGAAATAAATGAATGAATAAATAAACTCAGAGACGTCAAATGGGTACATAAGTTACATAGTGTAGTTTTAAAAAATATTTTACTCAGAGACAGGTTATTAGGTTAATGGTTGATTAGTAACGAATATATACATCATCATTGCCTTGCCTTTATCCCATTATTTGGGGTCGGCGCAGTATGTCATTCTCTTCCACTGATCTCTATCAATCGTCATATCTAAACATACTCTTCTTTTATTCATATCATCTTTCACACAATCCATCCATCTTTTCTTAGGGCGTCCCCTCCCTTTGCATCCATCCACATTCATATTATACACTTTCCATAAGACATGGTCCTCATTCCTCCGCATAACATGCCCATACCAGCTCAATCTGTTACCTCGCAACTTTTCTATAACCGGCGCAACTTTCAAACTTACAAATATATTTAAATATATAACGTATCAATATATATATACCTATGACAACCATTTTTATATGTGTCTTGAGTGTAGGACTAGCAGCAAAATCTGCTGAACAGATGTATATTCCTGCATCGGCCGGTCGTACGGAAAGTATTTGCAGTTTTCCCAAACCCTCGCTCTCTGCCCTAACTAGCTTGAATCGTGAGCTTGATGATGACACGCTGCCCTTGCCACTACGCTGGTCGTGACTGCTGATGCAAAAGAAATTATTTAATTTATATCTAAACAATTGCATAATTTGCCACTAGAAAAGTGACAGGTTTAATTAACATAACTAACTAATAAATATGTCCTACTATCTAGCTAGTACTATTATTTATTGAAATAGTCTTACTATAGTCATACTTTCTTAATTTGTACGATAAACAAGAATTAAGTACTTACCTCTGTAATTATTTCAGAGATAGCGATAATGAGAATGTGTATATCGTTGGGCTAGATATAAGTATTTATATTAGGTATACAGTTTTTACCTGGATCTCTGCACTGAATACAACAAACCTATGAATAAAACTATACCTAATATTCTTTTATATAATGAACTTGCTACTCGCGGCATCGCACGGGTGTACATGTATTATATACATATATAAACTTTCCTCTTGAATCACTCTATCTATTAAAAAAAAGCACTTCAAAATCCGTTGCGTAGTTTTAAAGAGGTAAGCATACATAGGGACGAACAGACAGCGACATTGTTTTATACTATGTAATGATTATACATATTATAATAATTAAAATTTTATACACCTAAATAACATTATTATTTAACATTTACAATTGCATGTAGTCTGTACGTCTTAGTCAAAAATTAATGTCATTTAGGAGTCGTAGGTACTTAAAGTTTGCAACTTTACATTTTCTGAATTTATTATTATAATAAATCTCTATTTATATATATCTAAGTATATACTCCTAAATGTGTTTGATGATATTTCCTTATTTAATAAAGCTGTTGCAATTGATTATTTAAACATTGCCAGTGTGGTAGTCGATTGGGTGAATATTTGTACTAAAACATATATTTTTATTGACATGGAAACCAGAGTCGATGCTCGTAGGTGCCTAAGCTTTGTGGCCAGTAGATATGGGGCACCCACAATTCGCCATAAATTTAAAAAAATCTATATGCAGCTAGACCCATAGAAGAAGAGGGCGAGGATGATGAAATAAGAATAAATTAAATACACCTGTAAATAGCCTTCGATGATTCATTTTTATACCAAGCGAGAACAGTAAACTTGTCATTTTTATTTTCAGCGCTAATGTTGCAAGGCAACTCTGCGGTGTGTCCTATCACTGCGTCAACTGTAAAGAAACATTACATCTTTGATTTAGGTATTCTACTGGACTTCTGTATCTATAAATAATAATGATAAAATTAAAAATGTTAAGTATCCAAACTATTATATATTGTAGTTATTATAAGAAATATATTTAGGCCATACTAGTGATTCCAGAATTTCTTTAGATAGTATGTACTTACACAGCTTCTATATTAAATATAGATAGGTGGTTAATTATTTAATAATAAAGAAAACAGTTAAGTTTAGATATCTACTTAAACCTATCTATATAAAAGTAACATATTACCTTAGAAGTTAGTAGAAAACAGAAAAATATCATATAATCTAATAATCCTACATGAGGGTAGTCAAGGAACTATAAATTGTTTACATTATGACTCAACACTTGACATACATTTATACAAGTAGGTACCCTTTATATTGGATCCCAACGTGCCAGGAAACGCAGGCGACCCTACCGCCATCCTCGAATTAATTTGGTTTATTATCACTTATCCATACTAATATTAAATATAAATGCGAAAGCATGTCTGTATGTTTGTTACCTTTTCAATACTATACACGACTGATCGGAATTTAACATGATAGGTAGATTCTATCGAGAGAATGAAATAGAAATAGAAATAATCTTCATTCAAATAAACTCATTACAAGCACTTTTGAATAGTCATATTTTGATTGTACCACTCATTCGGAATGGCACAGATTCATCACAAGAAGAATGAGCAAGAAACTTGTGTGTTGCTCTTTTTAATAGATGTTTTTTTATATAAATAATTACTGTAATTATATCAAGTAAGAGGCTCGATGATATGCTACGCACTTGATGTCAAAGAACATATTATAGTTTCATAAGAGAAATCGTTATATAAACTACTCGTGGTTTTGGATAAATGAACTCTCGGATTCGATACTCGGTCAAATCTAAGATATCAACTCATTTACATCATTTAAGTATAGGCACTGGGTCTCCAAGATTTAAAGACCAGTCAAAATGTATAATTTTAGTTATTTTCATTTAATTAATATTGTTATTTTATTTTATGTTATAATTATTAGCAATAGGTATTACTTACCTACTTCAATAACTTCCTGTGCACTTAAAATTTCTAATAACACTACAAACACTATTACATAAACAAAACATTTCATTTTTTAACACTAAGGAATAAATTATAGATTAATTTAAATTTTGCGTCCAAAATATCGCATCGAAAAGAACATGGCTCGACCAGAAGCAAGGAACGGACACGCGTTTCAATTGACGCGGCTGGCAGCAATAACAGTCGTCGTCGGTCCAGGCAGTGCGGGACTTCGCTACCGGCCGCCGGTCCCGCTTCCGGAGCGCCCGTCTGTTCCCGCCCGTGACGTCATAACAGTCCCGTCGAACAAACAGCCGACCGACAGCTCATCATTTACCTTACACTTTTTAATTGGTGAGGTCGAAACAATTGGGTCACTTCAACTGGATTTACTTATTGTGCAAAAACGGAAATGGTTTATTTTAGGCCAATTTGATATCCGGTTTATTTTTTATTTAATTAATTGTAGATACCGAAGTTTCGTTGCATATTATGCTTATTATAATATTTTAATACTTTTTATAGCACTCTAGCGGTAGTCATAGAACATAGTACCTTTATACTTTTGGATTTTTTTGCGTCGTCACTTAATATGTACTTTATATTAATTCCACCTGATAGAAAAATACCAACAGCTACATATGGACAAAAACTACTAAACAGGTTTTTATTAAACTTTACAGTAATATAGCATCGAAATTAGATAGGCTATAAATCTAATGTAGAGGACACCGCGGGTAGTGCTAGTATATCATATATAGACATAGTACAAGCTGTGACACCTATTATGTTATATCCTTGATTTTAGTTACGTTAGGCCTCAGAAAGTGATAATTCTCTTCTGAGACTCTAGGCATTAAATTACCACATTTCATTGCGATTCTACAGTTTAATCCGGTATATTAATATTGGAAATCCAATAATATATGTAATGTAGAGCTACAAGTTAAGAAACATACCTTTCTCATTAGATTGTAGAGACAAATACTTAACTACTAAATATTGTTACTATATATTTTACAGTAGATTAAAATTCAAAATCTTAAAACTAATGTTGATACAAACACACATTACGTACATTAAGAAGTAAAATAATACAATAATCTTTATAATATTTTTTTAATATCATTTGTAAATAATATGGCAGATCTATATAGCAAATGAGATATTTTTAACACGTAACATTTTGATATGTAAATATTTACGACAAGGTAGTCTGAACCACAACTATTTCGTTATACTAGTATTATACAAAAATTAAAAAAACTACTACACTCCTATTTCAAATCTTTCAAAGAGCGCACAAACAATACCGCCAACATGGCTATCACTGCACTGCCGACAGTACCCACGAAAATTTTTTTAATCTTCTTGTTATTTGGCTCTGTAGTAAATTCCTGAAAACCATAACAATATTAATCATTTTATCTCTACTATTGTCTGGAAATATATATATATTAAGATATATAATTGAAATAACAAAGGACTACATAATTTTAGGGTCACTATATTATAATTGCATATAAGGTAACAGTAAACAGTTTATATGGTTATGCATATAATATTATGGCTAAGTTATGAAAACTAAGCAGTAATGATACTAAATTAATTCTTCTGTAGTTTTTATAGAAATTCAGTTACTTGCACTGTTACTGTATTGTGCCTGCCATGTATACTAATATGAGATTTTTGCTCTTTAGATTTAATTGTGTGATTGCATTCAATATTGGGGAATTCTATAGGTTATATATAACATCATGTTATCACTAATAGGAACAGAGCTGCAATAAAAGATGTTGGATAAATGGGGAAAAAAGTGACAAAGAGGAACTTGCACAAGTCAGCTAGTACTTTAATATATATAACATTTACACATTAGTATTAACACATTATGGGAAAATGTAGACATTAGAGAAAAATTGTATCGTTAAAATAATAATAGTCACCTTTAACTGTGTATGTAATGTTATATCCATAGAATTTAAAATATTTGTAATTTCACTCAATGTGGCTAATGCAATATCGGAGGCATATTTATCTTTATAAACTAAACAGTCGGGTATTTTCTTCAATTTCTTTATAGCTAATGTATTTGCTAGCATACTCAAGTATATTCTATATAAATGCTGTGAACTTTCTTCTAGAATATCAGTTATTTCTATAGAGTTCAAATTTAAATTGGATTTATACCTGTAAATATATAATGTTAACTAAAATTACTATGCTGAAATCTCATACACATTAAAATTGAATACAAATGTTGTTTGAAGTAAAAAAATATTTAGCAAAAATATTGAAAATTACTACAAGTTTAATATTAAATAATGCCAACTACAAGATTAAATTAGTCACATGCGGTCTTATTACAAAAAATCTGTTAAAACTCAGACGAAACATGGTCTAAATGGTCGTGGTTTAAACCATTCCTAAAGTTAATACTTGGAATAAGCCTAACATTATTACGAATCCAGATCTAACAGAGGACTACTTAGTACTACAGTTAAATCATTCATTATGTATTCCATACAGAAATCAGTCACTCATGTCTGTTAGCGTACAATTACGTTCCGTTTTACCAGAAAACTGAAAAGATCAAAAATAATATAACTTCAAATAAATATGTATAAACTAAAAATAAATTTATTTCCATTTATCTATGTCGTCATTATAACTATTTCATTAATATATAAATATTTGTTAATGTACTATTAGGCTGAAAATCAGTTTTAAATTACAAATAGGAGTCCTATACGGAGAAAAGGAACGGCAGGATATTTTTATTGGATCGATTCGAATGGTGACTATTTCAAAGTCAAATAAGTGAAAATATAACAAATAATGTCTTTTATATATTTTTATTATCGTAATATTAGCTATAAATATTTTTAGTTAATATATTTTTAATTTAGTTAAAATATTTTTCCAAAAGCAACAACTTACAATACAATTTTTAAAATGGAGTTTGACTTTTTGTATTTAGACCACTGTTAAACTAGAGGCATCGCAGGTCTAACTTTAGACCATAGACAAATCACGATTTAGAGATAAACCTCATTTTGTAATAAGGAATACATTGGTGAATGGTTTATTACTAGTGCTAAGCGAGGTTTATCTTTTTGTAATAAGGCTGATGATGTTCACAATTATAATTTTAATTATTTACCAAGTCTAAAATAATTTTACACATATTTCTATTAAGAATACATTAACTTACAACTGTTCATTTTCTTGATATATTGGCAAGTTTTTGACTTCTTCTAAAAGTTTGTTTCTAATTTCAGCATTGTCAATTCCTAATTTAATAAGGTCTTCATCTGTCAGCTCCGTAAGAGTTAGTTGACCTATGTTTTGTTTCCTACAATGAAAAATGAAAATTTGTTTTACTATAGTTACAAATTGGAAAATACACTCTACAAGTATACTGTTTGATGTATTAAACAACAGATATGACATCCAACGATTATGAATTTAAATATTTAACATAAGATTCTAATTGGTTTATGTTGCTTTCCAATAAGATAAATCTGTTATAGATTTCACCAATATATAATAAATTAGAAAAAAAGAGAATATGTATTACCTAAAAATATCAACATATTTTTCAGCTCCAATTCCTATTAGTAGGGCTCCTATAGTAATGTCAAACTCTAAAGGATCAATTTTATTAATTAAAGCTAATTTAGAAATAGACTCTATTTCGCTACCCATGCTGTAATCTATTTAATAATTAAGCATTTCTCTTAAAATCTTTGAAATGAACGAGAACTGAAAACTCCGAATAGAAGGGAAGCAAATATGAAATTACAGAACTGTCAAGTAAATGTCAATCAAGTTGACAGTACGACTAGATATAAAATCAGTAAGTTTTTTACTGTGCTAAAGTTCTGTTTTCACTGCAACTAATTACAAATTATATCGGAATCTCGGCTTTTTATGATAATTTGAATTGTACAGAAAGTCATGGCACAGTGGTTTACACGACGACTTAGACTCAAAACATTATCAGTTTAAATGCTGGGCTATATCACGCCACTGGATTCAATTATTGTATATGTGTATATATCGAAATATCGACATGGTCAAGAGATTTTACTTCAATTACTAAGAATTGTAGTAGTGAAATGTTATAACTGTCAAATCCGCTCCTTTTGAAACTAATTATTTTAGGCCTAACGGTTTAGCTCACCGCTTTATGTCCTATAGCTGCGGGTTCGATTCCTCGCACGTTACAAACCTTTTTATTTATGAATATCAATGTTTGTATTGATCTGGGTGTTTTCTATGTACCTATATTATGCATGTACCTATTACAAAAAAGTATCTTTGTATTTATATCAGTAGTCTGGTACCCATACAATACAAACTATTTGGGACTAGGTGGTCATGAGTTAAGTGTCCAAGGATATTATTATTATTATTAGATATTATTCACAATAGAAAATGTTTGTATGTATTCCTATCATTTAGGTGTCTAGTACACATAACACAAACTCTGGTTCGCTTGGAACTAGATGGAGCTGTGTGAGTTGTCCAGAGATATTACCTATATGATATTTATAACTAGCTGTACCAGCGACTTCGTCCGCGTAAATAGTGACCTTGATCAAATAATGAAAAAATTTGACCTAAACCAATAAAAGCCAAATGAATAAGTTTCATCGTATCATCTTCAAAAATGACGACACTTCCATACATAACTCTTTCAACTCCTTATAACCCTTCTATCGCATTCAAAAGTAGCCTATGTAATATTTTTACAAAATTTGATGGCCTATTTATTTATATTCAATCCTCAGCCTCAAAAATCAGTTTCTAGCTTCAAAAATGACAAATTTACATAAAAACTTTCATCCCATATTTTATTTTACCCCCTAAGGGTAAGATTTTTATAAACTTATTATGTCATATTTATTTAGATTTAATCAACAGCCTCGAAAATAAATTTCAATCTTCTAGTTTCAATAATATCGAATTTATATAAAAAAAATTATGCTCTAATTTATTTAACCCCCTTAAGGATAATATTTTTATTTAATTAGCAGCCTCAAAAATAGGTTTCAAGCTTCTAGCTTCAAAAATGACGATTCTTTCATACAATCTTTCATCCCCAATTTCAACCCCTTACAACCCTTTTTTCGCATTAAAAGTAGCCTATGTCCTTTCTCAGGGTCTAGATTATCTGTGTACTAAATTTCATTTAAATCGATTCAGTAGTTTTGGCGTGAAAGCGAGACAGACAGACAGACAGACAGAGTTACTTTCGCATTTATAATATTAGTAAGGAAGTAAGGATTCTAGAGAATAATAATTGACATACACTGTTCAGTGTATTTCAAATTAAACGTGTACAGAAAAATAAAACAGAATACTTGGAATACTTTGAAACTCTATTTCGATCTTCTACTTTTATTATGGATATATATAAAAATTAAATACTTATGTCACTATTAACAGTTCTAAGACAATATGAATCTAAGGATTTAAATTATCCACAATAACTTTAACGGCTTCCCAAGTCTCGCGTGCCGTAGATACTATTTGAGCGGCAGGCAGTATATAGCCATAGGGTCCGACGGAGTCTCCAAGATCGACATGGTAGGAGTATTTAATGCCCGCACGTGCTTTTGCCCAATCATGTGACATTCCTGAAGCTTCTTGACGTACTTCAGCAGCGGTTCCAATCTGAAATTGAATAAAATGCGATTGATTGTTAGTAGTGCGAACTAGTGGCCAGCAATGTATCATGTGAGGTCAATCTCAGGCGCTTTCTGAAAACCAAAGTGATTAAATCCTGGTGTATTGGTCACAATGGGGTATCTAGCCGGACTTCATGCTCATTCTATCTTACGCAATTGCATGATGTCTCGGCAACGCATACCTTCCATCAGCGCAAGCGGATGCACTATTCCATTTTTTTATTAAAAAATAAATGAATAAGCAATTATTAGGTAAATGTTATGCACTCGTATGAATAGGCTAATTAAGTATATTCATTTTAGAATGGTAATGCTGTAGGCTGTAGCACGTTAGTTGCGGATTTGTTCAATTCTTTCTTCTAACAATAACAATAAAACTTTAAATTGACTTAAATTTATGTGCAATCCATGATTTTTTTACAGTTGCCGTTTATCGTTTGAAACATTTTCAATTATGTAGCTTTCTATTATTTAGATGATTTTTAGTATAACTAGACATAAGTTTTACTTATAAATTTTATTTGAAATATTTTCATAGTTCAGAAGTGTGACTATCGAGATTAGCTGGATAATGAAGATTCGTAAATAGCGTTACAAAGAAATTAATAACGGTATAGCTCCTTGTTGCGAGTTTATTTGCCTATATGAATTTTATAATTACCTGGTATTTAGTGCCATACATGTCTGCGAGTGCCGCAGTGGCTAGTTTACCCATTTCCATGACGAGTGTGTCATCATCATTAGGGATCCTTGTGGGGGCGCTCGGCACCAACCACGCTTGAGAATACGCGTGCAGGGAAATGTACGCCTGATAAATAAAAACCATTGCATTACTATGTGACAATGACAAAGAATTGCTTTGCGAAGGCTGGATATTAGATTGAGTCCATTCCGATATACATTTTCTATTTCAGCTCCAGGCTAATTGTCGGCGAGCCAGAGGGTTTTTCCGCCAATTATATCCTCCTGATGGGAAATTTCTGATATGGTTTAGAAAGTTGTGTTATGAAGTTTAGTTAAAGTCAGCTCTGGTTCCGAGGGTGGATTGAGAGGCAGCATCCTCGCAAACAAAGTCTGTCATTTCCACCAGATTCAAGTTCATGTCAAATCAGAGTTAAACCTACAACACTGAGTTTATTATTGAAGATAAAAAATAGTCATAACCTTAACCATCTTAGAAGTTATGGACCGGAAGTAATATTGGTTACCTTGACCTTTTACTGGCTCCTGGACCATGAGCGTTCTACAATATTTTGTGTCAATATTTGTTTGGTGAGACGAAGAAATGATGTACCTATTACATAATTAAGGTTCAGGATGTATGCAACTACCGAAATATCGGGAGCTTATAAATAATATTATCATGGTAAATATCCAGTTTATTTAATGTGAACAGTTCTGCTATTACTTTCAGTTGAAAGTATAGAAAATATTTTGAAAGTAACAATCCGCTCATGATAGTTACTCTGTCACAATTTCTCACTATCAAAATGCGGTCTACCTTAACAGCTTTGTGAGAATGATAAATTGCAGCATTGCAACCAGCAGAATAGAAACTGTATAGGTACCTACTTTTGATTTCTAACCGGCGCAGTCCATATTATTAGTAGATACTTAGTGGTATAGCACTTATTTGTGTCGCCGCAATTTCAACGTAAAAGTCAATTAGTAATAATAGCTAATTGTTGGAACTTATATAGGTATCAATACACCGCAATTGACAATATTTACTTTATGTAACTGATGACTGGATAAAAGTTACTAGAAATTCCTAATTTTTTTGTTTCTTTTCATCGCTTAAATTTCTCATTATTATAGTTAAACAAAGATTTGTTTAATGTACATTATTATTAACAAAATTCACAAGGTACGTCACCAGGCCTCATCCTCAGCTATGGCAATATCTCTATTTCTATGGATTACCTTAATTTGACCTTTACGTTCAGCTAAAAACTCTGCGACTGCTTTAGTTTCTGGTTCACTGAAGGGATGCGGGCCGGCGTAGTTGTCTGCGCAAATGTCTCGAGATGAATCCTGTTCCCCCCACCGGTAGTCCCAGTTGCGATCCAGATCCACGCCCATACACTCTCCTCGACCCCAATTCCATGGCAACCTTCAGATAATTATAAATTGAATATAAAATAAAAAAAAGAACGAAGTATTTTTTTTGTTTCCCAGTACAAATAACCTAATAAAATAATATATATGAATTCCTATAACTGCTACTCCCAAAATTCTACTGTACTGAGTTCTACTATACTTAGCCTGCTTTGATGTAAACTGTAATCTATGTGGGCAACACCCATCAAAAATTGTACAAAACTACCTCCTACCCTCCATTCCAAGTGTATTTTATATTATAATATTAGTTTAAAAGAAATTTCTTAATAGACAGAAAAATTAATTTTAAAGACGTATCTGCATCTCGTACCTATTCACAAACTTTCACAGGAAAAAGTAATGGTTTAGTAAATACTTACATACTAAATAACACTTGGTTAAATAAAAGATAAGATAGAAACTCGTGCGGTAACGCACAAAGCACAAACGGTCAAAATGTCAACAACAAATTACCAACTTGTAATCTCGCTCTACTAATTCTGTAAAAGGGTTGCTTTGCTTTCTATGTTATGTAGGTCCAATAAGGTTATCAGAACATTCTTATCTATTATAATAATAAAAATAATAAGTTTATTGTGCAAAAAACAAATACAAAATGGATTTAACTAAGGTTATATATCTATATTATTTCCATATATGTATATAATAGTTCTTACTTATATCTATATATATTATTGAGATTTTTAAGTTTAGTCTTATATAATTAGAAAAGGCCACAAAAATTAATTGTTCTTAAAAAATAATAAAATCGATCGATATTAGACTCGGCCCTGATGAAAGTTTAAAACAGTTACTGCAAGGAAATTAGTTTTCTCATACTTAAGAATGACTCACCATGCAACAAAGTAGTCATCGGTCTGATCTCTATAAGAAGAGCGAGTTTTCTTCCAAAGTCGGTCGTGAGTGTGAGAATGCTCGTAGCCATCCGGGTTTAAAACTGGCATTATATAGATATCTACTTGTTTTAATATTTCGTGATCGGCTCCTGCATATAGGATAAATATACGTTTAAAATTTCCTGTACCTGTTAGAAATAAACTTAGGTAGTCATGTCAAGTAGCTCACTATTTGTCTATTATAGCAAGTAATTGCAAATTTATATTTTTTAATATGTTTTTATAAAATCATTTTTCTAATCATTTTGTATTTTAATTGAACACAAATTTGTCATTTAAATCCCATACCCTGGCCTTTTTCACCTTCTATAAGAGCTTGCAATATCCATGTCGCAACTGCAGGTGAAATCCATTCTCTGGCATGAGAGCCCGCATCTAACCACAACGCAGGTTTTTGACGAGACCCGAGTTTCCATTTTTTCTTGTCACCTTTTGTATCTTTTTTACCAGTTTCATTCCTATGTAATGATATCTGGAAATCGAATTGTAATGTAGTATTTTCGACCGACGTTTATTATATGTGTACGTAATATAAATATAGTATCTAGTATATATAAAATAAAATAAATAAGCGAATTCATAAACTTCACAATGAATGTGAGCATTCCTTAATTACTTAAGTTCCTCTCAGTATTAAAACTTCGTGCAAGTTAATTTTAGTTACTTTTCACACAAAATGACTACTTCGTACTAACAGCAGACACAAGTTGTATTTTTCCATGCGATTAGATAATTGTTAGTTTGATTATTTTTCATCTCCTAAATATTAAACTAAAATTATAACTTAAACTTAAAGCAAATGTTGAATATATTCTATATCAAATTAATTATATGTACCTTAACAGCTATTAATGGAAGTCCTTCAGATGAATTGCCCAGCGTTATAAGTTCTACTAAATCTCTGTATGAGTTTTGTAAGTAGTCTAAATAACGCAAAATGTCCGCATATCGATGATATCGCCTCCACGTCATTGGGTGGCCAAATACTTTGTTCGATTCTAATCTTTCTTTCTTTGAAAGTTTTGGGTTTTCGAGTACTACTGCTTTCTAATTAAAAAAAAGTTAGTTTTAAAAGTATATTTTGGTAATATTTATTATGAATTATAATAGAATGATGAACCCGCCTGCGCCAACGGCCTACGCTGGCACGACACCAGTAAAAATGATAATATGAGCATGAAGTCAGGTCAATACCACGTTGGTGTCCAGCGGGAATCGCATGGAAGTCAGCCTGACATGGTACATTATTAATTATAATAGTCCACTTTACTAACAATTAATCTTCTTCCCCCCGTCTGGTAATAGGTACTATAGATATGGTTCACCCATTTTAGTTCAATTTTGATTTAGTTGCATAGGTCAAAAGATGTTTTTCATCATTTATATTCATGCCTTTTTTAATAACAATATTTCTAAAATCGTTTGTAGAATTAATAAAAATGTTTTTTTTAATTAGTTGTATCTAAAAACTTGCGTAGGATAGGTTTTATGCGATTACGATTACTAACAAACATACAGTACCTGTAAGTCTCTGATCAGGATGTCAAAATCTATGTTATAGTAGCTGAGATGATGTTTAACATCCTCTAGGAGGTCTGGTGGCGTAAGAAGATCTATATACCCATTAACTGTGGGATTGGTCCACCACATTAGACCAGAACCATCACCTTCTTCTTGCAATTCAACTATAGCAGATAGCTTGTCTTTACTTTTTGGGTATATTCGAAGTAACTGATAACCTTTATATGTTATTCTCGGTGATTTCTTTTTCAATTTTTTATCTATAACATATTTATATGTTAAAAACATATTGTGTAACTGAAAGTATCACTAAAACAAAATCTTAGTCCTACGCAGTTTAATTCATTTTTTTACAAGTACCGTATAGTAAGTAGTTCCATAAAGTAGAAAATCATTAAACGCCTAGGTCTATTGATGATTTTCGAAATTCAGTAACAAGAATATAAATTCTTGCACCGCTCAACAACTGTTAAATAACCCTTAATAAATTAAATTTATACATAAATTATTTTTTTTTGTTTTGTACGATACACAAAACTAAACATATGACAGATCTTGATCAGAATAGATTTTTTATTTTATTTTGATTTATTGAGACTGTTTTGTTTTTTGCCTTTATTCGTATACTTATTTGTGAACCGACATTTATGTATAATTGTTTTTGTTATGTTTAGTGTTTTCACCATAAATCTCAATAACTATAAGTAGTGTATATAGGTTTTATGTTACCTGTGCTTATAGATTCCAAATAAAATCCATCGCTTATTTCCGTGTTAAGTAGAGCCGAGTACCAATCAGAATTGGGCATCGTCCATGGTGACACTGTTGTTGCTGAGGGTTTGGGTTTCGGTTTTTCAAACCAACTGGCGCCTCCAAACCAGCTAGATTTTGATATCCAATCGTAAATTTTCATGAAGAAGCCTGCCAATAGATTTACAGAAATACGAAATAGTAACGAAAATCATATGAATTTGATAAACCTAATATTAATTGTTGGAAATTTCCTAATCGATCTACTTAGTAACCAAGAAAGCGTAAAACAATTGCGTTCACTTTCAAAATAATTAAGGGTTTAAAATTTTCAACTACTTTCCGTATCCTTCTAACTTTCTTGCCTGAACTTGATTGTATCCTAATAGATCATTGACTCGTCATCAAATGACTACGATTGTAATAGTATAATATATTTAATGCTTATAGTGGTACACATGTGTATTAATGTAGAAATAAATAAATATATGCTAGATATTTCACCATTTTCTAACTGCTGCTGAAGTCTACTCTGTAACATTAAGCAAAAAAAGTATATCAATATCACTGTAGAAAAATTAAACAGAAGATGCACGCTACACGCAGTTGAGCTAGTTTTCATAAAATAAATTCATATTCAATAAATTGATACAATGAATTTGCTTATAAAATAACAATTTAATGTTATTACTATTTTTCACCTTTGTGGGCTTTGTACAATGTACAATGTCTAAGTGTGTATGCTTGTCTCACCTATTTCTACCGTCTAGAAATTATTGTATAAGCTTTATACAGTTTTGAAGAGATATGGTAATGAAGTTACGGGGTATGGAGCTAATAAAGGTACCACGGGCGTCAGAGGACGACTACTTATATTAAATAAATTAATAAATTATACATATTATTGATTAAGTAGCAATTGTAGTAAATAATGAATAAAACTTGTAAGTAATACTCTTCCGTATCTTAACCAAACTAAATAAATTATATGAATCAATCCTTAATTTATTTTCAATTTGATAACAAAAAGGAAGCAGTTAGTATTACATTTCTTTTCCTTTAAGTATGGATCTAATTCGTCGTTTGATATAATCTGTAGATCTGGGCCAACAACCTAGCCGTAAGCGTAACTTTTCTGCTCCATAACTCAGGCCACGTGCGATAGTCAGGCAACTGGTTGTGACTGTACTAGTTTTCCGTAAATTTGTAGGTTTCCTTTACTAGTAATTTATTATCTTAGTACCACCTACATAGATAATAAAGCAATAAGTTGTGAACTAGTGACCTCTATCCTAAATATATTAAAATATAGAAAGGAATACATATAGACGTATATACTAACTATAATATTTTCTATTTTGTTTTTATGTCAGTCAGTTTCAAATACATGCGAGTAGACTAAACTTAGCTGATTACTCGTATACCTATCCAAAACATACAGATTTACGAGCCAGAAAAATTGCCTGCGTAACTAGTCATTTAATGAGATAATTGTGGCAATTTAAGCATAAACTTTTTAAACAGTTTTGTACCTAATGTTATTTTTAGAGTTGGATATACTAGTATGGACATTATATTACTAATACTACATAATTACATTGCATTACTACTATCTTCTTCCTCAAAAAATGCCTGCCATACTCATATAGCATATCATATACATGCCTACTGCTGCGGCCATAAGTTACGGTATTCGTGGTTTAAAAAATATGTAACAATATTCAGATATAATGTGCCTAAACTTCCAAATAGTTGGTTTCTACGTGACTAAAAGAGATTTATAGACATAACCTCATTTTACTTTCTTTTATGAGGTAATTAAAAAAGTCGAACATTGTTAACTTGTACCTATATACCGCATAAACTCGTTCACCCTTTAAGTACCTACCTACTAAATACGATAATAAGATACGTAGCAAGACTTTATTATCATGGTTCACTTATTCGTAATTAAATAAAGGACAACAACATTAAATAAAAATAATAGTTTTATTTGTTTAATACCTATTTGCATACTTAATTTCATGGAACACATTGTATTTTAATAGATATTATATTAATATATTTCTCACGCTGCTTACTCATACGATAATTAAATAACAAAGTTAGATAAAATCTACCAAAATATAAATAGATGATACCTGTTGTTGACAGGTGCTGCAGTTACATTTAACGAGTATTTAATTCCCACACTGCTTACTCATAGAATAATGAAATGTTTATTACGACAAATACGAATCGTAAAATTGTAAGTATTATAAGACAAATATCGTTAATATTCGATACTGAAGTTACATATAATACCTATCGAATAAAATACTGCAATAACTACTTATGACATTCAATAAACCCACCTGAAAACCAACCTGGTTTTGCTGGTTGCTTCGGAGGTTTTTTCTTAAACTTATCACCCTGAAAAAATGTAGAAAACCAAGCAGTCTCTTTCGGTGGGCAAGTAGTTTTTTGCAGGATTTTTGTTGATTTAGGAGTAGTACTAATAGATACTCGATGGTGGGTGACAGTGATAGGTTGACGGGTTGTGGTCACCCGTTTTGGTTTTGTTGGAGGTCTTGCCGTTGGACGCCGAGACGAAGGTCTTCTAGTTGTCCAATTAGCTATCTGCTCTACATTTTCACTGAACCAGAAATGTTCATTTCCAGGATGACCAACAGTTGGGTATGAGATTCTGTTAGGTTTCAAAAAAGGTTTTTTTGTCACTATAAAGTTTGTATGACTCTCGATTTTGATATTGGTAGTTTTAATTACTTTTTTCTTTTTACCGTCATTATTTTTGACAGTCACATTAACTTTGGGGGCTTTATTTTTTAGTATCACTTTGGCACTTGGTTTCCTAGTCGATGGTTCTAAAGATTCAGAGGAATCTTCCCATAAATCGAAAGGATCAAAGGAAGTTGAATCTGAAGTGTCCGAATATCGTACGGGCGAAGTGAGCGCGATGGCCGCGCACGCCAGCAGCGCTAGCAGCGCCAGGCGACGCGCCATAGGGCGAGCGTGTGCGCATGGCGAGGTGCGCGTGCACTGTAAGTCCTACTGTCACCTGTGTGTATTGCACCGGGGAAACCACCTTCCCTGCCTCTGTCATTATGCGACGATCTCGCTTTCAACTTGAACGTGCCAATAGCCACTAGGTCAACCCGCCTATTCCGCATTTACCACTGTTACTGTAGCCCACTCTCTATAAAACCATTAGTTATTATGGTTTTCCCGGCGCCCTTAAACATACACGTTGAAATATAATGGTGAAAAAATGTCGTTACTTTTTCAGTTCACATTATACAGAAGTCAAACGCGCCTTTACAGACGGAAAGGGGGTTGTTAGTAATGTTGACTAATAACCCCATTGCTAGCAATGTACCATGTCAGGTTGACTTCCATCATCCATCCAGGAAACCATCGTGGTAAATTGCCTTTTGCGAACATGCCTAACTGACCTGACTTCATGCTCATTTTATCATTCTCCACTGGTACCCCGCCAGTGTAAACCGTTAGCGCAGGTGCATCATTCCATTCCCATCCATTAAAAAAGACAATTTATTTTTATATAGAAGTTTGCTCTCTGTGTCTAAATGCGGCAGAATGCATAAAAATAAGGATTCAGTTGCTCCAAACTACGCGAACTTTACGCGAAGCTTCAAATCTGACGTGTAAATCTACGAAAAAAATTGTGCTTCTCTGTCACTTATATTTTCAAAGATATTATAATAGCGTCCGGAGTTTGTCGAAAGCATCCTTTTAATATTCTACACTAGCATGATAAAATCGCCCCTTAAAATTAACTTAATAGAATGAAGGAAGGTAAATAGATCGTGTCTATTATGAGTTTATCCGTATTAATACTATAAACATGATCGTTTGTATGTATGGATGTATATTTATTTATTACACTTCTACGCAAAAACTACAAACTAAAAAAAACTTTACAGTAATATAGATTATATACCAAAATAACACAATCTATAGAGATATTATCTATGTGAATTATCTGAACTAAAAATAAGTACGAAAAAATTGTGCCCTCTGCGAGATATTTTAGCGTGCGTCTCTGAGGTTTTCACAATGAAACCGCAGAACCAGTTTTAATAAGTTCTGATGTAAAGATAAATAGGAGTTCTGAGATGAAAATAAGCTACTTAAAGTAATAATCCTGTGTAGACGACAGCGCGGGCACCAACTAAGCATTCGTGAGTGTGAATTGATATTTTATCTTTTCCGCATAATCATAAATTATAATTTTATAATTATAACATAAATTATCCTTATTATTGATACGGTACAGGTGTATTACCTATTTCGTATTAATAATAATATTCATTCAGTTATTTTCTCTCAGTCTGTCTCGATCTCTTCCCACCACTTGTATATACCTAAAGAATGATAATCCTTTGATATTCAAGTGGTCCTGCAATTTGCAGATTTCTGAGTACTCAGCGAATTTTAACCATTAATCATTTGATATTAATCTGTATTTAAATTTGGTGGTCAGTTTGACCACGTCTAGTATGTCAATACATGAACGTAACATAGAATTAGAACTCTGTAACATTACCTACTATTCAATATTTTTCCTGTTCAATAAAACAGGTACAGGTACATCTAGTTACTTTTTTTTGTTTATCTACGTTACTTGTGCATAGCTTTATATATAGCTACGTTATTTAGATAGATAGATAGATAATTACATATTATTACTTTCGTATGTAATGGAAATTATCTGGTGATATTAGTTTCATTTGATAATAATGCGTGAAATTTAGTCCACACTGCATGGTCGACGAACATCGAGTGTCGTATGTTCCGAGCCATGTTGTGGGGGCGTAATTTATTAAATTATACCTAACAGTCAGTAGTAAACTGATGCACCACTGAATGTCATTCATTACTGATATTGTTATTTATGGGACACAGTCACCTAGATATATCAAAATAATAATTGCATTTAATAATGTCTAGTAAGACAAATTCAATATTGTCTACTAAGCACCTTACATTTTCCTATTGTTATTTAGTATATAAGATCATTATTTCTATGTACATATTGTCAGTCTATTATCATCTGTAATATATGTACATCGTCTCGACCAACAACATCGTATTATTCACCCGCAACATTATTTATTACCTTCATATATTATAGTTCTCAAATTAGTTTTCTATTTTATATTTATACATATAGAGATATTGTGTCTGTAATCCAATATAGGTATTATTGATATTTTGCAACGAATTAACCTACTCCATAGGACTATGCTTGTAATTTGTTATACAATGTCATTACAGCTGGGTAGTGCTTTATTTCTTTTATCTATCTGTTTAGTTTAGTTCAGTTCTGAGAATCTCCTCTATAGACATCTCGGTCTATAGCTCGCTGAGCGTCTCGAAGGTTCCTCATAATATGCATTTCCCTACGTAAAAATCTTATCCTTATAAGTAATCTCTTGTAGACAACCTGCAAATATAAATAAACAGTACGACTTTAGGTTTTAGTTTCACAAGTCTCTGGCAATACAGTGTATAAAGGCTATAGATATGACGGTTCTGGGTACTCAACTGTGATGTGGTTTTCCGGGGGCTATCTAAGTAAATCTCCAGATGAAATCAAAGGCGGTAATTTAAAAAAAATACTGCAAAAAATTCCCAACTAGTATTTTATTATTTAGATAGTAATAATATTTATCAGAATAACCTCGAATTAATATAGCATCTGCTTAATATCATCATTGTATATTAATCATTACACTTAGGTATATGAGACATGTAACACATTCCAATTAGGTAAGCAGATAGTTCAGATACATTGTAATGTTGTCATAACATTGAGATATTATTTTTATTACTGGTTGCAAATGGCTCTTCGTGATTCTTAATAATTATATCACATTTAATTTCTACACGATTTGGTCACATGCCTATTTTGTTACAAATTGCAGTAATTGCAGCTTAATCTATTTCAAGCTGACTGTACATTACCATTAAAATAGATAGATAACCTTGCAATATTTAATCTTCGAAATACTAAAAATACATAATGTTTGTAACTATTTAAAGGTTAATCAACCTGTATATACTTATATGAGAATGTGTTTATTGTATAATAATTAACAAAAAATAATAGGAAGTATGAACTTCCTAAGTATGTATATGTTTTTTATGAACTAACTGATAAATAAATCGACGACCGTTCTATTCAGAAAACAACTTTTTGTGGATTGACTCTAGTATTAATTTGGTCTAATGTTATAGTTTTCCATAATAGAGGACAGGCTCAATTTATCAATTTTCAGAGTCCGGACTACCAAACACATACCTAATTAGAATAGTTGTAAACATATAACAATTCATTACTAGTATATATCTTATAAGAGTATATTATTAAATTTATGGTATTATTCAGACCTTATATATATGTATATTATCTCATACATATTGTTAGATAAAATCATTAGACAACATTATAGTGATTCTGATTACCTTCAGAATTGATAACGGAAGAGCTTCACAGCTTATGTTATCGACTACAACTCGAGTTGAAACTTTGTAACTTTACCTCAAAAGTTAGTATTAGTCAGTCAGTAATTATATTATATGTAGCTTTCAAGCATAGTAACACTAAAATGCTGTATTAATATCCTTTGTCTCCCCACAAATGTGTTACAATAATACAATTTATGTTAACTTTCTTACTTATCTAATCAAATAATACTAACTTAGCTTTGTTCTGGGTCGCCAAGCTACTAATTCACTAATGAATCAGCAGTCTGATTGGATCCAAAAACAACAATGAGTATTAGTAGGAATATCGTAGCGAGTGGTCGTGTGGTTCGGAGCCACAGCGCGCTTACCAAACCTTAGAAGTGGTACCTACCTACGTATTGTACGTTACATGGGGCAATTACCAGCGCTCCAATAACCTACCTAGTTCAAGGCACTCATTCGAGTTTGTCAAGTCGTCGTCGGGGCCAAGAGAGTTCACTGCCAGTTCCAGCCAGTTCACTGTTTGACGGTGCAGGTCATTGCCGTGCAAATCGTTTGTTTTGTCTATCCGGTTTGCATTGCTGCACGATGCTCGTATGTATAAGTTCTATTGAAAATCTTGTTTTCTCTTTTATTAAGCAGATCTTAATTATTAAATTACATCTGAGATACTTTTTTTAGTTGTTAAAATATTCGGTTGTAAATGATTATTTTACTTATTATCTTAATTATTCAATTTATTACAAAAATAATAAATTAAATAATTTACTTCTAAACAATCGGGAAATAATAAAATTTGCTGGTCACCACGCAAGATCGCTTGCAGGAGAGGTCGAGATGAGACCGAATGTTAATATAACTTTTAACTTTACACAAGACTCTTGCTTCATTCACGTCGTTACATACATATTCTATTAAACGTGTATCAGAATTGTAATTACACAGCATACTGGAATGGAATCCAATATGGCTGGCGGGGCCTGTTTAAATTTAATTAGATTTATTGATGGTATTTTCTGTTGGAGAACAATTCCTGGCCAGGAAAGTTCCCGTGTCTATTGTTGTATCCTGAGTACAAAAAGACTAAAAAGACAAACGGATAATGCGAGAAGGTAAATTACTAAGGCCATCAGGACAATTATTATTACCTAACTGATATCATTACATAATTTGTAATGAGTATTTTGTCATACGAGTGAAATGGCACACAAGCTGTCAGTTTATCATAAACAGTATCATAAATGTCACACAGGTATAAATACATGGAGGCATCACTAACTACCACTACGTGTTCCTGTTGCCTCCATATGTCTTACCTGCCTGCAAAAAAACCTTCATTTATTGGCACTTCGGTGAGCATGATACGTGACATAATCGCCAAAACTGCAATTAATTATTTTTATTATTCATTTTGCCGTTACTATTAACACTACTGATCACCCGAAACTGCTTGGGTACAAGTAGTTTCATATGTTATTGTTGTTATGCGTGTTTTGTGTTGTGATTTAAGTTGGCCGTGTTTTTGTGAAGATTGAAAAAAAATCTAATACGTTTCGCGCTTTAACCTTTTAATATTCAGTATTTATATTAGAATTTTAATTATATATTTTTGCTAATGTGAGGTGAAACATTATGTTGCTAGTAATTTAAGAAGAAAAATATTCGTATATGATGAGAATTTAATGAACATAAAATATTACTTACAATTTATTTAAAAGAATCAATTAAATATTACAATTATTAAAATTCCTATAAGAAAATGTTTGAAACGTTAATTTAATTATACGTATTACATACATCTTAAAAACATTATACAATTTTCTATGCATTTTCTAATACTTAGTGTGGCGAATTAATTCAAGTATTAATAATTGTTGAAGCCTTCTCATATATACATATTGTTATTTAACAAATAATACTGGTGAGTAGACCTAAAGAGACTAGTAGAGTAACTACTTTATTGAAAACTAAATTCATAAGCTTACCTACTGTTACTTTTCAAATTAATTTATTACAGAACGCATCGTATCAGAAAGGCTCAATCTACGGTCTACCCGTATTGGAAATGTTTTTGTTTTTATAATACGTTATGTTTTTGTTTCCATGAACAATTATTGTATGATAGAAAATATTTGAAAAATCATGAATTTGCCTATAATTTTAGGTAACTTTACAAAGAATTACAAAAGGCATATTTGAATATATTTATTACTTTCATTGTATTTATTTGTAAATAATGTACGACTAAATAATAATGAAACAAATAAGAATCGTATTATACGTCTACATATTTAAGCTCACAGCTTGTCTGATATGGTGATACTAATATTATACCTAAATACGAAAGTGTGTCTATCTGTTTATTTGTTCTAGTATAAATTTATACTTTTTATTAATAAATTAATACACTAATTACTCTCTGGATATACAAGTATTAAAAAAGTAGTTACGGTACGACGATATGTTACAAAATGATCTCCCTAGACCGATCGAGCAGAGTGTATCGATTATCAAAGCTTTATCTACTTTCATAACTTGTCTAACGCGCATATACAGGCCGACTCCAAAGAATCTTGACTACTCTCATAGCAGTGCCGGATGAAGCCAGCCCTGGGTCTGTAGCAAATTAAATATAGGCCCAAAGTGGCGACACGTATGTTTAGACTTTTACAATTAAAAAATATCTGTTTTTTTATTGTATTATGTCCGTGTGCGGAGTCCTTATTGCCGTAACTAGGCAATGACTCTTAGTAATATCAGAAATGAAATTGTATTTGTTACACTGGTTGTTAATTGTAACTTCGTATTTCGCATGCTTTTTAGAGATGAGCGTCTTGTGATACATACATATATTATATTGCTCAACCAAGGTGAAAGGTGCTAGTATTTACAGACAAATTCCTACACTAGCATGTTAGGCATTTATATTAATCTACTCATAAGTACATGAATTAGAAAAAATCGAAACCCTAATAACATCAATCATTATGTCCATCGTAGTAAAGTTTCTCAGTACTACAACTTGGACATACGCCGTGCACTCATAACTTGGAATAATATAAGAAACGGAATGAGTGTATTGGCATATTATATATTAATGTATCACTAGTTAATTACTGCGGTACGGTCTGCGTGAATTGAATAGTTTCGACAGCCACATTAACAAATACCTAATTTTATATAATTGTTATACCTACTTATAAATGGTACAGCTAGATTTTCTTGTAAAAAATTTATTGAATTCACTTCGTAGTCTTTATAGTCCATCCCAGTAGATGTTAATCGAAAAATACTTTCTATGTAGAGAATAAGGGCATTCTTCTATACTATAGATAAAATTAAATTTCTTGCCAGGAGTAGATAGGAAAATAAAATACATAGACATCAAGAAGTGGCAGTACATCTTTACAGCCCTACAAAATACGTCTTATTCATTATTATATAGATACTTATTATAAATACCATGTGAAGGTTTCAATAAAATGTTCATATTGATCCGAATGAAACATGTACAGAACATAATGTGGTTTTACAACTAGAATTATTTTATTGTAATTCATGCGGACAATATCGTGAACTACAACTAGGTTTATTATAAATAGTCTTGAGAAGCACTTGTGATAGATTTATGTCGGTACTATCTGTGGTAGGTACTGCAAAGGTCTAAGAAATTAATAATGTCAACACTGCTTTACATTAAAAGAAGCGTTTTAACCTAGTCAACCTTGTCTTTCAAAGAATATCGAGGAGTAACGACAGTTGGTACGTTTTTATAATATTCTGCATTAGCTATGCCCGCGACTTCATACGCGGGGTATACGGTATAACAATACATATATCTCTTAAATCCTCTCCAAACTCCTCGGCGCGGCGTGTTGAGTCGCGGTTTGGTCGCCGAGGAGTCAACACTAGGCTTCCGAGCTGTACCCGAACTCTATTCAACGCCTGATGACGTGTCGGGATATGGATGTAGACTCAATAACCGTCGGAATTTGATCGCCACTAGAGAAGGTCGTAACGCTAGTCAGATTTCCACACCGAGTACTTGTAATCTCACACATGCTAAATGTGAATAAATTTGTGAAAAAACAAAATAATATGAATCCATCAAGTAGTATATTTGGTATTGTTAACGAAACTATTAGAGGGGCTAACTTGTAAATGCAGGTGCATAGTAATACGTAGGTAACGCTGTTAAGTGTTCAGAATTAATTTTACAATAAAAAACGAATACTAAAATCGACGACGAACATAATAGCTAGAAATCGTTTGATACAAAAAAAAACAATAATTGCCATTGACTTAATTATTTTATAGGGTTAATTTATTTTTTTCCCTATTTTGAGTATTTTTGCAGTCGTGAACTCTGCCAGGTATTCACAATGTACAATATAATAGAGGCACCGCCAATGAATTCGTAGAAATTAACAACACCAACGACCAACAGTGTCCATTTCTTTTATTGTATTTCTAAGAACAATAACATTGCTTTCTGTCGTGTTCGATGGCTATAGAAAATTAGATACCTAGCTATATGCGGAGTAGCAGGTATCTGTTTTTGTGTAGGAGAACAGGTAAATAATTCACATTCTTGGAAATAATTATTAAATATTTATGTGCATAGGTAAAAAATGAATAAGCTCGTTAATACTAATGTATTAGCACAGATAACATAATTCGTATTAGTATAAAAACGTAATCTGTGGACATTAACTGTACATTAGTATTAAATTAGTATAAAGTAAAATAAATTAGAAAAACGGTATATAATTTCTTTAACAGTCACTCAAATTGTCTAACTGTACATTTATTTGAGAATTTTAAAACCTATTTACATCCCTATGCTCTCTTCTTCTCTTTTTGTGCTTTACCATTCTAAATAGAATGTTAAAGGACAAAAAGAGAATAAGCTACGCTATATTTCGCGAGATATGTAAAAGTTTTATAGTTGAGGTACAACAATGTCTAGATAAAAAATTATAATGAGTAAGCGAGAGTCAGTGCAAAATAATTAGTTATAAAATGAACGGAATGAAAAAAGGGTTTTAACCCACGGTTTAAGGCAAGTAACATGATGTTGATGTTTGACTTTTACAGAATCCTTATGTATGCAGAATACGAAATCAAATGATTTTCGTAATACTCTACATGTTTTGCATATCTGGGTTTTGGATACAAGTTGAAGCTAATGGTTCTTTATCGTTCGATCCGGTTGTCATTCAACTCAAAGAAGACCATCATGCAACACATACAAAGAATACTGTTAAGGTAAATAACACAAGAATATAATTACTTCCTTTAAATCATTTATTCATAAAAAAGTAACCTCAAATGTTGTTTTAAGAATTTGAAATAAGGTACTCCAAATTAAGACAGACTATGAATGGCGAGAAGTAATTTAAAGCTTGTATGAGTCCTTTCACGATTCACACTTATTGTTTTCTCTTACTCTAATTATAAAAATAATAATAATAAAAATTAAAAATAAATAATTAAAATTGAAGTCAATCAATATGAATTGATGACAGTTGTTTATTATTATATAATTCTTAAAATAAGTACATAGTACCTACATATTTGCGATAACATTATAATGATATTCTAGATCCTAACAATCAATTTGACATGCAAACAGGATTACTACGTTTTTTAATCAAAAAAATTAAAATAATAAAAATATCTACAGAGAGATCATGTACATGGCAGCCACAATATCAGTATCTTGGACGACAAATTCATGTTAGATGGACAGACGCTGCACATCATGTCCGGGTCTCTGCACTACTTCAGGTTGCCAGCTGCGTACTGGCGCGACAGACTACGTAAACTTAAGGCGGCCGGACTCAACTCTGTCTCTACGTAGGTTTTATTAGACATACATGTGTATATTTTATGTACCTGCAACCGAGGCCGCCATGGCTTCAGTCACATACCGCCTTACTTCCTTTGGTCATGGGTTCGATTCCTCGCGCTATGCAAATAATTGTATTCATAAGTATGTTTGTTTGTATTGATTGTGTTTTCTATTTATATTATGTATGTATTTATAAAAATCAATAATATATGTATTTCTATTACTTCTCTAATATCTATAAAACAAACTCTGCCTAGCTTAGGACTATATAGCGCTACGACTATATGTGAATTATACAAGGTTTTTATTATTGTTATTATTGGTTGAAATGCATTTGTATGAGAGGTAGCAATTACAGTCAGTAGATTGCCGGGTCGAGTTTCTACTGGATTACTGATGTGACCGTTAACAAAATGTGGTAAACTGAACATTGTTTCAACATAAGCATACTTATTTAATAGGTTATTTTATTTTCTTTTACTTTTCGGAGTACTAAGATATTATACCTCTTATCCTGAAATGTAACTGCCTTCTCTCACCCTTAGAAGAACCCCAAAATAGCAATTGCTTGGTGGCAGAAATAGGTGAACTTGATGGTACCCACGCATTATTTTTTACCAAGTTAACCTCGGCTGGTAGTTATAATGATAAATTTCTACAATGTTATCTTTCTAATTCACAGTTATGTGGAATGGAGCTATCATGAACCTGAGGAAAGACAATACGTATTTGAGGGTGACAGAGACATAGTCAGATTTATACAAACGGCAGCGGAAGAAGGATTGCATGTTTTATTACGGCCAGGCCCTTATATTTGTGCGGAAAGAGATTTGGTAAGAATATGAATATTATTTTTTATGTTAAAAGAATGACAAATATACTGAAGGCTAGGGGGCAGAGGTGGATTAAATTAAATACCCTATTACCAGCAATTAACTATGTTAGTTTGACCTCCATACAGTACCCTAGGATCAAATTTTTTCAACTCCTGGTGAATCCATCACGAAGGCCTAACTGACTAGACCTCGTGTCATCCTCCACTGCAACGCCTTTACGCCAGCCACATGCAAGTTCCCATCTATAAAAAAACATATTGACGGGCCCACCTGATAGATTTATTAATTTGTAAACATTTTCGGATAAACTTTGAGTAAATGTAGGTATTTATGAATTTGAACACGACTAGTTTTTTTTGTATATATACTTCAAACTTTTCATATTTGAATGAACTAACTGTTAATAAATAATTATATGTACAATATTTAAATATTCTGTTCCAGGGAGGTATTCCATATTGGATTCTTGGCAAATATCCTAATATCAAGTTACGGAGTACAGACAAAGGTATTTTTTTTTTATAAAATACAGGTCAGTAATTACGTATTATTCTAGGTTTGTTCCCACAAATTTCATTAAGAATGCATACATGTCTTCTATTCTAATAAATATTTCAGAGCCGGTATTGTATAAAATTGATATTGTATTATATCTTCTTAAAAAATACTAATTAAGCATGTTTAATTTATTTATTGAGTTAATTATACAAGGACAAGAATGGACTTGCAATAGAAATATAAAATAACGTGAACTCATATGATCGTTTAATTATGTAGGCACCGTCTATATATTTAAGTACCTTTTTAAACCTAACTACGAGTATTCGAAATGTCAAGTAACTACGTGTCGTTACGTAACTTTGCTTTTTACAATAGATAACTTTATTATTGCCATTCACAGATTTTGTTCAAGAAACACGAACATGGATGAATACACTCTTCAGTCGGCTGTCTCCTCTATTGTTTGGGAACGGGGGACCTATAATTTTAGTTCAGGTAACATTTGCGTTTAAGTACTTTACACGAATTGCCTCTGAGAAAATTTTGACAATGAAACTAAAAGGATTAATTTATTACAATAGTACCACTTTCAATATTCGTTCCTAGCTTTCAATTAAAAATAAAGATTACCTATACGTGGTATATAACACTAATACTCCCAGGTAAAATGTTTACATGGATTCAGAATTTTCGACTTATCTTTGATATACAGTCAGTTAGGAATTATAATATACTAGTTACTATGTTTCTACGAGTATATAATATACTAGCTGTTCTCGCTACTTCGTCCGCGTGGGATTTATCTTTATTTTTCTAAAATAAAAGTTTTTTTCTGAACATACAAGTAGCCTAAGTTACTGCTTATTACATCAGCTACCTGCCAAAAAGTCCCGTCAAAATCGGTCCAGCTATTTCAGAGATTAGCCGGAACAAACAGACAGACTTGTAAAAAATGACATATTGGTGTATGTAATAAAAAACAGTTATATCAATATTACAAACAGACACTCCAATTTTATTTATATGTATAGATAAAAGTATTATTACGATAGTTATGCGAACCGAAAAGTAGGTATGTTCTTAAAAGTTAAAGTTTAAATAGACAAATTGACACAAAGTATTGTAAAAATTACTAGATTTTTTTATAATAATACTTAAAACAATATATTAATTAAAAAAAATCTGTAATGTTTTTTATTATTAATTAAACATTAAAAATTATAAGTTTCACTACCATCCTTTTAACACTGACTGATCTTTGACATTAGACCTATAATATCTTGAATTTAAAGGAATTATGGTCGAATATGGCTACTGACTAACCACTAGCACTAACAACTATGTTATACTTCTATCAGGTGGAAAATGAGTACGGTAGCTACGGCAACGACAAGGCTTACAAAGAACAGGTCCGCGATATACTCCTGGAGCACGTGGGTTCTAAGGCACTGTTGTACACTACGGACGGGTACCCAGCGTCGTACTTCCGCGCGGGAGCTGTTGCGGGGGCACTCACCACAGTCGACTTTGGAACCAGTACTGGCACGTATTTAAAGTATTACTGTGTTTATTATTGACAAAACTCATAAAATGCAGTGCGAATATGGATGTTTGCAGAGATCATATTTGAAGTAAGAGCAGACTAAGTATTTGAGTTCCGCGAGTTTCAGACGTTCATAAGCTACTGTAACCGTTTACCATCAGATAGACTGTATCCTTGTTTGTAAAGACATAATAAAGTAGAACTTGATTATCTCTGCTTATCACTTAAAGGATCTGGCGTAAATATATATAGATAAACCTATTAATAGTAGGGAAAAGTTCAGGCTTTATAATCAAATCGTAAATTTGGTTTGCGAGAACGATGTCAATAATCCAATTCTATTTTTAGACGTACCTTCAGCGTTCCGTGGGTTGCGACGTTTCATGCCACATGGCCCATTGATGAACTCGGAATACTACCCGGGCTGGCTGACCCACTGGGGCGAGACCATACAGCAAGTTAGGACCGAAGATGTCATCAAAACGCTGCGCAGCATGCTTGATAACAACATAAATATTAACTTCTATATGTTCTTCGGCGGCTCTAATTTTGAATTCACTGCGGGTTCGTTTTTATTTTCTCGACTAATTTAATTTTACGATGCATATTACATTACCGTATATTGTTATATATAGTACATTGTTCATAAAAACTGTAACGCTCTATAGATGCAGTTTAACAGAGTAACACACTCGCAAAAATATAACGAAACAGTAATAGAAAGTTTTTTTTCAATCAGAGAGTAAATTTGCAGTTTGTTTCTTTGAAAAAGGGAGAATTTAATAACTATACTACAATCAATAGTAACCACCACTTATAAGAACAACATTGATCGTATTATATTAATCGATACTTGCAAATATAGCTTATCCATATTTGCAAGTATCGATTTACATAATTTATAAATAACACATTGTAACATGTGTATATATATACATATAAATAAAAATTAAGTGTTGGGTAGAATTTTTTAATATATTGTCAGATCTATTGGCTTTATAAGATTACAATCATTTGGTGTGACTGACAAGCACAATTAATAATTAATTTCCGAAATACTTTTGCGACGTCTTCAAATTCTGACTAATTGTAGTATTCGGCAGTAGTTATAAGCAAAAAGGACCAATTAGTATAGAATCATCGAAATCAGTTGTGTTTGTTTTATATTTTCAGAAAAATGAATTGACTATTGCATCTAGTATTTTTATCGTTTTATAGTATTTTTTAAACTGTAACTAAATAGCAGTATTTATTCAAATAGCATAACATTTGCACAGGTGCCAATTATGGGAATAAATATGAACCGGACATTACATCATACGATTATGACGCGCCCCTGTCAGAAGCTGGTGATCCGACACCTAAATATTATGCAATACGTGAACTACTAAAAGAGGTAGGTGGTATATATATAGTGTGTGTAGAGGTAGGTAGGTATATAAAATATGCAAGTTCTTATCATTCCATGTTGTGAAATAATCTGTTCTTTTATTTATTTAGAATTGGCATTACTTTAAAAAAATGAAGGGTAATGTCAAATGTCTTATTCTAATCTAAACTGTAGGTAAGTAATAATATCTATAAGTATAGTAGTATGAGTTATAACACAGACGTACTTTGTTCTATAAATAAAAAATAATACAAGGCTAATATATAAATAACTATTGAGTAAAACATCTACCGGGAAAAATAAAATATAAATAAAAAAGTTGACCACTATGTTCTCCAGAATTAACAATATCAATTTTTCTTAGATGTATGTATGTATACTTTAGTACTGTTGTGTTTGCGATACTACTGTGAAAGAAAATTAACAAATGGTACCACATAAAGTGAAAATGTTTTTTGCCAGAAAATGATTTGATGGTGTAATCAAAAAACATTATCTCCAACCGGAAGAAAATTCCAATTCGATCACCGCAGTAACCTCTATTTATTACAAAAGCTTATGCAGAATTAACAAAGAATAGGCGTGATCCAAGAAGTCTTCAACTCTATGCATAATAGTGTCAAGAAAAAAAAGTCAAATGTTCTTGTATATATTATATATGTATATCAACATAGATACCCAGTTGCCTAATCTCAAGATTTTGAACATTTTGGCTTATAAAGTACTGATAACGCTCATAATATGTACGTTGCCATAAACGGCCCCTTGAGACCATGAACCCTTAGACTATAATTATAACGAAAATTATATTATTAATAACATCTGTTTACAGTATAAATTTGAAGCGAAACACTTGCTGCCGCCAATTCCCTCTCCTAAGGGTGCCTATGGAACGCTGTCAGTACGCGCTCAACTTAATCTCCTATCTCCCGATGGCCGCTCTCACCTAGGAAAAAAATATAATGACGTAACTGGTTACAAGTTGCCAACTTTTGAGAAATTACGTCAGAGAAGTGGCGTGATTCTGTATGAAACCACATTAAACGAACCGAACGGAACTCTTACTATATTAAAACCGCGAGATTGGATATACGTATATGTTGACGGGGTAAGTTCTAAGATGTGTAGATTTTACACATCTACATGTAGTAGAATACATGTAAATGTGTAATATAATAACAATAATTGCATTCCTTACATTTTTGATGTTGTGCTCGAAGTAAAACATATTTCCTATTTTCTAGCAACTGGGAGGAATTATAAGCAGAATGCACAAGAGATACTCTATAAATTTGATATGCAACAATAATTCCGTATTATCACTGCTTGTAGAGAACCAGGGTCGAATAAATTATGGAGATTACTTGCATGATTTTAAGGTAACTATAGAATTCTATGTTTTCAATTATCGTAGAAATTTAATTTTACGAGAATCGCCATGGTTGAAATCAGCAGTAGTAATATTAGTAAGTAGTAGTATCTCAAATACATTAAACACTCTTTCAATTTTTTTATATGTATCGAGTTATATGGTGATCTAGTTTTTAGATGTTTGAATCTGAATTTTCGGTAGATTATCTATAATATATATATATATATATATATAAATCTGAAAAGTATTAGTAAAGTGTAGTATTGAGAACCTTATTATGTTAATTTTCATGGCCTAACAATAATTTATAGGGAATTTTGAGCACAGTCAATTACAACAAGAGATCTCTCGACGGAAGATGGACTATAACAGGTTATCCATTGGAAGATTTAAAATTAAATAATATTTCAAGTTATGTGGAATCAGAAGGACTGCAAGGACCCGTACTTTTTGAGGGTGAATTTACTTTGCCCGCTGGGGAGCCTCTCGATACCTTCATAGATACTACCGGATGGAGCAAAGTAAGTTGGTATTAAAATAATTGTTATCTAATATAATTATGAGATTCCTACTTTCTACGATAGTAGCCAGGTAAGTAGTTCAATAGGAAATAGTTTCACTCATTACGCCGGCTCCATATTCTTAATAAGCACAACATGTAGCTAACTAGGTAGCTATGCTAGCATATGCTTTTTAACCAGCTTCAAAAAAGGAGAAGGTTGTCATTTTGGTTGTACTTTTTTGTATATCGCCTTAGAACACTGTCATTTTTAAAATTTGAAAAAATTTGATAATTTTTTTTTATTTGAAAGCATGCATACAAATTATTCCCATACAAATTGTATAGAAATTGTATTCGGACTTTATCATCAGATGATGAATGATAATGATATTTCACGAAATATTACCGAAAAGACTGGCACTTCTTAATAACATCTAAGGATGAAAAAAATATGTGACGTAACCTGTAAGATCATTGTTATGCATTACATTTAGTTGAAGTCAAGAGAGTCAATCGGTTAATGAAACGTCAATTGACGTGATTATGGTCGTCAAAAGTACCTATAATAACATGTATCACTACCCGAAATAGTATTCACTATAGTAGGCCTTACGTATCTACCAATTGATAGTGATATTCAGTGGATAAACGATAACAGTCAATATAATTTACTAGTTGACCCAAGCAATACAATTTACTTGACATATTTCACCCAATTTACATATCTTTATAAATTATGGTCTGTGTTATTCTGATTTATAAGCTATATTACTATAAAGCTTACTTTTTGAAAGAGTAATAAACATTCATCCATCAATACACACAAACTTTTGCATTTATAATATTAGTAAGATTTAATTAAATTGTCATCAAGCCGATGTCTTTGTTAGAGCAATAGAAGTTAATAAGTACAACAGTTTTTAATTTGTATTTATTTTGTCTGTCTGTCTGTCTGGGTTTGTACACGTAGGTATAACTCAATAACTATTGCATGATAATGAATGCAGTTCACCGATGTATTGCTAGATAACTTAAAAAATAAGCTTCATTTTTGGACAAAAAAGAAGAAACCGCATTAATCACGGACAGTTCGTTATTATGTACAATAATGATGTTATGTAGGTAAAACTGATTTAAAAGTTGTGCCACTTGAATGTTTTGACATTTCTTAACTAAAAACTATAAAAAATGGAAGGTAGGACAAATTTATTTTATAAGTAGTTTGAATTTATCTGAACCCCAGCAAATCCGAACCGGTCGCTAATGTACTACGTTACAAAGTACATTTTTACCGTTATTTATTTGTAACACGTCTGATTATTTTTAGGGTTACATATGGATCAATGGCTACAACCTAGGTCGATACTGGCCAAGACTGGGACCTCAAATAACTTTATATGTTCCTGGTGTATGGCTCAAACCGGCGCCGGCGAGAAACCATCTTCAAATTCTTGAATTAGAGAAGGCGCCAATTGATCTCAAGATGGAATCTATCGACTATGCTATATTGAATAGAACGGGAACAATTCATACCGTATAGTGTTAATTAAATAATGAAAAATATAGGTCCTTCAATAATCATCTAAGGTATCTACTATAAATGAGGAGAGAAATTATTATAATTTACTATCTATCCTGAAGGGTTTAATAGCATTCTAGTGTTAATATCGATATACATATATTATAGATTTTTATTATAGCAGAGTATTATGATATAATAAATATCTCTAACATCTATGTTTAAGAGTGCAAATATACCAGATTAAAAAAATATATTATGCTTATTTTACTTCACAAAGAAAATTATAATCAGTTTGTATAAAATAGATATCATCATTTGACCAAGCCCTATCGAAAGTTGAAATCGATATAGAATTAGTCATGGTATCAATAATTAAAGTCATTGTTTTTGATGTCAATCGAAAATTTATAGACATTTGTTGAAAAAAACAACAATACACACCTGGAATAAAGGGTTTGTATATAGATAAAATATCAACAACAACAAAATAACTAATTACTTTAAAGCGAAACACGAGCTGCTGGCTCATACACTTATTTATAAAATAGTTCAAGATTACTTTAAGTTTAATTTCGTAAACTTGATCAAACTATAAAGATATACATGCCTATAAAGATTAAACACATGATTATCAATTTCATGATATCGATTATCCGCCATTCTCAATGGAAGTAGCGGTGTTTTGTAAAAAAATAAATATTCTAGTCGTATCAAAACGAAAATACTTTCGCCTAATTAATAATATGCTTTCTGAATTTCAAAGTCACTAGGTAACACATTAATTTAAATATATATGACTTGTAAATAATATTGTGAAGTTTCAAATTAAAACTTACTACGTATCGTGTACACTTTCTTCCAATCTGTATAATTATTTTATCAGTACTTAAATAAAATTATTTCAAAAATTGTATTTCATTATTGTTTAAGATTCCATATACCTAACAGCTACCTATTAGGTACGGATAAAATTCCTCAACTTTAGTATTATCACAGATAACATAATTATTATTCATAATTATGAAAATTTCATTTCAACATTTGTTTTCGTTATTTAGGTTTTCTTAGGGTTGCTGATTTGTTATATTTTGTATTATATTCTCGGCAATAGATTTGTAATTGAACGACTTTTTTGCCAAGTCTTTTTACACCAAATAAGTTCAGTGAAGTTATAGGATCTGTATTAATACACAGGTTTACTTTTTGAGTAACAGACCTTATTCCTATACATCAGCCAACGTTATCAGGCTTATCATATCGGGCATATGCCACCACAAAGTAAAAATCTCATTTCACAACTGTTATACTGAAATAATCATATGCTCGTACTCATAATACTCGAATGTTGTTACATCCGATTTTAATTCTTAATGGAAATTGTAGAAATAAATAAATAAGAAACATGTGATAAATTTTCTTTCAGCTAGTCAGATAAAAATAACATATATATGTATATATAAACGTAAACTATTTCATATATAAATAATGTAAATATGTATATGTGTGTCATCTATATAAATATATATAATAAACACCTAGTGAAACACAACTAGCCCTACGAAAACTTCTGCTGTATCAAATCGCAGCTGAAGTCAATAAGTTAATAAAAACGAATAATGTCAGTGAAACAAAAAAAAAGTATTCACTACCACTGCCAATATATTAGTCAAACAAATCAGCAGTGTCACTGATAACCAAACTCGTACGCACCATCATGACACCGACGACACTATCAACATCTCCGAGAAAGCGGAACAGATATACAAATTTACACGCAGTGCGAGTGAAAAAAAATGAACGGGTATTTAATCATATTCAGTAAATGAAGGAGGGATATAAAACTCACCATTTACGGACCGACATGCATAATATTTCTTCTCGTTAATAAATTATATGATTGATTGAATTCGATGATAAATATCATTAATACGCACACAAACTTTAGCACCCTCGAGCATCGATTTATTACGAATGTGAGAATAGACGAAAATTAGAACAAACGTGTGATTGAATGTATATGTAATAATTAAAAAAGTATCATATAAACCTATTACCTAAAACGAATACTATCATACATACAGGCAAAACAGATTATTTATATTAATGTTTGTAGAGTTAAGACCGTTTAAAATTGTAATAATGGTACAATCGTTTCAGTGTTGCAAAAAAAACGAAACTTAATTACTTGTTAAATACAAAATATGGTTGCAATAAAAAATCTCATACCTATACAAGGATTCTCGTACGACTGGCATCCCTGGTAATGCGATTAGTCGGGCTGTGCATGGCAACTCATTCTACTGTTTGCATTGTGTAAACGTGTTGCCTCGGTCGCTGAGGACTGAGGAGAGACCGGGGTTACGAGACGTGACTGCTTAGGTCTGTCGTTGTGCGAACCGCGACAGCGCCGGTCCATTCGTGCAGGATCGCGATATTACCACGTGGCCGGCACGCGGGTTAACCAAATAAGTAAGTACATGACCGACTGTATTGTTACTTGTTACATTATGCTTGGTTAATAAATAGTAACAACGTGATATTCAGTATTAATGTGATGTATTTTATAGTTTATTTATTTATTAATTTAATTTTTTTCCTATACCAGTTAAAGTATACCCAAATATATATAATTAACTGCCTTGAATAATTAATTTATTATTTAATACCTCGAATATTACTATATTGGCATAACATAAAGGAAAAAGAACATGAATAATTTACGTACTAAAAAGGTCAAGCATACATTAGTAGGTGCATGTAAATTATATATATCTAGTACATGTGTTATTAACCATCCTTAGATACCTATATTTCGCGAACTACTCTAACAAGAATTTTTCATTACTAGTTAGTACTTCTAACTGAAATTGAACCAAATGACCTTGACATTGCAATGATTAAAGTGACCGGTCGATACTCCGCCACTGTGTCTATACCAACTGTAGTAGGTACTCCATACATTCCACAATACCCCTCTATGTTATAGGTTATGGCAATAGGGGTCTCAAGTGTCCGTATGAAAGAAATTACTGTATTTCGTAACCCTAACAAATAAGGTTGTTAATAATACTAATGTTAGATCGTTGTCGTAATTCTAATGATGTTTTGCTAAATCTTTATGCCAGATTCTGTAATGATAAACGCAGTGGCTGATTGCATTAAACAATAGTGACTTTAATGATTTGAAATAATCTATATTACAAATCATATAATACAAAGTACATCTTCAACTGTATCATCAAACTAGTACGGGTTACTCAATTGAATATATTTCTTGTGTATAGGTACTATTGCTATGGCAACAAGTTTCACGATCCACTTTTTGGAAAGTTAATTTTTCGGACTATTCTAATAATAATATAATATAATACCACAGATAACATAATATTTGTTAATACTATTCTAATGCTGTTGACCGCAGCTGGCCTTTACAGCCACACCGAACGAACCCTGAGGATCGGACGAGCGCAGATGTCGCTCTGTCTGATGGATAAGACTAGTCATCTAGGGGTTGTAACCTCAGGTGAGGCAGTCATAATTTAGATTCCCGTTTGAATTGGACGGGGGATCGATCGGAGGGGGACCGGGACACCAATGTGGTTGATTTCGCTGTATGGTGTGGTTGAGGTCGTCGTCTACCCCAGTGAGGACGGAGTCATCGTGTGTGTTAGGGACGGAATAGGTGGACCCATAGGGAGGTTATGGGTCGTCAGTATCAATAAGAACAACCCTCGGGCGGCGTTATCGCGTAATGATGTGTCTACGTAGTCGATCATACTTACTATAAGTTTAAGGGTTTGAGTTGACTGCGTGCCAGTGACTCGTCGCATGAATTTATTTTGTAAGATTTGTAGTTGATTAATTTAACAAATAGCCATGTGGGCAAATACGGGACTGGCGTACGTGAGGATGGGACAAATTCAAGCATTGTATAATGTCAGTTTGTTAGGATGCGACATTTTAGTATGCTTATTAAAGAAAGCGTAGAGCGCTAGCCCCTAGCGGCGGCTCGGTCGCGGACTCGTTTGATGTGAGAGCTGTTAGTTTTCTATCTAAATTGTCACCGAGTTATTTCGTACGGGATAGTTTGACCTAACAGTTCGATCGGGTGAGTCATGGTGTCATGTCATGTTAAAGAACACTAAAGAATATTTTCGGGTATGACTTATTTTTAAAAAAAATCGATGATAAACATGCTGATGATGATGGTACATTTTGTCAACAAATAGTGAAAACTGTATATTTTCATATTATTAAATTCATTAATAATTGTTACATAATGAGAGGGGATACAATACACTTATATTCTAAACAGAAGTTGAGCTTTGCTAAATTAATTGCATATAATTTATTCAATGTTGAAAGTAGTTTATCGCAGTAGTTATTACCGTTTATCACAAAAAAGTAATAAAAATAGAATGTGCCAATATAATACCAGTAAGGGTAAATATAAACTAAAAATAGCTATAATGGTAAAGGCCAACTGAATGTTACTAATCTTGTGCGTAATATCATACATCCCTTATTATCGTAAGAAACTAATTATTTGTATTTTGAATTGCCTCGTAAAAATGCGTGGAAGTACTTAATTACAAAATATTGGAAATAGGTATAGAAATAATCTTTATTCAAATAAACTTAATATAAGCACTTTTGAATAGTCAAGTTTTTTATTCTATCGCTCATTCGGAATGCAGATTCATCATAAGAGGAATAAGCAAGAAACTTGTGTATTGCTCTTTTAAATAAATATTGATTTAATTATATTTACATTAACAAGGATTAGGCAGGCGACAATCAACATAGAAACCGCTACGCACTTAATCTCTGTTCAATCGGATAACATTGTCAGCGCTATGAATTTCAAATTAGATGTTTTCTACAAAAAACATTATTATCATCATCAATTCTTCAATTTTATAATAAGCTTTTTTACAAAGAAAATATTTTATAACATATTTAATTTTTTTTTCTGGCGAATTGGAATTGGAATTTTTAATTAATGGGGTTAACTTATGGATTTCTCCATTCTTAATTTGAGGATTGAGTGGAATACACTAGAAGTACTAGTTGACTACTTTTTCATCAAGGGAATTAATTAACATTTAGTTACTACAATCTAGGTTAAGTTTAATAGTATAAATATATCTATTTTAGGTTATTTATTTCTGTTTTATATGTATTGGACCATGCATAAACTGCATTACAGGAATTTCAGTATGTTTCAGGGAGGTATGCTGCCCCCGTGTCACAGCTGGAATTGTAGATTTTTTATTGTTTAATATAAAATGGTGCTTCCGCTTGCGCTAACGGTATGCGCTGGCGACGCACCACTTGAGGATGAAGTCAGATCGATCAGCTCATCGTGGTCAATATTGAATAAAACACGATTTTCAACAGGGGCTCTCGTGGAGGTCACCGTCCCAGTAACCAGCGATTTTCTCTCAGGCTCAGTATAGTAGAATTCTAAAAGACGGTACTATATTTCAGTCGCCAAGCCGTGCTATATAAGCACTGTTTTGGGTTTGAAAGTTGACATATGGCAGTGATATTACCAGGGTACGGAGACACATCATAGCCCTCAGAAATAGCAACAAATGACGGACATTACATGATGACGTGGTATCTGTCGTGTTTGCTCATATCCGTTTGTTATTCCAGATTCATACTTCCTTATCTTTTACATTTTTCTTCTTAACTGTTGTCAATGTATTGTTCATATAGGTATAATTCAGTGAAATGTCGGACGATTTGAACTGTGAAATTGGCCCGCCATGCAGCTTAGTGCTAGCAGATGGCACTATATTTCATGGCAGAAGCTTCGGCGCCAAAGTTCCGGCTGAAGGAGAAGTCGGTGAGTCTCATTTTTAGTTAATTCGTAGTCAACAATTAAAAAGGTTGTTTCGTAAAATTCAACTGTTTGTAAATGCCGCTGTAATGTAATTGACAATTAGTTTAATTAATTTCCAAATAGTAGTAGCTTTTTACTATATGTACTAGTATTTGGAATCATCTTAGGTGAAATCAAAAGTCGTACAAATACCTACTTAAAAAGTAAAGTTACTTTGATTTTAATAATGTGGCCCTTTATTATTATTTCTTTTCATACGCAAATTCCGTTTAATTACATAGAATTTCAAATAAGGAATATCAAAATATAGACAATAGAGACAAGAATTCTAGTATCATTAATACAATGGTTGTAATTACAGCTAAATATAATAAAGTTTGAAAGATCTATCTTGCCAACCTCTCCTCATACGTGCATGTTCGTCCACAGTTGTATCATTCCAATTAGTAGGTATAAATAATTAATTTTAGACTTCTGCAAGCCACAGATTACAAATTGTTTGTTTTTTTTAGTTTTCCAAACCGGCATGGTGGGTTACCCAGAGTCCTTAACAGACCCATCGTATCACGCACAATTATTGGTCCTTACATATCCACTTATTGGTAATTATGGAGTACCAGATGAAAAGGATATTGATGAACATGGTTTACCCAGGTAAATCGATTTTCTTGGACAATTTTTTTATAAAGTGAAATTCAGTGAATCCACAATTTTATTACATGAAGTAAATCAGTTACAAGTTTAGTTAGTTTAAATGATACCCGTTATATAACGGGTATCATCTAAGCTATCGCCAATTTAATTAGTTTTATGTTTCTTAAATAATAGAGTTATCTCCAAAATAGTAGATTTGTCACCAAAACGTAGCCACCAAACAATATAGTACCACACAATACTATTTTACCAAAGTGCCGTTTGACGAAAGTCAGTAATTCGTTTTATGGAAATTGCGTAAGGTTTTGCAACAAACTCCCAGAGTCTGTAGTCAATTTGCCAGTAAAAAAATTCAAATGTGTTATAAAATATTTTCTTTGTAAAAAAGCTTATTATAAAATTGAAGAATTTATAAATGGTAATAATGTTTTTATAGAAAATATCTAACTTAAAATTCATAGCGCTGACAATGTTATCTGATTGAACAGAGATTAAGTGCGTAGCGGTTTCTATGTTGATTGTCGCATGCCTAATCCTTGTTGTTAATTAAATATAAGTAATTCAATATTTATTTAAAAGAGCAACACATAAGTTTCTTGCTTATTCTTCTTGTGATGAATCTGCATTCCAAATAAGCGGTAGAATAAAAAAACTTGATTATTCAAAAGTGCTTATATTAAGTTTATTTGAATAAAGATTATTTATATTTCTATTTCTATTTAATAAATCTACAATTCCACAATAAATCACTTAAAATCATGGAGATATAGGGTCTAGTAGCAAATAAATGTTTTTGTATGTATTATAATAGGTTTGTCCTGATAAGTATTAAGCGAACTAATTTAAAGAGATAGCAGAATAGTTAATAAAACTCTTAATTAAAGTAAATAATCAATCTTTATTGTTAAAATAATAATCAGCGCTGGTTTGGATTTTAAAGGGTGCCCCTTTTTCTTTACTGGCCGATAATCACATTTTTGCGGGGGTTAGCCAGCTTTAAGCGTATGGCTACTCCGATAATATGTTTGCACATATATTTTTTGTAAAACGCAGGGCAGTTGCATTTCCATCGTTGAGGCCGGATTGGTCAATTTTTAAGAGCGCGCCATTTTGTCTCCGCCTCCTTAAACATAATTTCTTTAAAATTATAAATTGATGTATTAAATTGGTAACATATAGGTACTATTATTTTAATAACTGAACGAAATAAAATGTAACTACTGTATTGGGACAAACTAAGAAATAAAAGAGTCGCAGTCAGGGATCGATTTATTTGGTGACAGATATAGCATTCTGAGCATAAAACTATTATTTAAGTAATAAAACTGTAATTATAAAAACGAAGTTTATATTTAAGTACTGCACTAAAATGTTAATATATGTGTAAAATAAGAGATTGATCATTATCTCTTATTTTACACATATATCAACATTAATTTGATAATTCGTATCTGGGAACACTTTTTCTTTAGAAAGAAAATATTATAGATCTATTTATTAGGTGATACAACTTGATGACAAATATAAATTTTGGTGACAAGAAATATAGTTCCCAAATATAAGTAGCGATCTAGTCAATCCGAGTCCAGGGTTCAAACTTTTTTTTTATGTCATTAATTGGAATAATAAAGTAGGAAAGTAGGTCGTCACCTACCTTGCCCGTCGGCAAGATGATATGTCGTAACAGCCACCTATGTACAACAATACCACGGACAATACGTCATGCCCTGTATACTGTAATTTACGGTCTTATATGACTTTAGCCGAAACATTTCTTACGTAGCAAGGTCCTTGGCGGCTCAAATACTGATAATTCAGCATTATTTTGTTTACAGATGGTTCGAATCAAATCGTATATGGGCAGCAGGTTTAATAGTCGGGGAGGTCAGCACAAGGGCATGTCATTGGAGAGCACGCTGCTCACTAGGCTCTTGGCTGGCATCCCACGGAATTCCTGGTCTTTGCGATATAGATACTAGAGCACTTACCTGCCGATTACGTGCTGGCGTAACTCTTGGGCGCATTGTACAGGGCACACCCCCTACAGGACCCCTTCCACCCTTATCTGATCCAAATAGAAGAAATTTAGTAGCTGAAGTCTCTATTGCGGTAAGTATTACTGTAGTAAACACTAGATTTTGTTGTACCTCTTTCTCAGAAAGCGAATGGTTGGTTCGGTATACGTAAATAATAAATTGGAATGAACAAAAATAAATTGAAGAAGAGCTTGCTCTTTTTCATTTATATTACCGCCTCAGTCATACTCTTACATGATATATAAATAAGAGAACCATTTAATTTAATAACATTTGTATATTCAGACCATAAAAATAATTTTATAGATTTGATATAACATGAACCAGCATGTCTAATGCACTATATCTGCGTAATAATAGTTACCTACAATAGCATCAATAATATTAATAATTCGGCATATAAAATTATTTGTATACATTAGTCATGAGTAAATCAATGTGACTACTAGAACGTCCAGTATATTAGCATTTTGCATGAAAATCTTAAAATTATGTATACGAATATAATATGATCTGTAAATAATATTAGCAATAACATTTACAGGAACCAAAAATTTTTAACCCCAATGGAGAAATTACAATTATGGCAGTCGATTGTGGCCTCAAATATAATCAAATACGATGCTTCATCAAACGAAATGCTAAAGTGATACTGGTACCTTGGAATCATAGATTAGATCCAAAAGAATACGATGGACTCTTTATTAGTAACGGTCCAGGCGATCCTGAAGTATGCAAAAAAGTAGTTGAAAATATTAGAGAACTTGTATACAACAAAACTGATATAAAACCGATTTTTGGCATCTGTCTTGGACATCAACTGCTGGCTACTGCAATTGGTTGCAAAACTTTCAAAATGAGGTAAGTGTGCATGCAGTATACTCTTACATGCATAGTTAAGTAGAGGTCGAAACTCCACTATAATATTTTAAAATTCTAAGTTTGGATTTAAGTTTTGTTTGAAAGACTATATAGAAATATATTATATGTCTTTGTGTGATTTGCAAAGTAATCTGTGTAATATTATTATCATTATTTAATGTATTCTAAGCATTATTTTAAATATATTAGTTTTACCTACCATATTTGCATTTCAACTTCATGTAAACTTTAGCAATTTTAATTAGAATATTTATTTTAAAATGACCGATAACTTTTTCCTTCTCGTGTATGTTATATATAATCTAAGAATGTGTTTATTTTAATTTCAGTTATGGAAATCGAGGTCACAATTTACCATGCACTCATAATGGGACTGGTAGATGTTTCATGACATCTCAAAATCACGGATATGCCGTTGATGCCAATAGTATACCAGATGACTGGAAAGCATTATTTACTAATGAAAACGATAAAACTAATGAGGGTATTATTCATAAAACAATGCCCTATTTCAGCGTGCAATTTCATCCAGAACACACTGCAGGGCCCACAGATCTGGAGTATCTTTTCGATATATTTGTTGAATCTGTGATATCGTATAAAAATAATAAACGTCCACTAATTGATGAAATGATAACAAAAAGAATGGAATTTATACCTACAATTCAAGAAAGGCCGAAAAAAGTCTTAATTCTCGGGTCGGGGGGACTATCAATTGGTCAGGCAGGTGAATTCGACTATTCAGGTTCTCAAGGTGTAAAGGCATTGCAAGAAGAAAAAATTCAAAGTGTTTTAATTAATCCCAATATTGCAACAGTTCAGACATCTAAGGGATTAGCAGATAAGGTATATTTTTTGCCCATAACTCCGGAGTACGTAGAACAAGTGATTAAAGCGGAAAGACCTACTGGAATTTTACTTACATTTGGAGGGCAAACCGCTTTAAATTGTGGAGTTGAATTAGAAAAAGCTAAAGTTTTTGAAAAATATAATGTGAATGTCTTGGGTACGCCAATTCAGTCTATAGTAGATACTGAAGATAGAAAAATATTTGCAGAGAAAATTCATGATATTGGAGAAAAGGTTGCACCAAGTGCAGCGGTAACTTCGGTAGATGAAGCTCAAGCAGCAGCTTTACAAATCGGTTACCCCGTTATGGCACGGTCTGCATTTTCGTTAGGAGGACTAGGTTCTGGTTTCGCAAACAATGAAGAAGAACTTAAAGTACTCGCTCATCATGCTTTATCCCATTCTGACCAATTAATTATTGATAAATCATTAAAAGGCTGGAAAGAAGTAGAATATGAAGTAGTAAGAGATGCCTACGATAATTGTATAACAGTTTGTAATATGGAAAATATTGATCCTCTTGGTATACATACGGGAGAGTCGATTGTTGTAGCTCCAAGTCAAACACTTTCAAACAGGGAATATTACATGTTACGTAATACGGCCATAAAAGTTATACGACACTTTGGCATTATTGGCGAATGTAATATACAATACGCTCTTAATCCAAATTCAGAAGAATTCTATATCATAGAAGTGAATGCGAGGTTATCCAGAAGCTCCGCATTGGCCAGTAAAGCTACAGGTTATCCTTTAGCATATGTAGCAGCTAAATTAGCCTTAGGCATTCCATTACCAGTTATTAAAAATTCGGTTACAGGAGTAACCACTGCATGTTTCGAACCGAGTTTAGATTATTGTGTAGTAAAAATACCAAGATGGGATTTGGCAAAATTTAATAAAGTCAGCACGAAGATTGGAAGTTCAATGAAGAGTGTAGGAGAAGTTATGTCCATAGGCAGAAATTTTGAAGAAGCTTTTCAAAAAGCGTTAAGGATGGTTGACGAGAATGTTAATGGTTTTGATCCTAATTTAAAAACTGTTAATGAAAATGAACTTCAAGAACCTACAGACAAGCGCATGTTTGTTTTAGCAGCAGCAATAAAAAATGGTTATAACGTAGAAAAACTATATGAGCTTACTAAAATAGACCGATGGTTTTTAGAAAAATTTAAAAATATTATAGACTATTACAAAACTTTAACAACTGTTGATAGTGGAACTATAACACTTAACATATTGAAAAAGGCAAAGAAAATTGGATTCTCTGACAAACAAATTGCAGCAGCTATTAAAAGTACAGAAGTAGCTGTCAGAAAATTAAGAGAAGAGTTTAAAATTACTCCATTCGTCAAACAAATTGATACTGTTGCTGCAGAATGGCCGGCTTACACTAATTACCTATATTTAACTTACAATGGCAGTACGCATGATTTAGATTTTCCCGGTGATATTACAATGGTACTTGGATCAGGTGTTTATAGAATAGGTAGTTCAGTTGAATTCGATTGGTGTGCTGTAGGATGTTTAAGAGAATTAAGGAATCAAGGTAAGAAGACAATAATGGTTAACTATAATCCAGAAACAGTAAGTACTGATTATGATATGAGTGATAGGCTATATTTCGAAGAAATCTCGTTTGAAGTTGTAATGGACATTTACAATATCGAGAAACCAAACGGTATTATATTATCTATGGGAGGACAGTTACCAAATAATATTGCAATGGATCTTCATAGGCAACAAGCCATAATATTAGGTACGTCGCCAGATATGATAGATAATGCTGAGAATCGATTTAAATTTTCTCGTATGTTGGATAGAAAAGGCATAATGCAACCTAGATGGAAAGAACTAACCGATCTTGATTCAGCAATAACCTTTTGTGAAGAAGTAGGATATCCTTGTCTAGTAAGACCATCATACGTCTTGAGTGGTGCTGCTATGAATGTAGCACACTCAAACCAAGAACTGGAAACATATTTAAAATCAGCAAGTTTAGTAAGTAAAGATCATCCAGTAGTTATTTCAAAATTTATTATGGATGCTAAAGAAATCGATGTTGATGTAGTTGCCGCTGACGGTATCATTTACTGCATGGCAATTTCGGAGCATGTCGAAAATGCGGGTGTTCATTCTGGTGATGCTACATTGGTGACACCGCCTCAAGATATTAACAATGAAACATTTGACAAAATAAAAGAAATTTCTAGCATCATAGCAGAGACATTAGATGTGACAGGTCCGTTCAATATGCAGTTAATAGCAAAAGATAATGATTTAAAAGTTATTGAATGCAATGTTAGAGTTTCAAGATCTTTTCCATTTGTATCTAAAACTCTAGATCACAATTTTGTCGCCATGGCCACCAAATTAATCTTAAATATTCCTGTTGATCCTGTGGACGTAATGACTGGCTGCGGAAAAGTTGGAGTAAAAGTACCTCAGTTTTCGTTCTCTAGACTTTCTGGTGCTGACGTTACGTTGGGCGTTGAAATGGCATCTACGGGTGAAGTGGCATGTTTTGGCGAAAATCGTTATGAAGCTTATTTGAAATCTTTAATGAGCACTGGGTTCAGAATACCAAAAAAGGCTATACTCTTGTCTGTGGGAACATTTAAGGTTAATATACATCTCATCATAATATATAATTCAATATGTTTTACTTACACGAAAACTTATTAAACATAAAGATAATATATTTTATTATATATGTTACAGCATAAATTAGAACTGTTACCAAGTGTGCGTGCATTACAAAAAATGGGCTACAAGTTATATGCTAGCATGGGCACTGGAGATTTTTATACCGAACATGGTATTGAGGTAAGAATTGATTTCTAATCGTTTTTTTTCTATTATATTTCGTATTTTCCTATTATTATTTAATGTAATTTTTTTATCAAAAAGAAATTGTATATATAATTATCGTTTGCATATTTGTCTATTTGTGCCACTAGAGACTTATGTTTCAAGGAATTATTGTTTACTGGTCATTTTATTATTAACAATAGTTATATATATATATATAGATATCTGGTGCTTACGGTGAAAAAAAAACAGTGCTAACTTCACTTAATTGAAAACGAGTTCCAACCTGCCAGACTCACGTAACGGGCTAAAATTGAGGCAGACCCAATTTTAATGTCGCTCTTAGTACAGACGAGAAGGCACACAATGTGTAATTTATAGTACTAAACTATAGAAATGATGTGACGTCCCCTGGGATTTGATTTATTAAACAACCAATCATTAATTATTTTGTATATTATTGTTTATCGCAAATAGATTGAAAGCGTGCAATGGACATTCGATCATATTGGAGATCCTGAAGATTCAAGGTTCGATGGCGAACTTATGCATCTTGCAGATTTTATGGCAAGACGGCAGCTGGATTTAGTTATAAACCTACCTATGAGGGGAGGAGCTCGCCGTGTTTCTTCATTTAGTACCCATGGATACCGCACGCGAAGATTAGCTGTTGATTATGCTGTACCTTTAGTGACGGACGTAAAATGTGCAAAATTACTAGTGAAGGTAACGTATCTGTATAATTAAAATAAATTTTTATTATTGTTTTATCTTACTAATATTAAATTCACGAAATTTTGTGACTGTATATGAATGGATGAATATTTGTTTCTCTTTCACGTAAAGACTACTCAACTGATTTTGATAAAACTTTACAGTAATAGCTGTATTACTGTAAAGTTATGCTCTAGAATATCACATAGGCTATAAATTTCACGCGGATGAAACGACGAGCACAGTTAGCTTAGAAAGAAAGAAAAACATTTATTGTCAACCATTTTTACATATACATATATACATACATACATACACACTTAGAACAATTACAATAATAATTTATCTTATATTATTTCTAAATATGGTTGGCAACATGGCTGACACTCAGCTTAGTAGTAACAATTACTAATTATGGCTTTTATATGAATACTATTTAAACAGTATATATATGCATGTGCTACTACAAATAGCATATGCATACACAATGAAAAATGAAAATGATATTATATTTGTTTCACGTTATCTTATTTCTTACCACAGGCTATGCAACAATGTGGCGATGCTCCAGCTCTGAAAACGCATACAGACTGTATGACTTCACGAAACATAATAAAACTGCCAGGTTTTATCGACGTGCATGTACATGCCCGCGAACCTGGTGCTACGCATAAAGAAGATTTGGATACATGTACTGCCGCAGCTCTAGCTGGTGGTATCACAATGATATGTGCCATGCCGAATACAAATCCACCTATAATCGATCGCTCCTCATATGATTATGTATCTACATTAGCTCGTGTTAGTGCCCGATGTGATTATGCTCTATTTGTTGGAGCCTCATCAAGTAATTGTGAAACTGTAGCTGAATTAGCTCCTCAAGCTGCAGCTCTCAAGATGTACTTGAATGAAACTTTCACAACTTTAACACTTGATGACATGATTGTTTGGCAGAGACATCTCCAGAACTGGCCAAAGAAATTTCCGGTCTGTGCGCATGCAGAACGCGAAAAGACTGGAGCGATTATTCTAATGGCGTCTTTACTGGATAGACCAATACATATTTGTCACGTTGCTCGAAAAGAAGAAATTTTAATAATTAAAGCTGCCAAAGAACGAGGTTTAAAAGTAACATGTGAGGTATGTCCACATCATTTATTCTTAAACACAACAGACATGCATAGAATCGGAATAGGTCGTGCCGAAGTGCGCCCAGTTCTATGTAGCCCTGAAGATCAAGCTGAACTTTGGAAAAACATAGATATTATTGATATATTTGCAACAGATCATGCACCACATACTGTTGAAGAGAAAAATTCAGAAAAACCGCCTCCAGGATTTCCAGGCTTAGAAACAATTTTACCTCTATTATTAAATGCTGTTCACGATGGTCGATTAACTATAGAAGATATCATAAATAAATTTCATAGAAATCCCAGAAAAATATTTAATCTTCCTGAACAACCTAATACTTATGTAGAGGTTGACATGGATTATGAATGGACAATACCATCTGCGATGGAATTTTCAAAATCAAAATGGACACCTTTTGCAGGCATGCAAGTATGTGGTGCTATTCACCGTGTAACATTACGTGGTGAAATAGCTTATGTTGAAGGACAAATTTTAATACCTCCAGGATTTGGTCAAAATGTTCGAGACTGGCCTGCACCTAAGAAACAATCATTTCCAATATATTCCATTGAAAAAACTGAAAAAGAACAAAGTCGTCCAAACTCTGCATTAGACTTACATTTGTCAGGAGATATGAGCCGACTTAGTGACCTTGAATTAGACCAGATTGACAGTAAGCATGAGGGACAAAATAAATTGAATGTACATTTTAATGAAATATCGGGATTAAGATCTGGATCACCTTTGCCAGTTAGTAATAGGCAGCGTTGTGACAGTAGTTCAAACTACAATCCTCCGCAAGTACCAATATCTCACCGCCAACGTAGTGACCTGTTCGGCAAAAGCATTTTAACAGTTGATTCTTTTAGCAAAGAAACTCTCAATGATATATTTAATCTAGCACAGTTTATGAAAACTAGCGTAAATAAGGGTCGTAATTTAGATGACATACTACGTGGAAAAGTGATGTCTTCTGTATTTTATGAAGTGAGTACACGCACGAGTTGCAGTTTTGCAGCAGCTATGCAAAGATTGGGAGGCTCTGTTATTCATACCGATGCCACTAGTTCTTCAGCTAAGAAAGGTGAAACATTAGAGGACAGTGTAGCAGTAATGGCAAGTTATTCAGATGTTGTTGTTCTTCGTCATCCAGAACCTGGTGCAGTTGCTGTAAGTTTTAATGTACTAATTTTAAATATTAATATTAAATCTCGTTTAATAATTATTTATTATTTCACATTAATTATTGATATCAACGTTGCCTATTCTTAGATTTACTACCTAGAATTATGCCCATTATAAGGCAGGTGTTCACCACAACATCAGCAATTGACAATGTCTCGACTACCTGATCTGGGACGTATCAGTCGTGACGGTATGTATGCATATTTCACATCAAATTACAAGTTAACAAATATCTCGTTACAGCGGGCGTCACGTCATTGCCGCAAACCGATTATTAATGCAGGAGATGGAGTAGGCGAACATCCTACGCAAGCTTTACTGGATATCTTTACGATACGTGAGGAAATCGGTACAGTAAATGGACTGACTATAACCATGGTGGGAGATCTAAAGAACGGACGCACAGTTCACTCTCTTGCTCGTCTTCTAACTTTATATCAAGTTCAGTTACAGTACGTTAGCCCTCCAGGTCTGGGAATGCCAAAACATATAATGGAATTTGTAGCAAAAAAAGGCATACCCCAAAGAGTTTTTGATAGTCTCGAAGATGTGTTGGGTGACACTCACGTTTTGTATATGACTAGAATCCAACGCGAAAGATTTCAAAGTCCAGAAGAATATGAAAAAGTAAGTACACAATTACAAGTATTTAATTAATATAAGAATAACTTGATTTTATTTTGTTTACCTAAATTTAATGTGTTTTTGGGATTAACATTGGATTAAATCCTGGCGATAAAAATATTACTCACAATCAAATAAAACTGGTGAATATATTATAATACAAAAAGAGATGTATAGAGAGATTTATTGGAAACAGTTTTAAATTGGTGATTTGATAGGAAAGAAAAATGGATACAATTAATAGACCTACGATTAAAATAGACGTTTCATAAAATAAAATGTGTAAGTTGTTCATTTTCGGCTATATATAATTATTATATAATTGTAATTGTTTTACAGATGCGTGGTGTGCTGGTGGTGACACCACAGTTGATGACACGAGCGCGCCGACGGATGGTCGTGATGCACCCACTGCCTCGAGTCGACGAGATCTCGCCCGAATTCGATTCCGACCCTCGTGCTGCTTACTTCAGGCAGGCTGAGTACGGGATGTATGTGCGGATGGCCCTCCTTGCCATGGTTGCCGGGATTAATCCTCTAGTGTAATTTTGTGATGTCAGTATTGCTTGTGATGTAAATATTATATTATCTGACTACAAAAATTAATTGCATATCTAGACATATGTAAATATGAATAAAGATTTTTATTTTTTATACTTAGTTTCTTATTAATTGACATTAGCAGAGAAATAATTATTGTGTACTTTAGCCATATTGGCAGTCTCACAGTGTTACTTACTTCAGTATGTTAAATAACGTTAATAGTTACTCCATTTTCTTTCCAATCTATATTATTTTCTCTCATACTCTACACAATAGTTAATAATACATTGTTAATAAATAAATTAAATGTACTCGTTAAAATACTCATGGCGGATGGAAAAATCTAGATAAAATAAAAAATAATATACCAATCATTACTTTCTATTATGAGAAGAAATACATAACATCTAGTAAGTAGTACGTAAGTATTGGTTATTATAAAAAAAGAAGACTTAAATGTTGTCATTTATTATTAGACAGAGATTCGAATTAACGTTATCAATACATACTTATAACATATTTATACCTAGTATACAATTCCGAAACTTATCTACACAACCTGTAAATAAATACATGAACTGGGATTCTACATCAAATAACATATTCCTATATTAAACCGATGCTTATAATATATTAACAACATCAAGTATTTAATAGTAAATAAAAGTAATATTAATTATTTTAACAACACTAATTAAATCTGAGAATAAATATAGTCCACAAAAAACTTATGGACATACTTATTTATAAAATTTAAAGTTATTATTTATACCTACTATATTGGTTAAAATGTCGCTACAAATGTCAAATACAGAAATTAATAAAATAAAGACATTACGTTTTTAGTTATTAGATAAATAATTATTTTCAAGTTATTTCAATGAAAATCGTATTATATAAAATAATAATTTAACCAATATTTAAATAAATGGACTTAGATAGGACTTAAAAATTGGTCTTCGAATAGACTATGAGATAACATAATGACAGTTGTCATTTTATTTTCTAGCTAAAACGTATTAAACCATAAAATTTCATTGTCAATTATTTCAAGGGTTGCGCCAAACACGTTAGAAACAAAAGTAATTACGGAGATACCTATGTATATATACCACAGATAAGATAATATAGTACTACGTACTAAATTGCTTATACTTATTGGAAAGTCGAAAAGAAAGGAAAATTACACTAGGTGTATCAATTAGCCCAGTGCTAGTGCACTCAATATTATATCGTAAACATTTTGTGATTTATATAGAACAAAATATAAGAGTCAATAGCCATGACCAAATGGAGAAAATCGTATCAGACTTCGTAAAAGCATTATGATTCGCACCATATTACACGACTAAAACGTGTTTCTTACACTATACAACTAATTGGTGACAACTCAAAAGCTTTCGCATGAACTTGCGGTAAGTATATTAAAAACCATAGCAACTGGTGGAAGCTGTAGGTAGTTACTCTTTTAGTACAAATTAAAACACGCTCAATGCGTACAACTGAAAGATAGGTCATATTCCTATAGTGCTATGTATATCTAGCGTTCCTATATTTTTATCTTCTCATAATCTTGATTCTTCTTCTGTTTCTGTATCCGTAAGCTTTACATGAGTAGAGGATACTTCATCCGCATGAATTTCTACAAAAGTAAACGGTGTAATGGTAGGTGCGTTAGTAGGGGAATTATTGCCATTAATATTATCAAATTTCGGCCTGCGTTTCGTGATTGCCTTTGGCAGCGGGCGATCAGCATTGCTTTCTCTTCTCATTGTTAGTTTATAGCCTACTTGATTGGCTAATTTACGTTGACAGTCTACTAGTTTGTCACGAATTACGTCCATATATTCATTTGCCGCTATGTCACCTCCAGGCTCCTCTAATAAAAGTAAGCAAAGTCTTTGAGCTTGTTCCAAGTATATAATGGCTTGACCTATTGCTTCAAACTTTTCGCTTGATCTTGACATAGCAATAAAATGAGGTATGAAAAATTCAAGTACTAAACGCCGGCGTTCTGCTTCCATTTTTGCCGGAAGTACGACCTGCAAAACAAAAAATGTTATAATTTTTTTTATTTATCCTTATATCAATATTATGTAAACGATATATCTATTTTAAATATCATAATAAGTTAACAATTTCTAGAGCAATAAAGATCAGAAATATAATAAAAAGATATAATCTTCCTACACTAATTTTATATTAGTGTAGGAAGTAGTTTTGACCTAGGAGTATTATTTTGACCAACGTGTTATACTTATACTCAAATATATGCTATGCTACAAAATAGTTGAAATAAATATTATACATTGTTAGACTAAAACTTTGTACATTAATAAAAGCTGCAATGATTGCATTTACAAAATATCAATTAATTAAACATTTTCCAGCTTTATTTTATTAAATGCACTTATTAAAAAATGATGAAATCTATAAATTATAAATATTAAAAATTAAAATAAATGGGATTTTGTACTAACATTTGGATTTATGTCATTTTTCTGTTTGACAGCAGTCTTCTGTTTCAGAGATACATTTTTTTTACTTTCTTCCACTCGTCTAAGTTGTTCTTTCTTCCATCGATATGACCGATCCTGTGCTTTAGCATATTCGGTTAAAATTTGCTCATTCTTCTCGTCACTATCACTGTCGTTAGATTGTACTGGAGCCGGAGTGACGATTGCTGGATTAATAACTCGCATTAGATTTTTACAGGTTAAAATTGCATAAAGTCTACGACAATTCAATTTGGGGTAAAAATCTTTCTTGACATATTTTATTTTGTCCAGCGCATGTAAAACGTGTGGTACTGGGCTTTCTAAAATATTTTTTAACGTTCTTTGGAGTGACATTAGTAATGGTCTAGGAATGCTTTTGAATTCATTGCAATTATTTATGAAATAATTTGGCAATCTTTTTTGACACATATGCACATAAAATGTTTCTAAAAATAATCTTAGTGATTCACCAGGGCGATCTTCTGGCCATTTTGCAAAATTGTCTTCACATTGCCAGAACAAATGATTCTTTATGTGACTCGCATCTATCCCTACTTTTGATGTTTCGCCTTCCAAAAACGTTTTAAACAAAGTCAATGCAAACAAATAACATCTGATATGACTATGAGCTAAACATTTATCTAAAAAACGTTCAGCTGCTGGAAATATTACTTTCCATTGCAACTGTTGTTCAGAATTTAATCCTCTTTTAGGTCTGTACCCAATTGGTACAAGAAAACAACCAAAGTCGATAGTTTTATGAACCATTTGTTTAGTAGGCCACTGATAACTGAAATTGGTTCTAGGATTCTGAATTATTTTTCTTTCTCGAATGACCCATTGATTAGCAGCGTTTGGCCAGGCTGCTATAAGAGCTGGATATACTTCATAGCGTTTTTCTTTTCCATTTAATATTGTGTCACAATAAATACTTGCGCCTTGAGATAATGCATTTTTAATAGACTCTTGTGATAAACCTAAACTGGTACCTAGATCCGTAATAAAAATATCAACAAAATTTCTCATAAACCTCATAGAACTTAAATAGTAATGAGTCTCATACAAATGAAGTTCAGAAACTTTAGGCTCTATGTCTTCATTATTTTCTTCTTCTTCTTCTTCTTGATTCCAATGATCGGCTCGGGTATATATTGAAATCCAAGAATTTTCCGGCAAAGTACCAGAAATTAAGGAAGTATTTGATAGCATACTTAGTTCAATTCTCTTTGGGGTGGTTGATTCAGTAATAGTCGAATATCCATAGTCGGATTCTGTTTCACTCAATGAATTAAGGCGACTGCTATTAGAAGTAGATCTATAACCAGACGTTTCAGTATCTTCAGCTTTAGTGTCGATATAAGATAACATAGTTTGTTCATCCCTTGATGGGCCACTTATTGTATTATTACGAGTATTATTTTTCAATATAGATTTCTTGGGGTATTCATTATCATGAATTGTTTCTTTTGTGGTTGCTTTATGTTGACTTTGATTTCTATTATCCATATTTTCTCCTAATGTAGAATTTACTTTACGCATATTTCTAATATTAGAAATACTACTCTTCTGCGCTTGCACACTAATTTTTTTTATAGGGCCACTGGATCTTCTATTCGATATATCTACCGTATGCGTACTTTCATTTATTTTCTTATTATGATTATATATTAAATTTTTCTCTGTGGAATTTTCCTTTATTCTGAGTTTTATACTATCCAATAAATCTTCTCCTTTAAATGTGGACGGAAAATCATCTGATGCATTAGACTCTCGTTCTGAATCTGAATATACAGTGTCATCAGAATCTATTTTACTTTGTGTAATTTTATCGGTTTCTTTCGCATTTGCACTTTCTAAAACCTCTAACTTCTTCAATTTGACGAATCCTGTAAATATAAACATAGATCCTATATTATGGATTCGAAAAATGTTAAGGCACAAGAAGGTAAAGTGTTATGCTTAGTTAAACTAGAATTACTTGTTTAATAAATACTAACCGATTTTCATTTTCTCGAAAATGCATACGGAATAGTATCATGTTAGTCTATACATTTATTAAAACAGCAAAATTTCTGTGTGTGTGCAGTGTCTGAACACATAATAATGAAAAGTGTACTGTGATTTGTTTCATCACTAAAAGAACCCTAGTTTATAAAAGTATGTATAGCTATTTAAACGCAAATACCTATCTAAAAATGGATTTCATTTTATAAATACCGAAAATCATTTTCACTATATTTTGTTTGTGTTCAACGACTTCACAGTTTCAAAACAAAATGTGATAAATTCTTCTTTAATTAATAAAGTTTACTTCTAAATTGGTTTATATCTATGGTACTAATTTTATTGCGTTTAAAGTCGACAATTTAAGATTTCATTAAAATACAATTTGAATTTAGTCATCTTACATTATATTTTAAATAATCGAGGCTAGTAAATTGTGAACGTGTTTTTTTATGATTATATTACGTGCATTTAACTTTACCTGGTTCTTTACTGTCTTGTATGCATAACTTATAAAATGGAGCATCAAGAACTGCACTGTAGTCTGATGTGTCACCTGGTTCACAGGCCTCTACATTGTCATAAATGACGAAGAGTCTGTAAGATAGCAGCGGTTCATTAAGACCTTCTTTCCCATGATAACGTACAAATTCATGTACGCATTCTTGTAAACGGTCCGCGAAGAATACGTGTTTATGATGTGCAACCATAGCCTCATTAATATCATGCTCCTGATCCACCGTGTTCGTCTGCATATGGTGGAGTTCCCTGTAATAAAAGTTTCAGAAGTCTTTATCTTCACATATTATTTAAAAAATTGTAATCGGGCGAAACCAGCTTGTTTTCGCTTCTGTTTATGTTCATAAAATTTTAATAAACAACGTAATTTTTCAATTGTTAATAACGTAATATGTTATACATGGGTATATTGTCAGCATATAGGACAATATCTTAAATGTTAAAAAAATAACAAGTATTAGGTACCTACTCGTTATTTTTAATATTGTTAATATTGTATTCTATTACTGTTTATCGTTATTAATTTACTAATAAAATAATAGCTAGCGTAGTTGACGCATCTCTAAAAATATTATATTACTGTCAGCTGTTTAGCACCTACCCATAACACAAGCTCTAGTTGGCGCCATTTAATTTGTTATTATAATTATTATATTAATATTATATAACTTTCAACGAATCTCAATATAGGTGAACAATTAATACCATTCAGTTTGTCATATGCTAATCCTGTAGAATATAAATAACTAATATAATACCTACTGATTACTTAGGAAATTGAATGCTAAATTCAGAATATTTTTCCGTAAGTTACTTGGTATTTATATGAAAAGAAAAAACATGTGACAACAATATAATTAATTTACTGATAAAAAATACCACAAAAATATTTGAGATAACGTAAAAATGTTTTAGTAATCATTTAATATACTTACCTATAGGTAAATAGATACAAATTAATTATCGTATGTCGGTATCTTAAAACCATACTGGATCAAAGCTATCTAAAGGTATTATGGATGTAGTGTGTATAAAAAGACAATGTATATAAAATTTATTTGCTTATTTAATAATATTTTTTGTACTATGTAGTATACTACTACTATACCTACAATGTAGGTACATGAAACTCCTTTTTACCAACATTACGCGAAAGGTTCATACGGAGGAGTACAAAAAACTAATATATTTTTATATTAACAGTTTAAAATACATTAACACGTACACGGACATCACATGATGACGTGATGTACATGGTGCTGTGATATTCTTGTTACTGTTCAGATATAAGTATATATATATAGGGATGGTTATCACTTACGAGCTGGTAGGCCGTTAGCTTGTTTACCGCTTCAGTTACAAAAAAATACAAACTACCATGCGTCTAACACATATATATATTTTGGTATATATAGAAAATATATATGCCCTTCTGTTTGCCTGTAAATAAAATCATAAAAACTATCAAATTTATAAATTTAAAATAATTATATCCACATTTTTACCGATGGACGACAATTAATTAAATAAAAATCATAAAGAAATCCTCATTTACTTAAAAAAAATATAGTATCTGCTTAGGCACAAGGTAAAATAAGGGACTTAATGTAACTTTATAGTATAATTAGAATCTGAATCTATTTTATATTACTACATTACTACATACATAACAATTAACACTAGTCGCGGTTTATAATATTCAATGTATACACGTATACATATCAACTAAAATTTTAAATCTATATGACTATAAATTATGCAGATTAATAAATTCGGCTGTGGATTATGAATACGGCTTGATAAAGACGCTATATGATATAATAACATTTATTGTTAGATCCAATGTACGGTTTTTTGTTTTATTCTGTCACATAAGACTGTTGTTATTTATATAAGTATTTATGTATATACTTTATTTTAAACTGCCTATACTACAAGAGCTAATAATAATAAATCAACCCTTAGGGGAACTAAGAGTTAATTTATTATTATTCAATACTCTTTAATATCGAATATTGTTGACGGGAAAATTTAAAATTTTCTATACCTTATATATTATAAATATATCAAAATTATAAAACGGCAACACTATCATGTTAACAGTGGATTAGGTTTATTACCTACTAATTTTATCCCATTTTAGTTATGGAGTGATCTTTGTATTTTTGAAGAAGGCTTATAAAGTACTAACAATATCTCAAAATACAGTACTGAATACTACAAAGAATAGGTTTATGTACATAATGTTACAAAAAACATATAAAAGTAAACATAATTAATCTACTACTCGTCGCACAATTAAATTCTATATATATGCAACATTTAAAACAACCAATCAGAGGATTCGTAGGCAGCACGCCCCTGTCATAATAATGTCAAATTTACAATAAAGTGTGTCATGCAGATTCTAAAAAATCGCTAAAGATACGAAATCTAAGTACACTAAACACACTGTATCTATTTTCGATAACAACTTTAAATATAATAGAGACCAGCTAACCATCAGACGAATGTTTATAATATTAAACTACGTTTTGATGTTTATTTGTATTTAGATTTTAAAAGTGAAGATAGAAGCTTCCGTAAGAATGTCGGTAGTAAAATAATTTACCAGCGTTTAGATTTGCAAGACAATGCAATTGATGGGTATGCTTATCATCTTTTTTTTTTTTTTTTTTATTAGAAACCAACAGCGTTACAATTTCATTTACATTAACTTATGTTGTAAAATTAAAGCTACTATAGGTTTCACTTAATTAACACAAAGTATGTAGTATTGGCTTGCGCTAAAACAAAATAACAAAATAGGAAATCAAAGAAATAAACTGAACACATAAAAAAAAAAAAAATGAATTACACAAATACATCTCCATATAATATATACTACACACTGATGCCGGTAATTTGTCCATCTTCATCAGGATAAGCAACCTTTGATGATGTTATTGATATAAGTAATAATAATATCTCAGACAGTTCACACATCAGCATCAAGTCCCAAGGCCCAAGTTCCAATCCTAAGCTGAGCTTGTGTTAGGGGTACTAGACAACTGATATAAATAGAAACAATTTTTTGTGAACCCCGACCGATACAAACAATCATAGTCATTAATACAACTGTTTGTATCGTGCGAGGAATCAAACCCGCGACAATCAGAAGTAAACCGGTGCGCGAAACCGTTAAACCACCGAGATCATCGTACCTACCTAATCATCATACCTAATTTAAAACCATGGAAATATTTATTTATTTCCATGTGATTTTGTAGAAATCCGAGTATATACCAGATGTCAAACAGCTTGCTTTGTAAAGTGTGTATTGTATTGAAAGGGAAAAAAATTACAGAACACAGCATAACTTTAGTGCTCCGGAATGGCAATACATGCATAATGCGTCACATGACTGCGTAATGTTATATGCATACATATGTACGCGTTAGTTGCCGTTTAGGTACTAGCCGGTAGATCGTCAGTTTATTAATAAATAAACAGTGGAGATTCACCTTTCATAATTATCGAAGAACTGCACCGAGAGTAGAATATTGTTAAGTAAAAAAGCATTAGTGTCAAAACGCAGCTGACGTCGCATATTATCCAGGGCATCGTCGTCATAGGAGCGGATGTGAGCAGGCGGCGGCGTGGCGGGCGCCACCAGCGGCGTCGGTGCCATTCCTGCTGGTTTCACGGGTTGTTCTAATGCACGCGACCTTCTGTTTCCCGGATTTGCTTTCACTTTTCCGCTGTGATCTCGCTTCTGCTCGTTCCATCGCGCCCTTCCAAATATATTGTCCGGCTGCTTTTTTGATCGTTTTGACGTCACAATACCCATCACGATGTCTTAGAATTAAATAAAAACACCTATTGTAATCACAGCTGTATTCTGAAACTTATTGTAGTAGTGTCTTTCACATTCCAAATGTGCACAATATTTTTATCTACATTACGCTTAACGATATTTGTAGTTATATCCACTTTGAGACAGACACAAAAATGTGTGTCTTCATGTGTGACCAACGAGAAATAAAGTGACACTAATATTAAAAAATACATTCATAAAAATATGACTCCTTTTACTCCTTATCAAAGCAAGTAGATTAGTCGATAATAAATAAGTAATGAAGGAAATTGATTACAACTGCATTGTTAGGTTACCTACGACGTCATGGACATTTTTGATAACATATTGGATAGTCATAAACATTTATATGTATATCATAAAATAATGAACAAACTTTACATAAGTAGTAATACTTTGAAAAAATTATATATATCTTAAACGAATAATAATGTTATAGGTATTTCACAGATACAAAAGTTGGTGTTTTGTTTGCAAACATACGTTTACTTATTGTACTATATACACTACAAAGCACTGCTACGGCTGTTACCCGCGACTTTACTGTTTTTAATACCAACTTTTGTATTTGACATATTTCACCCCAACTAAATATTCATTTTTGAGATCAGTTAATAAGAGAGCTAGTCTAAATCCACCCTCGTTTTGAGATACACGTTTTGATGATTTCATTGTATAAAAAACACGTCATTTTTTTTCTATTTTTGACGTATGTTTTTTATACATTTTCATAATTTCAGTTTTAAGTTTTGTCTTTTGTAAGGTTGTGATTAATATAAGTCTAGAAAAAATGTGGTAAGTATTATTTATTACTTTCATTAAAAGACATTCCGTCGCTACCCAACCTTAAATAGTGATACAATATTTCTTCATGGTAGTTTTATTAATATTCATTCAGCCATTTAGTTGCGTAAAGGTAACAAATAGACACATTTTCAGATTTGTAATATTGAATGTGACTACAGACTATTTTATAGTTACAAAGAGCAGTTTCTTTTCATTACGTCTATGCATATTTGAAGTAAAAAATATTTTTGTTATTACATTTCTTTTTATATCTATAACCGTTCTTATTTCATCTATAATTTAATGAAAATTTACAGCTGAATTTTTATGATATATTTTTATTTTACTCGTTAATATCTTTTGCACATTCTTCATTATATAATAGGATAATCCTGTATAAATATAAGTAAATAATCGTCTTATCCAATTGACGATTAAGTTGCATAAGTATATAGATATGTGACAAGTTCATAACGCTCGCTAAATATAAATGAATACATTTGGAATAATTATATCTTACGTAGCTATGTGTGTCTTGTCATTTCACTCACTGACAGTAAACTAAGTAAACAGTGTCTGGAAGTCAACCTCCATTATTTGTAATTCACACTGAATATTTATTAGTAATGTAATTTAGTATATATGTATGGTTACCTAAACTATTTTAATTTACAAGGTGTGGGAAAATCACTTCGGGACGAGACTCTGTGTAGTAGTAGTTTCCCATTAGTGTATGCAAACCCTAAAGTATTATTTCATAATGGTAAAGATATGGTAATGATAAAGTATTATTTCATTTCCAATAGTTTCGTAGAAATAAGCCTCTGAAATTTCACGTGTAACTTAGGTATATACTAGTTTTTTCATAGCCATGAACACACACACCTGTCACAGTTTATTTTTTATGTGCATGATTATACCAAGCTTATGGATTCAGTTAAGAATAAAAAAGGCAAATATCCAATTAATACTCATATTTATTAAGGTTTATATTAATTATTTCGTAATTCAATATAATTATAGTTACAGATATTTAAGTACCTACTGTAGTACGGTCAAATATTAAGAGAAACAATTTGATATTTTGGGCGAGTACACTACAGTAAAGTAAAAGATTATTAATAATGGGTATGTCATATTATCTTATCCGTAATTATAAGCATCCCATGTTTCCTTATGTTTTACTATGTAATGTTATGTTATCTGTGGTTTTACACAATAGGACGGTTACGCATTAAAATCTGTTCCATCAATCATCAAATATTTTTGACCCTTGCCTGAAGAATAAGTGGCTACGAATAAGCACTATTTAGCACAAAAATAATTGCTATTTAGACTCGAATAAGTTGCAGTGCTAACTTTTTAAGATGTACAACCTGGGCGAGAGGAGAGTTGTTTGTCCTCATTAACCTTTCGTGACACTGAAAAACTAATGAAGTGTATAAAAATGAAACCTTATTAAGTATTGTATTATTATGTATATATACACTTGTTTATATAATATTTTTAAATATGAAACTATTGTAGAATGAAAGTATAAAATATTTATTTGACACCCTCACATTATTAATAAAATAATATTATAATACTATAAATTACGCTATAACCTACTTTTTTAAACATTCCTAATAATAATAATTAATATTCGGATATAATCTTACAATTTACTTCCTCAGATCGTTACATACATATCGAATAAGTCTCGTTCAGGATTCAAACCAGTGTAGAAGATCTCACCCAGGGTACCCGCTTAGTTTACGGTTATGGTATATGTCGTAAAATTTCTGCAGGGGCGATACTCGTGCCTGATTCTTCCATATTATTAGCTATGCACTCGTTGTCCCCTTCTCTGCGTGCATGAATGTTGATCCTCCGATGACTCTTATTCCGTTTCACTTCACCCATTTTTTTCTCTAATAGCCTCCTGAAAAACAAAAACAAAATGTGTATGTCTACTATAACGCAATGATCCAATGATGTATTTAGGTACGACTCTTATAGAAAATAAAAACTAAAAAACAAAATGATTTAGCAGGCTTTAGTTACGAAATAAACCTTTAAGACAGCAGGCTTATTAGAATCTAATGTAAAAAATGTAGTCCACAAAATGTTGAAAGAAGCTGATTCGATAGAAACAAATTCAGGTTAAGATGAGGCTGAATATAAAAAAATCCATATATAACTGTTTTACACCTGCTGAATATAAAATTAATGTATGCAATATAACATTAATTTATAATTTAAATTGCAATTTTATTATGCAAATACAATGACGATCACAGTGAGCTGAGACACCTGAATGTGTGTACATAACAACCGTCACCTATATATATTTTATGTACATAGGTGAGGCAAGGGTATCACATGATGACGTGATGTTCATGGCATCACATGATGACGTGATTATGATGATGTTCATGTGAATTTCACATCATCATGCGATGCCCTTGGCGTCCTCAGGGGTTACCATGCTGTAAGACTAAAATATCATTATTTCTATATACCCAGAGAAATGTACATGTGGACATGTCAATTGTTTTGTTAAGCACAACATCAATAGTTGACAATGCAAAAGCATTATCAGCTACTACTATTACACCTTCTAGGATAACAGTGGTGACGGTATGTTATGGTTATTAGATATATGTACATTTATCTAGTCGGTAGGTACTTACTGTTGGCGGCAATCAATTAAAACCCCGAGTAGAAAAACAGCAGCAATAATGACCAAAACGAAGGCCGTCACCCCCACAATCGTGGCCACCGTGAGCGTGGGCGCCTCCTCCTCCATCATTGATATGGATATCCCCGGGTCTATAGTCGATTCCATTATATCTGCATAAAAAAAAATTAACCTTATTCTTTTTTTTGTGGTTACATATGTTATAACGTAATGTTGAACTACATTAATAGGCAATCTACCTACAAAATTTTATACCAATTGATGTATCGCGAAATTCTAACGAATGAACATTTCTACAGACGTTGTTTTATTTGTATTGACCTTTTTAATATTTGTATTGTATTTTATATTTTGACATTCTGTTTTTATATACCGATTGGTTTCTTAATGTTTTTCTCTACTAGCCTATACACATATTTTACCTCACCTAGGAACGTGTCTCATTTTAAACTAGCCTAATACAGTCCTCCGTCACAAAGGTACTCTGTTATCAAGAAATAAAAGTTTATTTTTATTTTGACAATAGTAAAAATAAATAATTATATTAGTTCCATATTTATTACCAAAAAAATATAACTCTATATATACTATGATATAAGTATCTATCTTATAGTACGTACTAATGGAGCTATAACGTTATAGTCAATATTCAGAATAAGTGTAGAATCCTATAGAAACTAATCTCTTGCTTTCAGCAGAAACAGTTTCATAGATATTTCTTAACTTCTTACAACTTTTTTTCCTTTTATCTTCTTCTTACCTCTTTCTATCCAAGTTGTGCTTTTGTCGTTAGAATTCATGTGCAGTTCGTTCCTCTATGGACACCGTGATCTCTGTAAATAATACCATACTTATTATTTTATTATCCGTTTCATAACCTCGTGAATTTAGTAAATTATTATTTTATCTGTGGTAGTATCACTCTTATAATATAATAGAAAGTCTACCTGTTTGGAGTAGAAGACACTTGATATGACAAGTCATTTAATCACACATCTACTAGAAAAAATCGTATAAATATGTCGTACAAATCTGTTTAAAAATCCACGCTAAGTAAATTTGGATATAATTACTCCACATTCATACATATATCATAAATTCAGATGCTGACGAATGAAAATTATTATATCAGGACAATTCTTAGAGCTAACGATGTGTTGTACACAATGTTGTTAATTGTGAACAATTTTTTTTTCCTACTTTTGATATGAATATACGCTACTCTAATTAATATCAGGTCGCGTTTTTAAACCTCTTTTCAAAACAGATTAAAGCTCTATGGCGTAAGGAAGTATGTTAATTATACAATTCAGCTTGAAATGCATTCGGTAGAACATATATTCACAGAAACCATGAAAAAAATATAAATATCCTAAAAAAAGAAATAGAAAAAAAATGGACTCTATTGCAGAAAACAGTCCATCATGTTAGTTGCATTAAAATTGTGGAAATAACATTATAATTTCTTTAGGGCCTTTATCTTATCTTACTAGTGTAATATTTACTTTTTGGTTACCACAAGTTTTTACAGTATTTTGAAATTATATTCTTATGTAATATCAAGTAATTACCTTAAAATAAACTACCAGTTTTTGCTCGTAATATTAATAAATTGCTTTGTAATAAAATACAGAAAACTTAAAGTGATGTAATTAATATTGACCCGATTTCTTTATTCAGTGCGTGTTATCAGCCAAGATAGCATGCAACTAACGCATGCATAAATAAAAATAAAAGTGTCACTAACACATACACAATTACACATTTAGACAAAATGTAGATACCTTATATATTGTAAGAGAGAGAACGCAATTAAATTAAAAATTACAATACAAAATTCAAGTAACTGTACTTTACAATAAGGTACACCCTGCTTTAAAGTACAGTAACACAAACCATTTCAATTATAACTATCAAGATATCATCATTACTTTGCCTTGGTATTACAATTTCCATAAAGTCTGTAAAGATATTCCTTTTGTTTGCATCTTTATCATATAGGACAAAGCACCGCAAAAAACTCATCACTTTTGAAAAACTAATATTTATTGTATTTTCCTGCAAAATGCATAATTTTCCATTAGTAATTGAATCTAATAATAGCATCAATGAAAAAATTCGTGAAGGCCGACAATATAGTGACGTACAATAATTAAGATTGAAGATAAGTGCTGAAATCAATTACGAATTTATATGGTAGGTATCTACTTCTACTACATACGTAAACGAAAATTCAATTTGATATTGACTGCAATGAAATTAATCTTTTTCCTTATATTTTCTATCTACGGCGGAACTAGTCTCCATATCATATAGTAGTATTTGTAAAGAGACAAGACATACTTATGTCCTTCTTATATCAGTCAAAAATATAGCCATAAGAAGTTGTGCGGTAAACTTAGTTTATTAAGTCTAAAGGTGAGCTTGCGTCAAAAGATTTGTATAAATAATACTGTGCACTATATATAAATAGTATATTTTGGTTATATAATAATTTTCGGTTCTCGATTAGATATTTAGAAATAGTTATTTGTGTTCATGAAACCATGACTCACCATTCAAAGACATATGCGCTCCTAAAAGGTAATTTGAAAGAAAATTTGTTTGTACAACATACATATTATATTGAAAACAACAGGGGATTATAACTGTTTTTAGTAGTTGCACGTCAATAGAACAGTATTAGAGTGCTAAAGTACACTAAGTACACTAGATACATCTTATCTCTATATATCTTATGTTGCTACTGTTTTGTATAGATATATGATACATAAATCACCGTAACTATTAAAGTATATATTGCTAAGTAACAGGAAATTATTAAATCAGTGTCTACAATCTTTAATTACTCGTATTGAGATAATTAAAAATATGTAGATAGTCGTTAACTCCGATATAGGAATTAAATCAAATCAAAATATTATTAGGTAATTCATGTTCAGTGTACTGATATTTATGGTATAGGTAGTCAAATATATAAGTTCTAAATATATTACATAATAGTTTAAGCGTATATTAATTAGTAATAATTAGGCACATGAACAATATAATAGATATTATGAGACATCCGTGAAAGATATACCTAAATATGAATCATTCAACATTCAATTAATCTGATTCTAAACAAATATATATATTCATTTTCGGACTTTAAATAGCATGAAATTAGAAGCAATTGATATTGATATTACAGTGATACTGGTTATGGGTTGGATCCTCGTGCTAGAATGCTAACATTTGAATACCTACCTGCGTAAAACTTTTTAATACTGACAGTTTTTGAACTCGCGACTATGTATTCAGGCTTCAGTATGTCAGGCTTCGCTATTATCAGTAAGGTATTGATATCCGTGGTTATTGACAATGATGTTTTGTAACAATGATACTAAATCGATGACAATACGGTCTTGGGAAGTTTATTAGGAAGTCAAGTCACACGGCAATCTGCATTGTATCACGTACCTATTCGTATACGATTCTATACATACTACGTTGTATGTTTGCACATATAGCGTAGTATGGCTATACAACCTATAAATTTAGGTATTTTTAATTACTTTAATTCCATGTTCTTTCAGACTTGTAATGTATATATACTAATTTAAATAAACCAATGCCAGATTCGAGTAAAATCAAGATACCAGTCGTTTACCGACTTACCTATATAGCTCTAAAATGAGAAGCTAGTTACAAAAAAATAAAACTGGGACATCTCAAATTAATAACCAAACGAGAAACACTGAATCACTGGCAAGAAATGCCAGGATTAACACATTCAAAAGACCTAATTTCGGGCTTCTCGACCAAATACACCAATAGATTACTGCTATTGAGTAAAAACAACATATGCATGATGACTAGGGCCCTCACAGGACACTGCAAATTAAACAAGCATATGGCTAAACTAGGCCTATGCACGACAAGTATCTGCAGATTCTGCCAAACTGAAGAGGAAACGCCGCTTCACATCCTATGTGGTTGTAGCCCACTCATGCATAAACGAAATATCTCCTTTGAAAAGTTTACACTCTTTCCCGAGGAGATAAAAACGATCGCTCCTAAGAATATCCTTCAATTCTTGTCCCTGACGGGTCTAGGTAGCGAACTCTGAAAAGGGCGAACACAATAGATCTATGTAGGTCGCAGTGCTACAGGTGCTACACATCTGACAATAGCCCAAACAATCCAATAAAAAAAATACAAAAAAATATATTTATTAGGTTTATATCTTTAATATGGTGTGTACGTACACTGATCACTTTAGAGCACCATTGGCTTGCCAGCTTACACTAATCACAGTACTAAATCCTCTATTGCTTCATAATCAGTATTCATCTTCTATAGGCCTCTACGAATATTAAGTACCTACAATGAACAAAAACCTCAACTCATTTTCTGAATCACCGTATTCCAGGTACTGAAGCGTTATACAGAAAATTATTGACGCATTTTTAATTTGATGACGTTATTATTGAGGGATCAACTGAATTAAAATGGCTCAAAGTTAATCAAAATATTCATGTAGGTTTAAAGCAGACGCTAATAAAAGTGAAATCTACCGTCCATCCGGAAACCAATGTGAGCGGAGAAGAACTGACAAGAAAATCTGTTCTTACTCATTTCAAACGAATTGTACATTATTATAAAATCACACATATTAAAGCTAACATCTTTAGGTTTTGTTATTTTTACAATTTAGGATTGATACATACTGAACACATTCCCAATTAGGCTATTCATGATTGCCACACTTATAATAAAAAATTCCAATAATTACGTGCCTAACCTACATATTACGTGTTTATGAACGGAATTGTAGAAGTTACTTATCAACGATGAAAATTCTTGTTGATAACAGGTTTATGACTCACCTTACTCATAAAGTGGAACAATGGTAGAAAGTATGACGCGGTTTGTCTTGCCCTTAACTACAAAACTGTCAATAGATATCGCACAAAGATATCCACACGTTAGGAAAATTTCAAAACATTCATTGTCATAATGAATGCATAATTCAATAGCCAATGTAAAACTAGGTAAGTACATTATTTAGCCTATTTCGAACAATTTCAAATTTGATCTTTTTACATTAGTAATATTTTATAATGATAACGCCTTAAAGGTTAAGATTAGTATAGGATATATGAGGATAGTAGTAGTAGTAAGTAATGAACTGTTACTTACTAAATTCTAGGAAGTAGGTACCGTACCTAGTTCACAAGATTAGTCTTTTTTGTGCTCTACGTATTGCCGTAGGTTGTTTATTTAAAAAAACCATAACAAACAAGAAATTGTTTGATAATTTAAATTGTATTTGTCAACGATAAATACGTATTTGCCGTATTTAACAACAAATATTCATTTTAAGTCGTCTATAGCAAAAGTTAATATCCAAATATATTTATTTTAATATTATAATATTAATTTGCTTATTCTAATTGTATCAATTATATGTAACCCGTATATAAAATATACAATATCTTGTATGTATATAATTAAAATCATTTTCGCAGTATATCTATAGGTAGCTGTAGTTTTGATACAATCACCTGTACTAACAGAAAACAATTTAACATCCTCGCCGTAATATTAAAATCTTATTATTAATATTATAAAAGCGAAAGTATGTTGTGAGTATGGCAAAAACTACTTAACGGATTTGATGAAACTTTACAGTAACATAGCTTATATATCAGTATATCATATAGGCTATAAATTTCAAGAGGGTGAAACCAACGGCAACCAGCGGCGGGCACAGCTAGCCCATTATAATATCATTGCAAGTGTTTATTGATACACCTACCTGTTCTTTGGTTCATTATTCTTATATATATAATTTTATTAACCCGAGTCAGGTAATAATGTATGAATGAATATTTTATTGTTAGTCATTTTTATGTTATTTTATAAATACCTCTGTTAGTTATTTGAAACTTATGTAGGTATGCCAAAGGATTTAAGGATGTCTATAACGGATCTAAATACGGTAAGTATACGTATGCGTGTCAAGAGCATCGTATGCGCCTGTCCGGATAGTGGCAATGAATGCCAGTCGACCGCAATTATTTGAGGTCGCCAAATACGAATTTGAATGAATATATACGAAATTGAATGTTGTTTTTTTTTTGTTCTCATCCATATATTTTTATAAAATTAAATTACAGTATGTAAATGTATGTATGATAAATTCCACTATCTCGTCCTATGACATGATACAGTTTTCATTAGTGTTCATTTATTAGTGGGAAAAGGAGTCCACTTTATTGTGAATTCGATCCCTGGTAAGACCAAAGACAGTAAAACAATGTCTTACAGCAAAAACTAGTGTGTACATTATTATTCTTTACAAATCAAACAGTTCCTAAATCGAATAGTTTCTAGTATTCAAACCCAAAAAATAATAATAAACAAAACTACCTATATAAAATCGTTTCGCGTGCAAAAACTGCTCAGATAGTATTATGCTAATTCGTATTTGTAAACAGTGTCTTCGGAATATACGTAAGATTTACCAACGTGTTTTAAACTCAGCTACTCTGGTACCCTATCAGTATTAATGCTTAGCTCTTATTACTAGTATCTTTAGAACCATGTCCTCGAGTTAAGTATATTATTGCTGATTAGTTAAACATTTTAATTAGCATTGCAAGGTTTTGTAATTTCATCTTATAATCATTACAACTTGTATAGTCTCCTATTTATTTGCCAATAGCAACTATAAACATAGGTAATGAGAATTTATTAAAAAAATACAGCGCAATAAACATAATAAAAATTACGTGAAACCTCAATAAATATTTTATTGAAGTTTATCACTGACTGCCTATAACTACTTAGGTATACCTATAATAAAGTCACTTTTGTAATTTGTAAACTAACTACCCACTTTTATTAAATAATAGGATATAAAAGAACAACATTGATTCACATTATTACAAACCGTATGTTCAATAAGGATCGTGTTTCCAAATTAAATAACTCGAGAATGGAAATTCGATTACAAGTACATAAGTAAACCGTTTCCACGAACTTACGTTTCTCCGGGCTCAGGTAACGGAGATATTATAAACAAATCCAAATCTTTCACAACACTTATACACGCATATAGGTTAAAGACTGCACATTATTATCAATCTTAATAAACATCAAACAAAACTTTATTAGTATTACGTCGCCGTATGGCAGTATGGGCTGTTAGTGCCCCGTCACTTTCGCATGGCGCAAGCGCAGCGCATGGCGGCACGTTTCTTACTGTCATCTACAACCAGCCAGATCACTTCGTCGGGCAAATAAACCTTCTCATATAATTGTAAGTTATTGTAGGCTAATACGAATTCTACATTTTATCTCAATCATTATGGCTTCAATGTCAATATTATTACTACAATTCCAAAAACAATTAGTAATTAAAAATAAAATGTCATAATTTATAGTATTAAATATACCAGATACAGGAACCGCCCATTTACTGTGCGATTAAAATACCTCATTATCAAAAGCAAGTTCACAATATAAATTACCTACATAATAATAAATGGTTACCTACCTAGTTAATGATAGTTTGTCTAAATCAATTCACATCATTTCTAAAACAGTCAGGTTTATACGATTGTACTTATTTTATGCGATTCCTCTGTCATAACTATATTAATTACTACCCTGTTGATTTGATAGGTAATAATTTTAGCACATTTGGACTAGGTTATTTTTGTCGAAACAAACGAATAATAAGAACGTCATCCATCAGTGAATAGCCACCGTAAGAATATATCAGACCAAGAAATACGAAGAATATTTTTAACATTAATCTAATGTCCTTAAATTTATCTGCAGAACGTCTTGTTTACATCTTGTTAATTTATATTTATTTTATTAATTACTGACTGTGACGGGTTGTAAAAAAATATGTAGTGATGTTATACTTTTATGGTATTTAGTAAGTAAATAAGTATAAAAATAAATGTAATTTATTACGCTTATTAAGCAGGGACACCGATAATATTCCAAAATTGTTTACTCAGATGTAAATAAGTGACTGTAGAATGAGTGGAATCAGCCAGTAACTATACTGTATATACCACAAGATACTCTGGTTTTCATTAAGAAATAAGTAAATAAGGCGCAAAGAAACCAGTTCGTTTGCACGAAACAAAATTAATTCTAATAACTTACATCCTTATTGAAGCATTTGAGCTCGGAGCAAGCAAATTACATAGCTATACATAGTATTATTTGGAAATACATATACAATTTCATAATTTGATCTGCCTATCTACTCTACGTACACTAATTGTTAAGCAATGACATTGGATTAGAATTATACACTAGTAACACAATAATTTTATATTTCGTGTTCAAAGAAAAAATTTACATTGTTATAGATTTATTTGTTGTTCGGCTTGATTATGTGTAGTAACGTACGTAAGTACAAATTGATACAAAAATGAATTGAATTCAAATCGCCATTGAGACTCCAGAGTAGACTTGCTGAATATACAAAATTAAAAAATGCATGGTATGTATAATAAATTTATGTGTTAAATCATAAAAGAATCCTTAATGTTGCACGAGCGTCTTTAAATTCCGACCAACACTCTGGTAAAAAACTTCTTTGCCTGACGAACTTTAAAATTGTTTATGACCCTACGTTCGCTTAGAGAGAAATAAAAATTGCTCTCCAAATTTCTACTGCATCCATTATACACAATAAACTCTCAAAAAATCAGTTTAAAGTATGTAACATTATATTATCTGTGGTTTAAAGTAAGTAATGAATAATCAGATTACAATTCACTTGAACTAAGTATTTATAGTTTTGACACTTGAAAAGTTATATAATACTAGCTGTATTCGTGGATTCACCAAGGTGAATTTTATAGCCTATATGTTATTCTGACATATAAACCATATTATTGTAAAGTTTCGTCAATATTCGTTCAGTAGTTTTTGCAATAACAAACACAACAATTGTGAGTACGGAGGGCATACTCACAAACCTTCACGTTTATAATATTAATAATAATAATAAGATATAATCAGTTCAAGAGTATTTTGAGATCTTTTGAAAAAAATTGGTAACATTCAATTATTTATCTAAAGATTACTCTTTATCTGGTAAACAAAGAGTTTAATAAGTGATATAAATTTTACTCTTAGTGAATGTCATTTCGTAGACTTTTTTTAATTTACTTGTGTGAAAATACCATAGAAAAAGTATTTATGCATCATCATCATCATCTAAGAAAGTCCTCTACTTTCTAAGATGATTACCATTATTTGGTAATACCTAAAATTATATATGTATGTTAAAATGACGGTTGCGACTATACCACATTCGATATTATTGACTGACTTGATACTGTCTGTACCCAAACTCTGTTCTTCACAGAGGTCTTTTGTGATATTAGTTCCGTCACTGCCTTGGATGCACATTCTATACTTTCATGATATCATTATGAATAATTACACGTAAAAGTTATCTAATCTATAAACGTATTCAGATAGGAGTCATGTGGATATGGTACTTAATTAATTAGACTTTGTTTCTACACTCGTCTAAATATGCGATTAAAATTTTATATTCTATACTAGCCAACCTCGTTGGCTTCGCACTGGTGTATAAAATTAACATCGAGTTTGCATAACTACTACGCAGTTGCTAAATTCTCGAAAATATGGAAAGACTGTATCATAATCTATTGCGTGATTTGGAAGAAGTAAACGTAGAAACAGATTGAAATAGAAACAGATCGACTTTATACTTTTATAGCTTTTGTCAAATTTCAGGATACAGGAAATTTCAATATCTTATCCAGCAGCTGACGTGGAGAACCCTGGAAATCGACGTAACAAATAAACATACTTATTTTATTGGCAAGAGAATATTCGCTATTTATAATTATTGCCTACTACAACAAGACTTGCTTCATGGAGTTCTTCGCAATACTGTAATAGAGTCATCAATGTTTGTTATGTAGTTGTTGATATTAACATTTTATACTTAGGACACTATGCAAAATGTAAAAATTATCCAACTTTCCCAAATATCACATTTTTTATGAGTGTAACATAGTTACAATACAATCTGCACTGTGTAGATTGTATTGTAAGAGAACCAAATATCATAGTTGTCAGCTACCTCAGTCATGCCCAAAAATTATCATATAACAATATGATATTTTTTGGGCATGCAACAGAAGATTCTTATATCTAAATCACATTCAGAATACTGTTGGCACTCGTTTTCGCGGGCCCGCCAATGTTATATTAGGGGGAAGGAATTATTATTGTGGTAAATTGGTGCTAGTTGCCCCGATCCTAGCAATGTCAGCTATCAGTTGAACCTCCACGCACCACCACTGTTAATTTTTGGTGAATTCTCCCCAATGGTATAACTGAAATAACTTCATCGTCATCACATTATCTTCCACTGGTTCCGCCAGCATATCCTATACCGTTAACCGTATGCGGGTGCACCATTTCATTGACAATGAAAAATATGTTTTATATTTACTGTTGTAATGGTATAGTGTTTTCGTTCGGATGGTGACTGTTATCGGTCAACAGACCCGCCGCGCCAGCGCACCTCGTACCTGGCACGGCGTAACACAACTTTGCATACAAAAACATTATACAGCCGTTAAAAATCGCATTTTCCCGAAGGCCATTACATTATCTGCGCGGAATTATTGTACATAGAAGATAAGGAATTTAATTATTTTAATAATATGTAAAACTAAATATTTTATTATTAAGTTAGGTTAGGTTTCATTTTAATCATAAGTAGGTATTTATTTGAAGCAAATTACAATTTTATAGGTAAGCTTATATGTATGCTTAATTCTAATACATATAAGTAATGGTGTACATGTTTTCCATATTTAATTATAATTTTTACTCTTATAGTTTTATTTATACATACTCGTATTATATATATTATATATATACAAGAGTGGAATGAAAATAGCTATTCATAGAGACTAAAATTCATCGATATCCTTTGTGGTATCTATAGGAGATGTACGCATCCACGCCATGTAGAATACCGACGACCACGCCAACATACTGAAAAAAATAATATACATTAATGATATAGATAACACCGCATCACGTCCGATAGTTGCGGGTTCGATTCCTCGTACGGCACAAACATTTATATTTATGAGTATGTTTGCTTGTATCGGTCTGGGTATTATCTAAGTATTTATTCAAGAAAAAAATCTATGTATCACTTGTCTAGTGCCCATAAACACAAGCTTTAGCTAGCTTAACTTAGGTCTAGATGGCTCTGTGTGAATTGGCCTGCGATTAATATTATTATTATTATTTACAACACTTTTTATGTAACTCGTACGGCAAACTGACAACCCATGTGAGGGCAAGTAGCAATAGTCGCCTATAAAAATACATGAAGACCACCATGAACGTCCCCCCGATCCCCCGATCGATCCCCCGTCTAATTCAAACGGGGATCGAAATTACAACGGCCTGAGCCGAGGTTCGAACACAAAGTGGTGCCCTCAGATTAAAGTTGTATCCGTCAGACGGGAGTTAATCTTCAGGCGCTCTATAAATCCATCCGCAAGTTTGGAGTGCCTTTGCCCTTGCCTGGATCTGCATTCGCCCCCTATTGTCCAGGGAAGCTGTAAAGGCCAGTTGCGGCCAACAGCATTAGAGTAGCCCGAAAAAAAACATAAACGTACGCTGACAGTCCATGCCATACCACCTTCACAATGGCCTAAGTTACTATTGTGAACTTGATTTGGTCATGTTCCTTTCAATTTCCAATAATAGATACTACTCTAAAGTTGGTACACAATTTTTAAGAATCTATTGTAATAAAACTACTAGCAATTATGTTACAAATGCTTTTATAACTAGCTGTGTCCGCGGCAGCCGCATGAAATTTATTCTTATGTTATCGTTACACATGTTCCCATGTGTAACTCTGTGTATAAGTTATTTTACTGTAAATAAAAATATACATTTCAAATAAATTTCATGGGGTAAAACCGCGGGCACAACTATATAAGTACTTACATAAACTGCAGTCATCGCCGGGTACGCTGCATACATGCTTATAGAGGTATAACGAGTGTATAGATATATATTCACTGCAACTCCCATGTATGAAGATGCCGAGAGATATAGGAAACAAGCCACTGCATTGAACAGACACTCCTGGAAATGTAGTAAATGAAGTAGTTAACAATTTAACATCTAATAATTAATAATTTGAGATGCATAAAATTCAAGAAATCATTACTGTACCTCGATTTCTATCAATTTACGAGTATACAATTACATATCATCATCATTATTATGACATAGTATAAAACGAAGTCGCTGTCGCTGTTTGGCCCTATGTATGCTTATATCTTTAAAACTACACAACGGATTTCGAAGCAGGTTTTTTTAATAGATAGAGTGATTTTAGATTTATATATATAATACATGTACACCCGTGCGAAGCCGGAGCGAGTAGCAAGTTAATTTATAAAGTGCATGTATATTTATAACTAATTTGTAGATTAGTCGTAATATTGTATATTTAATAATTAAATATTATCTTTACTTATTTAATCACCACATTCGAGATCGCAAAGGATAATAGAAAATGTGTTGAGCATTCAACCTGTCTTTTGACCAATGATATATTTAGTTATAAACATCGGTAATGAAATAATTAATTAGATATACTTACGAAAATAGACTGCCGTATCAATTGTTGTGAATTAGAAGATAAAACATAGCAAGTGATGAGAAGGCAAGTGGTGAGGAGGCAAGCAGACGCTGTAGTTAAAAAACTGTGAAACGCTGAACCCATAGTACTGGCTTCAGACATACCGTACTTGACTAACAAGCTTTGGCATAAACCACCCAGCATCTGTAGATGTCACAAAATATATATTTTATTTAATGATAAAAAAATATCGCTCATTATGTTAGAACTAATATTAGTTTATTATTAATTTAATTACCGACCATGCTGGTCCAACTGTTAACACATACTTTAATTTCTGTTAGTCGGGGGTTCGATTATCACATAATACAAATCAATGATTATGGCATAATAAAAATTAATGAGTAATATATTTATACTTGACTACGTGTTTTTCTATATTTCTCCCGTATTTCTGTATCTATTTCTATTTCTATTTCTATTTCTATTTATATAGATATTAAATATAATATAATACAATATATATATATATATTAACAATAATGTAAATTGAATATTTTAGTCACGTATCTACATATTTCTGTATTAAGATACAGATAGGTAGGTAGCTTATCTTTAAAGCTTATAAACGAGTAATAAGCCGAAATATCAAAATGATGAATGATGACATGATTACAAACTCTATTGATTAGTATTTCTGTCACTATCAACACACTATACCACCAGCATTATTATCTATTCTCATACTATAGTTTGAAGCAGGATCTATTATTTAATTCATATGTTACCGAACCGTAAAAGATAAAACGGAAACCTATTGATACAACTTTGTGCATTACTCAGTTATTTAAGAAACTGTATAAAATTGTATAATATATTGAGATTATTTCATATGTTATTATGAATTATATAGAACAAAGATTTTACAAAACGACGTGGCACTACCTACTTTTAGCGTATAAAATAAATATTATCTGTCAGTTTAGTTTCCACTCTTCCTATGGTCAAGCAATTGTGTTCAGTCTTATTAAGTAATAAAATATAATTATAAAATAACTCAGTATAGTGTATTAAAAACCGACGCAACAAAAAAGACACGAAAATATGCTACTATCAAGTTGATATTTTTCTTCCTTTGCAAGATGCGATGCGAAATTGGAGTTGTAACGCATAATGAAAGCCATATTAATACGGGCTTATTGCATTTTAACGTTTTAATTCTGTATAGTTGACTGTAAATAATACAAAAAAAGGTTTTATTATTCTATTAGCCACGACTTCATAGGTGTGGAATTGAATATTTTTTTTAGTAAATTAAATAAAATTTGTAAAATAAAAGTAGTTGTTAACGCTTCGTATTGATGTTCACACAAATACATCCAGCGTGCCTACTGCACCCCACTACGGCAGTGCGTTTGAAATCGTCACACCGTCCAGTCATTATTTTTGTATATTTTTTATTAACTCAATAGCGAAATCATTTTAAGACATATAGCATTTTTATTTAAAATACAAGCAAAAGTAGCATCTAACTGCCCATTTTTGGACCTTCATCGACGGATATCATCATTAAATATCATTAATCACCGAGATCGTGCATCTGCGCATCTACGCATCAAGCATAGACCGCGTGGCGAGGCGACATTCGGAACCAGTCAAGCAGAACAAAAGAATGCATACTTTGCTTGGATTGCATAACATTAAGAAGAGGACGGTCTAGCACTCATGCGCATTAAACAAATAAGCACAGGGATCATCATCAAAGGGATCAATATATACGTAAGAAGTGTAACAGAGTGATCAGTGAGTTCGTTCCAATATTCATAATACCCACCCGTATCCATTTTATTCTTAGTTTTTGAGAAAATTGCTTTAAATTGTTACATATCCATTAAGTTAATAATTTAAACATTTAATTAAATCATCTCAGTATATAAATAACGTAATTATTTAACCATTTTACATAAATATCATTTCGTTTCACTATAATCGTATCATTTTGCACGTAGGTGTAAATGAAAATAGTAAAATCATCATTAGTCAAACATAATTTGTAGTAATATTATTATTAAATCATTACTGGCCTAGAATTTGTCTTTAGTTACAGATTTTAGATATCATTTATCATATTTATATACATTTCTACAGAGTCATTAAAGTTTAAAGTACTTAATAGGATGCTTGTTTGTTACATAGATACCTATTAATGTTTAACTATTTTTTACTCATTGCAGTGTTGCGTCGTCGACCCGCTTATCAGTTACCTGGCGGCATTAGCCGTGACTCACGCGTCACCGCTAACTACCCTTTGGTTTTATAAATTTAAGTATTGCATTATTTTTACGTACTAACCTGTATCTTTCAACTTTCACATTCTAATCAATTACATATTGTGTCTTTATTTTTATTAACTTTAAATTACTTTATCAATAGTAAATACACCTCTAAATAGTATCCAATGGATTTAAAATCTTTAATAAAAAGGCGTGGCAGCTATAAAGCTAGACTCACGCAATTTTCCTCATACTTAAATGTCATTCAATCATGTGATTCTCTTTCTAATTTACAAATTAATGAGCTTAATTTGAGATTATCCAAAATTGAAGAACTTTATTCCGACTTTGATTGCACGCAAATTGAAATAGAAAACTTATCTGAAATTCCAGATGACCAGTACAAAGAACGCGAGACATTTGAAACACAATACTTCGGCGTGATTGCTACCGCTCGAGACCTACTCACACGTTCTGCGCCTGCGATTGCTGAGACGGGTACAGGTTCGGTTGCTGGTTCGGTATCTAGGGGTTGTTCAATGCTGAAGCTTCCCGTTATTAATATACCTACCTACACAGGACGCTACCAGGACTGGTTGGAATTCCATGACACATACACCACACTCATACATACAGACAATTCAATTCCTAAAATAAATAAGTTTCATTATTTGCGTGCTGCCTTAAAAGATAGTGCTGCATTAATCATTAGTTCACTTGATTTCTCATCTGAAAATTACGACGTTGCATGGCAACTGCTGTGTGAACGCTATAACAATAAAAGATTACTAATCAATAATCACATACAGGCTATTTTCACTATTGAATGTATACAAAAGGAGTCAGCAAAAGCATTACGTAATATTATAGATACTGTCAATAAAAATCTCAGAGCTCTTAAGACACTTAAATTACCTACTGATCATTGGGACATTTTGATCATATACATAGTCTCGAGTAAACTAGATTTTATTACAACCCGCGAATGGGAAACGCATCGTAATAGTCTGAAGGATATTCCCTCAATTCAGGATTTCCACACATTTTTAAAAAATCGCGCCGATTTACTTGAGAGTATGGAGGAATCACAACCAAAACGTAGACATAGTGATACTACATATACACGTCAAAAATCTTTCATAGCGAACTCACACTCACCTCCCACTCATTCATATGTATGTCCATTATGCAAACAGAGCCATGCTATATATCAATGTACAAAGTTTAAATCATTATCAGTCGAGATGAGAATACAAAAGGTAAAATCATTAAAATTATGCATTAATTGTTTGCGTCACGGACATAACGAAAACATATGTAGGCTAGGTCCTTGCAGAATTTGTTCTAAACCACATAACACATTACTACATCTCAATCAATCATCAAACATTCCGTCTACAAAAAATAGCAGTGTCGTCTTGGCTACTTCACACCAAGAGGCACAAGCAGTTGACACACAGTCAGAATCTTTATGCACACAGAACAACAACATTGTTCTTTCTTCTGTGAACAACACTCAAAATGTTGTTCTATTATCCACAGTCGTAATTGAAGTTGTAGATAGAAACGGTCACAAATATAAAGTACGTGCCTTACTAGATAACGGTAGCACGTCAAGCTTTATAACACAAAACTTAATCTCTAAACTCGCGTTATCAACCTATTCGACATCAACATTAGTTGAAGGGTTGAATTTACAATCATCTTATATTCTTAAACGTTGTAACGTCTTTATATTATCACGCATAAATACATATACAAGTAACATTAATTGTTTTGTTGTGCCACGCATTACACAACACTTACCACTTATACAAATTGATTACACATCATTACACATACCATCAGACATTACATTAGCTGATCCCACCTTTTACACCCCCTCTCAGATAGACATGCTGCTGGGAGCGGATGTTTTCTGGAACGTCTTATGTTCTAGAAGCATTACATTAGGCAGAAACAAACCAACACTCAGAGAAACTAAACTGGGTTGGTTAGTATCTGGCACTATACATTCATCTAATCAACAATCGCAGAATACAGTCCACTGTCATTTTAATAACACTATCGATGATGAACACTTACAACAAAAACTTACCAAGTTCTTTGAACTTGAAACTATACAGACTCACACTTCATTGTCTAAGGAAGAGCAATTGTGTGAACAAATCTTTATGGAAACGACTTCACGTCAAAAGGACGGTCGTTTTATTGTAAACATTCCATTAAAGGCAACACAAAATTCATTAGGTAATTCATACAATCTCGCTTTATCACGATTTCTGTCTTTAGAACGCAGATTTCAACGAGATTCAATATTCAAATCTTTATATACAGAATTCATGAAGGAATACATTGAATTAGGACACATGACCGAAAATACACATTCACACAAAGATACAAACGCGTACATATTACCACATCATGGGGTAATGCGCGACACAAGCCTTACTACTAAGTTACGTGTAGTTTTCAACGCGTCTGCAGTGACGACTTCTGGCTTATCCTTTAATGACATTCAGTTAGTTGGCCCAACGGTACAAGATGATCTCATAAGCATATTAATTAGATTTCGCCAACATAAATACGTTGTCACTGCGGATGTCGAGAAGATGTACCGTATGATTAATGTCACTGAAAGTCAACGAACATTGCAACAAATACTGTGGCGTTTTGAGCCAACAGATGAGTTAAAACAATATAAACTCAATACGGTAACATACGGTACAGCTTCTGCACCTTACCTGGCTACGAGATGCATTAAACAATTAGCGAACGAATGTTCAGACAAGTCTGTAGCTGTTGTCATTAATCACGACTTTTATGTCGATGACATGATCACAGGTGCAGACTCGGAAACACAACTCGTAACCAACTGTAAGGGTGTAAAACAACAGTTAGAAAAAGGTCAGTTTCACCTACGAAAATGGAATTCCAATAATCCATTAATCATTAATCAAATCGTCGGTGAAACCGGCAATGACTCATTACTTAATATAACTAAAAATGAATCCTCTAAAACTTTAGGATTACTTTGGGGTTGCAAGGATGATGTGCTCATGTTTTCATTCAATATAACACAACCTAAACAGATTACAAAACGTACTGTTCTGTCCCTAATTTCACAAATCTTCGACCCATTAGGTTTAATAAATCCTTGTGTGTTAGAAGCTAAAATAATTTTACAGAAATTATGGGCATCAAAATTATCATGGGATGAAGATATACCTGATAAAATCAAATCAAATTGGCTAGTAATCATAAATAACTTGTTCCATATAAGCAATATTAAAATTCCTAGACACGTTATCTGCCATAATCCAAAAACAATAGAAATACATGCATTCAGTGACGCATCTTTACATGCCTATAGCGCATGTATTTATGTCAGATCCATAACTCAAAATAAAGTAATTTCTGTTCATTTGTTGACAGCAAAAAGCAGAGTTTCACCCTTAAAACCGATGACTACGCCCCGCTTAGAGTTGTGCGGTGCTCTTCTCTCTGCGCGGCTTGCAGAGAAGGTTAAATTATCTCTTCGGTTACATATATCTAGTTGTATATATTGGTGTGATTCTACAATTGTTTTGAGCTGGTTAAAATCCGATAAAAATCAATTGTTTAAACCATTCGTTAATAACCGAGTAAGCGAAATAACAGAAATTTCAAACCCGTGCAATTGGCATTACATCCCCACAAATTTAAACCCAGCTGACATAGGGTCACGTGGTTTAGATGCTGTACAACTGCAACGTTGCGATCTGTGGTGGTCCGGGCCCTCATTCTTACGTAATGACGAGTCCACATGGCCAACACAGCCTACACAAATACATGAACACGACTTACCTGAAACTAAGATTCAATGTCATGTCAATACATCATTATCACAGTTTTCTTCCTTTATACAACGATTTTCTGATTTCTATAAATTACAACGTGTTACAGCATACATTTTAAGATTCATTCATAATTGCAAACATACTCATACAAAACAAATAGGTTATTTACAAATACATGAACTTAGAAACGCTCATAATGTGTTGTGTAAAATTGCACAATATGAGTCATTTAAATTTGAATACGATATCTTAAACAAAAATAAACCATTACCAAGTAAAAATAAATTATTACATTTAAATCCTTTTTTACACACAGATGGTTTGATTCGCGTGGGAGGCAGACTATTAAACTCATACTATAGTTATGACACCAAACATCCTATCATGCTACATGCATCACATCACATCACTCACCTAATATTCCGTCACTATCATAAAACCTTAATTCATGCCGGTCCACAGTTACTCACAGCAAGCACACGTCATAAATATTGGACGATAGGCGCACGTAATCTATCTAGAAAAATAGTACACAATTGTATTACATGTTGTAGGTTTTCAGGTCGTAGCATACAACCTATAATGGGGAATTTGCCTGAACAACGCTTACATGCAGACTATCCATTCATTAACACAATAGTTGACTATGCCGGTCCAGTCCTGATAGTGAATCGAAAGGGTAGAGGATGTAAATTAGTTAAATCATACATATGTATATTTGTATGCTTGGCAGTCAAAGCGGTGCACATAGAACTAGTAACCGATCTATCTAAAGATGCATTTATTGCTGCACTGAACCGTTTCATCGGTCGCAGGGGCAAACCCGTCAATATATTTTCAGATAACGGAACGTGTTTCGTAGGTGCATGTAATGAACTAAATAAATTTCTAAAACATAATTCTAATTATATTAGTTCTCACTTTGCAAATTCTATGATAAATTTCAAATTTTCCCCAGCATACAGTCCCCACTTCAATGGGTTAGTTGAAAGTACAGTTAAGGCCGTAAAATACCATTTAAAGAGAATAGTTTCCTTTGCACATTTGTCATATGAAGAAATTAATACATTATTAATACAGATTGAAGCTATCTTAAACTCTAGGCCTCTCACTCCTATCTCCTCAGATCCCTCCGATCTCGAAGCCATCACTCCTTCTCACTTTCTTATCGGACGTACACTCACTCTGTTGCCTTCTCCACAGGTCTCGATAACTGACCCTGCTAAGATATGCACACTTTCACGTTATGTGAGAATACAAGAGCTGAAGGCTCATTTTTGGAATAGATTTTATAAAGAATATATTTCAGAACTGCAGACCAGACACAAGTGGAAGCGTGCTAACGGACGACTGAGTATAGGTGAAATGGTACTAATCAAGGATGACCGTTTGCCACCAAGTCGCTGGTTACTCGGACGAGTGACCACTCTTTATCCTGGCTCAGATGGCGTCACCCGTGTTGCTGACGTACGTACTGCTGCAGGAACTCTTCGACGAGCATTCAACAGACTGTGTCCGCTACCAATACTACCACACCCAGTGCCAACGGGCGAAACCCAAGATGTTTCTTCTTCTTTGTGTACTGATAAGCGAGAACCCTAACGTTCCTGGGGCGGAAACATGTTAACGCTTCGTATTGATGTTCACACAAATACATCCAGCGTGCCTACTGCACCCCACTACGGCAGTGCGTTTCAAATCGTCACACCGACCAGTCATTATTTTTGTATATTTTTTATTAACTCAATAGCGAAATCATTTTAAAACATATAGCATTTTTATTTAAAATACAAGCAAAAGTAGCATCTAACTGCCCAGTAGTTTAAGTGTAAGCCTTATGCCATGGGCTGCGAGTGAATTCCATGTCAAAAATTGTCTAGCTACTTCAGAGATTAGCCAGAATAAACAGATCGACGAACAGACAGTTAGTTAAAGTTTATAAATTATTTTTTTATGCAAGTACCGAAGCGAATAGCTGTTAATTTGTATAAAGTAGAAAAACAAGCATCGTTTAATGCGACTGTATTTTAATGCGTGAACAATAACAATTCGTTGAAAGGAAACACATTCTATACGGCTCCTAAATAGCATACTAACAATACTATGTACCCGTAAGAACTATGAGATAAGTATGAACCCGGATATCTAAACCTATGGGTTAATAAAATCGATCATTCTCCTACTTTAGCTTTTCAGTGGTCACTTTATTTTTAACCGTCAAAAAGAGATGTAGTTCTATCAGTATATTGTTAATTTGTGTATATTATACAATATTTAATACTATTTTTTTTATGAAAATATAGTGACACAAAGTTCACAATTAAAGTACCTTCATCATACATTTCTGCGGTTTAATAATCAATTCCTCACCATTTATTATTATATCTTAAGTAAATAGGATATTAACATTTAAATTTATTTATAAATTATTCAATTAAATATTATTATCAACTAATTATACGTTATTAATTAGTTATCACGTATAGTTCAGATAACATTTGGGAATTAATTTCGTTTTCTAATGCAATTATATAAAGGAACTATGTAATCGATTTTAACATTGGATGTAACACAGAAACCAGTAGGTACTCCAGTAAGTATTGTTGTCCTCTATACTAGGTCATCTCTGGGTAGGTACCAGCAGGTACCTGAGAATAATAAATAATGCAGTTGTTATTCTTAGGTAAGTATAAAAAAAAAGACAAAGATATTTTGTTGTTAACTTCAGCATTTTAACTCGACACCCGAGGGTTTAGTTTACAATGCAGTGTATAAAAAATGTGTGTATAGAGCACATTGCTAGGCGCTCTGTGTTATAAAAAATAAATCACTAACTGCTCCATTTCTAACACAAGACACTGATTCAAAGTTACTTTGAAAACACACGTTCAAGTAAAATAATATATGTACCTAGATAATAGTTTAAGCTAACTCCTAATTCTTTTACAACAACGCTTTCTTTTGAACTAATATGTATTTAATTGATTCGATCAAGAAAAGTACCCATTTTCTTAGAACTATTATAGATTGACCTATTCATTGAATTATTGCTTAAAATTATATACATACGAGTAGGATTCTGTTTAAAGTACATAACATAGACGGTTTTCATAGCAATTAATAAAGTAAATACTCACAGCTTCAGCTAATTTGATTAGACCGTGTTGACTGGTAAGGTATCCAAAATTGATACATTCACAGCATCGGCAGCAGCAGCATTTGATACCTTTGCCTCCTCCAGACCCTCCGCCCGGCCCCACTCGCACTATAGTCGGCCCACGGCTCATCACACAATCAAAAATTACTAATTTCCCGACAATAAGGTATTTTTTATTTTCGAATCGGATTCGTCGCAACTTTCGCAGTGTACAGCTCGAAACAGGAATTAACAAGAATGAGCAATATCCAGGATGCCGGGAATTCTGCGCGTTCTCTGTTCGTTAGTACAACATAATATTTTTAGATGTATTCGCTGCGTATTCAATAAAAGTTCACCGAACTCCTACCCTATTACCTAAATATTTGAGATCTACTCGGTCATTTAAAAATTAGAACTGTTTATATTCAATCAGAGAGTCTATTTTTACAATTCACAAATGTACAATAGTCTATTTTTTAACAATAAAGAAAAACAGAATGTAAAAGAGGTCTTTCTATCAATAAAGAATACTGTTCAAAAGCTAAAGGACGAATAATTTTAAATTTGTCGCGTGCTCATGTCTCAAACTCGACGCGTGTGCGCATGGTAAAAATAACCACAAGCGCAGTGGGTCTGTATGATGATGTGTAGACACAAATTAAATTTTGGTTTAACATCTTACAAATATTATAAACAAGAAAGTTTGTGAGTATGGTTGGATTGATAGATGGATTGATGTTTGTAGAGTACAAACACGCAAAATCTATTGAACGGATTTTGTTGAAATTTTACAATAATATAGCTACTACACATCAGAATAAATGATGGCTATAAATTTCATGCGGTGAAACTGCGAGCACAGCGATTATATATATATTTATTACTAAACCTACAGTACTTTTAAAATTAATACATAAATGTCTATAGGTACTACACACATACCTACAGTGGACTTTGAATGATTATGTTCATTGCACAGGTTATTAGGTATATGATTTTTTTGTTTTTCCACGTTATAAAAAATAATAAATCAACTCTTTATAATCCAAATTTTTTAATGTATTATTCTTTTAAAAAACAAAACACAATACTATAATTTGTACAACCATTTTTGACGCATAACCACTATGCGAGATCTCGACTCTCCAGGGGGTGTTGTGCTATTTCGGGAATTCAGGAAGGATAAATCATACACTGAACTCTTTATTATCGATGTACCAATGAACATATACATTATTTAAATCTATATGCTCTAGTAGTAGATCTAGTAATTAAACTTTATTTTTTATATTGTATATATATACATATAAGATAAAATATTTTATAATATCGTATATTGTAGTCATAGAACTCTAAACCAATCATATTATTTTTAAGTGAGTATTAAATTAGATAGATACTGGTACCTAGTTCTTATGTTCTTTAGTATATTTTTTTAAATTATTTTAATTGCCTAATATGCTGTAATACCGTAAAGAGATTTGAAATAAGTTACATATTTTTCTTTCGGCATAACTATGAAGTTGCCAGATTCAAAGGGGGTAAAATCGCGTATGTATCATATCTAATAACACTCTAATCAGTTGTGTAGTTGTTTTTTTTATTACGTCTAATTGTCGAAGTCAGGTAACGGCCTGATATGTTTTATTAATAACGTATATTTCACGAACGAATTAAATAAAAATATCTATAAATATTTTTATACCGCTGCCTATTATGAAATAAAAAATAAACTGTCTAGTATAAAGTGCTAAAATTATTAAACGTGTAGGTCGATAATACATCTAAATATAAGACATTACCCACAACAATGTATGACACTCCATCTCATTTAATATCCATTGATTATAATCCGAGAAATACCATAGAGTCCCATCAAACAATCCTCCACTACCTAATTTTTCGTTTATATATAATTCATAAATAACAAATCGTGATATATATATATAACAAAATACTATTGACACTAAATAAAACAATATATTATTATCATAAAAGTATAAATTTATTTTTCAGTATAGATCCTTAAAATTAATAGACTTTAGGCTTCAGTGAATTACAAAAAAATATTAAACTTCTATAAAACTCATCTTATACATTTTTATTAGGAGAGCATCGCCGCTTACGCCGTACCTATATGTAAGTAAATATACTTACCTACTAATGTTACATGTATACATAGAAGTAACATCTATTTCAACATCTTACCTTCAGAATCGTCAGAAATACCCACATAAAATAACATTAACAAAATAAGCACAATTTTGTGTTACATACATACATAAAATATTATTACAATGTACGTAATGCAAGCAGATTAGAGCATTAAAAATGTAATTATTTGTTACCTACAAATCCAACTTATGTAAAATCATCATAAATTGAACTTATTAGAAGCTTGTATATGAAAACATTTAATTATATTGTCCAGAAATATACTGTTCCTTCATATATATGTATATCCTAATGGACAGCAGAAATTAATTTTATATCTACGTCTACTTTTCTACAAAAATGTAAATATGTATCAGAATTTTCTAACAAAATATTAAACTATTGAAATGTTCTTCTCTTACTTTTTGACTAAAAGTATAAACACAGATTGCTGGAACTTTGTAACAAGGATATGAGAGTGAACCGTTTTTTTTTCTGTAGCACATAATGATTTTATTCCTCTTAAAACTTGACTAGAAACTTAATATCTCTTTCTTTGACAATCTTTGTATCCTTATCTATATGCGATATCTCGATATACATGGAAAATCATCGTCATCATTATCATCGATAGCAATGGACATCCACTGGACATTATTAACCTATGAGTACATTAGGGAGGAACCATAATGGTTTAATAAATAAATAAACAATTTTACAAGTTTTTTTTTATAATATTATATGTTACCGAAGTTTTTCGGCAGCGGTTAGAGTATTCACAATTAGAGTATATCACAAACTTGACTAGCTCTAATATAATTCAATCAACTCATAAGTAAAAAATATTCTTGCCATATGTACCTATAAAGATATTGAGTTCTTTTCCTTTGGGCATGATAAGTACTTACTTCACTTAATATTAATGTGTACAGCATAGGTACAGATTAATTTAGTACCTCTACATATATACATTTCTCCACTGATCTACAAACAACGTTACTTACCAATTTCATGCATTAATATCCATTTACAAATTTTGTACAATTACTTATGTAATTATTGTACTGTAATTCAAATTCCATTTATATATTCAAGGTAGAGAACACTTTCTTCCTGCAGAAAATGAATCATAGCTTTTACTTTTAAAACTCAAGCTTATTTAGATATATAACATTTTATTTTGCGTATTTAGATATATAACAGAAAGCACCGTGCCAAACTAAACATACTTTAGGAACTAAACACTAATATAAGTGTTTAAATATAGGTATATATTTTGCAAATAAAAAATTAAACATAATAGTAGGTACACAAAATTATTCACTTAAGAAGATTGCAATCGACTGTAATAAATATAGGTAGGTAGGTTATATTGTCGGCAAGGCTAAAGTCAGCAATAGCAGCAAATTGCAATCCCGGTTGGATTGCACTTTGCTGTCTTACAGAAAATAAGTGTCCTCATTATTTATTATTTTCATTAAATAGGCGGTTAATTAATATTACTTTCCCTAGCAAATCAGATATTATTGTTAAAACTTATTAACTTTGTCTAACACAAATTTCATTCTGCATGTTACGTGTATATGTTGTCATTTGCCATAATTTAAGAATTGTAATATTTACATTTATGTAATACATACCTATATTTATTTCTTATAAATTCGTTGTGTTAAAAAATAGAATTACGAGTATGTATGTAAATAACATCTTAAAAGTTTATATTTATATTAGTATTAGTTGGCTAGTAAGCTAAGAATATAAGGCATATTAAGGAATCGTAATATAAAAACATATTGTCGCTGTTAGAGAATTACGATGCCAAATGGACCCACAGATCCCTTCAACGTTCAGGCAACCCCCCTGTAAATTAATTATAAAAATAGTCTAATAAAGAAATCTAAGGTCTAGAATTAAATATTAGGTATGTCAAATTTAAATATGTAACACATTTAAATTTGGTTCAACTCTCATAATGGCGGTGCCGGCTCCAATAAAACGTAGTGTTAATTGCTTTGTGGCCATACCCCTAAAAATCTTTCACTATATTTTCCAAATTAGGTACCTACTTGTGCTAAATTATAAATGCTGAAGTAAACTTAAAGAAAAATATATCATGTCGATTGCAGGAGATTCATCATCTTCAATCCAAATTAAATGCCTCTATATGATCGGTTCGCCATAAATGTACTTAGTAGGTAGAGCCCAGCGAGAATAAGACCCATCACCTGGAAAAATTACAAAATAAAATAAATTAATATTTTGCTACCAAATACCTACATTCCCTTGTAACAGGCATACCGTTTTTTTAATTAACGCAAATACTCCGTGTCATAAAATCTAATTATAATGCAATGAAGAAATGTTGGTATGAGGAGGGTAATTTTTTTTATTTTTTCATACTAAAACATAATACTCCTTTATTATCGTAATACATAATTAACACTGTATCCTGTAAGGTAATGCAAATAAATGGTATTATCCTATTGTATTTACTATATAATATAATGTAATATTATCTTATCTGTGGTATAACTTACTTATAAGTTAAAATGACGTGATATTCGGGGTACTGTTTATATACAAAAAATATATAAAGAACACTCATACATACCGCTGCCGCTAAATACGGCTCATAGGCATTGTAGTAACTTCTCTTGTTCTGATTTACTTCTGTTAAAAATGTGATTCCCGCCGCTAGGTATAGTATGAAGGCCAGTCCGTGATAAATGACTTCCTGCAATAAATGACATGAAAAAATGAGCCGACGTCATAAAGGAGGAGGTTAGTCATTGTATTTCTTATATTACGAGATATCATTTTAAAACTTATTTTGATGATTTTTTTGTAAGCGAAATGTAGATCTTCCGATTTCTAGGGACACCAATTATACCAATATTTTTAAATTCACGATTTTATACCCTAGAAGTAATATTAATACAAACATTCAAGTTATTGTTTAATATTTACTTTCTTAATTTATAACTAAATTTTATAATTTAAAGTTATCCCGTACAGTCAACAATTCAAACATAGTTTTGTTTTTTTTTTTCACATAAATAGGTCTGTATAATATTAAAATTTGTACTATTTATATGTTCCGTTAATTTTGTTGTGAAACCACCATGTAATGGTCAATACTCATAGTCATTACTAACAGACGACTGGCGAGAGGTGCTATAATTATGCGCATTACAATTTTTGGTGTTGGTTTAAGTGAATGATTTATAAAATGAGTTAATATATTGTTGTTAATGCTTTACACATTACTTCCGATCGTCGCGGCGGCAAATATTTATGTTCACGACTACGATTGTTTGTATCGGTCTAGTGTTTTCTATGTAGGTATATTACCTATGTAGGTAATATGCAAAGTGTCTTCTAGATAAATAATACGTATATATTTACAAAAAAAATAAGTATTTATATCAGTTTTACTGATTACCGTGAGACTAGATAACGCTGCTTTAATTGGCCAGTGTTATTTATTATTATTATTATGCTTTTCCTCTCTATATTATTATAGTGAAAAGATTATTTTATAAAATAACTAGTATACTACATTAAGAGACAATATTAATAAATCAAATGACAACAATATTATTGAAACTACTCAAATAATTCATGTTTACATCCCTTGGGGGAGAAGTTTTCACCGCTTATATACCTATAGGTATTTTACATGTTAATGTTAACATATATTTAATAACATATTCTGTGAAATATTAATTTTAAATGATACTGTTCTTTTTACTTGGAATCTTAATGCACAAACAAAAATTTACACAGACAATTTACGCTACGGCACGACGGACGTTACCATTTCATTATATGTTAGATGTATGGAAAAAACTAAAGAAGATAGAAAATAAGAAAAAATATCATACTTACGTAAACAGTCTTAGAAATTAGCGAAGCCGATGATAAGGACACAATACACGAAGTTAGTAAACAAAATGTTCCAATAAGGAAAGAGACTGCTATTAACAGGAAAAACAATTCTGCTTTCGATGCGCTGTTTCTGTAATTTTGGTCGTAATAATAGCCCACTATACCGACGCAAGCCGCGCCCATTAACTGAAATAAAATAAAAAACCACATAAAGATAGTCTATCTATTTATTTATATTGTTGGCTCTGTATGGCACTTATATGTAGATTATCCAACTTTTAATTTTACTGCTCATCAATTGGTGAGTATATTTCTTCCCTAAACAATATCCAGCATTTATACTTAATGAAGATTGAGGTTAATAATATCGACCAATTCACAAGTTTACCATGTCATGTCGACCTCCACGCGAACTCTCTAAACCATCATGGTAAATTTCTGGCGAATTCAACACGGTTACTAAGTGACCTGCAGATATACTTTGTAGTTTAATTTCAATGGAATCTATAATATACTTTGTACAATACCCAGTATTCGGAACGTCAACAAAACTAAACCGAATAAATGACAATGTTAGTTAGTTCCTCATGGACTACGATATATTGGTACTACATTGAAGCATAAAAACGCGAATATAATCCAGCCTATGTGAAAACTAATTCCGATCATTGGATCGGAATGAGTTTCCAGAGTAGTCTGGAGTGGCCAGCGAAAACCAATAGCACAGATAAGTGCACCGTTCCATTACCACGCATTAAAAAAATTCGTACTAGTTGAGAAAAGATATAGGCAAGTGTCTCTACCCTGTTTGTCCGTCAGGTAACTTCGTCACGAAGGGTTAAGTAACCTACTTGTAACTTCCTACTCATTATCCTCCACCAGTACCCCGCCAGTATATACCGTTAAACCGCAGACGCGTTCACCAAATCATTATTTATATTATCCATTAAAAAAAAATATATAAATAGGTATCTAGTTAATTAACAGATTAGATAAGTAAAAATGTTTTTTCAAGATCATATGGACATCATGAATCTGTATATATTTTTCGAAACATTGATGATGTTATTAGATGTTTAGGCCAAATACGTAATAATAATTTATGTATGTAAGTATATATAGATGCCATAAAGCAATCGTAGATTTGTCGTTTTGTAATCGAATTCAATATTTATGCAAGTATAGTGAGAGTATGAATGTAAATTACATAGCCACGTACTATAAATATTCGAATTTTCTGATCGTTTTAGCTTTACGATGCATGACTTCATACTGCGGCTATTTTGAAAGCCCACTAAGTAAATACACTGGACGATCGTACTCTTACCAACCGTCGAATGATTCTGTAATCTGTGCTATAACATAAATCTGTTAAGAGAGTATTCCAAATTAATACATACTTAAATATTCACAATCTAATTATTTTAGACCTGTACATTATACTTTTAATCTTTTGTCATTGAAGGTTCGCTTCTCATTTATATTTTTAGTTTACGTGTAGATAGTAAATATCAGTAACCTTGACTGCAACGACACAACAGTTATTATTTATTGATTACCTCAAAATAAATTAAGATAAAGTACCTACAATAATATAATTTATTTTTCAGACATATGATTAAAATATTATCATATAAAATCATCAGTCCGCTTCTCCACTCAAAGGTAAAAAAAAAATCTTGTGTAATGTAGCGTAATTACACATACCACTAATCCTGTATGTAATGTTATGGAGTACCCAACTAACTAGTCATGTATCTTCAACATGAAATACAAATAATAAAGGTGACGCGTTGCATGACATCATTTTCCGTTCAGAGAAAACAATACTTTGTGTGAGGATATACATATGTCAATCTTTAACTACCTTTAAACACTATCCAATGTGTGTAAATCTTTAGCTACTTTTAAACAACATTAAACTTTGGAGAAAACTATCTAGTATTTTAGTTTTCTATAAAATATTATCTGGTGAACTAATACATTTAGTTACCACCTACACGATCGTACCATAACATTATTCAGAACCCGAATAAATAACTAAATACAACTAAAAGAACGTATGTTCTTTTAGTTGTATTTAGTTATTTATTCTTCAGTATACAATAATAGGTAAAGTAGTGAAAACGAGAATTTTTAATACAAAAAGTCTGTCTATATACCGTGCAACCGTATTTAATTATTGTATTCTGATACCACGTAAAGTACTTAATACTTAATATATATATTTTTTTTAAAAGCAAACATTTTTCATTATGTTGTTTAAAAAATGAGAATAGATGTCATCATCATAGAAATTGACTACTCGATATAATTGATATAAAAATGATTGCAGTATAATTTGACAGAATTATCTCAACGTAAACTGGCTCTTTTTAGCCTTGGTGTCCAGGAATGTTGAAGCCGTTGCTCAACCATGGTGCGTATTTTTGTATCATAAAAGTAGGACGCGTTCAGTTTAATATTTATTCATATAGAGGTGAATAAATTTGAACTTAACATAACAACTTCGTGACTACTCGTAGTCATTAGACTACTAATAGGGAAAACTACTACGAAATCTATTTGTTTTGATATTTACTTGTCTTAGATATAGATTACCTATCTGTAAAATATTTAACAAAATATCACAATATAAACAGATAATTTTATGACCTTTACAGATTATTTTCAAACCGGTGACTAACTGTTACCGGTTGTATTCGACTGTGCAAACTTTCATCCCATATTTCATCCCTTTCACGATTTTTTTTCTGAGATAAAAGATATTCAACGTTTGTCTTGTTAATACAGATTGTATTTATCTTAATATAACATTTCAACAAGATCCGCTCAGCTTGTTAGATGTGAAAAGGTGAGAAACAGACAGACACACTTACTTATTTATATTACTTATATATGAATATGATACTTTAAACTATATATTATATTAACAGTAAGTGGTCCTTACCAATTGTGCCAGTTTCAGTAAGCCGGGCATAGAGCCCATATAGCCAGTATTGATGAACAGCGGTGTACCAGAGGACACTGCCGTCGTTCGCGTAATAGTCACCGTATGTGACATACTGGATAACCTGGAATGTTAATATTATTTTTTTTAATATTTTATTATTTAAAAAAAAAACTAGGTCTGTCTGGCGACTATCTGATTATTAAAATACAAACGCCGTTTTCTCCCACTGAGAAGCATAACTCACAAAACTTCATACGATATAAAACTCATTCCAATCTTAGTTCCCTAATAGGCATTAATATATTACTACTAGTCGCCCAATGGTCGAAATTGAACCATAATTAATATAATTTCAACATTGTTAAGATTCAATTGTTAAGTACCTACTTAAATACTTCTATGCGTGTGTGTGTATCAATTATTAGGTAGTGTGTGTAATGTTTATTTATTGAGTTAATGTATTTTTATTCATAATTAAAATAAAATATTAGCATTCTGCACTGCTTCTCTATATAAACTATAAGTGTGCGTAATTTCATACTCCACCGTACGCGCAAATTTCGTAAAAAATGAGCCAAAAGTTTTTGCTTCACGTACCTATTAGAATAATGATTTTACTCACATTCTTATTGTTTCAACACTCTATATTTAAGTTTTATTCTAACTAAGTGAGTTTTATTCTGAATAACAAAGCTTTTACAGAACCAGTACAAAATGGTACATTAACTCATCACCGAAAATGTATACGGAGGTCGCCATGTTGGGCGGCCGTGAGGTCGTTGTGTTTATGTGCCGAGGCCGACAGCTGACAAGTCTTACGAATTAAATAATGCATACAGATCTTATACTACGGAAACGTATTAATCACACTTTTTTATTAAATTTTATACCCATTGGTGTAAAAAATTAAACTGTACATTTAATACATGTATCTACACGGTGATAAACATGTATACGATCCGCCTGAAGGCAAGTTGTTACCATAGACGCCTACAATTTTTATTGTAGGCGAGCAAGTCCTTGAAAAAACTTCGGTATTAAGTGTATACACTGTATACCCACAAGTCGATTGTCTATTAGACAACATCGTAAAGAGAAACACGACGTTTTGATTTTAAAGTCTCTTTGGAGGTAATGGTAGCTTTAAATTGTTAGTGGATTCCATTATAAATGTAATTATGTATATTGTTAACTGCTGATTTTACCAAAACAGTTATTTTTATTCGATTTAGAGCTATCAGAGATGTTAGATTATAATAAAAGACTATATAATAAATTTTAAGAAAGAAAATTAATAACAAGTTAGACGTCTGTGGTAATAAATTTATTCAATTATTATTATAAACATCTCATCAAAGTCTGTGAATACTTATGTATATAATGCATTTGAAGTCTGATAAGTTTTCATAAAAAACCACTATTAAATAAAGTAAATTACTGCACTAAACTTTGTTACTAAGTTATACTGGTATACTTTATAATTACTCGAATGCATCAGATATTATAATTCATTAAATTCATCAAAAATTTTGTCCTGTATAGGTTGCTGACCTCGATCGTTGTGTTATGGAATTACAAGTGTCTCCCCTCAGTCTAGACTTGTACCCGCATAATAGGTTTACCTACGTCTGCAACTGTGATATATTTGCCTAAAATTAATAATTTCTAATATCAAATTGTCTATACAGGTTTCATAAAAAAATTAAGTCAAGACACTCAAAATTAACTTAAAAAATAACAAAATTAGTACAGATACGAGGTAAACTCCATCGATTTCAAACTAATCGGTTATAAAAAATATCAAGATATATTTTAGGACGGTTGAGCATTGAATATTTAATCTCTGTACCCAAATTTAATATTTCATGCAATTTGAGTCAAAATTATATGAAGATATAATATATGAAAACAATAGAAACCATATTACAATACAGTATCGATTAGGGAATTCATTAACTTGATTATCATTTCCACTGGAACAGAACCATGTTATCCCTAATAGTAGGAAATCAAATACTGCTGTAAAAGTTAGAAAATATATTTAACTTTACTTCTAATCTGTAAAAATATCTTAATTAATTTTAAAATAGTTTTCAAACAACAATGTAAACAGTAGGTATGTATACTCGTATATATGTAATAATTGTCAAGTCACTTCATAATAGTTGAAGTGACATTCACCTTGATAATTACGTCATACCTATTTGTGATAAGAAAATAAAGTAGTATGAAAACATTACTTTTATGTATATATATTTTTTTAATTATATATACATATTTATATAAGTAATAAAAAAACAAATCTAAACTTCTTATTATAATTATCCTTATGACTTATAATACCTATGACAGTTACATACAAAGCTTAATTTCCTTCTATTATTATTATTTCTTGTTTTTATAAATACTCGTAGATTCATAATATATATTAGGCTTATTAATAGAGTACTAGTTACTATTTTTTTTTTTTTTTTGAGATAAACTTATTACATTAATGTCGGTTCAGCCGTATCGTTATGGACAGGTAACAGACGCATATTCGCATTTATAATATTAGTATTATGAATAGACGATAAATTGATATCCCCATAATACAATATATAGGAGATATTTTAAAAAAGTTTACGAATATTAAATGTTTCGTACATTTGATAGTAGTTTTAATAGATTGCAAGATGCAACTAAAGAGGAATTGTCATATAAATAAATAATAAATATATAAAGATGATAATAATAAGATGTCAAAAATTACTCACTCTAGATATAAAAATATGCTGCAAACAAGATGAACTGACAATTTGCACAGTCGAACAAAAGTGAAGGAGTCGGCAAATAAAGCGACTGGGTGCTACGCTGCTAATACGTGTGCACTGTTCTCTGCTCGGACACTGAGTCACCGTCATTCTACATCGCGCATGCGCCCACAAACCATACATTATCTACACAAGTAATACATGTTCGCAGTGTACACAAGTGCTTGAGTCACAATTTTTTTTTATAGCATAGCGGACAAACGAGCTTGCGGCTCACCTGATGTTCAGTGAGTACCGCCGCCCATAAGCCGCAATACTAGGGGAATTGCAAGTGCGTTGTCAGTCTTTTAAGAAGGAATAAGCTCTTTTCGTGAAGGTTTCAATATCGTATCGATACAGAAATACCATTACGGGAAGGTGATTCTTAATTGATTATGTAATGAAATCATTTAAGATTTTATCCAAAAACCAAACAACAAAACCGAGTCCAAACACAACTTTTTACTAGTTCATACAAAGTCGTCTGCGTGGACACCTCTGTCTCTCCTCTTTCAGCCGCTTGCTTCAAGCATCTTGTTAATTTTAAACTTTCGTGTTTAATATACATTATTAAAATTATTAACCGGGTCTTAACACGAATAATTTTATGCCAAATAAAGGTACTTACCTACCTACCTACCTACCTAGTACCTCTTTCGACGTTTCGACTAGGTTGCACTAGCCGTGGTCACGAGCTGACTGGAGTCTAGTGGTAATGTAAATACCTTTATTTGCCATAAAATTATTCGTGTTAAGACCCGGTTAATAATTCAAGCATCTTGTTTTGTTATAATCTGTTTCATTTGATGGGTGAAAAAGACAGTGAAAATGTAGGGTAACGACACATGATATATGGTATGTAGGTACATTCACTGTATAATTCTAAGTATATAAAAAGTAAATGTTATTGTCGCAATGTCCGTAAAACTATTATAAAAAATATTTGTCACATACCTACTGTATTAAAATGATTATTAAGTCAAAAGAATATTGTTTATGAATCAGCCAGTGGTTTAAAAAATCTGATGGATACTACAAACGATTGTCCAATTTCATTAACTAATCTTGGTATAGATGTCTTGTTATCTTGGGATGCTATTGTTATCCATATACTTACTTTAAAGCTTGATACAGATTAATATAACTAATATGAATTCTTCGGAGGAGTTACCTTTAGTCAGTTTAGTGAATTTATAACCAAACGTTATCGAACTCTAGAGTTCCTGGATTCTAAATCAACACCTGTAACAGATAATAAACTTAAAACTATGCATGTGTTACATAATATTCAGTGTACTTTCTGTTCTGGAAATCATAAAATAACTTTTTGTAAAAACTTTGCAAATCAAAATGTAAACTCTCGTCGCAACTTTGTCCAAAACAATAACATATGTTTTAACTGTCTGGGGAATAATTATTCTGCTATATCCTGTAAAAGTATTAATATATGTCGAATATGTAGGAAGCAACACCACTCATTATTACACCCTAATAAAGACAATAGACATTTCGGATTCTAGTGGTAAAACGAATGCGAACCAATGATGCAGAGAGTAACACAAAAAGATTATCCGCGTTATTTTCATCAGGTTCTGTAAAATGTAATCACGTATTGCTACCTACTGCGTTAGTCAATGCTGTATCAAAGAACGGAAAGCAATTAGTTATTAGAGCATTGTTAGCTCAAACTTCTTTCATATCTGAGGCGACCGTCCAATATTTAGGTCTCAAGAAAACATCCATAAAGTAACGTACATCAGTTTTAGGTGGAGATACGAATGTATCACCTGAAGCTATGATTACCATAAATCTTCGTTCAATGGTCGATCCGAGCTACAAGATCTCAATGAAGGCTTATGTGTTGAAATCAATCACTAATTTTCTTCCAAATAAGAAACTAGATTCACTAGAATGGCTTTAATCACTTATCATTCAATTATTTAGATTCGAATTATCACACTCCTAATAAAATTGACATCTTATTAGGAGTTGAGGTTTATAACAAAATAATTCTAAAAGAAGTAATAAAGGCCACAAATGAAACATTCGGTAGTTCAATGCACATTATTGGGTTGGATTATCACTGGTGAATTAATGGCATCAATCAAGAATCAACGGTAATCAGAACAAAAACCTTTTTCTGTAGAAAAGATGAAAATAAAACATCAAAAATATATTGTGAAAAACAATATAATATAAATTTAACAAAACAACAGACGTTAAATGAAAATAATTTTCACTCACCAAACGGTGTAATAATTTCAAAACGTAAAGACATTGCAAATAAGGAAACTTATCTTGGATGTAATATCTGTGAAAATAAAAAGATAAACTTTATAAAAAAACGATTCCAGTGATAAAAATTGTATGTACAAATAAATATATAGTAGTGACCGATGAACATCACGATGTTATAGAAACCTGAAAAAAAACATAAAATTACAGAATATCAGATATAATTAATATAAATACACAATATAAAATATATTGATTGCTTACCACCAAAAGTATTATTATTATATTATTAGATGAATACTAAATCCATAAAATGACAATTGCATTGTATTAAATAGACAATTTTGTAACTACAAATACTACTGAATCTACATAACCAAGCTTAACAATTTATTTAGTTTAATTTCGCTGTGATAAGTTCATCAGGTGAACACCTACATACCTAATTTCATAAACATACGATGTGACCAATTTTATATGTTTGTACGTTTTACGATTGTTTTTTTAAAATTTGATAATACATATTTTATATTTCATTCTAGTAAACTGACTATAAAATTATATTAATTAAACAATTATTTAAATAAAATAAATAATACATACAATATAATATTTAATTAGAGACACTACAAAATATGACTCAACGATCTAGATGAAACTATAATTAAAGATAAAAGTCGTCACATTAAAAATAATCCATCTTATGGCAGTCGGTTGAAAATTGTTTTACATGTAACATTATCTTATCCGTGATTTTACTAAAAAATCAACAGATCTTGTGGCATTCTTGTCCAAAATTTTACAATAATTATGTTTTTTATGTAATAAACCAATACCTATATACTGTGACGCCGACGGCACAGTAATAAGCGATAGAATATCGGAAAATAATGATTCTTCATTTTAATTTGTGTATTAACGAACTATAACACAGACGGATACGCGTATTATTACACCCTTATAGAAATTACACTACTCAATAAATAAGTAATTATCTATAAATAGTTATCGTAAACTACTACATTATAACATATCTTTATCTTATTTACTGTAACAATATTAATGTTAAGGGGAAAGTTAGTAATGGGGATTTTTTTTTAATGGATGATAATGGAATGGTGCTCCCGTCTGTGCTAACGGTTTACGCTGGCGGGGCACCAGTGGAGGATGATAAGATGAGCATGAGGTCAGGTCAGTTAGCCCATCGTGACAAATTCACCAGTAATTTATCACGATGGTTTCCAGGGGGAACCGCGTGGAGGTCAACCTGACATGGTACATTGCTAGCAATGAGACCATCGGTCCACATTACTAACAATCCTCTTTCCCCCTAGTAATGGGGATTTTTTTTTTTTTGTGAATGATAGTGGAATGGAGCACCCGCCTGCGCTAACGGTTTACGCTGGCGGGGCACCAGTGGAGGATGACAAGATGAGCATGAGGTCAGGTCAATTAGCCCATCGTGGTAAATTCGCCATGACTTTATCACGATGGTTTCCAGGGGGAACCGTGTGGAGGTCAACCTGACATGGTACATTGCTAGCAATGAGATCATCAGTCCACATTACTAACAATCGCCTTTCCCCCCAGTAATGGGGATTTTTTTTTTTGAGGGTTGATAATGGAATGGTGCACCCGCCTGCGCTAACGGTTTACGCTGGCGGGGCACCAGTGGAGGATGATAAGATGAACATGAGGTCAGGTCAGTTAGCCCATCATGCAAATTCACCAGGAATTTAACATGATGGTTTCCAGGGGAACCGCGTGGAGGTCGACCTGACATGGTACATTGCTAGCAATGGGGTTATCAATCCACATTACTAACAATCCCCTTCCCCCCAGTAATGGGGATTAGTGGCCCCAATATTATCTCGACCACCGCGCGGTACCCTCTGGGATCCAATATGGTTAAATTCTGGTGAATTAGCAACCAGGATAGGCTAACTGAGTTAATTCATGTTCATTGTATTATCCGCCATCCGTCGCACTCAATTATATTTACCATAATTTTATCAAGTTTTACAACCATTTTAATAATACATTAAAATAATCTTTACAACGGTTTTTATACTGCTATGTAGTACAAGATTACGATCTATGTTAAATTTTAATAATATTAAAACAAATTGCATGTATGTTAAAATATATTTATTAACTTTTTACAAAATTAGTTAAATAATATACTATTTCATATAGGTTGCCTTTTCTCTCTTTTGTCACTTCATTTAACCCATACTTATGATAGTGAAATTAAGTAAGATTTAATAGAATGATGATTTATAGTATACAAGATTAATCCAAAATGGATATACTGACTAAAAACGTAGTGACAGTATAAATGTTACTGGACATACATTCTTCTAGTTATATGAAAAACATCTTCGATAACCTAATACTAATTATTTTTAGTATAAAAGACACAGAAGTTATTTTAATATTTCGTTTGAGTCATTTCGTCTCGTTCAGTTTCATCGGAACCTATAAATCATTAGGTTAATTATGTCCTGCTAGTTCTAACTGGACTAATCCTGTATACTTATCTATAAATTATAATACTCATAAAACCATATCGTGACAAGAAGCTTACATTTAACATTTCCACATTCAACATAACTTAAATATTTAAAGATATAACGAAACAATAACCTGTTACTCTGTAATCCCATCACATTATACGAACAATGAAATTAAGCACATTATTGATTAAATGTATAGAATAGAGAAAACATATTTGTTATATTATATTGAATGCTTTACATCAAGCACACGACTGAGCTAGATTGTAGTCGATATGAATGGACGTTAGTAACAACAGAGTGGTTACTAGAAGTTTTAATATTTTTATCCATGTACGGGAATTTAATGAACTTACTATGTTTTTGTCTTCCGCGACAATTGTACTGATTTCTTTAGGAAATCTTCTTCAGTACTAAAGTACGATTATTAATTCCAGTCAGTAAAATGACAAGTGCAACTATCACTGATACAAAAAAGGGTGACCCGCTACAATAGTGATGTCCGGCAATCAATAGACTTAGACATTTAGTCATGCTTTATTTTATTAGGTGTCGAAGACTTTTTTTTTAATTTTAAATATTTAATACATATCGTATTAAACAATACGATTTTAGAAATATGGACCTTACCAGCATATTAAAATTTCTCACTATAACATTATTACAAAAGCTGGGAAAAAATGTAAAAAGAGATTCAGAGGAATTAATACTAGAATTTTTATTTGTATAAAGGCAATTTGATATTGAATAAAAAAATGTAATCTCGACTAACTTTTAATTGTAAAAACTCGATTCTACCACATCACTATATATTTGGGACTAAAAACCTGCAACACTGGAAACGTCATTTTACTGACTGGAATTAATAATCTTACCTTAGTTCATCAGCTCGCCCGCGAATAATAAGTTCAATAAAAAATAATATAATGGGAAAATACTGTAGTTTTATTGAAATTTCCTTATATATCATAGTCATAGAATTTGAATTTCACAACCAACTTATAAAGTTTAAGACTACTTGGGACCAAATCATACCTCAACCCTTTATTTTTTTATTAGACTGAACAAATTCAGAAACATAATGCACGGTGCACGTTAACATGAGGATTACAGTTATTCTGATGATAGTCTCAAACTATAATGCAGTACTGATAAAATTAAAATTATGATTAACAAAAATATTTTTCTCATAAAACATTACAAATTTAATACAAGTGATATTAAATATAAAAGTAAACTTAGTATAAGTTTATTATAATTGTAAAATATTTAATAATTAGTAAAATGTTGTGAAATGTCTAGTATAATTGTTTCCATCAAGGCTATAAGGTATAGGTACACTAAAAATATAACAACCATAAAATAAATTATTATAAACGTTTATCATACATCTCCTATGATAATATTTTAGGTACGTCGTAAGTAAAATTTCTGTGTACTTAATCATGAGTCAGACCCATATATTATTATGATAACTTTTTCATGATAAGGAACAAACAGATATACGTCCATGTGTCATAAGATTTTCAACTCATGTTCTCAAGTGTAATATACAAAATATGCCACCTGCAGTAAAAATTAAATATATAATTCATTTCTACTACCATTTACTTCTTAAGAACACAATTTAAGTATTGGAAACAATAGATCTATTCGAAAAATATTATTAAATAATGTTAGAGGATCTTCAAATGTAAAGTATTGATATAAAGATTCAAGATGTACTGCTTGTCTTTAATCAGTCTTTTATAAATAATCCATTGCTTCAATTATTAATATTACAAAAATCTGGATCCTGTTCTTAATTAATATATTAAGTTCAAAGTTTTCTTTTTTACGAATATTTGTGAAAGCAATAACAATACTATTTATTTACAAGCGTGGACATGTATGGCATTATTTATATATTATATCACTACTATGTATTACTATGCATCCTTTCTTATTGCAAATAAAATTTATTTCATTTACGACTTATGAAATATGTGCACAGAGACAAAACAATAATCGTATTCGATATTTTTATTTTGATATCATGATATTTATGTCAATAATTAATATCTTTTAATTGCTTAAATATAATTTTGATTCAGATATAATAGACGTCATATTGTTCTGGTAGAGTTTACGCTACTGGCCGCCTACCGCTGCCCTCTGCCACCTGCTCTCTGTAGGTGTCACGTTCACGCCGCCACACTCACAGTACTCTTGTGCTCCTTGAAAAGTAGGAAAGAACTTGCTCCGTACGCGACTGTATTAAAGAGTCCAAACACCTGTAATCAGAAAAGTAACAATTACTGGGGTCTATTTTAAATAAAGTCCTTAATTATTATCCTATAATTAAATATGAAATAAACAAAATTTACTATGTGAGCAGTTTTACGTGATCTGCTCTGGTATGTATGTAGAATTTAGATACTACTTATCACAATTAAAAAATACTAATAATTTTTCATGGAATTGCAATGGTATCACATTCTCATATGACGCCCGTGACACCGCTGTGGTCATGTCATTCCTACGGAATGCAACTGTAATGTCACTGGGTTTCTGACTCTTCAACAGAAACATAGCTTACAAAACAAGGTGCAACACAGGCAGACAACTTTTGAGTAAGGATAGTCAGTCAGTTAGCGTAAATTGTTGTGCACGATAAATTACAGTGCTTATATTGTCAACATAACCAAAACTAAAAAATCCACTGCTTACAGCACAGTCACATACAGCCCTCTCATAGAACCTAGTCGCTCAGCGAATTTTAGATACAATATTTACTCGTATGCTCACTGCGTGATAGAATAAGAACCAAAAAAGAAGAACTATACTACAGATGTAATTCAATGAAAAAACTTTCTGAAATGTCGGAGGATCAGTTGTATTATAACCGCTACGGAAGAATGCCTTTGTATAAATGAATGCAGTATGCACAGAACTATCCTCGCGATAAAAATCACCTGACCTTCAAAATGTCATGGATGTAGGTGACTGTAGGACTATACTAATTTGATGGACTAGGATGATGACGATGTAACCATGACGATTATGTCTCGTGTGACCGTAAACAAATTATATATTAATGCTCTTGCAAGAAATAAATACGATGATGATGTTATCTAAAGTGAGTCATAACGAACTCGTCAATAATATGAATAGCTGCAGTTTAAACTATACGTTAATATGCGCTCCTACATGTAATAGGTTTTTCATTTTTATTTATTGTTTGTGTAATAATAGGAGGCATCTCAATTTATCAAATTTTCCATTATTAGAAGATTTTATCGTGAGATATATTTTATTATGTCGATGGATACACCCATAACATACACAATTTTTGCACATTTTGTTTAGGAAAAATCTTCTTAAAAAGTACTGCTTGTTTTCGGAATTTTATATACTAGCAAGGACTTAATTATTAGCTCACAGGACTACTTTTATTATTATTTATCCCTAAGTACCAACCAAACCAGCAAAAGTATTTAAAACAGTGTAAATTATTAGTTAATTATAAATTCTTCTTTAAATTCTTGTAATCGTCAAGTTTAATTTTACATTATCATCAATTCTACATTTTAAGTTCATAATTTAAATATCGTTCTATATAACATGTATACTTTGCTTTACATAATATCTATATATATTTTAGTGACGTAACCTGCCGTATTCGATTGACATTTTCGATAATAAATTTAAACCTACGTATTAATTCTGAAAGAAACAGGTCTATGCTCTTATACGAAAACTCTGGTAAGTGTAGGATGTTGTGACCTATAAGCGATATAAAAGATTTTGCAACTATGTAATATTTATATTATTTGCAACTAAGTTTATAGTCTTCGTATTTTTATGCTTATAATTAATTTAGATTGTATCCGCTCTCTAGCACTGATCTCATTATTATCTGAACTGGAGGCTAATTAGATAGATGACGGGGTAACATTGACACCCTTAGGGTGTTAACTCTATTAATTTTTATTTCATCACGTTAATATCGGCTTTTTTTAATAGGATTGTAATTTTTGAAGTTGATAAACGTTATTAGCAGACACCGTCCAGCATTTTTAAGGTCTTCATTTTGTCTCATCAGATATTATCCTACACTGCGTATTTTGTATGATAAGCGAATAAAGAACGTTTCATAATCATATATGACCTAGAGTTGCTAATGCAGTGTTACACCATAACAATTCAACTCACTAATCCTTTGCAGTATATTGATCAGTTTTGTTCTTCTGGGTGTATTCTACCATCGAATACTATCATTGACTACAACTCTGAGCGTAGCCTTTTCCTTTCTCGCTAACTCACTCGGAACGTCCTCATTTGTTATAGCCAGCAGTCTGAGATCACGTTTCAATTACATACATATATGACTTCATTACTGGTAACACGCACAGGTTCAAGATTTTCGTCAAATGTTGTAGTAATACGAAGATCGTGAGGCACATGATAGGAAACTTACATTGATTTATTAGCGCTTAGTTAGATGTTGTTGTAAAATTAAAAGGTAGTTTGTTTTAGTTAAAAATATGCAATTATTTTACCTAACTGTATGAGAAATTAACTGTCGGCCCACCTTATGGTAGCAACGGTCGCCAATAGCTATTCACGAGTCATCACATGTTGTTATGTAACAAAGGTGTTAATACCTCCGTAGCCTGTAATGTAATTGGTTTATCGACCCTTCAACAGATACACAGCATATCTCAATCTCAGTCACTGTCATAGTCAGGCTTCCTTCACACACACATAGGAAAAATGTACATGACTTTGTACAAAATCTAACTAGTGTAATTTATGCCAAAAGATTTTAACTTACAGCAGCTGCCACGTTGGCACCATAACCGGAGGCGTAGTAATTTGCTGTAGCAGCAAATAACACGATGAACGCGATCAAATAGAACAATGTCTGAACACCCGTGCTGATTAGTTCCTGCAATTGAACACATATTATATTAATAACTAATGACACACACAAAAACAGTTACTAACTTCTCGATCAAGTCTTAGAAACAGTGAAAGTGGTGGGATAGAAATTATAACGACTGTAAGTGGTAAATTAAACTAGAAATTGGTATAACTTTACACAAAAATTCATTTAAGTTGTATGTTTTAAAAAAAAAGATCTAATAATTTTTCATTCACTACTCAGTTATCAAATTACTGTTCATGTATATAACATGAACAGCAATACAAACGTCACGTTACCATATGATGCCCAATACCAAACATAGGTACTAAACGAGTAAACAATGCAGACGACTTTTTTAATTATTTTAAAATTTGAACTCACGACTTTTCTAAGTATAGGTAGTAACAACTGACTCTATTTATCTAAATGTGTAGATGTAGTAATGTACAGAAAATAATACTTACAGATAAAACCCAGTTAATAGGGATTTTTAATGCTTCTCTGATACTAAGGAAATAGACAAAACTCCATAGAAGCGTCGTGATGAAGCAAGTAACTGCTACAAAAACGAACCACGTCGAGTACCAGGGCGATGACAGTGCCATACACAGAATGCCCAATACCTGAAACAGAGAAACATTTTTAAGGATAAATTTTAATCAATCAATCAATTCAAGAAAGAAAGAACATAAGATTTCTTGTAAATTTTCATTACCTTACTTAATTATCTATTTTACTATTAGTTATTTATTTACTTTTTTTTAACAAAATTGTTATTTTAAGTATTTCCAAAAACATTCATTTAAAAACTAGGAATCTTATGAAATTTGATATTACGTCAAACTAATAAAATCCAAAACAAAGGCTGTTGCAATTCTTAGGAATTTAAATATTACTGCATATAAACTACAATGTTTTATATTACTCTCCATGGCAAACAAGCTGACGGCCCACATAATGGAAAGTGATAACCATCGCATACATGAACTCCATTGGATATTAAGAATAAATTATTGCACTATGTTACATAAAATGTATCATATAGAAATCCGTAATGCCATATAAAGTTGCCATATAAACTTATTTAAGTCATTTTTTTCTATATATGTGTATGCAATGTTAAACCCGCCTGCGTTAACGGTGTACGCTAGCAAGGAACCAGTGACATCGCGGCGAATTCACCTAGGTGCTTCGCATGGAAATCAATTTGACATGTTACATTGCTAGCAATGAAACCACTAGTCCCACTACTAACAATCCTCTTTCCGCCCCCAGTTAATTAGGTGTTAGTAATTTCACTGGAATAGATATCAAACTTTTTTCTATATAAATAAGTGAGACATATATGTGGTTTTGGCGTTTAGTTAAAGGATATTGTGTTTCAAAGATGATGTCCCATGAAACCCTATAGATCTATATGGTTATTTGTAGGACACACTCTAAACGATACAACTGTTGCTGGTGCACCACACCGTGCCGCATGGTCGCACTCAATCGACAAACCGGTTCGGTAACGTGCGCCGTTGTCAGAACGCACTGTCGCAATGTCTGCTAGCTCGACAGGTGTTATTTGTAGAAATTCCACATGTTAACTGGACTTTTCTATCAATACTGTAGATATCGTCTTCCTAACTTTCACTTTTTCTTTGCAGAGTTTTTATCTAATTAATGTTCTCCTTTTTTTTACTTACTTTTAGACGATGACTATTACATAGGTAGATACTATATATAATATAGGTACATATTTTATTTAACGTACCTACTAAGTGCAACCGTTCTCGTCGTTCCTTCACGTAAAAAAATACTACCATGACAGGAAATCGGCTGTAAACCGATGTGTGTCACATACAAGACGCGTGCTCGGTATATATGGAGAAAGTATGTAGAGGTAGATATGGGACGCGACCGCCATTCCAATGGCGACACGGCGCTATCAATGGGTTCACAGACCATCATCGCTTTTACTCGTTGCGCTTTGCTGTCTCGCTCCAAATAACGAAACGTGGCCGGATTTCCGATTAAATGTAGACGATGGTATCAACTATTCGATTTTATGTCAACACTAGCTATGCCCGTAGAATCACGCGCATGAAATTTATAGCCTATGTGTTATTCTGATGTAAGTAATTTTTACGTGAAAGAATAACAAACGTCCATCATATAAACTTTCACGTTTATAATATTACTAGCTGTGCCCGCGGTTTCTCCCAATAAAAAATATAACCAATGTGTTATAAGCAATAAGCTATATTACTGTAGTTACACTAACCGTTCAGTAGTTTTTGCGTGAAAGAGTAAAAAACATCCATACTATTATTAAGTTTCGCATTTATAACATAAATAAGATTAAGATTTCAACATCTATCCCTAATAGAAATAAAAGTAACATAGTAAACCAAATAATAATATAAGTCCAAAGAAAAAAAGCTGCTTGCATGCATTTAAAAATAATATTTAAGCAAAGAAATTAAAATTGTATCTACGTCATAGACTATATTTTAAAAGACTGTAATACAATTCATTAAAAATAAATTTACAAAATAATATATTAAACCAGTCAAATATCATTTAGACGAAATTATAAATTGTAGATCTACATTCTCTAGATTACATTCATTGCTATGACACAAATTGTACATTTGTTTTATTCACAGTTGCCACGAATGCAACGCAATCGCGATATAGAAAATGCAGTCAGGTAACAAGCATTGGGGTCAGTGGGTATCTGCGTGCGCGCCGATAATTGACTAACTGCGTTACAGCTTAACTAACATGTAAGTACCTACCTTGTTCTCGTCTGTCCATTGACCCATACTTCCGCATTAAGGAGTGTTCAAGCGATAAATACATCTACAAACCTTACTATTCCACCAAAAACATTTTGTATTGTAACTATACATATATTTTTAAGTGATACTACCATAACCAGTATTTGTACTAATATATTTGTCCCCAACATAACAATCTGTCACAGGTGTTTGCCAGAATCAGACTTTATTTTCTGATAATGGAATGGTACACCTACCTGTACTAGCGGTAAAGGATAATAAGATGTGGATGTAAAGAAGTTAGTTGACCCACCCAGGCCAATTACTAATTAGTAATAATAATGCTTTTCAGGTGAGCAATGTACTATAGACTGCTAGCAATCGAGTCACAAGTTTCTGTCAATTCCCCCATCCATTCTCCCTCCAACCTCCGCGGGGTTAGCTATAATAATAATAGCACAGATAGGAGAACATTACATAATAATAGCAAGTGGACAAGTCACACAAGTAAACAGGACAATGTGCTGCCGTGGAGTAATAGTTCAATTTATGTATGTACTACTGAATAGAGTTTGACACAATGAAAATTAAATATAATAGTTTGGTCGGACTGCATAAAAAATCCGTACCTATTGAATCAAATTAAATTCATAGTAGAACACCCCAAATTTTGGATTTGTTAGTAGACTTGCTGGTTTCGCTAGCTTCGTTCTAACACTATTTATAAAATGATACAATACGAGCATGACGATGAAATATCAAAATAACTTTTACTGATCAACCTGTAAATATTTTGAATTATACTTCGGGCGAGCTGGAAAACCAATTAAACATAAACGAAGATCCATTTGGCACGTCTTTCATTTTCATCTAACGCAATTCGCACCGAATAGTTCTATACTGTTAGTAACTCAATAAACTTTCGAACAATATCTATTGTATTTTCTATTATTATACAAATATTAAGTAGCTATTTACCTGCTAATTTACGTATATCTCAGACAACACAAATATTCATCTGTCTATGTATAATTTATATTTCTGCGATAAACACAAAAATTAACACATGAGATGATTATGATTATATGATATTCAGAATCTATATACCCTACCTATATAATATTTTAAATATGATTAAAAATAAGAATTTCAATTGTGTTATTGGTTTCATTCATAAGTACCTAGATAATAATTATTTCTAATATGTAAATCATAAATTAAATACATTAAACTAAATCCATAATCACTCTAGATCTATTCGGAAGTAGGCTATCTTCAATTTTTGTTATCCTTTGAAACTTAGAATATAACACAGTGATAATTGACCAAAATGTTTTGCAACATTTCAATAACATGTCTTAAACTCATGTTATTTTTGCGACATGCTTTATGCATATTACATTACATAATTTGATTCAACAATTTTTCAGTAAAGTGCGAGGTTTGTGACTTTTGTCCATAATATATGTCTAGGAAATAAATAATTTTATACGTGCTTACACTGTTACCTATGATATAATTAACAAATTTACACTTGGTCTCGACACAAAATTATACATTCGAATATAAGTTACACTATAAAATTGCAAGTAAGTTGATGTACCTATGTAGTAGGATGTATGTAGACATACTTACACATATAGATGTAATTGAATATCTAGTAATCATTGTTCTACCTATTTTCATGACGCGACAGCGAGCGACGCTCCGCCCAGTGACCTTATCTATGTAATGATTTACTATCGATCGCTTGAAACAGAGATCCAATACTCTTGGCCTTGATGCGCATGACAAGCTGTTCACAGGCAAAACATCTTCACGAAAAAATAAATATCTGAATGAAAGTTATTTCAATTTCATTGACCTCGTTTTCCTCGCACCGAGACTCGTGATGTTCCGTCATTAGAAAAAAACCAATCGATCAAGAAACATGATGTTTACAAACAAATACCGACAATGATATCGGTTACCGATAAGTTGATAACAATTTCAATTTCACACCGTATTAAGGTAGTAAGATGTTGCATTCAAATTTATTTAATTACTAGCTGACCCCGTAAACGTTTTTTTGTTTTATGACTTAAAATCGCTAGTAAAAATAGGGGTTGATGGTAGAAAGGTGAAAATTTGGTATCGGCCGTTAGATTATTTATTATTATTCGTGATAAGCAGCGTTTTTAGACTGGTAGTATATAATTTCAATAGCAACAATTTACCACACATACACACAAAGAGAGAAATTTAAATAAAAGTGTGTGAAATGATTTAAAACATCAAAATAATAAATACAAAGAGATACAATAAAGTAATTATTAACAAGAAACGTAAAAAATAGACATACTAGGTACTCTGTTTATCATCAAGAATTTTGTTGGTGCTAGTTTCCCAGGATAAGTCACCTAATAAAATCATTTACAGAATGTGTATGACTCAAAGGGAGGGTCACGCTGCCGCAATAGGTCAACAGAGATGTCCTCAATGTCTCTAGAACAGCTCATAATTTTAAATTTAGTAATTATAAGGTCACTGATGTTCTCATACACTATAGAAAGTATTCAGATAGAGATTGTGTCTATGTAAAACTGAAGATACATTAAATAACATTACATAGACTAAATAGTAACTATAGTCAACCAAGGATTATGATATAAGTACATCCATCGTATATAAGTCAAAGTCAGTCTAGTAATATTGCTACTACGCGCTTCCCCATAGGAACAATCATGATTAATCTGTAAGGAAATAACTACATAATACAATAGCAATACATATTATCCTGATTCTATTTTATAACTTTCACTAGTATCCGACCAGCATTCACTATTCAATTAAAATGAAAGCTTTATATTACCCAA